TCTGTGGTTTAACCCACAGTGCCACCCATGTCCCACCTCTGAGCTGTGACTTCCCTCAAACCCCTATTGTAAATCTATACAGTGGTACCTTGGGTTACATACGCTTCAGGTTACAGACCCCACTAACCCAGAAATATTACCTCAGGTTAAGAACTTTGCTTCAAGATGAGAACAGAAATTGTGCTCCGGTGGTGCAGCAGCAGCAGGAGGCCCCATTTGCTAAAGTGGTGCTTCAGATTAAGAACAGTTTCAGGTTAAGAACAGACCTCCGGAACGAATTAAGTACTTAACCTGAGGTACCACTGTACTGTCTTCCTATTCCTCCTCCCTGGAAGGGTCAGGGTGGGGAAGCAGTCTCCACCGTTCCTCCCCTGCTCAGTCCCTGACAACACCATGCCTTTGCCTCAGATTCTGATTCTGGGCCAGAGGAGCAAGGACAACAGTTGCAGACTTCAGAATACGCCAAGGTAGCTGTGAAAGGTGTAGTGGATAGAACCATTCCTGCCCCTCCCCAGAGGAGGAAGAGACATGTGGTGGTGATGGTCAAGCCCATGTTTTGCCTGCAGAAGACTCTGGGCTCATTTCCTAGCATCTCCTGTTAAAGGAGCTCAATGTCCTCTGCCTGGGGAAAGGAGACTCACTCACCAGGCTGGCAGTGCCTACATTTTCCAAAATCCCCTGCCCATCCACCTCTTGTGCCAGCTGCTTGGCAAGGTGGATCTGCCTACACTCTCTGATACAGAAGATGGGAATGTTTTCATTTCTCACGATCCTCCCAGAGGCAGCTGTGATTGTGTGGCTTCCCCAAGTCAGGGAGGTGTCAGTGTGACGCTTACTTTCTTCCAGGTATTTCTTTTTGATCCTCAGAAAGACCCCCCGGCCCTCATGTCCCAGAGTCAGGCTCAGGAAACCGCAGAAGAAGAGAAGTCTCCATGCTCGGACCATCTTCTCCTCTTATTGCAGAAATTTCTAGCATGAAGTTCACAAGAAGGATGCCAGAAACCTAGAGGTGCCTGTTAGAGATGATAGGGAAATATTCAGGAGGGTTCAGTCCAGCGTCAGATATAGGGACTTGCTAATCCAATTCGGAGAGAGAGAGGACTAGTAGAGGAGTACTTTCCAGGAAAAAGCTGGCAACTCTGTGGACGATTATCAGTGTTGGATAAGGAGGGGGGAATAAATTTGATTCTGTGTACATCTAATTCACACGTTCCAAAACAAAACACGAAGTGAAACACTGCTATCCTTTGAAATTCACAATTCTCTGAATTTTGCAATGCAGTTCTCCAGTCATTTAATGTGCACCAAAATGCTCTGGGGTAAAGTCTCCATACAAATGTACATTTTTGGAGAAATAACCCATAAACATGCATTTTATCAAGGAAAACTGCTTTGCAAAAATGTGCGCATTAGGCAAAATCACATTTTTTAAAGTGTCTCTGTAAGGACATTTTCATGTTGACTTTTAAAAACCCCCAAAGGATATGGAAATGTAGAGAACTGACCGTAACACTGAAAAGTGAGAAACTGAAATTGCATATTAATCTATCCCCAGTCATGGACTACAAGGTATACCTTCAACCATAGGTTTCGGGTTGCTTCTTGACCCCTGATCCTGGGTGCTCCAGAAATCCCTCCCCACGCGCAAGTCCCGCCCCCACTTCCCCCTCCCCACAGGACTTTGCCACCAAGAGACCAGAGCTGGGCACGCAGCTAAGTCAGTCGTTTGCTGCTCACCTCTTGGAGTCAGCTGCAATTCTGCAAAGATGAAGCCCTTTTGCTTTTGGGAGTCTCCACCAGACCAGGCTGAGAGAGAGGACTGATCCTGCTCTGCTGCTGCTGCTGCTGGCACCAGAAGTCCCTGGACACAAATGTTCAGGTAACCTCACTCCCCAGGGATGCAGCTGTGTACTTGCAAGCGATCTGCTCTCACACCTGAGCCCTGACCTCAGCTATTGCTGGGTTTTGCTGCTGGAAGGGAACAGGGTGAAAAAGCTTCCAACATATATAAAAACATAGGAAAGCATTACAGTGGTACCTCGGGTTACATACGCTTCAGGTTACATATGCTTCAGGTTACAGACTCTGCTAACCCAGAAATAGTGCTTCAGGTTAAGAACTTTGCTTCAGGATGAGAACAGAAATCGTGCTCCGGCAGCGTGGCAGCAGCAGGAGGACCCATTAGCTAAAGTGGTGCTTCAGGTTAAGAACAGTTTCAGGTTAAGAATGGACCTCCGGAACGAATTAAGTACTTAACCCGAGGTACCACTGTACACGTTAAAAGACTTCCCTATACAGGACTGCCTTCAGAGGTCTTCTAAAAGTTGTGTAGTTCTTTATCTCCTTGACATCTGAAGGGATGGTGTTCCATCAAGAATGCCCTCTAATTGGTTCCCTGTAACCTCACTTCTCACAGGGAGGGAACCACCAGAAGGCCCTCGGAGCTGGACCTCTGTGTCTGGGCTGAACGATGAGGGTGGTGTTATAAGAATTTTAACGTCTTAGATATGTAATAAATGTTCATAAATGTACCAAGCAAAACGTACATAAATATATAAACCACATGTCTGAAACCCCTCAGAAAAAAAGTCCTGAACAAATTGGCCTCAAATATTTCTCTGCAAGGTCAAAGTGGGAAACCTCCCCATTGCCCTTTCCTTCACAAATCCTGTCTTAAGGGCATATTTAAGAATAGGGTGTGAGCCTGTGACCTGGCTCGGAAACTAAGTATTTATCATTACAAAAGACTGGCCAGGCTCCCCAGGGTATCCAGTCAAGTAAGCATTAACAGGTAACCTGCCAGACAGGAGATAAACAACAACAGGAGATAAACAACGCACTCAGATTTCTGCTGTAGACCGCCCTTTCTGTGATGTAGGTATGATGTGTCTGGCAGGTGGTCTTGAGCTATGCCCCTTCTGTGATGTATGTATGATGTATCTGGGGGTGGTCTTGGACTCCAGGGCGGGCAATTTAAAATGTCTATATAAGGGCAGGAACACCTTTCTTCTGGGTCTTCCTCCTTTCCTGCGTGAGAGGGGAACACCCTGTTGCAACAGTTCAATAAAGATCAGGCTTACTAGCTGCTTTGCTTCTCAATATTCTCTGGTTGGCCTCTGTTATTTTTCTCCGACCGATGGAGAACCTGCAAAGGACTCTACAAGGGCTCTTGTGTCCCCCATAAGGGAATAAGGGCAGATTTCTGTTTATTACAGTGGAGACGCTCCTTCAGGTCTACTGGGCCGAGGCCACTTAGGGCTTTAAAGGTCAGCACCAACACTTTGAATTGTGCTCAGAAACAATGTTCTTAAATTCAACAGAAAGGGGGCACTCTTTGATTTCTTTTGGGAAGGACTATGTCTATGCAGATAACAGCAAGGTCAATCGTGTTTGTGTTAGGAACTGGAAGCATTTAAGTGGCAGCTACACTGTGATTCTATTCTGAGATTTTATTTATTTTTATTTTTACAGATGGAGCTGGAAAGTGTCTTTGATAAGAAGCTGATTAAGACCGATTGCTGAAATCAAAGACAGATCAGGGAGACAAAGGGAGAAGTGTTTTTGGCCTCCCTTGCCCAACCTCCCTGCTTTATTATCAAAGCACATCGCCCTGCATTTCATAGATTTGTCTGTGTTGTTTTATGCTGAATTATGTGGGGGACGGGAAACACATAAACAGCGCATATATACACACAAAGTTGCATGTTGTACGCGTGATATTCCACAATGCACTCACAAATTTCCATGGAGAAGATGGAAGGGCTTGCGTTGCTTTTGCGTCTGCTAAAGTTTGGTCATGTATGCATATTGCAAGGAACACTCACAAAGGAGGCTGCTAAAATGTTTCAGACCAGTTCCTTTGTGAAATCAATCGGTCCTGGTGAATGTGAACATCACAGTCATATAATATGCAAATGATCAATTCTAATTGTTCATAAAGGTAAAGGTAAAGGGAGCCCTGACCATTAGGTCCAGTTATGGCCGACACTGGGGTTGTGGCGCTCATCTCGCTTTACTGGCCGAGGGAGCCGGCGTACAGCTTCCAGGTCATGTGGCCAGCATGACTAAGCCGCTTCTGGCGAACCAGAGCAGCACACGGAAACGCCGTTTACCTTCCCGCCGGTAAACTTCTACTTGCACTTTGACGTGCTTTTGAACTGCTAGGTTGGCAGGAGCAGGGACCGAGCAACGGGAGCTCACCCGGTCGCGGGGATTCAAACTGCCAACCTTCTGATCAGCAAGTCCTAGGCTCTGTGGTTTAACCCACAGTGCCACCCATGTCCCAATTGTTCATAGTGTAATAGAATAAGGTCTCTCTCTCTCTCTCTCTCTCTCTCTCTCTCTCTCTCTCTGTGTGTGTGGCGGGGTACAATCACATCCATTTGTGACAAAGAAGCAAGTCTGCCAGCCCTGATTTTCAAAACCCCACAAATGATTATGATTTCCATTTATATCCCCCCTTCCAATGGAGCCTATTTGAAGTTTTGCATTTTAAACTCACTTAAGTCACAGGACAGTCCCAATATCCTGAAGAAAATGTGGTGTTCTCCTGCTGCCCTGGTGCAAAACACACTTATTTGGAAAGAAGCACTTGTGGAAGGCTGATCTCAGCCAACACCATCCCCTCTGTGTGGCAGCGACTCTCCAAGACCTCAGCCAGAGAGGTCTCCCCAAGCCCTTTCGCCTCAGAGCCGTTTAGCTGGAAGTGCTGGAGACCCAACCTGTTGGGACCTTCTACATTCAAAGCACCTGTCCTTCCACCCAGCTAAGCCCACTCACGGTTAAAGCAAAGGCACCATATCCAAATCCCCTCTTCTGCATTGCCCCACATGTTTTGTGAGTTCCTGACATGGAAATCAGGTTCTGGGGCTAAGCCATTATTAGAGAAGACCCCGCTGCTTCAAAATCTAAGCTCGGGAGTCTTGCCTTTGGCGCAAGAGGGGAGAAGGTTTTTGCCCTGGATGTGTGAAAAGAGCAGACTCTGAAACCTTCGTGGTGTTGTGAAGAGAAATGTTTTATTATCAAGGCAAGATAAGCAAGCAGAACATCTTAGCAATCCACAGAGGGAACCCTGCAAAAAGACTCTGGGCCAAACACTCCACTGCTTTCAAACAACAGACATTCAAGGCAAGGTTTCCCAAGAGGCAGATTTGACTCCAGCCTTACGGGATTTCCCGTGGTCTCAAGACTCAGGTGCCAACACTTTTAGCTTTGACATTTGTGCCATTCCCAAATGGAAGGAGGCAAATCTAGCTCCGGAAATCGCGTTGCAAAGGATCCATTGCTGCTTTCGAGCCCCTGAAGCAGAGAGCCAAGGGATGTCACAGGCTCCAGAGGTCCAAAGCTCTGCCCGTCAGGGGTGCTTCAGTTGTGACCCGTGCATTGCAGGGGGTGGACTAGATGACCCTCGGGGTCTCTTCCCATCCTACAATCCTACGAAAGCAGAGGCGTAAAGGGGGAAGGGAAGGGAAGCAGCAGCAGCAGCGTTATCCATTTTGTTCCAGGATCCTTCCCTCGATTCAGGTGAGGATCTTGACCCCCACATTCAGGAAGCCAGTGGGGGAGCGAAGAGCAGAAGAGCGTTCTGTGAAAAGGAAGACAGTCGCGTTAATGCTGGCCATAATTTCAAGTAACCAAACAATTTAACCCCTGTGTTGCAAACAATAGCCAGTAATATCCAAGGCAACACGATGACCAAATACAATGATACGATATCAATATACAGTGGTACCTCAGGTTAAGTACTTAATTCGTTCCGGAGGTCCGTACTTAACCTGAAACTGTTCTTAACCTGAGGTACCACTTTAGCTTAGGGGGCCTCCCGCTGCCATCACACCGCAATTTCTGTTCTCATCCTGAAGCAAAGTTCTTAACCCGAGGTACTATTTCTGGGTTAGTGGAGTCTGTAACCTGAAGCGTATGTAACCTGAAGTGTATGTAACCCGAGATACAACTGTACGCTCTTTATATAATATGAAATATATGAAATCACATAAACAGAAAACTTATGAATCTCTGAAAGTCACAAAATATGCACTCTTAATGGATTCTCTTGAAAACATAAAACTAAATAATCCTAAGTCTTATAAGTCTCTGAAAGTCTTTGAAGACTATGCAAGTCTCTGAAAGAAGCAATGTATCAGTGGGTATATCCAGAATCACTGTTCACAACGTCTGTTTGCGAACTACTTCAGCGGTGTTGGACACCATAAACAAATCTCTAAACCTGTTTTCACCAGATAAGAATCTGGTACATTGCATTAAGAATGCATATTTGGTGACTTTCAGAGATTCACAAGTTTTATGTTTATGTGATTTCATATATTTCATATTATATAAAGAGTGTCTATTGATATTGTATCATTGCATTTGGTCATCATGTTGCCTTGGATATTACTGGCCACAATTTCAAGCCTGTTTTCTTCTTGGCTATGGCATGTGGGTTCCCAAGAGCAGCTCACAGCCGTTTTGCTCCACAAGGCGCTGGAGATTTAAATGCATAGCTGTCAACTTTTCCCTTTTCTTGTAAGGAATCCTATTAGGAATAAGGGAATTTCCCTTTAAAAAAGAGAAATGTTTAAATGACTAACAGACTTTGAGAAGCTGGCATCACTCGATTCATCATTTTTTTTGGAATTAGTAGAACCATTGGATTTTGAATATAGTGTGTGTCAATGGATAATTGTTGCCGTTTCGAATTTTCTTCTGTTATTATCTTCCTTAGTGGGTTGTGCAAACCGCTGTTCTGGATAATGCTTTTTACAGGGCAGGGGTCCTTATGGAACCAAGGGGGTGGAAAAGTTTGGGGACCACTGGACTAGAGCATCCTTACCTGGCCAGGGGCAGCATTGAGATGGTCGATGCCAAGCTGTTGCACCAGAGGCAACGGGAAGCCTTCTGCCAGCAAATCTGAAAGAGAAAAATCTCATGAGTGCTGGGGACATGAAAGAGAACAGATGCAATCGCCCTTTTCACACATTGCATTGGACACAGGGTGAGCTTTCTGTCTGTCTGTTTGTTTTGGTACTATCAAGCAATTTGCAAATTTCATGAAATAAATAAACCTTTGTTAGCAGGGCCACAGATCAGTCAAATGATATGACTGAACAGCCAGGGGCACTGTGATAATTATTATTTTTAATCAGAATGATTTAACAGGCAACCTGATCAAAAAGTCAATGCCCCAAGGAAAGAGAGAGGAGGATGAAGATTGGGAGAAGGGGCAAATCAATCTATTACTCCTCTGTGCCATTTTTATATTAATTATATTAATTAATTATATATATATATATTCATGTGTGTTCCTTCATAAGACTATTCTGTCTGTGCATTCATCTGCAAAAAAAATAAAAAATAAATTTGAAGTCTGCAAAAAAATAATTCTGGCAATGTATGTATTTCTGGATGCATTTCAAGCACATTTTGAGCCAGGAATTGCAGCGCAACATTCAGTAAGTGCCAAATCTGGAGACTAAGTATGGGCTCCTCCTTACTTCTGTTAGTCCCTTGCCTAGAAAGCAGGGGGCCAAGCACTTTTCTGAGCGGTGTTGCCTTTGCCCGTCCACTTTCCTGGCAAACCCCACTCTTTAGCACTGAATCAGAACAAACCTCAATTCACAGAAAAACTGACTGATGTTTGCTCTAATTTGGCAGTAAAGAGCAGGTTTTCCTGGGAGAAAGTGGTGGGACATTCCTTAAATTTCAACCTGCACTTGAGTCCAGAAGTGTTGGTTCAGGCAAGTTCATACAATGCAATTCCTGAAGCCTGTCTAGAAAACAGCTGCATTTCCCTGCCCTGTTCTGGAGACTTTTCACCTGGCAGCGTTGGACTGATGTGCACATCTGTCTTTGTGCATAGGAATCAAAGTGACTTCATGTTTTCCATGGCTGTGGACATCATGCAGCAGTCCAGTGAACGACCCCCCCGGGTGGCCAGGCCCCAGCAGCAAGACAGGGAAGATCATCGCTGGACCCTGTGCAGTATAGATTGCCTCCCTTCCCTCCCAACCTGCCACCGCTCGTCCTTACGGTTCTGATGTGGTAAAAGGAAGCCAGACACCAGGTGTGAAATTGCGCCCGTCAAGTGCTGCACCTGAAACACAAATGAAGGAAGGAAAGTGTTAAGTACTGAGTTGAATAGGATCCAAATTGCAGCAGTCTGATTGGTCCTAGAACAATAGGATCCAAAACGCAGTAGTCTGATTGGTCCACAGGAGACACCCAATCCAGCTCCAGGTGGAAGTGAATCCACAACCTGGTTGGCCTACAGGAGAATCCCGGAATTAGCCAATCCCGGGGGGCCCATTGTGTAAATAATGTATATAAAGCAGATATTCTGGGGGAACTTCCATTCCTCCTCACTGCTATGAGCTGAATAAAGAGCATGAAATCCACTCTCGACTCCGAGTATATTTCAGAAAGCAAAACAGGGGAGGTCAGATGATGACAACAACAGGGGAAAAAAGGTCCCTCAGTTAATTGGGAAGCAAGTTTTCTTTTTTTTCCTTTTTTTTCAAATAATATTTATTGCTTTTAAAAGTTACAGAAAAAGAAAAGAAAAAGAGAAAAGAGAAAAGAGAAAAAACATAAAAAAGAGAAAAAAAATACAATACAATATATAAACAATACAAAACACAACCTAAACATATTAAACTACACTAAACAAAACCCTAACCCACCTTAACCCTAAACAAAACAAAACAATAACCATTTAAAAACATACATCACACTTTTTCCATACTCTATCATTCATTCCCTTGTTTCCTCGACTTCCTCTCACCTCCCTTTTTGTATTCCACTTCTATTAATTGTTTCAGCAAATCCTTTCCATCTTTCTCTATTTTCTGTCATATTATAAATATCTTAACATATTTTTTGTCATTAAAACTAAAATACTTATATATGCTTAACTCCTTATAACATTTCTGCTAAGGCCATAAAATTTCTTTCCATCATTTTTCTATCATTCATTAATTTTACAATATTACTATTTATAAACTTTAAATTATCTAATCTTCTTCCACCATCTCCTCTCCCTGGTTTCGGATTCTGCCAGTCCTTTCCGTCAATTCCATATAGTCCATCAACCTGGAGAGCTTATGTCCGAGGCTCTTAACTCTTTTCCAGGTCCCTTCTGCGGGTCTTTTTCATATTCTTTAATGCCAAAGAGCAGATCTCGGGAAGACTCCAACCTAACAATGCTTTTATTCCTTCCAGGCAGGTCAGCCAAATTTCCATAGTTGAAGCTGAGGTCTATAAGATGTTTCATGACATGTTTCAAAATTCCTCCGGATCCAAAGGCCCCCAGAACTCCAATCTCCTCCAGACCCAAGTCCATGTCCCAAAAGTCAATTGATCTCTGCATAGAGGGATCCTTCCAACTTTCCTTCTTCCGTTCAGGCCGGGATCCAATCCTCAAAATCTGGCTTTTTCTGGATTCAATCATAGAAGGCCTCAATTTGTAATCCTCAATTTGCTTCTGTAAGACTGAGGATCCCGCTTGTATTACTTTAGACTCAACGACCACCGCTTTCTCTTTCTCCTCCACAATTTGTCCTTCCAAAGTAGATTCTTGTACCAAGTCCTGAATTATTTCTGTGTTGGTGCTCACTTTTTGACTCCAATTAGTCACTTTTTGATCCAAATTGTCAATTTTAAAAGACATGTCATCTGTCTTCTTATGAAGCTGTTCCAGCGAGTAGCTTATCTTGCATAATACCATCACAATGGCTTCTCCTGTCAACATTTTGAGTGGTCCAAGGTCAATCTCTAGTTCTCATGATTACTTATCTGCAGCTGGTAATTCCCCAGTTGCACTCCTGTGACAGTTTCAAAAACTCCCTCTAGAGGGAAACAGTCTCCACTTATATCAATCCTTTCAGACACAATTCAAGCCATGAAAATAGTTTCAGTTTCCAATTACTTTTCCTCCTTTTTAAGCGCAGGAGGGAACAATGGAAACAGTATCTTTTTCTTATTTAACTAGCTGTCAAAAATGTTTTGTTCACAGTCAATGAACTCTCCCAAAACTTCACTCTTTCTGGCAGCCCTTACCAGGTTTGGGGCAGTGGTAATTTGGTTTTTCACTCTCTCCTGCAGGCTCACTAAGTCCAAAATCTCCCCCCTCTTCTCCTGCTTCCAAGGGGGGCTCTGTAGCTTTAACCGATGAAAATTTAATCCCTTGCCAAAAGCTTTCAAAGACTTTAGCTTATAACGTCTTTGCTTCAATCTATTTACAAAAAGGGGAAGGCGGACTTCCTGTTTAAGACCTTCCCCGTTTCGGTGCCAAATTAAGGTATTTAAAGATCCAATTTTCCGTTCTACTCACGGGTAGTTGTTTAAAATCCGATTGTCCACAGAAAAAAGTCAGCGCTCTCCGGCAACAGCAATGCGGCTTCCCTCTGTGAAAGAAGCAGTCAGTTCGAAGCACCACGCCGCTCACCCCACGTTGCTCCGGATCCCCGAAACCAGGTTTCCCCGTGAGTAGGGGAGGCGCAAAAGGTGCCAGCCGAATCCCAGGTTCACAAGCTTCTCCTGCTTGTGATTTCAATGGGTCCCCGCCTTCGCCGTGGCGGCCAGACCCTGCTTTTCACGGAGCAAGTTCCTCCCGATCGGAGGAGCTCCGCCATTGTCGGAGGCGCCAACCCGGAAGCCCGGGAAGCAAGTTTTCATCTCCATCACAACTTTGCTGCTGCATTGCTGATCATGCTTGTGTTTCTAGAGATATTCAATTTAAATGTCAAAAAGCATTTCCAAACATTTGCATGGACGGATAGAACGGTTTTAATGTATGTTTATTATTATTCACTGCTGGGAAGCAGTTCTTAAGCTGTGCAAAACAAACAAACCACAGTAATTTAAACGCAGCCCCTCCAACCTGCAAAGGGCACACACACACCCTCTGCAAAGGGGTGTCCCGTAAGGTAAAATTTCTGCAAAAAAAGAATTATCAGTGAGGCCAGCTTCATGCACACAAGGGAGAGACCGGACCACAGCAAGAACCAGTTCAGGAGGTGCCCAAAGCTGAGAGTGAAAATCTGCTCCAGTTATGGAGCAAGGAAGGCTCTGCATGTACAGTAAAAATAAAAAGGACTGTGGTTGGATGAGAGATGGTTGGGGAAAAGATGGAACAACCTAGATGACACTCCTTCCAATATAATGTGTCACAATGGAAAGCTCTTGCAGACTGTTTCGACTCTGTCCTGGGACTCAGCTATACAGCTGCAAATAAAATGTTTAAAGTGTGTTGTAATGTGCATTATGGGACCTGGGTGGCGCTGTGGGTTAAACCACAGAGCCTGGGACTTGCCGATCAGAAGGTTGGCAGTTCGAATCCCCGCAACAGGGTGAGCTCCCGTTGCTTGGTCCCTGCTCTTGCCCACCTATCTGTTCGAAAGCACATCAAAGTGCAAGTAGATAAATAGGTACCGCTCCGGTGGGAAGGGAAACGGCGTTTCCGTGCGCTGCTCTGGTTTGCCAGAAGCGGCTTAGTCATGCTGGCCACATGACCCGGAAGCTGTACGCCGGCTCACTCGGCCAATAAAGCGAGATGAGCGCCGCAACCCCGGAGTCAGCCACGACTGGACCTAATGGTCAGGGGCCCCTTTACCTTTTTAATGTGCATTATACAAATGTGACACTAGATGGCGATGGTGAGCTATGGCAGATTCAATATATTTTTCAAAACGTTTTTTTAAAAAAGCATTTTCACGGCATTTTTTATATGACTCTATTCCACCCTGTAATGCGTTACTGAATAAAGTCTGGCTAACCAGGAATCTCGACTGAGCCTCTGCCCTTGAACCCCCAAAGGGAATTTCCTTTTCCCTTGCACAGAACAGGACAGCTCTCCTCTAGAGCTGAGCAAAAGTGAACCCCCAACATCCCCCAGCCTATTTGTAGGAGGCACAATTGGAATGGGAAGCTGGAGGTTTACTAAGCTTGGGGCTGAGGTAAGACTTTCCTAGTTTACAGGCTTAGCCACTGCTTTCTTGGGATATGCTACTTACATCAAAGTTTCCAACTGAAGAGTTGATCAAGGAGAGATTGTCAATCCTGAAAAGAAACAATAAAACAGGAGATTTTTTTTAAAAAAACACACACAAAAAAAACACGTGTTTTGGCCAAAAGTTTCTCTTTGCTAAGGAACGGCTCTGTTGCATCTGAGCAACAACCTGAAATGTTGTATTTAAACCAACTAGTCCAAATCTACAATTCTATGATGATATTCCAGTTAGGATATTGATGTTCCATTCCACCTTAAAACAGATGTGTGGATTGTTGTATGTCACATGTCTGTTTACTCTCTAGCACAGCTTGCTGGGAACTTCTGTCTTGTGCATAGCTTTTGCTTATGCCCTTTTGCTTGGACATGAAGGGGAGCAGACATGTTTTCCCTTTTGTCCTGATGCTGAATCAAATGCCTGTAAATACGCTTTGCACAGCCTCTCTCTGCCCTTCTGTTGCAAAGAGTTATTTTCTCTGCTGGCTTGCATGGTCAACCTCTGAAGGTTTCTGAGGCTCAACTCGCAGTTTACTTGCTGATCCAAGGACCCGAGATCGCCCGGCTGCCGGCCGGTGGGCTTGAGCCAGCTGGGGGCCTGTCAATTGCCCCCGTTCCCTTGGACGCATCCCCAAAATTCCTTCTGGCTGCAGAGGGAGCTGGCCTCCAGTGAGAGGCTCCTGCTGGAGTCAGAGTGGATTTCTGCCCCCCCAAGTCCCATTCCCCTTCTAGCCTTTGGAGCAGTGGTTCCCAATTAGGGGTCCGCAGGGGGGTCTGCGGCCCCATCCCTTGCCTCCCCCCAACTATTCCCCCCCCCCCAGTTTGGCATGGTAATATCACAAATTGTATGGTCTGTTTTAGTGCTGTGCGGTTTTTCAATATATTGGCCAAAATCACTTTTGAAATCACATAACGCAATACAGTCATACCTCGTGTTGCGTTTGCTTCAGGTTGAGTGTTTTCAGTTTGCGTCCCGCAGAGACCCTGAAGTACCGGAATGGGTTACTTCCGGGTTTCGCAGCTCGTGCATGCGCTCAAAATGATGTCACGCACATGCGCAGAAGTGGTGAATCGCGACCCGCGCATGCGCAGACGTGCAGACGCGGGTTGCGTTCTGCTCCTGTTGTGAACGGGGCTCCGGAACGGAACCCGTTCGCAACCAGAGGTACCACTGTAACGCTTTTGACCCGGCAATACGCAGCAATATATCGCTCTTTGCGTGAGGGAGAGCAGGGCGGCTGATTTCAAGGCACCCCCAATATTGCACGGTAATGCGACTGATCTGAGCTTCCTTCCCCAGCGCAGGCTCTTTTTATGTTCCTGTGTTGCAAAATAAATGGGGGGGGGGGGTGTTCTTTACCCTTCAAGGTGAAGAGTGAGTCTCAGGCTCCCTCCGGCCACAGAAACAGCACCAAGCGAAGTCACCGTCTGTGATTGAAAAGAAGATTGCTGTTAACTTGAAATGCTGCTGCATTCTGAAATGAACCTTGGGGAAAAGGGGAATTCCTGGGATGGTTTGCTTCGGGGCTTCATGGGAGCATCTCTGTGGCCTCTGGGAGAAACAGGATGCTGAGCTACACAGTCCCTTTGGTCTGATCCAGGTGGGCTTTTTGCAAAGCCACTTCCGCCCTATGGAGGAGGTGGGGTTGCAGGCGTTTCCCCCCGCCTTCCCCTATTATGTTTTTACTGTGATTTTATTGGTGTTAGCTGCCCTGAGCCCGGCAGGCCCATATATTATTATTATTATTATTATTATTATTATTATTATTATTATATTTTGGTGTCCCAGCTACTTACAGCACGGACAGTGAAGAGATGCCGGCCGCTGTACACCTTGACGTCGATATTCTGCTTCACCTCGATCCTTCCTACGGTCATGGCGAGGACAGGAGCCCCGTAGGAGACTTGCAAGGCTCGTATTGCGCCCTGCAAGGATCCAAGACATGAAGAGGAGACCCCTGAGCACAATCAGGCTTCAAAGAGACTCTCACTTAGCACTTCGCTCCATAAATATTATGACTATGCATCAAGCCCTGCAGAGTATTTGATTGATTGATTGATTGATTGATTTCATAACATTTTTATACCACTTGGTTGCAAAGAATATCCTCAAAGCAGCTTGCAGAAAACAACAAAGCAGTAAAAGGACCTGTGAAATGATTAAAAGCAGCTATTTATAACATGCAAATAATAATTAAGATTGCAAATAATTAAGATGCAAATAAACTACATACAGATGAAAATCCTTGCCGCTTTCCATCTGGATAGGCATTGCAAAAAAACCCCCCACCTGATTGGTGTCAATAGGCGGGGAGTTCCAAAGGTCCTGCCACAGTAGAAGTAATAATATGCATATACATGCATACATACATCATTTATTGGCAGAGGGAGGCTAGAAATGATGGATCTTAAAAAATACTGACCTTAAAACCAGACAGAGCTGCCATCTGTCGACTGAATGCAGTAATCTTTGAAGAAACGGAAAGAAGAAGAAAGAGTTTATATTCTCGGTTTTTCTCCTTCAAAGCTAAGATTAACCCAGACGAGGGAACTCGTTTTTATTTTGGGGGATGGGACGAATATTTTAAGATAACACATAACAAAAATTTATGTGGCACCCATAATAGGGCCTATTCTCCCCGGATTGAAGTGATCAGATGGGAGCATATGGGGCAAAGCGATCTTGTAGGTAAACTGGTCCCAAGTTGTTGTAAGGGCTCTATACGTATCACCTTGAACTTGGCCCCATAGCAATAGTTTTAATGTATGTTATATATTTATTGTTGTAAGTCCCTTTGGGTTGCATTGACAAAAACAAGGGCGACTAATAAGCTAAATTTGTAGTTTGAAGGCATTCTCTCTTAAAACACACAATTTTCAGCATGTATAGGCTTGAGATAAGTGGGAGCTGCATCCTGGGGCTTCATCCATGCTTCCATTTCCCCCACTGCTTTCCCCTGGGAAAACCTAATTTTTAGCGCTGAATTGGAGCAAACATCAATTAGGTTTTCTCCAGATTGTCGTTTGCTCCAATTTAGTGCTAAAGTTTGGGTTGTTAGGGGGAAAGAAGTGGGGGAAAGCAAAACCACTCGGATCCATGCCTGGAAAGCTGCTCAGACTTGCGCTTCCTCGCCATGGGACAAGCAGAAGTAGGTGAGTCACACCTTTGTCTGGGAAATACTGATCAATTTCGACTTGCCATGCGACACACAAAGATTGGATTACGTTGAGATTCAGTAGTGAATTTGGCAAAGTTGCACCCAAATCTCTGCCTTGAAAGGGCTTAAGCTTCGAGGTGTCTTCAAGCTATCCATCAACACCTGTTTCCCAATACAGTTGTATCTTGGATTCCGAACGCCCTGAAACTCAGACGTTTTGGCAAACCTGGAAGTGATTGTTCTGGTTTGCGAATGCTCTTTTGGAACCCAAACGACTGACGGGGCTTCCATGGCTTCTGATCGGCTGCAGGGGCTTCCTGCAGCCAATCAGAAGCCGCGATTTGGTTTTCAAACTTTTTTTTCTTAATATTTTATTTTTTACCAACCACCAAAACACAAATAGTGTCAGGCGGCTGATACATTGGGTATACATATTCAATAATATACATATTTAATAATATACATATTCGATAATATTCAATAATAAAATATTCAAATCAACCATATGTACACTTCTATATATCATAACACTTCTCCCTCCACAAGGTTTATTGAACTTTTAACATTTTAATTGCCCCAAATTGTTCAAACCTACCCAAATAATTCAATATCTTCTCAAACCAACCCTTCTCTTTCTCACTGACCTTAAACCCTTTCATTCTATGTTTCTTCATAGTTAGGTATTCTAAAATTATAATATTATTCAGTTTTTTCCTCCATTGGTTCACCCCTAGCTATTCTGCATATTACATAACTCTTCAGTTATGTACTGAGTTGAATAGGATCCAAAATGCAGCAGTCTGATTGGTCCTGGAACAATACGGTCCAGAATGCAGCAGTCTGATTGGTCCACAGGAACCTCCCAATCCAGCTCCAGGTGGAAGTGAATCCGCAACCTGATTGGCCTACAGGTTAATCCTGGAATTAGCCAATCATGTGGGGCCCATTGTGTAAATAATGTATATAAAGCAGACATTCTGGGGGAACTTCCATTCCTCCTCACCACTATGACCTGAATAAAGAGCATGAAATCCACTCTTGACTCCGAGTATATTTCACAATTGCTTGCTATAACCTGTGTGGCTGAAAAACCCAAGCAAACATTTTGGAAGTCGAACGGACTTCCGGAACGGATTCCATTGACTTCCAAGGTACGACTGCAATGCATTTAAAATGTTGAAATGCTAAAATGAACTCATACCTCCTGTGGACTGTGGATGTTTATAGCCCTTGGAGTCAAGAAAGCTCTGAGCATCGCGCTCAGCAGGTGGTCGCTGAGGAGCATGTTCATGGGAGCGTCGCCAAGGGGCGCATGGGGAAGGGGGGCGGTGCCAGAGGGGACGATGTAGTTCTGCCCTCCAGGCAGGCGGACGGTGCCCTAGAAAGGAAAGACAAGACAGAAGAGCAAACAGGATCTATCTGAGCCCAGTCCAAGCGGGCCTAACCCCGACACATGAATTGCAAGTTCATTCTCCAAATTTGGGCATTCTATACATGGTTATAAACTGCCAGGAGGTGTAGAGGGGACCCCAACTTTTGCAGCAATGCAAGCTTTCCAGGAATGTTTCTGAATAGCATTCAGAAGGTAAGGGAGAGTGTTACTCTTACGCACAGATCCTGCTTGCGGTTTTCCTTTTGAGGCATCCGGTTGGCCCCTGTGAGAACAGGATCCTGGGCTAGATGGGCCCCCATTGGCCTGATCCAGCAACCAGCCCTTCTTAGGTTCTTAGTGCAACAGCCAGACTCTCCCCACTTGTGATTCCCACAATGGGCATTGAGAGGCACACTGTCTCCAACAGAGAAGTCAGGGCAGAGAGGTTTATTTTATGCATTCATTTCATTAAAAAATTACGCACTGTTTGACTGCGGAAAAAGTAAAACAATAAGAAAACGAACAATGATAATTTAAGGTTTTTGGAAAGTTAAAACAACAGTAGACTTAAGTTTCCTTTCTGGGCAGGCTTGTCTAAACAAGAATGTTTTTAGGTAAAGGTAAAGGGACCCCTGACCATTAGGTCCAGTCGTGGCCGACTCTGGGGTTGCGGTGCTCATCTCGCTTTACTGGCCGAGGGAGCAGGCGTACAGCTTCCGGGTCATGTGGCCAGCATGACTAAGCCGCTTCTGGCAAACCAGAGCAGTGCACGGAAACGCCATTTACCTTCCCGCTGGAGTGGTACCTATTTATCTACTTGCACTTTGACGTGCTTTCGAACTGCCAGCTGGGCAGGAGCAGGGACCAAGCAACAGGAGCTCAGCCCGTTGCGGGGATTCGAACCACTGACCTTCTGATCAGCAAGCCCTAGGCTCTGTGGTTTAACCCACAGCGCCACCCGCGTCCCCAAGAATGCTTTTAGCAGGCACCCAAAAATGTACAGTGAAAGTGCCTGTCTGGCATCAATAGGAAGGGAGTTCCAAAGTGTAGGTGCGGCTACGCTGAAAGATTGAGTTCTTACCCACGTGGAAAGGGTCTTACACAGCACCTCTAACAGCGCCAGTTATGCCAATCAAAGTGGTTGAGTGACAGCTACAACTAGTTAGATTGAGGCCAGCATAACCCACATCCTCTGTTGAACATGGGCCAAGGAGATCAGGGCTCAAATCCCCACAGGGCATTACATTTTTTTATGATTCAAAAGATATAGATTAACAAAGCAACATGGAGGAAAAAGCAAAGGTCCCAGGGGGAGAACTGCATTGAGGGCCACCTCCTGGACCCCTCCTGGCGAGACGCTCCTGGCCTCCCCGCCCCCCGGCAGTAACCAGCCCTGATTTACTTCATAGCCAATTTGCATGACTCCGTTGCGGAGAGAGGTGGATGAGGGTCGCAGCTGGATCATGTCTCCGTGCACATAGGAGGACGAGGAGCCTGGGGGAGAAGGGCAGAGGGAGAAATCGTCAACACAGGGGAGGGCTGCGGGGGGGGGGAATGCAATGCAGGCAAGGCTGGTGGAAGCGAACCAATTTCGCAGTGTGTGGATGGAGTCCAGAGTTTCTTGTTGCTGCCTGCTCTGTTGTTCAACAACAACAACAACAACAATTTATTATTTATACCCCGCCCATCTGGCTGAGTTTCCCCAGCCACTCTGGGTGACTCCCAATCAAGTGTAAAACACAATACAGCATTAAATACAGTGGTACCTCAGGTTACAGATGCTTCAGGTTACAGACTCTGTTAACCCAGAAATATTACCTCGGGTTAAGAACTTTGCTTCAGGATGAGAACAGAAATCGCGCGGCGGCAGCAGGAGGCCCCATTAGCTAAAGTGGTGCTTCAGGTTAAGAACAGTTTCAGGTTAAGAACAGACCTCCAGAACGAATTAAGTACTTAATCCGAGGTACCACTGTATTAAAAACTTCCCTAAACAGAGCTACTGCTACAGAGCTTCCCTAAACAGTGCCACTACCAAGAAGGCCCTCTGCCTGGTTCCCCGTAGCTTTGCTTCTCGCAGCGAGAGAACCACCAGAAGGCCCTCAGCGCTGGACCTCAGTGTCCAGGCAGAACGATGGAGGTGGAGACACTCCTTCAGGGATACTGGACCGAAGCCAAGTTACAGGGAACCAGGCAGAGGGCCTTCTTGGCAGTGGCCCCAGCCCTGTGGAACGCCCTCCCACTCGATGTCAAAGAGAAGAACAAGTACCAGACTTTTAGAAGGCATCTGTAGGCAGTCCTGTTTAGGGAAGCTTTTAATGTTTAATAGGTTTTGCATTTTAATATTTTATTGGAAGCCGCCCAGAGTGGCAGGGGGGGCCCAGCCAGATGGGCAGGGTATAAATAAATTATTATTATTATTATTATTATTATTATTATTATTATTATGTGACTGTGGCCTCTGTCTTCCACAACACTTTCGGGCAGAAGTGCTTGGGGATAAGGAAAGACAGAAAGGGAGACAGAGGAGACAAATGCAGAGGAACCCTGGGGAAGATTCTCACCTTGGAGCAAATTCAGCACATCTTCTAGCAGCATGTTGACAAGTGGGCAGAGCTGCCAAAAAAACAAAGCAGGGGAAAAAGAAAACCACTCAGGTGATTGACAAGGGAGAGGAGTCATTCTCAGGGGCTCACAATGGAGTGTGTCTGCATGTGTGTTGCTCTCATGCGCAGTTCAGGAGCATCTCAGCAAGCCAGACCCCAGGAGGACCACTGGCCTTTGTGCCCCGCAAGCGGACCAGAAGGAAGCAGCACACGACTCACCTCTTTCTGCAGCAGATGGGGAACCGTCTTTTCCAGAATGTCGGTCACTGCTCGCAGGAGGTTATTGACGGTCTGGAGAAGAGGTCCTTTGCTGGAACAAAGGGAGAACGTGTCAGGGCAGGGACATGTGCGCTGCTCTCACCCCTCTGTCACACCAGGGGGGTCAGTCCCCACAGCCCTCTGCAAACATCTGCAGCAGGGAGTCTGTGTGGTCGGGATTCTGCACTGCCCAAGGAGCCTCTGTGTGAGTTCAGCAGGGACCCCCCCCCCATGGTCATATTTGCCCTGTGATAGGGGGCGGCGGCGGCGGGGACAGAACAGCCCCGGCTCTATTGTTAGGCAGAGAGGAGTGGCTATCTAAGGCAGGGGTCAGCAAACTTTTTCAGCAGGGGGCCAGTCCACTGTCCCGCAGAACTTGTGGGGGGCCAGACTATATTTTGGAAAAAAGAAGAACGATTCCTATGCCCCACAAATAACCCAGAGATGCATTTTAAATAAAAGGACACATTCTACTCATGTAAAAACACGCTGATTCCTGGACCGTATGCGGGCCGGATTTAGAAGGCGACTGGGCCAGATCCGGTCACCGGGCCTTAGTTTGCCTACCCATGATCTAAGGCAACTGATGCAGAAAGGAACAGAGGAGTCCTTGATTCCTGCATTGCAGGGGGCCGAACGAGAGAGCCCTTCCAGCTCAACATTTCTGTGATCTTGAAGGCCACAGCCTTTCCTCCCAGTCTCCTTCTTGATCCAAAAGGATTGGCATCTATCCAGTTCTATGACTCCATACTCACTTGTTGAGGAGGGTGATTCTAAGGTGGCCAGGGTTATTGTGGCAATTCCCAACAACCAGTTTCACATGGCCGCTCACTGGGTCTGTCAGGATTCGAACAGCAACCTGGATGTCCAGGTACAGCTTGACGTGAAGGAGCCTGCCTAAACTGAGTGGCCTAAAAACGGGGAAGGAAATGGGCGTTAATACATACTTTAGGTAAGACACCACCTCCGATGGCCATCTGTCAGGAATGCACTTGTTGCAATTCCTGCTTTGTGGGGGTTGGTCTAGATGACCCTTGGGTACCTTCCAACTCTGCTAAGATTCTCTAAAATCTAGACATTTGACAAAGCACACCGTTTCCCTTGCAGCACAACTGGGAGACCTTCTCCTGGTACAGCTGTGTCCTCCAGAGCAAACTTGGCTTGCTTCTTTTGGCTTGTGACCCAAAGGGTAGCTCAGTGGGGGGATACCTGCTCCGCATGCAGAAGGCTCAATCCAGGCAGGCCTGGGAGGCAGCCGCTGTCTGCAACCTGGAGAGCCATTGCTGCTGCCAGCCAGTGTAGACTGGTGGGTCAATGGTACACGACAGCTCCTTAGGTTCCTCTTCATCCTTGGTGATGGGCGCTTTGCAAGGTCTTAGGGACGGAAATAGTGACATATGGAAGTGAGGAGTGAGAGCTGGACTATAAAGAAGGCTGATGGCCGAAGAATGGATGCTTTTGAATTCTGGTGCTGGAGGAGACTCTTGAGAGTCTCATGGACTGCAAGAAGATCAAACCTCTCCATTCTGCTGGAAATCAGCCCTGAGTGCTCACTGGAAGGACAGATCGTGAAGCTGAGGCTCCAAGACTTTGGCCACCTCATGAGAAGAGAAGACTCCCTAGAAAAGACCCTGATGTTGGGAAAGATGGAGGGCACAAGGAGAAGGGGACGACAGAGGACGAGATGGTGGGACAGTGTTACAGAAGCGACCAACATGAGTTTGACCAAACTGTGGGAGGCAGTGGAAGACAGGAGTGCCTGGCATGCTCTGGTCCAGGGGGTCATGAAGAGGCGGACGTGACTAAAGGACTAAACAACAACAACATCCCAGACTCCTTCGCTCTGCCTCTACTGTTTTTCACTTGTGGTGGGGAAAACATTGGATGGGGGGCATACTGTCCCTCTTATCTTTCCACATAGGGGGGTGAGAGAGACAGCGGAAGACAGTGGAAGACAGGAGTGCCTGGCGTGCTGTGGTCCAGGGGGTCACGAAGAGTCGGACACTACTAAACAACAACAACAAGGGACGGAATCCACAAACCTTTCTGTGTTGGAATGCACTGATCTTACAGCGTTTTTTGAAATCCAGGCTCCCCTATCAGCCCACCTGTGTCCTGTTCCACCCAGCCACCCTTTAAGAACCGCGGGGAAGCACTCACAGATTTATTTCAATCTCCACATCTGCTGGGACGGTCACAATAATGTGCTTTGCTACCTCATCCAAACGGATGTCGAGTCGGAGAAGCTCTATGTTTCTGATCTTCACCCTGTTCAGAATGGCAAGGGCACAACATTTAGAACGTATTTTACGGAGCACAGAAATAAAGCATAATAAACAGCGTAATAACAGACGGCATAATAATAAAATCATAACACCGGTCCCCCGTGTCCCCAGCTTTAACAGAGCATAGATTACCATATTTTTCGCTCTATAAGACACACCAGACCACAAGACACACCTAGTTTTTGGAGGAGGAAAACAAGAAAAAAAATATTCTGAATCTCAGAAGCCAGAACAGCAAGAGGGATCGCTGCGCAGTGAAAGCAGCAATCCCTCTTGCTGTTTTGGCTTCTGTAATAGTTGCGCAGCCTGCACTCGCTCCATAAGAGGCACACACATTTCACCTTACTTTTTAGGAGGGAAAAAATGAGTCTTATAGAGCAAAAAATACGGTATTTAAGGGTTGAAGTCCTGGGTAAAGAATTATGCTTTTGCCTGGTGCCTCAAGGACATCCCACACATGGGGAGCCACCACAGAAAAGGCCTGTTCTCCTGTTGCCCAACTCTGGACCTTGCAGAGAAGGTGCAACCTTTTAAGCTGTCTTTTTTCAGTAGCGCACTCCAGATTCCGGCTGTCACATCCCACAGCTCACCCCAAGATGTTGCCCAGAAGCCCATCCACCAAGCCTCCGAGGACGGGGAGGTTTCCCAGGCCCAGCAATCCGCCGGAACCACCTTGCAAGATGCTCTGGAGGGGCAAATTCTGGAGACGGCCGACCAGAGCCTGGCTGTCCAACCGATGGGAAATCACTGAAAGCCAATGTGAAAAGGGCAGGTTAGAGATTGATGGGGTCAGAGGGACTATTCTGCTTATGGGCTTGAGAATCTAGAGCGGCGCTTGCCAAACTTTTTAGAGAGGGGAACGCCACCCTCTTGTGTAGACCAAGCAGTTTAAAAAGGAGAGGAAAGGGACAATTTAACCATCGTTGCTCAAATGAAAATTACCTATGTCTACAGCCAACAGTCAGGTATACAACGCAAAAGAAGGAAGTTCTTTTCCTAATAAAAGTAAAAAGGTAAAGGGACCCCTGACCATTAGGTCCAGTCGTGGCCGACTCTGGGGTTGCGGCGCTCATCTCACTTTATTGGCCGAGGGAGCCGGCGTACAGCTTCCGGGTCATGTGGTCAGCAGGACTAAGCCGCTTCTGGTGAATGAGAGCAGCGCATGGAAACGCCGTTTACCTTCCCACCGGAGTGGTACCTATTTATCTACTTGCACTTCGTGCTTTCGAACTGCTAGGTTAGCAGGAGCAGGAACCGAGCAATGAGAGCTCACCCCGTCACGGGGATTCGAACCGCCGACCTTCTGATTAGCAAGTCCTAGGCTCTGTGGTTTAACCCACAGTGCCACCTGCGTCCCTCCTTTTCCTAATAAATGCAGCCAATTCCTGAATATGAATGGAGCCAGTGGCTCAGGCACTTCTTAGTTCCTGCTTGGAAGCTGAGGGTTAAGGGGCACAGACTTGTATCGGCTGAGGCTTGTACATGAGGAGAGAAAACGGGCTTTGGATTGCAATGTTCAGAGCATCCACGTGCCGTCTGGCTCAATGAAGCAAAGGGAAGCAGCGCCAGGCAGGGTCAGGGAAGAGCCCCCTAGAGCCCCTTGTGCAAACCCTTGACTTACGGCGCTGAAGCATTTCTGGTCCAAGATTGACAATGGCCTGAGGGCTGGCATATCCTTGGGTGTTCTGGGCCAGGAGGCCGCAGAAGATGGCGAGGGCCAAAACCGGAAACATCTTCTGTCCTTGGACCTGTTGAGAAGGATGGCGTCGGTGTGATAAGAAACAGGAGAGAGAGGAAGGAGGAAGGTGAGAGGCAGGCTTGCTTTCTGCTGTTCAAGAGCGGGTCAGACTAGATGACCCCCTGGGGTCCCGTATCTTTGTATTATGCAAATCTGGAATGTTCCCCCCCCCATGCCATACCAAAGTAACACAATTAAGCAAGTGGAATTCTTCCACTTAGCACGGCTGAGGAATATTTTTTCCAGCCCTGAGTGACAATCTGCCTCTCTTGTGGTGAGTGCACGCGGACCTTTCTTACCTAGATTGCGTAGAAAGTCTCGTCTCCGTCACCTTCTACTCCGTCTGTCTCACGAAAAGCGGGTGGCATTTATATACCCCACCAAGGAGGAAAAGCAAGGGCCCGTGGAATGGCTTCCGCTGTTACCAATCACCAAATATTTGTCTATAGGTTGAATCCTCCCAAATAAACAAATATTGATCATCCCGGCGAGCAGGTGTCAAGTTCAAAAGCAAGTCCCGAACCAGGACTGTGCTTGGGGATTTCTGGCAAGATGAAGCTTCTGGTTATGGCTTAGTTAAATTTCATAGAATCATAGATCGTAGAGTTGGAAAAGACCCTCCAGCCCCATTTGCTGCAATGGAGGAATCTCAGCTAAAGTATCCATAACAGATGGCCATCAAATCTCTGCTTAAAAGCATCATGAATAAGAAACTGGGTACCCACTGGCCCAAATTTGTGTACCTTTGGGAATTGGGAGTCCCAGCTGGCTTAGTTTGCCCAGAAGGGATCAAATGAGTTGTGCCTCCTTCGCTTTCTGGTACTCACAGGCTGTGTTGGGTCTGTCGATATTCTGCCAACGGTTTCCTAATGAAGAAAAGGGGTGTTGGGGTGTTAATATAAAGGTAAAGGGACCCCTGACCATTAGGTCCAGTCGTCACCGACTCTGGGGTTGCGGCGCTCATCTTGTTTCATTGGCCGAGGGAGCCGGCGTACAGCTTCCGGGTCATGTGGCCAGCATGACTAAGCCGCTTCTGGCGAACCAGAGCAGCACACGGAAACACCGTTTACCTTCCCGCCGGAGCGGTACCTATTGATCTACTTGCACTTTGACGTGCTTTCGGACTGCTAGGTTGGCAGGAGCAGGGACCGAGCAACGGGAGCTCACCCCGTCGCGGGGATTCGAACCGCCAGTCTTCTGATCGGCAAGTCCTAGGCTCTGTGGTTTAACCCACAGTGCCACCCACGTCCCTTTGGGTGTTAATATATCCTCAACATAAAATGGAACTGAATTCAACAAGCTGACCTCTGGGTCCATTATGCTTCATGCATTCACCCAGAGGTAAGCGGCCATTCAAATCTCTTTCTACATTTGCCAACGATGTATGTATTTGGAATTTTGAAAAATGTAGAATCATAGAATCATAGAATCATAGAGTTGGAAGAGACCACAAGGGCCATCGAGTCCAACCCCCTGCCAAGCAGGAAACACCATCAGAGCACTCCTGACATATGGTTGTCAAGCCTCTGCTTAAAGACCTCCAAAGAAGGAGACTCCACCACACTCCTTGGCAGCAAATTCCACCGTCGAACAGCTCTTACTGTCAGGAAGTTCTTCCTAATGTTGAGGTGGAATCTTCTTTCTTGTAGTTTGGATCCATTGCTCCGTGTCCGCTTCTCTGGAGCAGCAGAAAACAACCTTTCTCCCTCCTCTATGTGACATCCTTTTATATATTTGAACATGGCTATCAATGTGTCTGTTCATTACCTTATTCAAACACCCCTGGACGCTTAGGGAGAAGGGCCTGAGTTTTTTAAAATGTGGATGGACTTCCTTTTGTTTAGAGCAGTGGTACCCAAACTTTTTCTCTTGGACTTCCCTCCTGCCCTTTGTGGGTCCTATTGTTAATCATTTCCTTCTGCATCTTTTATGACAACACAAATCTTTTATCTCTCCAGTGTGTAAAATTCACCATTAAACTACAAGTGATATTCCAATCCTACTAATGATTTTAACTGTTTACAATAGTATTGAAGATAAGTTATAAATTTTACCCATTCCTTATTAATTTTTGGTCTTCCTGATTCCTGGTCTCACAATTTCATTGTACACAGGTTGTACATTGACAATAAAGGTATTATTATTATTATTATTTCTGATTCTTCCAGTCATTTTATAGATATTTCGGCATAATCCATCAACTTGATCTGCCATTCTTCTTCGGTAGGGACTTTATCTTATTTCTATCTGTGGGCCAACAAATTTAGGGGACGATCTCCTAAAAAGAAAGCTCAATGACTTTGGTTTGTTTGCTACTCAGTGGTCCTGCCTCCATCATATGGTCTTCTCCGCCGAAGGGAGAGCCCACCATTTACAGTGGACCATTCAAGTCTGCCATGTTATTTGGCTATGATGCAGTGACCTGCCTACCAGATTTGAACTACATGGTCAAAGAAACTGCCAGGAGCAGCCTGTTAGGTACGTTACTTAAGTATGTTTCTGAGCACAATTCAAAGTGTTGGTGCTGACCTTTAAAGCCCTAAATGGCCTCGGTCCAGTATACCTGAAGGAGTGTCTCCACCTCCATCGTTCTGCCCGGACACTGAGGTCTAGCTCCGAGGGCCTTCTGGCAGTTCCCTCGCTGTGAGAAGCCAAGTTACAGGGAAACAGGCAGAGGGCCTTCTCAGTGGTGGCACCCGCCCTGTGGAACACCCTCCCACCAGATGTCAAAGAGAAAAACAACTACCAGACTTTTAGAAGACATCTGAAGGCAGCCCTGTTTAGGGAAGTTTTTAATGTTTAACAGACCACTGTATTTTAATACTTCGTTGGAAGCCGCCCAGGGGGGCTGGAGAGACCCAGCCACATGGGCGGGGTATAAATAATAAATTATTATTATTATTATTATTATTATTATTACCACAAGGTCCTTCCATGGCCAGAAGCTTAGAAGTTTAGATGGTTGATGTGGTGGTGAACAATGAATGGGACTGTTATGTATTCATTGGTCTGTGTTTGTCTGAGCTTGAGTCTGGACTAAGGATTCTGGGCTCCTGTGTTCTGATTTGAGACATGATGTGCAGTCACAGAACATTTCAGGATTTGGGCCCCTGCCATTGGCCCTTAAACCTTGAGTCATGATTCGCAGCTTGGAACTTTAGACAGCCAATCACGTTGGCAGTGAGAGTGGCCCAGACTTTCAGGAAGGTATATAAGCAGTTGCTTTGCCCCTGTTTCCCAGTTATGTAGTTCAGTAAAGGTTCTTGCTGTGATCGCTGTGTCTTGCCTCGTGGGAAGCCACCTACGCTTCAGGGACCTCCATGTTCAGGGGCAGAAAATCTGTGAATTTACCCCCTGCAGACCTGGGAACTGTTTGAAGCCTTCCTAGAGGCATCTGGGGTGAGAGTGTTGGCCTAGACTAAGCTTGATGTGTGGTCCAGTAGAACTTGTATTAACCAAGGAGCCCTTATTTCCGCAATGGACTGTTCCATTAACTGATCCTGATATAAATGTTAGCGTTAAAAAGACCTTTTTGGCACCCCAGCAGAAATTATCTCCTGCTGTCAGACACATCACTGACACTTCCTCCGAGGACGCAATTAGCTCAGTATCTCTCGGTTCATCAAATAAACTTCTTTGGTTTGTGGTTTTCTTTTCCCCTTTCCCCTCTTTTGTTAATATCTGGCAAGCAGAAGAACATTTTTAAAGTGGCGTGATGGTTGCGCACACTGGCTGTGACCTCCCTTGAACGCTCTTCCCATTGTATAGCCTTTTGTCCTCAATCGTTGACTGAAACTAATCGCAGAGACCAGGAAGAATCTGATATGCCAGCAGGGCAAAGGCTGCCCAGGGTGGTTTGCTAAACCTATGCTGATGCAAACTCTTGGCATGTGCCCCAAAAGGACCCCTGAGCTGTCAGAGAGAGTTGTGGGGCATGATCTTGGATCATGTGTCCAAAACGTGATGATGATGATGATGATGATGATAATTTATTTATAACCCGCCCATCTGGCTGAGTTTCCCCAGCCACTCTGGGCGGCTCCCAATCGAGTGTTAAAAACAATACAGCATTAAATATTAAAAACTTCCCTAAACAGGGCTGCCTTCAGGTGTCTTCTAAAAGTCTGGTAGTTGTTGTTCTCTTTGACATCTGGTGGGAGGGCGTTCCACAGGGCAGACACCACTACCGAGAAGGCCCTCTGCCTGGTTCCCTGTAACTTGGCTTCTCACAGGGAGGGAACTGCCAGAAGGACCTCAGAGCTGGACCTCAGTGTCCGGGCAGAACGATGGGGGTGGAGATGCTCCTTCATGCTTGGATCATGTTAAGAACATAAGAAGTACCTGCTGCATCAGGCCCACAGCCTACCCAAGGCCAGTATCCTCTTCCCCCAGTGGCCACCCAGATCCTCGTGGAAAACTCTCCTGCTAGCAGGACAGCACTCTCCAATCCCACAGTTTTCTGCAACGGTTCTTTAGAAGCACTGCTGCCTCTTACCCTGGAGACAGACAGGGGCAGTCTTTGGTCTTCCACATTTCAGCAGCATCATGTGAGAGGCCAAAATTTGATGCCCCTCGCCTTCCCTTCTGCTCAATTCACTATGTTGTCATTATGACGTCCTGTGGAGCCCCCCTAAAGCCCAGTGCTAACTTTACAATTCTGAGTTTCAACTGCAGAAGTTGGGGACTGATTGAACTTCCAGTGTTATGTACTGAGTTGAATAGGATCCAAAATGCAGCAGTCTGATTGGTCCTAGAACAATAGGATTCAGAATGCAGCAGTCTGATTGGTCTGCAGGAGCCACCCAATCCAGCTCCAGGTGGAAGTGGATCCGCAACCTGATTGGCCTACAGGAAAATCCCGGAATTAGCCAGTCATGTGGGGCCCATTGTGTAAATAATGTATATAAAGCAGACATTTTGGGGGAACTTCCATTCCTCCTCACTACTATGACCTGAATAAAGAGCATGAAATCCACACTAGACTCTGAGTATATTTCAATTCTGATGACCCTTTTCTGAATCTTTCCCATTTATTCGGTTTGCTAGTAGTTTTATCTGGCCCAGGGCAACCCAAAGCAACTTTGTGAGGTGAGGCGACCAGGAGTGTACGCAGGACTGCAAATATGGTTGCAGCATAGATTTGCAAAACGGCATTATGCTATTGGCAGTCTTCAATCTCTTTTCTCTGTCATGAAATCTGCCTTTTTCACAGCTGCTGCACACCTGGCAGAACCACCGAGAGGAATGACAAAGCAGGTGTGTGTCTGTGACACCTTTGGATGGGGGTGAAATTTGGGTCGGTTCACATTTTAGTGCAAACCTTATTCACCCCTCCTAAAATAATAGCATAGCTGTCAACGTTTCCCTTTTTAAAAGGGATATTTCCTTATTCTGAATAGGATTCTTCGCAAGAAAAGGGAAAAGTTGACAGCTATGACTTCCAGCCTCAAAAACACCACTCCATCATTGAGCCACAGCAGCCTCCCCACTAAATGTTTCCGTGTCCCTTCCGGCTCAACAATGTTATGATTCTATGTAGTGATATGTATCAGTGTCAAGAGCACTGGGGTCTCCATCATATACATCTGAAGCTGGCCTCTCTTCAACTCAGAACCTTTCTTCCTTTCTTCTCCTCTGAAATGAAATCTGTTTGCTTTTGGTTTTTCTTTATCCTGCGGCCGCCCTAGAGATACTCATCTTTCCCCATAATAGAAGGCTGCGGAGGGTTTTCTCAGAACAACAAATATTTAAAGGCACTAAACCATGACCTTGGCTTTTCTCCTTCAAGCTACGCAAACATAGCTGGCCCCAAAGACAAAACCGTCTCCTTCTGGGAGCGCCATTTCCCTGCGTTGCGGTCATTAGATAGTGGTCAGGCTCCCAAGACGGTAATGCTTTTGCCCTTTGGAGGTGCCAGGTCCTTCTCACGCCCTTTCCAGATTATCGCCAGCAGTTATTGTCTAGCCACAAAAACGGGTAACTCAATCGGCCCCTTGGCTCGCGTCTCGGTTTACACTGTGATGAGGATACAGTCGTGGCACATCAAGCTGCTGAGAGAGAAGACTCGCAAAGGACGCCTCTGGTGGGACACATGCAATTGCATAACTTCATTCAGATTGCAGAAGGAACAAGAAACTGCCTTCTTGAATTGGGAAGACAATTAAGAACATAGGAAACTGCTCATGCCAACTCAGGTCCAGATTATTTATTTATTATGTACATTTAAGACAGTATTTCCCACACTTCTTTGACGACTCTGACCCCTTTTTATCCCCTGTGCCCTCTACCCTACGAAAGGCATTATTCAGAACAGTGGTTTGCATGACCCACTAAGGGGGATAATCGCATGATGACATTCAAAACAGTAGGAATTAATTGTGCATTTATTCCAAATTCCATTTCAAACTATTTAATTAATGCAACAAAAATGATGGACTTGATCTAGTGAAAAAAAAATTTTTTTCACACATTCTTACTAACGAAGGAAATTAATAGCATAAAGTATTTATATGCAGCTCCTTACAAAACAAACCTACACCTGTTACAGTTGTACTGCAACTAATTTAAAGGAAAATCAAGACCTATTACGAATAATTGGCTCTCTTGTGACTCATGACAACACAGAATCGTAAGTAGAAACATGACCAAAGGAAATAGCTTTGAAAGCGATAAGAGCACTAAAACTTTAAACATGAAGTGAGGAAAGTGTTTTGCTCTAGATTCTAGCCTGATCAATCATATCCTCGAGGCAGTTCACGGAAGATGAAAATAATAAAGAATATAAGGACAAAATAAAACAGCAGAAGCAAAAAGCCACAAAATGACAAAAGGCAGCATAAAACAAGCAGCAAGATCCAATTGCAAATCGAAAAGCTTGGGAGCATAAAAAAACACACGCCTTAACTTGGCAAGAAAAGGATGATGAAGGCGTGTTCTCAGGGGTTGACGGGAGTTGTGATGCAAAACATCTGGAAGGAACCACCTTGGCAAAAGTAGGCAGTAGCTCTCCAGGGCACCAGAAAGGGGTCTTTCGTCTCCCTAACTAGTTATGCCAAACATCAGATCTGGGAAGTTCTTTGTCCAAAGCAAGTCTTCCGCTGCTCATTCCTTAATGTCGGTTAAGGCTGCAATCCTCTACACATTTCCCCGAGAGCAAGGGCTCTTCCAGATTCCTTTTGTGCCACACTTTCCAGACACAGGTCTATGCTTTCCAGGTCTGTAAGGTAAAGGGACCCCTGACCATTAGGTCCAGTCGCGGACGACTCTGGGGTTGCGGCGCTCATCTCGCTTTACGGGCCGAGGGAGCCGGCATACAGCTTCCGGGTCATGTGGCCAGCAGGACTAAGCCACTTCTGGCGAACCAGAGCAGCGCACGGAAACGCCGTTTACCTTCCCGCTGGAGCGGTACCTATTTATCTACTTGCACTTTGATGTGCTTTCGAACTGCTAGGTTGGCAGGAGCAGGGACCGAGCAACGGGAGCTCACCCCGTTGCAGGGATTTGAACCGCTGACCTTCCGATCGGCAAGTCCTAGGCTCTATGGTTTAACCCACAGCGCCACCCACATCCCTCAGTTCCAGGTCTTTATCCAAGCATTTTTTTTGTCCTCCAGCTTTCTTCCAGGAAAGCCTGCTGAATTAGAACAAACGGCAACCCACAGAAAACCTGATTGATGTTCGTTCTGTTTCAGCAATAAGCAGCCAATTTTCCTGGGAAAAGTGGTGGTGGAAGATACAGACCTGGAAAACACAGATCTGTGCCTGGGAAGTGTGGCACGAAAGGAAGTCCGGATCAGCCCCAAGTCTATTGAATATTTAAGTTGTTCAAACTTCCAAGTAGGCATGTATGTGGGTGTAAGCCACAGTCATGTAGGTCCATGGAAATCGATGGGTGCGACTGATTTCAGTGGTTCTACTCTGAGCATGCGGAACACTGAATAGCACCCATAGTCCAAAGGCACATGATGTGGTGACCACGTTGAAACTAAGCAGACCACTGTTTGGGCTCCTTGGAACCCCATGGACAGGGACTTGAGCCCCCAGAGAGAAAGAGAGATATGCAGGCAATGCAGAAGGGGGTATAAGCCTATAGGATTCTGCCTTCTTAGTATTCATCCCAAAAACCCAATATTCAGCTAACTGGAGGACTTCTTAAATTGGATTTTTAAAGTTAGATATGGATGAGTTCAGTGCTTTATATTTTACAAAATTAATAGATTTTTATGCACTGCTAAATTTTAACGATTGCACATTTTTAATTCTTAAATTAGAAAATGCCTGAATACTTGCATGATCAAACAGACAACTGAGCAAGCATTTCTACAGGTCTAGGTTTTTCTGTTCCTCATTCAGGCTACAAATTGATTACCTGTCAACCCTTCCAATCAATTAATTGCTCTGATTCCCTAAAGCAACAGTTTTCTCTCTCTCTAGGGAGTTCTGGTTTTCGTCTAGGTAGGAGATGTTGTCTCCTCACACCGGCAATTTTTATGTGAGTAACTTGTGTCCCTTGCAGAACTGAATTAATGTTATAATTGTAAGAAAAATTATTCACATCCTTGCTCTTATCTGATCTGTTTGTGCTGATCGACCTCAAGGAAATGAAAACAAGCCTATGTTTTTATATTGTAAGCTGCCTCATGATCCTCAGACAAAGGGCAGTATAGAAATTCTATTAATAACAATAATTAGCTGCAGTAGATATTCTTTAAAGTCTGTTTGCCCCCAGCAACTGAGACACCCACCTGATAAGTGGGGCAGAAGTAAAGCTTCCCTGGTCCACATCTAGGGAGCTGTCCCATGAGAAAGTTGAAACCCACATCTGGCCTTGGGATCACAGCCATCTTGCCCACCTCCCAGGGAAGGCATCCTGGCAGCCCACTGAGATACACGAGGGATGGACTAGAATTCCCTGCAGCGGGAATTCTAGTACATGCTTTCATAGATGTAGAACAAAGAGTTTGTGAAAGGATGCAGTTAGGACAATCCGCTTGCTGAGACCGTATTATGGAAGTTTGTGCAAGGAAAACCTGGCCTTGAGCTAGCCTCATGCTGCTGAACTGGGCATCAGGCATGCTTTGTCTCAGAGAATGTGACTCAATTTCGATGCATGTGTGGAGCTAATGCAAGGCTGTGTAACTGATAGGGTCACGGACTCCATTTTTGTGGGTTTCCCATCAGCAATTGTTCTGACCAAGTAAAGACCATCATGCTACTGTATGTTTATTTAAGAAACCCACGGGACCCCCTTGGGTCGGATTCAGCAGCCAGGGTCTTCTGCAACTCTCCAGAATAAGCAACGACGCCTTGCTGGATGTTTGTGACCCCATATCTAAGGGCACGAGCTACTAGTTCACATTTCTTTTGCCTCTGTGTCCAGTTGCCATTCAGGGCAGCCAGCAACACCAGCTGGTCTCCTTCATCCTCACACCAGCCCTGTAGGCTTCGATTGTCCCCATGCTGCAGACTGAATAACTGAGGCCAAGAGCAAGGACTTGCTCAAGACCACACAGAGGGTCTGTGGACAAATTGGGACCTGTAGCCAAATCTTAGGGGTTTGGATTGGACCTGTACCTCTCACTCTGGGTGTTTGACCAAATCGCTCTGGTCTATCCAAGTCTTTCTCTACCTGCTGCCCTCAGTATGTTTTGGACTACATAGGAAATAGGAAACTGCCTTATGCAGACTCAGACCACCAGCTATCTAGCTCAGTAGCTTTCCAGGATTTCAGGAAGAAGTCTCTTCCAAGCCTGCCTAGAGATGCTATCTGGGGTAGACCCGGGAACCTTCTGCTTGTAAGGCAGGTGCTGAGCTAAGGACCTCTCTGACTACAATTCCCAGCACACCTGCAAAGGCTGGGACTGAAAGTTGTAAATATCCTAAATATCTTGAGAGCACCAGGTTGGGGAAGGCTGGCCAAGGTATATTCAAGTTCAAGGGACAATATGGTCTCCTGGCATTTTGGGGGCTGCTATAGAGAAGTTGAGGAACATTATCCACCAGCACCATGGAGAAGATGAGGAGAGATGTGTTAAGGATCCACCCCTCAATTCAGTTCCATCTGCCAAGGAGGGCGCTGTTCACAAACTGGATTTTGTCCAGAGGTACAAAGGCACATTGAGAAGACAATGAAAGGTCTGTGAGGCAGGTCATGAGCCGAGAAGCCAGAGGAGCTGCTGGCAAGCTTCATCCTAAAGAAAACACGAGATCAAAGGTGCGGCTGAGCATCTTAGCCGCGTCTGCATGCTTTAAAAGGTAATTAGAAGAGGGAACATTGGCACACCGTTCAGTGAAGTGGCACAAGAGGTGAAGTGGCGGGTTCGAATTACAGGTAGGGGACTGAAACCTGAGGAACGTTAATTCATCAGGAATGCGTCCAGCTTTAGGAACTAACAAGAGACTCCTCCACAAAGACCAGGGTTTATTTATTGCTTATTTGTGGCACTTAGATCCCACCTTTTTTTCCTCCAAGGGGGCCTGTGTGTTCTCCTCCCCCTCCACATTTAATGCCCACAACAACCCGGTGAGACAGGTTAGCCTGAGAGGCAGTGACTGATTTCCAAGGTCAGCCAATGCACTTCATGATGAGTGGGGATTTCAACCCTGGTCTCTGTCAGGCCCTAGTATTGTTTTGGGGGGACAGGAGGTGGGCAGGTGTGGAGGACTCCCTGGTCCTGAATGGGGTAACTGTGCCCCTGAAGGACCAGGTGCGCAGCCTGGGAGTCATTTTGGACTCACAGCTGACCATGGAGGCGCAGGTCAATTCTGTGTCCATCTGGTACCAGCTCCATCTGGTACGCAGGATGAGACCCTACCTGCCTGCAGACTTTCTTGCCAGAGTGGTGCATGCTCTAGTTATCTCCCGCTTGGACTACTGCAATGTGCTTTATGTGGGGCTACCTTTGAAGAGGACCCGGAAACTACAACTAATCCAGAATGCGGCAGCTAGACTGGTGGCTGGCAGCAGTCGCTGAGACCACATAACACCTGTCTTGAAAGACCTACATTGGCTCCTAGTACGTTTCCGAGCACAATTCAAAGTGTTGGTCCTGACCTTTAAAGCCCTAAACGGCCTCGGTCCAGTATCCCTGAAGGAGCGTCTCCACCCCCATCGTTCAGCCTGGACACTGAGGTCCAGCGCCAAGGGCCTTCTGGCAGTTCCCTCACTGCGAGAAGCCAAGTTGCTGGGAATCAGGCAGAGGGCCTTCTTGGTGGTGGCACCCGCCCAGTGGAACGCCCTCCCACCAGATGTCAAAGAGAAGAACAACTACCAGACTTTTAGAAGACATCTGAAGGCAGCCCTGTTCAGGGAAGTTTTTAATGTGTGACATTTTGATGTATTTTTAATCTTTGTTGGAAGCCACCCAGAGTGGATGGGGAAACCCAGCCAGATGGGTGGGGTACAAATAATAAATTATTATTATTATTAGTCCGACCCTCTCACCCCCACTGGCCAGCACTGAATGAACAGCTTTTTCTGCAGAATGGAGATGCAGGTTAGGGACGGGGCCTCCTGTCGCAGGTTCAGCGAGTGAACTGCCAATCGCATCGTGGGACAGGCTGACGGGACCCTGTTCTGTCACACCGGCTGTTTTCAGGGGCTGATCACCCACACTGCCACCTTTCGTGGGGGGCTTAAAGGCTGGGAGTGGGTTGCTGGCAGCCCCTGCAGCAAAGGGAAGTCCTTCACTGAGGTTGCGCAGAAAATCCGTGCACGGGTGCGTGGATGGAAGTGACCATCTATGGTTCCTTGTGAAACCACCACGCAGCCATGAAGCCACAGCAGGGAATGGAGGCCGTGAGAGTTTCAGGAGAGCAGAAGGTCTTGGGGATCTTTACTCACCAGATGCTTGCAGAAGCTTGTCAGCGAGTCTTGTGTCCACCAAAAGAACGGGCAACTGCAGAGAAGCAAGCTGGTTATTGTTCCCAACCGGGCAGCCCAACCATCGCCTTCCACTCCCACCCATTTGATCTGGCATGGCTGGGGTAGGCCTGATTCCTGGGACATCAAAGGGTGCGTTGTGTCCATAGGGGATCACCCTTGCAGCCTCAACTGCATCTTTAACATTGGGCGCTCCCATTATAAAATTCAGGGCAGCACCTACACTTTGGAACTCCCTGCCTGTTGTCATCAGGCGCCTTCGCTTTTGGGGCATGCTAAAAACATTTTTTGTTTAGACGAACTACCCGGATCTTTAGAAAGCCAATGCAAGTTTTAATCTGTTTTCAGTCCGTTGCTATTTTAATTTGTTATTCTTGTTTATTCATCCCACTGGTGATTTTGTGGTTTTATCTCTTTTGTAAAACGCTTGGAGGTTTTATTTTATAATCAAAGGGTGAACACATTTTTATGAAATAACTAAATAAATGCAGTCAAACTAGTTGCAATAGGAGCAGCCATGTTTCCTTCCCCTGTTGACGTCCAAAGCCTTTTTTTCTTTTTTAACCCACAAACAGAGGCAAAAGTCTCAATGGGTGAGTGGAGAATTACCCTCCTCTCTTCCCTAATGCAGACCCTTTTCTCCCAGCTCAGATCTGAAACAGGAAGTGCCTGAAGCAGGTATTGGGCACAGCCAGGTAAGGTGGTCCCAAGCAGTGGGTTCAGCCCACCACACCTGTGTGTACACCTTTTGCTGCAAAAATAAGCCTCCACATCTCACCTCACACGTGAATAAGACAGACATATCCATGAATAAATGGGGTTGCCCCCATCCTGTCTGGGTTGGCCCTTGGCCCAGACAGGCGCCAGAACCCCAAAAAAGGAAACATCGTGATTCTTAAGTATCTCAGCCCATAGGGATGGTGGGAAGGAGGGGAAACTTACAGTCAAGTAGCCACTTGAGGAAGGCTCCCGGAAAAGGCTTGTCCTACAAAAGGGGAAGAAAGAGAGTCAGATAAAACATGGCACACATCTTCAGGGACTGGGAGAGATCACTCCAAGAAGAAAGTTCTGCTTTCTTCATAAGGATGCAAAAATAGCCTGCTGGATCACGGAAGGACCATATCTGCATGTGTGCCCTCTGCTACATGCTTCTCTTTTTCCTTCCCTGCAATAAGAAAATATTTCTACTTCTGGTCTCAATCTTGTTTTGCCCTCTCCAGCCCCCTTGTGCACACTAATTTCAGGAAGGGGGTGGCGTCAGCTCGGCCCTGCAAAGTGGTGGCATTGATTGGGTTCCCTTCAAGACATAAAGACATACTTAAAGGTAAAGGGTAAAGGGACCCCTGACCATTAGGTCCAGTTGTGGCGCTCATCTCACTTTACTGGTCAAGGGAGCCGACGTGCAGCTTCCGGGTCATGTGGCCAGCATGACTAAGCCGCTTCTGGCGAACCATGCCATTTACCTTCCTGCCAGAGTGGTACCTATTTATCTACTTGTGCTGGTGTGCTTTCGAACTGCTAGGTTGGCAGGAGCAGGGACAAAACAACGGGAGCTCACCCCGTCACGGGGATTCGAACCACGACCTTCTGATCAGCAATCCCTAGGCTCTGTGGTTTAACCCACAGTGCCACCTGCGTCCCTCAAATTACATAAAACTGCCATTTACCTTCCCGCCAGAGTGGTACCTATTTATCTACTTGCACTTTGATGTGCTTTCGAACTGCTAGGTTGGCAGGAGCAGGGACCGAGCAACGGGAGCTCACCCTGTTGCGGGGATTCGAACCGCTGACCTTCTGATCAGCAAGTCCTAGGCTCTGTGGTTTAACCCACAGTGCCACCCATGCTCCCACTTACACACATGCAAAAAGTGGCGCCGAAAGGGGCTTGGAGGAAGCGGGGAATCTCCACCTACTGTAAGGGATCAAGGCAGCCGTGGACTCAAAAAGGTTGAAAATCACTGGTTTCGACAATATAACTGAGATAGCTGGGCCAGTTGTGTGACTCACTCTGTTCTTGGGCTGAATCTCATGCATCTCCACACCCCACTTTTATAAAAGAGGAGGCAGAGATGGGAAGACAGGCAAAGAACCCAAGATTGTGGGAAATGCACCCCTGGGTGTCTACGGAAGTGGAAGCTGTGATCCATATTTATTTCCATTTAAGGGTAATCGTAAAAGCTTGAGGTCCCTGGGGAGGGGAGCTTTGTCCAAGAGAAGCTTGGGCAGAAGAAGTCCTTAGAACATGGAAGCACCCCAGGAGGAGCAGGAGGTGCAAGAAAGCCAATACACGTGAAGAACACACCTTCAGGTCCATTTCAGAAAACTGTCCCGTTGAAATCGGCACGCTGGAGAGAGCTGTCTGGAGTTTCCCAAGGAGCCCGAAGGAGGCGTATTCTGAACAGGGAGGGGAGAGAGGCATGAATGAGGGCAGGGGGACCGCGAGAGAGTCCATTGGAAGCTGGGATGGGGCAGGATTACGCCATCAGCATCTCCCCACAAGCTTGCAAACGAGAGGAAGGTTTAGAAAGGAAACTTACTGTTGAGAGCTTGGAGTTGCATGTTGACAACATTGAACCAGAGTTGGAACACTGGGCACATCTGGAAAGAAGAACAATGCCAACTTCTGAGATATCACAAGATCAGAGTTCTTCAACCTTGGGTTCCCAGTCATCTTTGCCAATAGGGATGATGGGACGTAGTCCAAGAACATCTGGGGACCCAAGTTTGAAGAACACTGGACTAGATGACCCTTGGGGTCCCTATCATCATCATCATTATTATTAACATGGAAATAATAAGTCAGATGCTCTGCCACTGAGCCATGGCCGTCCCCCAACTACTTGCTCTCCAGTTTCCATTCTTCCAAGCCATTTGTCAGCCTTTTGCCCCAATACATGTAGACTATTGGCTACTCACCACTGAAGGCAGGAGGGTACGGAGGCCAGAATTGATGACGCCACTCAACAGGTTTGCAAGCAAGCTAAGGAGGAAAGGGACAAAACAATCCCAATCAGATTTCAGAGCTGGATCCCCCAATGTCACAACGTGTCTCCTGCTCTTATCACCAAGGAATATGACTTGTTATCTATGTATATATGTTTATGTGTTAAACTAATAAAGATTATATTTTTAAAAAAGGAATGTGACCTTATAGGGAACTGAGTCTTGATTATGATGATTGCTTAGGGCTACTTTGGCCTTGATCCAGGAGTCGGTTGTGCAGTGAACATTATAAAGATGCAGGTGACTGGTAGCCAATAAGAATCGTAGAATCGTAGAGTTGGATGGGTCAATGCGGGACATCTAATCCAACCCCCTGCAATGCAGGAATCTCAACACGTGGTCCCCTATCCAATTTGAAACCATACTGGACTCTACTTGGCTCTGCAGATGTGCAGAGGAGGGTGGTGCAGTAATAAATCTGCAATTTCCCCTTTTCCTAATAGTGAGAGGATTTCTCTGCCCCCTTGCATACTGTTAGAATATTTGAAAAAACCCTATAATTCTAAACAAAACAAGGAATGAAGGGGGGAAATGACAAGGATTCAAAATGGAAACACAATGAAGCTAGTCCCACTGAACTCTGGGAGCTTATCCCCACTTTACTTTTGCTCAGCTCATTCCAAGTAGAGAGATCTGGTCCATGGATGAGCATTGTTTTGTTTTGTTTTGTTTTGTTTTGTTTTGTTTTGTTTTGTTTTGTTTTGTTTGTGTTTTGTTTTGTTTTGTTTCTGCCCTGACCTTCCCCACAAAAAGCTGAAACGGCATGAAAGTCAGTTCAGGTTTCCCATACATTGACGTTTCTTCCAATTGAGCTTTAAAGAGTAGATTTTGGCGGCAAAAACTTCATAGCAAAAGAAAAAGAAAAGTTCCTTGGGCACGGAGCGTTAAGTTAAAAACTTCACCTTGAAAGAGTGGAGGAAAGCAAAGTGTGGATAAGCCCTGAGTGCGAGCCATAAGAGCTGGTTGGCCAATCTGGTTTACATCCAGTCACTGATTCCATTAGCACAAGGACTTCTGCTTCCACAAATGAACGTTCCTCCTTGCTCCTCTGTCCCCACACTCCCCCTAAATCTGATCTGGGGGTTCTTCCAAGCCTTTGGAGAAGATTTAGGGAGGACGCATGGTGTACATAATGGGGAGTTCTACTGTGGAAGCAGAAATGCTTGGCTAATGGAATGAGAGATGCCACCTTCTGTTTCAAACACCGCAGTGATTCTCAGAGAGGCAGAGTGGATGAGGTGAAGTCAGAACAGGTAAGGATAGAGGAGAAACTGGGAGAAGATTTAATTTTAGTCTGATTTATTTACACTTCCCAAAATGATAAGGAAACCACCCAGATAAGTCCCCAAAACCTTTAATGCCCACCTGCTTGGCAGCTTGATGCTGAAGCCAGCGACCATATCCTGGCAGTTCTTAAGGACCAGCTTGAGATCTCCCGGTTTGTCTTGGGTTAAGGCCAGGTGAGGGCTGATGTCCATCACCACGGAAGTTCCGCTGAGAAAACTGAGCACCCTGGGAGACAAAGTCAGACAGGGGTGCTGGGCTTTGAGTGTTGGGAAGGGACCTGCAGGGGCCAGAGAGTGTTCTGGGATGTGTCATCAGCTCATGTGGGGAATGGCCAGAGGCTGTAGGGCCTTGCAGAGGCGCTCAGCACAAACTAAAGTGGAAGCTTGACCCAGAACATGCTCAGTGCTCTCTGGCAGCTGTGGGTTGCAAAAGAAAAACCGCAGAGAGGCAAGCTGCCTCTCTTGTCAACCAGCTTTTGGGAAACACCTGGGTCATTGTTTGAAAACCTCTATTCCGTAGCACTAAAACTGATGGGCATCGAATGAAGCTGGATGTTGGAAGATTCAGGACAGATCAACGAAAGTTCTTCTTCATGTAGCGCATGGACAAGCTGTTAAACTCGTTCCCACAGGAGGCCATGAACCTGGGTGGGTTTGAAAGAGGATTGGACAAATTCATGGAGGAGGAGAGGGCTATTGGTGGCTACTAGCCAGGATGGTTACGTTCTCCCTCCACAGTTGGAGGCAGTGATGGTTCTGAATACCAGTTGCTGGAAACCAGTTGCAGGAGGGGAGAGGAACCCCATGCCCGGGTCCCGCTTGCAGGATTCCCAGGGGGAGACATCTGGTTGTCCACTATGAGGATAGGATGCTGGACCAGATGGGCCATTGGCCTGATCCAGCAGCCAGCTCTTCCTATATTCTTAGGTTAAGACATTGTGGAGTATGCCATGCTCTGGGAATGTCTCTTTGTAGAAAGGCTGGATGAGAATATAGTGTTGCAACTCAGTGCAGGCCACCCACAGCACATACAGGCAGGACCAGACCATGCATGCTTAGACGCGCCTCTGCATCTCCCTCCTGAAGGTTGTCAGGAGCTGGAGATGTGCGTTTACATCTGATGCAGATGCAAAATCTGAGACATGAGCTGCAACAGAGAGGACTCAACTTTCCAGAGGCTGTGTATTCTTTCATGATACTACAATCTTTGGGTTCAGGTTGGGAGTCTGTTGCAACCCAGATTGCTGTGCAACCAACTGCTCAGCTGACAGTGGACTTTGTTACTGCCGTGATTATAAATGAAGCAGATCGCCGGGGTGCTAGCTGCATGGGCAAGGGAGAGTCTTCACAGACGTCATCCCATAGTGCAGTGGAACCACCAGATGGCGCCAAAGCTTTGAAGGCAGTGAAATGCTACACGTGTGGACGTCTAGGCCATATGAAGAGGGAATGCAGACATCCCAGGGCCAAGACAGAGCAGCGCAGCGAAGCTCATCGCGCGGAAAGGCCGAGGTAAAGGCAAAGGTCCGGTGTCTAGGACAACGCAGCACAAGGCTATGGTTTCACGCTTCACTCCAAAGGTTGCAGAGGTCCAGAAGACGTCTAGATCTTTCTTCGTTGTTGATTCAGCGGCCACCCACCACATGTGCAACGATAAGAAACTGTTTGTGTCTTTTACACCGCAGGAAGGTGCGATTCACCAGGCGGATGACCACACTATTCCCAGTAAAGGCTACGGAACTGTTGTTCTTCACAGTTTGGACTTATCGATACAGAATGTGCTTTACGTGCCAGACGCCAAACATAATCTGCTCAGCGTTGGACAGCTGAATGAGCGGAACATTGACGTTTCCTTCAAGAACAAGAAGTGCATCATCACAAAGAAAAATGATTATGTATTGCATGCAGAATATGTTGATCATTTGTTTGTTTTGTATTATGATGATGTGGTGCAGGATGACACTTGTTGCATTACAGGTTCTAACAAAAGTTTGCATGCAGAATGTATTCACGATTTTCATCGCAAATTTGGTCATTTGCATTTTGAGGCAGTATCTAAAATGCCTGCCTTGGTTGAAGGTATGACTATTAAACCCTGCAGGTACCACATGAAGTGCAAAGCATGCGCAGCAAACAAAATGAAAATGGCTGCGAAAGGTAAGGTGTCTAGTAGGAAAGCTACAGAACCATACCAGGTTGTTCATGCTGATTTGGTTGGACCATTAGCGCCCTCTTTGGGTGGAAATAGATACTTCATGGTTCTCATTGATGCATTTTCTAGATATATTTTTGTGTACAATCTCAAGCAGAAATCGGAGGCTTTTCCTAGGTTCAAGGAATTCTGTGCTTGGCTGGAAAATGTGCATGGTAAGAAGATAAAGACTCTTTTCAGTGATCGCGGGGGGGAATTCACTTCTCAGCAGTTTGAAGCTTTTCTGACTGAGAAAGGAATTCAACACGATTTGTCTAGTCCTCGCTCGCCATGGCAGAATGGACTTGCGGAACGGGCAAATCAGACATTGCTTCAAGGGTTAAAAACCTTGCTGCATGATGCCAATCTTCCAGAGAGTTATTGGGCCGAATCTCTCTCGTGTTTTGTTTACAGTTACAATCGCAGGTTATCTTCAGCGATTGGATGTACCCCCTATGAGAAGATGTTTGGCAAGAAGCCATACATCAAACACATGAAGATTTTTGGTTCTGACATGTGGGTTCGCTCACCACAAAACTCCAAGTTAGACAAGCGTGGATTGCATGGTGTCTTTCTAGGTTATCAGAAAGGGTCTTACAGAATAATGATGACTGACTCTAAGACAATTAAGCTCACGAGAAGTGTTGAGTACAATGCAAAGTGGGGGAGAATGTGGGAATTTTCCAATGTTATCCTGATGACGGTGATGAGACTGAGGATAGTCAAAAGCAACCACAACAGCCCACACCCACTGATGAAGGTTCTGAGTCTGAATCTGAAACTGAATCGGGTGATTCAGAGGATTTCAAGAGTGCGAAAGCCTCTATGCGACCCTCTGAAAGCTCTGATCAAGAATTGGAGGAACCATTGTTCACAATAGGTCATTTTTCTCCTAAGAAGGAAGAGGAGAGTGTTGAAGACTTAAGGCTAATTCGTAGGTCACAGAGAGCCACAAAGGCAAACCTCCAAAGAGATTTGCTGATGAGTTTGCTAAGATAGCAGTAACAGCTGTTAAAAGCTCCAAGAAGGTATTTGAACCTTCAAATTTCCAAGAAATCCAGGGTTTGGATTCAAAGGAAGCTGAGCCATGGTTAAATGCCATGAAGGCTGAGCTTGATTCCTTAGAAAGGAACAAAACATGGGAGCTAGTTCCAGTAGTTCCAGGAATGAAACTGCTTGGAAGCAAATGGGTCTTCAACGCGAAGACAGATCAAAATGGCAAGATAGTCAGACACAAAGCCAGATTGGTAGCCAGAGGTTTTGCACAGGTACCAGGTGAAGACTATCACGAGACCTATTCACCCACAGTGAGATATGAAAGTATTAGGCTTATGCTCAAGCTAGCTGCAGAGGAAAATCTACACATTAGTCACCATGATATTAATACAGCTTTTCTGTACGGATCTCTAGATGAATCACTTTATATGCTTCCACCTGATGGCGTACAGGTAAAACAGGGATTTGTTTGTGCTCTGAAGAAATCCCTTTATGGTCTCAAACAAAGTGCACGGTGTTGGCACACAAAACTCACTGAAGTATTGTTTTCTCTAGGTTTTCAGCAAGGAAAGCTGATCCATGTGTATTTGTCAAAGAGGAGGGGCAAAAGAAACTGTACTGTTTGTTTTATGTTGATGATTTATTATTCTTTTGGAAAGATGTCGCAATGTACAATAGCGCCCTAGCTCAACTGAAAGAGCACTTTGACATGAAAGATCTTGGTGAGGTAAACAACTACCTATCTCTGGAAATAGAGAGAGATCAAGATGGTAACATTCTAGTACACCAGTCACGGAAAATTGCTGATGTGTTAAGCAAGCTAAATCTGATGGATGCTAACCCTGTAGACACACCGATGACAACAGGTTATCAGGTAGATGACACTGAAGAAGCATTTTCTGACACTACACTGTACAGGAGTGTGCTAGGCAAGCCAGGAGCAATGGGGAAGTCCCACAAGGGCATCTCAGCCCTTCTGGTTGACATTGGTTTAACTGCAGAGCTTTGGGGCTGCCTAGAGCTGGTTATGGTGCTGGAGGAGACTCCTGAGAGTCCCATGGACTGCAAGAAGATCCAACCTCTCCATTCTGAAGGAAATCAGCCCTGAGTGCTCACTGGAAGGACCGATCCTGAAGCTGAGGCTCCAAGACTTTGGCCACCTCATGAGAAGAGAAGACTCCCTGGAAAAGACCCTAGAATCATAGAATCATAGAATCATGGAGTTGGAAGAGACCACAAGGGCCATCGAGTCCAACCCCCTGCCAAGCAGGAAACACCATCCTGATGTTGGGAAAGATGGAGGGCAGAAGGAGAAGGGGACGACAGAGGACAAGATGGTTGGACAGTGTTCTCAAAGCTACCAGTATGAGTTTGACCAAACTGCAGGAGGCAGTGGAAGACAGGAGTGCTTGGCGTGCTCTGGTCCAGGGGGTCACGAAGAGGTGGACACGACTAAAGGACTAAACAACAACAAGAGCTGGTTGGGGCAGATGAGTGGGACAGTGAAGAAGAACCTGGGGGAACTCAGAAGCATTTGGATAAGGAGAGGCATTGACCACAGTCAACAAATCCTCATTAAGGTGTTTGTGGTGGGAAGGAGCTACCTTGGAAGAAACCAGGCAACCGGCCCATCCTTTTTGGCCACCTCGACTTGGTATGGAAGCATCTCTGCAAAATCTCAGGCAGAGTTCCTTCCTAGCCCTCCTGCTTATTGGAATCCCTTCAGCTGGAGATGTTAGGGGCTAGCCTTCGCTGACCTGGTGCTCTCCCTGTCTTTTGCACTATATCTCCCATCAGCACAGATATATGATGCCAGGGCTGATGGGAGATGTAGTCTGGCAACATCTAGGAAAAGAGAAGGTTGGGGAAGGATGCATAGAGGTGCAAAATATGTCTTCTGCTACTGGACTTTTGCCCTTTCCTGCTCATATTAATTTCAGAACAAGCTGAATGTGAAGGAAGCAGCTCTGGCTCTCATGACTCACCCTGGCAAATTAGTAGTAATAGTTGCATGTAGGTTGAGCTGTAGCTCATTTCCACGGATGACCTTCCAGGACCCTCCAACAACCTCAAGGTTCACAGCATTAAACCTGTGAGCAACATAACAGAAGGGAGAAGATGCATGGAGACCCCAGAATGGTCGGCACACATTGCAAAGTCATGTATCCATCCCACTCTCTCCTCCTAATGGCACTGATGTGGTTCAACCCCAACAAGATAATAGATCTTGCCTAATAAGATGCTCTTAGAATCATAGAATTGTAGAGTTGGAAGAGATCCCAATGATCGTCTATTCCAACCCCCCGCAATGCAGGTCTCTCAACTAAAGCATCCATGACAGATGGCCATTCAATCTCTGCTTAAAAACTTCAAATGAAGGAGAACCCACCACCTTCTGAGGGAGTCCATCCCACTGACAAATGGCTGTTACCCTCAGGATGGCCCTCCTAATGTTTAGTCGGAATCTCCCTTCTTGTAACTCGAATCTACTGGTTCATGTCCTATCCTCCAGAGCAGGAGAAAACAAGCTTGTTCCCACTTCCATGTGACAGCCCTTTAGGTATTTAAAGTTGGCTGTCATATCTCTTCTCAGTCTCCTCTTTTTCAGGCTAAAGATGCCCAACTCCCTCAACCGTTCCTCACAAGACTTGGTTTCCAGACCCTTGGTCACCTTGGTCACCCTCCTCTGCACCCCTTCCAGCTTATCAATACCCTTCCTAGTGGTAGAAGGGAAGAGAAGGAGAGCAGAATTGGCCTGTAGTGCAACCAGGTCCAGAATTAGGGGTGGTGATGGACCTACAGGCTCTCATTCTGGTTGGGGACGTGGTCTGTCAACTGCAACGGCTGCTCCCTTGCCCACACCAACTCACCATTGGAACGGCTCCTTGGATCCTCCACCGCCGAGGAGACCTCCCAGACCAAGTAGGTTTCCACCAAGAAGACCGTTCTCTCCACCAAGAAGATCACCACCCAGGAGGCCATTTTTGCCGAGGAGATCGCCACCCAGAGCACCACCAAGCAGGCCGCCACCTCCAGATTCACCACCACCACCAAGTAGACCTCCGGTGGTGTTGCCAAGAAGGCCTCCTCCACCACCGAGCAGGCCATCTCCTCCAGCAACAGCGCCGAGCAGGCCACCTCCATCGCCACCTCCAACAGCGCCGAGCAGGCCACCTCCATCGCCACCTCCAACAGCGCCAAGCAGGCCACCTCCACCTCCACCTTCTCCTCCACCGCCACCAACAGCTCCAAGCAAGCCACCGCCTTTGCTGTCACCTCCACCACCAACAGCTCCAAGTACTCCATCTACTGCTCCTCCTCCGACAGCACCGAGCAGGCCGCCTCCAAGACCACCGAGTAGACCACCTTTGCCAGAATCACTGCCTGCACCAAGAAGATCCCCGTTATTTATATATTACATTTATAGCCCACCTTCTCTCCCCGAGGAGCTCAAGGTGGCCTGCATGGTTCTCCTGCTTATCCTTTAATCCCCAGAACAACCCGGTGGGGTAGGTTGGGCTGAGAGGCAAGGAGTGGAGCCAGGCCACCCAGCAATTCATGGCTGCGTGGGGATTTGAACCCTGGTCTCCCAGGTCCTAAACTCCACCCAACCACCGCTGTTTCTGAGATAGTGAGAACCATCCAAGGAGACATGTCCCCAGCGATGAGAGTGGAGGCGCACATCAGCCTAACATCAATCTATAAATGGCTGTCACTGAAACTGCTCCACTGATCCTTTGCGACCAGTTCCAGTCAGGTTGGTAGACAGCAGTCCTGAACACTCTTCAGAAACTGGGGTTTGCCCCTCAAGCCCTTCTAAGTCTGGACTTAGGCCAAGCAAAAGCTATGGTTAGGCAAAGAATTATAGACACCGAGAGACAACAGGACTGCTCAAGGTGCCCCAGCTACAAAATTGTAGTAATTGAGAGATATATAGCTGCTCCAGCAGCATATCTCTTTTTTATTGTATCCAAAAATGCAAAAGGGGCTTTTACACTTGCCCGAAGCTCAGCTTTGCCCTCGCCAGTCTTGGAAGGATCCTTTAAAAAAGTCCCATATGACCAGAGAATTTGCGCCTGTCCATTGGGGGATATAGGAAGCCCTGAACACATATTTTTTAGATGTCCCTTTTACGATGAGGCACGTAGAGAAACCATTGACCCCCTGCTGGTGAGGCTTACTGACCTGCCGGTAAAGCAAAAATTCAATCTTCTCCTGTTAGGCAAAGACCACAAGACAACCCGGATTGTCGCCAGATTCTGTACACAGATCTGTAGGCGCAGACCATCCGCTGATTCAATCTAGTTTGTTAAGAAAATTCCCAAAACCAGATCCACGGGCGACTTTGGGTCATTTCTCTATGGTAGTCTATCTTAAACTTTTTATGTGTTTATACGGCTATCACACTTTTAAACTTAAAATCCATTGTTGTATATTGTTTTAAATGTCTTTTTTGCTATTGGGATTGTAGTTCCATTTGTGTTTCATAAGCTGGTCTCTGACCGTAATAAATTTCATGTTCAGATATGTCCCCAGGAGCCCCTTTTCCCCAGCAATGTCTGTGTATAATAGACCTCCCGTGCCAAGTATATTGTCAATACGGATGCTATTTAAGTAGTCAGACATAAAAATATTTATAGACTACAGTTTCATTAAAAATATATATATCCAAGTGGCTTACAAGAAGAACCTGCTGGATCAGGCCAATGGCTCAAGGTCCTTTTCTCGCAGTGGCCAGATGCTCCAATGGGAATCCTGCAAGCAGGATCCAAGCACAAGAGCCCTCTCTCATACTCTAGTTTTCAGAAGCTGGGATTCAGAAACATCACTGCCTCCAACTTTGGTGGCAGAGTAGAGCCACTGTGGCGAGCAGCCATTAATATCCCTTTTCTCCTCCGTGAATTTGCCAAACCTCTTTGAAAGCCTTCCAGGTTGGCGACTCTTGCTGCCTCCTGTAGGAGTGAGTTCCATAGTTTAACTACATAAAGGGACCCCTGACCATTAGGTCCAGGGAGCTCACCCCGTCACGGAGTTTCAAACCGCGACCTTCTGACCATTGGGTCCAGTCGTGACCGACTCTGGGGTTGCGGCGCTCATCTCACTTTATTGGCCGAGGGAGCCGGCATACAGCTTCCGGGTCATGTGGCCAGCATGACTAAGCCGCTTCTGGCAAACCAGAGCAGCGCACGGAAACGCCGTTTACCTTCCCGCCAGAGCGGTACCTATTTATCTACTTGCACTTTGAAGTGCTTTCGAACTGCTAGGTTGGCAGGAGCAGGGACCGAGCAATGGGAGCTCACCGTGTCACGGGGATTCGAACCGCCGACCTTCTGATCGGCAAGTCCTAGGCTCAGTGGTTTAACCCACAGCGCCACCCGCATCCCCTGTACCAGTGGCACAAAACCTTTGCAAAAATAAAGGAGGCAGAGCAGTCTATTGTCACATCTCTAGGTCTCCAGGGAGATCAGGTGTCTGCAGTGTATTTTGATGACAAAAAACCAAATAGAGATATTTAGCCACTAACTTGGTGAGCTCCTGATCATTCCCCAGTAATAGAAAATGTATGGCCTCCAACTCTGGTTTCCATTTGGGGATGCAGAGCTGATCTAGAAATTGCTGGCGGAGATCAGCATATAGTTTACAATTAAGAACCGTGTGTGAGGGTTTCCACCAGGTGGTCTTCACCTGGGCAAGGTCATTCTCCTTCCACCCTGCCTGAGAACCTTCCCCAAAGGGGGTTTGATGGATTTGAATTAAACCTGGCCAGGGAAAATGCCCTTCTTTCTTGAGGGTTAAGCAGACATTCAAGGTAATTGTGGTTAATTTCATGTGCCCAAGAAAGTTGAAAGTTAAGAGGGGAGCATGTTTTCTCTGCTGCTACTGTTAGTTCCTGGTGCTCAATATCTCACAACCTAGTTTGCATTATAGCCTTGGCGGATGGTAGGGACATCGATCACAAAAGTTCCGCCTGAGTTGCTGTACCTTCTTGTTAAACTGTTGTAGTCCTGGGGAAAGAAAGGGGTCTAACAAAACTTCGCTGAGGAGAGCATCTTTACCAGCATAGAGGAAATCTCGCCCAGGCGACAGTCTCTACCTTGTGTTGACCTCCCTCTAGACACAAGGCTGCATAGGGTACACAGCGTGAGACAGTAAAGATCTTGAAGAGGAAAACTGCTTGGACTCATTCTACCAACTGGGTAAACCCTGGCAGCCAAACTGGAATACCATAGTACAATTGAGCTATAATTTTGGCGTTGAAGACCTTGAGGGCAGAAGTTTCTTAGAAATGTGTTTCCCAAGGAATTTCATCTTTGCTCTCATATAACCCATGGAAAGTGTGGGAGCTGGACTTGTGCTGCCTCTTCAGCTGCCCCTCGTGTCACCCGTTTGAGGTCCAACTCACCTTTTTCAGTCTTTGCTGAGCCTGAACCAAGAAGACCGCCCAGCCCAAGACTTTGCGACAGAGCCAAGGACCTGCAGAAGATGGTGACCAGGCACCACGTCTTCACCACTGTCAAGGTCTTCATCCTCCTTGCATCTGCGAAAGAGAGGGGGGCAGAGCAGGTGGAGGGGTGCTCAGGTGGGAAGGGAACAAGCCAGATGTGATATGAACAGCCACATTTTCTGCTCAAGGTGTGTGGCTTCTGGGTTTTCTTGTGTGTCTTTTTTCTATTTTAAGCCTGCAGTACAGAGTGTTGTGTTTTGATTGTATGGACGCTACTCTGGAAGGTTGGTGGTTCAAGCCCCCCCCCCCGGACACCTATGATTCTTGCACTGGAGAGGGTTGGACTAGATGGCCCTCAGAGAACCCTTCCAACTTTATAATTCTATGATTCTAAGATTTCTTTGGATGAGATGTTAAAGTGGTGGCATATTTACTAGACTCTCTGCAATGGTATACAGTGGTACCTCGGGTTACAGACGCTTCAGGTTACAGACGCTTCAGGTTACAGACTCTGCTAACCCAGAAATAGTACCTTGGGTTAATAATAATAATAATAAAATAATAATAATAAAATAATAATAATTAATAATAATAATAATAATAATAATAATAATAATAATGTATTATTTATACACCACCCATCTGGCTGGGTTTCCCCAGCCACTCTGGGTGGCTTCCAACAAAGTATTAAAATACAGTGGTCTGTTAAACATTGAAAGCTTCCCTAAACAGGGCTGTCTTCAGATGTCTTCTAAAAGTCTGGTAGTTGTTCTTCTCTTTGACATCTGGTAGGAGGGTGTTCCACAGGGCGGGTGCCACCACTGAGAAGGCCCTCTACCTGGTTCCCTGTAACTTGGCTTCTCGCAGCAAGGGAACCGCCAGAAGGCCCTTGGCGCTGGACCTCAGTGTCCAGGTAGAATGATGGGGGTGAAGACGCTCCTTCAGGTATTCTGGACTTAGGCCGTTTAGGGCTTTAAACGTCAGCACCAACACTTTGAATTGTGCTCAGAAACGTGCTGGGAGCCAAAGTAGGTCTTTCAAGATCGGTGTTATATGGTCTTGGCAGCAGCTCCCAGCCACCAGTCTAGCTGCCGCATTCTGGATTAGTTGTAGTTTCCGGGTCACCTTCAAAGGTAGCCCCACATGGAGTGCATTACAGAAGAAGAAGAAGAAGAGTTTGGATTTGATATCCCGCTTTATCACTACCCGAAGGAGTCTCAAAGCAGCTAACATTCTCCTTTCCCTTCCTCCCCCACAACAAACACTCTGAGGTGAGTGGGGCTGAGAGACTTCAGAGAAGTGTGACTAGCCCAAGGTCACCCAGCAGCTGCATGTGGAGGAGCGGGGAAGCGAACCCGGTTCCCCAGATTACAAGTCTACCGCTCTTAACCACTACACCACACTGGCTCTCACTGGCTTGGACAGTAGTCCAAGCGAGAGATAACTAGAGCATGCACCACTCTGGCAAGACAGTCTGCGGGCAGATAGGGTCTCAGCCTGCGTACCAGATGGAGCAAAGTTAAGAACTTTGCTTCAGGATGAGAACAGAAATCGTGCTCTGGCAGCACCACAGCCGCAGGAGGCCCCATTAGCTAAAGTGGTGCTTCAGGTTAAGAACAGTTTCAGATTAAGAACGGACCTCCAGAATGAATTAAGTTCTTAACCCGAGGTGCCACTGTACAGTGGTACCTCTAGATACGAACGGGAACCGTTCTGGAGCCCTGTTCGCATCTAGAAGCAAACGTAACTAGTGACAGCACGTCTGCGCACACGCGCGTCACTTTTCACTAATTCTGAGCATGCGCGTGACGTCATTCTGAGCGTCTGCGCGTGCGCAAGTGGCGAAACCCGGAAGTAATGCGTTCAGTTACTTCCGGGTTGCCATGGAGCGCAACTCGAACGCGCTCAACCCGAAGCACACTCAACCTGAGGTACCACTGTATTTTCATTCTGAAGAACAAGGAGAGGCAAGTCTGATAATTTCCTCGCTGCCGAACAGCAGAGTTTGGTCTGTACCACATAACTTCATTATTGTTGAAGGTGACCCTCCTTCCTAGGAGTTCCTGGCATCATTAACTGAGATTCTGACTTGCTAGAATGTCTCTCGCGTTCTGCCTTTGATCAGCGCACGTGTGTGGACTCATTGCCATGACTATTGAAAGAGAGAGGAAGGCCAGGATTCGGGCAGCAGCCTTCAGAGCAGGATAAAATCAAAGGGGTTTGCTGGCATCTCTTTTGCAGACATGCCGTGTGACAAAATTGGCTCCTTTGAAATCTTTGAAGCCTGCCTTTGGGGCAGAAAACATGAAGTTATTCGGTATAAAAATAAGCGCTGCTATTTCCTGCTCAATTAAACGTGCCGCTTGTTAAATGCAGGGCTTAAAAGGAAAAAACCCCAAACCTACCTCCATAATAGCTATGGACAAGTGAGTGCATGGTCTCCTTGCGGAGCCAGGCTTCTGAGATGACACAGAAAGGTTACTGTGCTCATTTTTGTTTTTAGTCGTTTAGTCATGTCCGACTTTTTGTGACCCCCTGGACCAGAGCACGCCAGGCACGCCTGTCTTCCACTGCCTCCCCCAGTTTGGTCAAACTCATGCTGGTAGCTTCGAGAACACTGTCCCACCATCTCGTCCTCTGTCATCCCCTTCTCCTTGTGCCCTCCATCTTCCCCAACATCAGGGTCTTTTCCATGGAATCTTCTCTTCTCATGAAGTCTTGGAGCCTCAGCTTCAGGATCTGTCCTTCCAGTGAGCACTCAGGGCTGATTTCCTTCAGAATGGAGAGGTTTGATCTTCTTGCAGTCCATGGGACTCTCAAGAGTCTCCTCCAGCACCATAATTCAAAAGCATCCATTCTTCAGCGATCAGCCTTCTTTATGGTCCAGCTCTCACTTCCGTACATCACTACTGGGAAAACCATGGCTTTCACTATAAGGACCTTTGTTGGCAAGGTGATGTCTCTGCTTTTTAAGATGCTCATTTAGACTGACTGATTATCATCTTTCTGCTCAGTTTCCACCAGTGGGATGGGTCTTTGGGACAAACAGGTGTGACTTTATTCTCGCTAACAGTGAAGTCAAGTGGTTGAGTGCCGAAAAGGATGGAGGCAAGCCTGAGCCACAGAGAAAGAAGAAGGAAGAACGAAGGGCTGGCACAAAAGAGTGAACCCCAAGGTATGCAAGGGGGGACATTTCCCTTTTTTCTAAAGGAGCAAAAGGGGGAAGGGGAGATCTCCATGATGACCCCTCATGATCAGCGGCCTCTGGGAGTGATGCAATATCAGAAGGAAAAGGAAAATGGGAAAAGGACTCGTGAATTCACAGGTTCACAGAACTGCAGAATGGGGAGGGACCCTAAAGGTCATCCATTCCAACCCCCTGCAATACAGGAACCGGCTGCTCCAGCCCCTTAGTTTCCTGGAGAAGGGAATGGATAGCGATCACAGTGGAGAGACTTTAATACAAGCATGGATGGGAAAAAATCTAGCGTTATTCCATTTGGAGTCATGGTGGTGGGAATTAACAGAAGTAAAATTAAAAGAAAGAACGTGGTTAAGGTTTATTAATAATATTAACCATCAGTGGACCCATCTTGGACTTTCTGTGAGAAAAGGAAATGAAACTGAGGCACCTTAACTTGGAGGAAAGATGGTTTGACAGAAAGTGGAGTCGCTGGATGCTCGCATTGACCAACGGTTCTAAATTATCTTATCTCCGTCTTTTATATAAATGGCAGGTGGGAAATTGGAAGTTCCTCTCTTCAAATTTTTGCTCATGTTTCTCTTCTTTTGCTTTCTTTGTTTTTCTCATTCCTCTTTTTATCCCTGTTGTCCCTTTCTTTTCCTGTTTCTTTTCTTTGTTTTGCATCTTTCGTAGTTGCAATTTTATTGTACTGTCAGGAAATTTCAATTAAAAAATCTTACCAGCAAAAAGAAAAAGAGAGAGAGAGTCCTTTGGGTGTGGAGTGTTCATTCACACGCAAACTGAGCTTTCCAAAATATTAGACATTCCAAAGGGCACTTCCTTGTTATGTGGGATGAAAGGAACCTTTGTTGGTTTCCGTAGAGATGCCACATTGCAGAATCCCACCTTCCCCCCACCCAGGGATCGAGGTGACACCCCTGGTTTCCCCCTTCCTTACTTAACCCCCACAACAACAGCCCTGTGAGGCATGTTAGGCTGAGAGAGGCAGGGACGCGCCCCCCAAAATCACCCGGTGATCTTCATAGCCGAGCAGAGGATTTGAACTCAGGTCTCCCAGGTTGAAGCGCTGAAAATTGACCTTCCTTTTCGAAAAAGCCACCATCATGTCAACAATCACCTTTTAATCTCCCCTCTGCTTGGAATCATCCCTATCTTCTTCTTTTTTTACTACTATTGATTTTATTTCATATCCGCCGTTACTCCAATGGCTTGGGACAATTGCTGTTTTTGCCAATTTGATCTCCAGGAGCGAATTGAAAGTACATTTCCAAACCTCTGTACACCATTCGACTGTAAAAACAACAACCTCAAAGCCGTTTACAAAAATATAAAACAATTTAAAAAAATACAGCAGTACTTTAAAAAATAAATATAAAAAATATTATTTTTATGATTAAAACCTACAAGAAGTTAGAATATTAAAAGCTGGACAGGCTTGTCTAAGCAAGACTGTTTTTAGCAGGCGCCACAAAGAATACCGTGAAGGCTTTTTCTTCACCTCATGTGGCAGGGAGTTCCAAAGTGTAGACACACCACAACTGAGTTCTTACCAATGCAGAATGGGGGTTATGCAGCAGTGCCAATTCTGTCAATCGAAGGGGTTGAGTGGGCACATTTGGGGTGAGGCAATTTCACAGGCAAAACTGATCCCCTTTAGGCATTCCTACGCAAACTGCACCCCCCCCCCCCAGCTGCTCTTTGGAAACAGAACAAGCCAACCCAACCCTGCTGTGTCTTGCTTGGGGGAGAAGCGGAAAACGCTGCTGCAAAAGCGTTAGGAGTTTTGTGTCTCTTACCTGGGACGCCTTGACATTTGCAAACAGGTCTCCGGGGCTGCCTTATCTGCTGCTGCTGCTGCTGCTCTGCCACAAGAGCCCTTATATAGCCAAGCCCAGGGCTGGTATAAGGGGAAAAAGAGGGTTCTGGATTGGCAGCACTCAGAGATGGTATCAAGGCCCTGCACAAAGGATGGATTTCGACACTCAGAAGCAAACAGGAGGCACTTGAAACCGCTCTGGGATGCCTCCTTCAGCACCTGGACTTCTGCTTCCTGGAGATCTTACATAACTTTGTTGTTGTTGTTGTTGTTTAGTCGTTTAGTCACAACCTCAGATATGCAGATGACACAGCCTTGATGGCAGAAAGTGAGGAAGAATTAAATAATGAGGGTGAAAGAGGAGAGCGCAAAATATGGTCTGAAGCTCAACATCAAAAAAGCGGAGATCATGGCCACTGGTCCCATCACCTCCTGGAAAATAGAAGGGGAAGAAATGGAGGCAGTGAGAGATTTTACTTTCTTGGGCTCCATGATCACTGCAGATGGTGACAGCAGTCATGAAATTAAAAGATGCCTGCTTCTTGGGAGAAGAGCAATGACAAACCTAGACAGCATCTTAAAAAGCAGAGACATCACTGCAAACAAAGGTCCGTATAGTTAAAGCCATGGTTTTCTCAGTAGTAGTGATGTATGGAAGTGAGAACTGGACTATAAAGAAGGCTGCTCGCCGAAGAATGGATGCTTTTGAATTATGGTGCTGGAGGAGACTCTTGAGAGTCCCATGGACTGCAAGAAGATCAAACCTCTCCATTCTGAAGGAAATCAGCCCTGAGTGCTCACTGGAAGGACAGATCCTGAAGCTGAGGCTCCAAGACTTTGGCCACCTCATGAGAAGAGAAGACTCCCTTGAAAAGACTCTGGTCCAGCCCTCTGAAATGTAGGAATCGCAGCTCAATGCAGGAACAACATCTTTGCATTCAATGTGTCGTTTTATTTTTAAAGGCAAGTAGCATCTGCTTATGGGGCGGGGTGGCGAGTGATCTTTTCTGGGATCTAGAGCAGGGGCAAAATTGCTCCCAGTGTGTTTTTGCCAGTGCCAAGAACCCCCCCCCCCCCCCAGTTTCCTGTGATCCCAGGGGGTCTTCCTCTCTCTGCTTCTGGACCATGCCAGAACACAAAAGAATGATGGGAATCGGCTGCAACCTCTAAATCAGGGGTCAGCAAACTTTTTCCACTGTCCCGCAGACCTTGTGGGGGGCCGGAGTATATTTTGGAAAAACCCAAAATGAACGAATTCCTATCCCCCACAAATAACGCAGAGATGCATTTTAAATAAAAGCACACATTCTACTCATGTAAAAACACACTGATTCCCGGACCATCCTTGGGCCAGATTTAGAAGGTGATTGGGCCGGATCTGGCCCCCGGGCCTTAGTTTGCCTACCCATGCTGTAGTCTAGAGGAAGATCATGGAGTCAAAAACAAAAGCCCAAAGCAGGAATTTCCTGAGTCCTGGGAAGACACTCGGATGCTATGACAGAGAGAAAGAGAACATGATGTACAGCCAAATAAAACAGACATGATCCTGGGCTCACCTAAAAGCACAACTTCACCTTCCTCAAGTGGTCTCTCAAGTACCAGAGGGACTAGAAAGTCTTTTTTCTTCTTCTGGAGGGACAAAACTGAAGAGAGCCTCATTTTAGGGCTATTTCCTGATCATTTGCCCTTTCTGCTTTCTTGGAACGTTACAAACAATATTTGCCCGGCGTTTGCAATCTTACGTCCTCCTATTAATCTCAGTGATGCAACTTGAGAGAGAAGAGCGACTCTGAGATTGCCAAAAAGGCTTTCATACTGAATCTGAAGTGTAATTCCTGGGAACCTGAAATAAGTAATAAAGTTGGCTGCCAACTCCTTAAAGATAGACACGATAATTACCGAAATGATTATGCATTCTTTATCAATCTTCTGAGAAAAATACACAAACTTATGCAAAGCCACAGAGGCTTGCAAACTACCCAACCTACGATAAACTTATAATGTCTGATTTCAATGGATTTTTCAAGTGTTTAACTCAGTCTTTTGTTTTCTTTATCTTTTTAGGTAAGTTCAGGAACCAACTTACCAACAAAAGGTAAGTTCGGTGTTGTTCACAATACTGAGAGATGCTAGTGAAGTTGTAGATGGATGTTGATGAAGTTGTAGACAGGGCGCTGGCGTTTTGCACCAGTTTCGCCCTGGCAGTCCAAGTAAGGCTGCTGTTTGCCCCCAATGGGGCTTGCAGGTAGCACACTCCCAAGGCACTGTATTTTTCGCTCTATAAGACGCACCAGACCATAAGATGCACCTAGTTCTTGGAGGAGGAAAACAAGAAAAAAAATATTCTGAATCCCAGAAGCCAGAACAGCAGGAGGGATCTGGCTTCTGGGATAGCCTCTTGCTGTTCTGGCTTCTGGGATAGCCGTGCGAAGCCTCTCCTGGGCAGGGGGATGAAGGGAAAAGCCCCCAAGAGCCGTACACACACTCCCCGCAGCTCTTTAAAGGGAGCGCTGAGCAGAGCCGCCCACCTGCATTCGCTCCATAAGACGCACACACATTTCCCCTTACTTTTTAGGAGGTGAAAAGTGTGTCTTATGGAGCGAAAAATACGGTAGTTTTCCGGGCTTCTTCAGTGGTCTAATCTCAAAGCCTTGATATGTATATTGGTATTCAGTTTCATAGAGAATACTATTTCTTAGCTTAAGCTTAAGAGACTGATTTGCTTAGCAGATAGTATTCGCTATGAAATGCTCTACCTTGGGAGTGTGCTACCTGCAGAGTGAGAGTCTTTTGGTCCAGCACTCTGACAAGAGGATTTGCACCAGACCAAGAAAGGGGCACCTGGAATTCAAAACAGAAGTCAGGAATGGCTTCTCTGATCCATGATGTGGGCAGCCAGATGCCTCAATGGGAAACCTGGAAGCAGGGTCTGAGCACAAGAGTCCTCTCCCTTCCTGTGGCTTCCAGAAACTGGGATTCAGAAGCATTTCTGCCTCCAGCTGTGGAGACAGAGGAGAATCATCCTGGTGAGCAGCCATCAATAGCCCTCTCCTCCGCCATGAGTCTGTCTCACCCCCGTTTAAAGGTTTTAAAGGTTTGTGGCAACCAATAATCCCTCCTGTGGCAGTGAGTTCCATAGTTCAACTATGCGCTGCGTGAAAAAGTACTTCCATCCAGGTTGGTGGCCATTTAATAATAATAATAATAATAATAATAATAATAATAATAATAATAATTGATTTAAACCCCTCCCATCTGGCTGGGTTTCCCCAGCCACTCTGGGTGGCTTCCAACAGAACACTAAAATACAATAACCTATTAAACATCAAAAGCTTCCCTAAACATTTCTGGCTCCTGCAGCTGTGAGTTCCATAGTTTGAAGCATTGTGCAAAGAACTACTTTCCTTTATCTGTCTTAACTTTCTGACATTCGACTTTGCTGGGTGTCCACAAGTTTTAGTGCTATGAGAGAGAGAGAGGGAAACTTTTCTCTTTGCACTTTCTCCATGAAGTGTACAGTTTTATAAACTTCTATCCTGTCGCCTTTGACTCGCATTTTCTCCAAACTAAAAAAATCCCAAACGAAGCCCCCTTTCTCCATAGGGGGTCTCACTCCACCTCCACCTCATTTTGGTGGCCCTTATCTGAACCTTTTCCAACTCTGCAATGTCCTTCTTGAGGTGAGGTTACCAGAACTCAACACAGTTCTCCAAATGTGGTTGGACCATCAATTTGTACAACCGCATTATGCTATTGGCACTTTTATTTTCAGTCTATTTCCTGACGATCCCTAGCATGGAATTTGCCTTTTTCACGTCCACCGCTTCCTGTAATAAGATCCACTGGACTTTCCCTCTGTTTGCTTCCCCTCCACACACCAGACCTTTAAACAGAGTCAAAGCTTTTGCCTGAATTAATTGTAACCTTAAGCAAACTAGCCAGCTTAATAGAGTCATAACCCAACTTTGCACCAGCTGACAATTAAATTAATTTAACCTATTAAATATGGCGCTCTTATCACAGTTCCCAGAAGGCACAAGCATCATTTCAAATATTTGCCTTTAAAAACCTCAAATTTAACGCACAGATTTTTATTTTATTTTTAAACCACTCAGCATGGCAGAGGGAATTATTAGAGGGTGGGACTGCCCTCTTGTGGCTGGTAGTGGGAATGCCAGTTTTGTGTGATACGTCTCTTCAGTCTGTTTTTCTCCTATTGGCCAAAGAGTGAGAAGCTCAGGGAGATGGTCCTCATGGTTGGTCATCATACAAGTAAGCCCAAGGCTACAGAGAGAAGCTGAAAAACTATCTACGGGTCAGGGTGCCCATTTTTGAAATATATCCGACTCTTCAAAATAAAAGAAAAAATCCAGTCTCAATCTCAGCCAGTCTTCGCAACCTGGTGCTCTCTAGGTGTCCCATAACCTGTAAAATTACTTGCCTGAATAAAGATCCTTCTTACTCACACGTGAGAGCCTCTGATTTTGTGATTTGGGGCAGGAGCTAGGACTCAAGTTCCCACCATTCCTGCCCCCGTGTTCCCCCCTCCTGTGCCAGAGCCTGCCAAGCCAAACTCGATCCCGACGTGCTCGTGTTGGGGCAGGTGGGAGTTGCAGCCCATCGCAAGGAAGACAAAGGCGGCAGGAAGGGGAGAGACTCCATCCGAGAAGGCCTCCTTCCACCTGCCTTGCTCCACCCTCTAGTCTCTGCTTCTCAATTTGTATTATATTATTTTATGTACTGTGGCTTGCAGTTGTTTTACTGATTATTGTTGTTGTTGTTTAGTCGTTTAGTCGTGTCTGACTCTTCGTGACCCCCTGGACCAGAGCACGCCAGGCACCCACTGTCTCCCACTGTCTTCCGCTGTCTCTCTCACACCCCTATGTGGAAAGATAAGGGGGACAGTATGCCCCCCACCCAATGTTTTCCCCACCACAAGTGAAAAACAGCAAAGGCAGAGCGAAGGAGTCTGGGATGTTGTTGTTGTTTAGTCGTTTAGTCGTGTCCGCCTCTTCATGACCCCCTGGACCAGAGCACGCCAGGCACTCCTGTCTTCCATTGCCTCCCGCAGTTTGGTCAGACTCATGTTAGCAGCTTTGAGAACACTGTCCAACCATCTCGTCCTCTGTCGTCCCCTTCTCCTTGTGCCCTCCATCTTTCCCCACATCAGGGTCTTTTCCAGGGAGTCTTCTCTTCTCATGAGGTGGCCAAAGTATTGGAGCCTCGGCTTCAGGATCTGTCCTTCCAGAGAGCACTCAGGGCTGATTTCCTTAAGAATGGAGAGGTTTGATCTTCTTGCAGTCCATGGGACTCTCAAGAGTCTCCTCCAGCGCCAGAATTCAAAAGCATCAATTCTTTGGCGATCAGCCTTACTGATTATAGTTTAGAAATTATTTATTGTAACTGTTGAATGGACTTCTGTTTAACTTGTATATGTTATTATTATTTAATACTATTCTAATGATTGTTGAATGTTACTTTTTGATGTAAAAAGGTAAAGATAAAGGGACCCCTGACCATTAGGTCCAGTCGTGGCCGACTCTGGGGTTGCGGCGCTCATTTCACTTTATTGGCCGAGGGAGCTGGCGTACAGCTTCCAGGTCATGTGGCCAGCATGACTAAGCCGCTTCTGGCGAACCAGAGCAGCGCACGGAACCGCCGTCTACCTTCCTGCCGGAGCGGTACCTATTTATCTTCTTGCACTTTGACATGCTTTTGAACTGCTAGGTTGGCAGGAGCAGGGACCGAGCAACGGGCGCTCACCCTGTCGTGGGGATTCGAACCACCGACCTTCTGATCGGCAAGCCTACCCACATCCCTCTAACCACAGCGCCACCCGCATCCCTCATAGTTTAGAAATTATTTATTGTAACTGTTGAGGAGATTTCTGTTTAACTTTTATATGTTATTATTATTTAATACTATTCTAACAATTGTTGAATGTTATTTTTTTGATGGAGGTTGCCTATTTTAAAGTTATGTTTTATTATCACATTTTTGTATTGCATTTGATTGTTATAAGATGTACATTTTTTGTTTCTTCAGCTTGTTAACTGCCTTGAGTATTGTAAGATAGAAAGGCGGTATACAAATTAAAAATGGTGATGATGATGATGATCTAATCTCGCAGCCTATCCAGGCAGTGGCTTGCAAGGAGGGACCTAAAACATCCTTGTATGCTTCTGAACACCGATGGGCTCAGCTGAGACTGCTGGTGCCCCTTCCTCCTTTCTCACTGGTTTGTCTATCTGGCATCCGGCACCTGAGCCAGATGCGAGAGGGAGGTGGTGACAAAGGAATGTGGGAAGATGCTTTATCCCTGACCATTTGCCCCTCTAGCTCAGGGCCCTCGTATTTACGGGACCGACTCTCCTGGTCTGCCCCACAGAGGACCTTAAGGTCCATGAATAATCACAGTTTAGAGGTCCCGGGCCCTAAGGAAGTCAGACTATCCTCCACCAGGGCCAGGGCCTTTTCAGTGGTGGCTCCGACCTGGTGGAATGCTCTGTCCCATGAGACCAGGGCCCTGCAGGATTTAACCTCCTTCCGTCGGGCCTGTAAGACAGAGCTATTCCGCCTGGCTTTCAATTTGAACTTAGCCTGATCTTTTATTTCCCTTCTCTTCTCTTCCCTCCCCTTCCCCTTTTATGAAGATCACCCGCTCTGAGACCCCACAGCTAATTCTCCCCTGGTCTCCTTGCTGGCCCAAGGAAGACCAATTCAGCCAGCTAGCCCTGGGGATTATCTAATCGATTTTTTATTTTTTTATTTTACTGTTATTCATGTTTTTATACTGTATTTTATGCTGCTTTTATAATTAAGTGTTTTAAGTTTGTTGTTAGCCGCCCTGAGCCCAGTTTTTGTACCGGGAAGGGCAGGGTATAAATAAAAATTTATTATTATTATTATTATTATCATTATCATGACTCTGACTTGTCATGGCTCTCCAGGGTTGTAGACAGAGGGAAAGATATAATAACAACAACAACAACAACAACAACAACAACAACAATTTCCCCCATCATCACGCGCTGTCTGATCTTTCTAACCAGAGATGCAGGGGACTAAATTTGGAACCATCTGCACGCAAAGGAGGGGCTCTGCCACTGTGCTACAGAAGGTAAAAAGAGCCTGTTGGATCAGGTCAATGGCCCATCTAGTCATGGCAGGGCAGGGGGTTGGACTAGATGACCCTTGGGTCCCTTCCAACTCTAGTCTATGATTCTATCACTAAAAGAAGCAAGTTTTAGAAAAACAAAAGAGCTGCCTCATTGGCACAGATCCTTCTCTTTGCTATCAACAGGCCCTCCCAGTGACAATCCATTTGCCCTCATTTCATCGCTGCCAGATGTTTGCTTGGTTGTTGTTCCGCCTGGCCTTTGGCTTGGAATCAACTTGATCCCCTTCCCCTCTTTCCTTTCTCCTTCTGTGATGGAACTCCTGTTTGGGGACTTCCCTGCCTTTTTTCTGGCCCACGTAGGACCAGTCTGGATAGTTGGCCTTGGTGAAGACTTGACGTTTTCATCCCCCAAAAGTTTTTGAGTTTCTGCTGAAATGAGGCTGCATTTTAATGTTTTAATGTTGTATTGTAATCTTGTTTTTAAGTTGTATTTCAATCAATTTGTTTTATATTTGGTGTTAGCTGCCCTGAGCCCGGTCTTGGCTGGGGAGGGCGGGGTATAAATAAAATTTGTTGTTGTTGTTGTTGTTTTTGCAATGACTCTAAAGAGACTCAAGGTCACTCCAAATGCAGTGGAAAGGAGAAACGTTTTATTAAAACAATGCAGGAAATGCAGTTTGTGTGTTTATGTGTGTGCACCCTCTCGGAAACGGCAGAGCTGAAGGGAAAGGAGGAAATGCCACGATCTTGTGAGTGACAGGGTCTTGCTGGAATCCTTCTGCACTCAAAACCCAGTCTGTGTTTTCCCGGAAGGAGCCCGGCCTGATTCAAATGCATTGTACAGTTTGAAAGATGATGTTGTGGGGCAAATTGGTCTGGAACTAGCTGGCCTTTTCTGCGACTGCCCTTGCGCTCCACTGAGTACCTTCTGGTCTCCTCTTCGACTCACGCAGACAACACAAGCAGATCCTGCAAAAAAGGGCGAAACCAAGAGCTTCAGTTCTCATTTCTGGGACCCCCTCAGCTCTGGTCCAATATCATCATTAGTGGACTCATAAAATTAATATAATAATAATAATTTATTATTTGTACCCCGCCCATCTGGCTGGGTTTCCCCAGTCACTCTGGGCGACTCCCAACAAAGATTAAAAATACATTAAAGTGTCACACATCAAAAACTTCTTCCCATAAGAACACAAAAAGAGCCCAGACTCTGGACCAGACCAAAGGCCGATCTAATCCAGGATAAAGCAATATTTCAAGATATTGTGACCAAATTCTGCATGACGGTTCCTGACATCAAGGGACAAATTTTTGTCTGTGTTTGGATATAACTGGATGCCATTTTGAATCAAGATGGTGGGCTGAAACTTTCAAAACGCCAAATTTAACCAAATTTAAGAAACCATAACCCAAATTTGCGTGACGGTTCCTGAGATCAAGGAGTTGGATTTTCTCCATGTCTTGATACGATTGGGTGCCATTTTGAAGCAAGATGGTGGACTTTCAGAACCACACTGATTTTAACCACTGATTTCCAAACTGTACTTTTTGGTTTCTAAGAATTCTCAAAGAACTCCAGGCACTTTCTGCTAGTAAGTCAATTTAAAAGTCTTCAGGCGTCAAATGCTTCTTTGGGAATGAGCTTAAGCCTGTCGTGACAATTAAGGTGTGACAGAATACCGCCAGGAATTTTCAGAGTTGGTGCACTTACTTCAATGACATCAATGTCAGCGTTGTCAAAGTCTATATTCAGCAACTTGGGGAGAGGAACTCCATTACCTAACACACCTGCAGCCAGAAAGGAGAAAAAATATTAGTTTTCTAGTACGAAGGGGAAACTGTATGTGATGAGGTTGTCTCATCTTATTTATTTTGTACATGCTTCACAAATGCAATTTTACTGCTGATTTTCTGCTGTTTGCATCCATGGTATTTCCCCACAATGTTGGCAGTATAGATCTTTTTTTGATAAATATTGTTTTGTTCTGATATCTGCCACAAAATATCACCTGCAGAAAGAGGCAGATTTGATTATTCCCTCCGGGAGAGATGGAACGAGGGATCCCAAAGGTGTGGGAATGTTCAGGGATGCAGGAGAGGATATATTGTTTGATTATAGCTTTTCCAACTTGTGTAAACAAGTTCACAATTTAGCAGAGCAACATTCCTCTTTTTAAACTTGCAGCGGATGGGTTTGCTCAGGCTCGCTAAAGCCTCTATAATAACTGTTCTTGTATTTTCCCCTTATTCCCTCATAAAAGATAAGACACAACCCAGTCTTCTATAAAAGTATAAAAAGGTTTACTCACACATCATTCTGTTCACAATAGGATCCCAGAAGGCAGACTTAGCTTAGAAAAGTAACATACACCTGGAAACTATCTCATAAGGAGAAAGTCCCTCTGCATCTTTGGCTAAGCAGATGTTGCTTCTTCGATGCATGTAGTCAAAGGGAGAGAGATGGCTGCCCTGCCCTGTGCTTTTGTCGTTACCTGCACAGGTGAGGCCACGCCCACCTCTAGTCACATGCAGAGGAAGTCTGTCCCAGCCCAGAAGGAAACAGGAAGTTTACCTGCTGGCTGGACAAACATTCCTCCCCTTGTGTAAACATGTTCACTCTAGGAATGTTGTACTTGACTGCTCTTGTGTTTCACATCCCACAAAAGGGAAACGTAACAAGATATGGGAAGACCAATAGGTCAGCACCTTTCGGGATGGGAGAGCCTTCTTTTCCAGGAGTGATCTAAAGCTTTCAAATTCTGTGGGATCCCTAAAGCAGGTTGTAGGAATCTGGCTACCTGTCCCTGGTGTCAGATGAGCAGCAAGATTTGTGCAAGCGGCTTCTACAGAAATTGGGAGTTTCAGATTTCTCCTGAAACCAGGAAACCAGAGTCTCCAAAATGTACTGAGCTGTAGCAAATATGAGCTGGGCCTTCCAAGAACAAATTTCTCTATTTTGCATTCTTTCTGGTTCACACCTGCCCCTATTTTAAGGTTACCAGATTCTTTTCAATGAATCCGGGGACACTTTTCAGCTTCAGCAGGAATGATAGGATTTTGTATGGGGACTGATTTGTTAATCTGGGGACTGTCCCCAGGAAACAGGGACATCTGGTAACCTTATCCTATTTATAAAAAATGATAAGACTGTCAACGTTTCTTGGAATAAGTGTTCCACTTGGGAGTGGAAGACCTTTGCACATTTATGAATGATCCTTGCTGTTTTCTGTCAAAATACTGTCCAGATTGCTATTACACCTGCTGCTAAACTGGACCCTTTCACGTCCGATCTTCTTCTATGAAACAATCTACATTTTCCCATCATTTTTATTTTTTATTTTGCAACCAATCACCTCTCTATTTATTTAATTTCCCTGAGCTGTGGCTCTTCTCCATCCCTGCAGCAAAGCAATTTTTATTCAGGGATCCAAAATCAAGGCTACCTGCGACATCCCTGCACTCCCATCTCATTTCAGCTCTCTGAGCAAAAGATGTCTCCAGGACTACAGACTGAACTGCCCATGGCTTGGCACGCAATTAGTTCCGCTCTGAATTTTCATGCAGCGCGAAAGAAAGTTGTTGGAATGTCAAATCATGGTTTTGTAGAACGTCCTTACCATTCATAGCGGGAAGGAACGCAACATCAAAGATCTTGCTGACCAGCCCCTCCATGAGGGAGACCTGCGTCAACAAAAGAAGTGATTTTCAGTTCAGTTGATAAGTTTATTGTTCTCATCAAAGAGCATGAGAAACCTGTAGCGATAGCATCAATAAAATAATATATATACAGCCATACCTCGGGTTACAGACGCTTCAGGTTGCATTTTTTCGGGTTACGGACCCACCGGAACCCGGAAGTAGCAGAGCAGGTTACTTCCTGGTTTTGGTGGTTGCGCATGCGCAGAAGTACTAACTCGCACTTTGCACATGCGCAGAAGCACCGAATTGCAGCCCGCATGTGCGCAGACGGGTTGCGAATGCTGCGGGTTGTGAACGTGCCTCCCGCACAGATCACATTCACAACCTGTCCACTGTACTGGTTATACTGTTTTTATGTAGTGTTTCCATTTTTATGATACTATTTTATTTATTCATGTTGTATATTTTGCACACCGCTTAGGAATTTTAAAATAATAAGTGGAGAGCTGGGAAGCAGAGTTCTCTCCATCAGCTCTGCTGTCACAGGTCAGCCCCATCAGGAACTACAGCTTAGAAATTGGTGCCTGAGCTTTTATTTCTCCTCTTCCCTCCTTGTCCCTTTCTCCTTGTGTGTCGTGTTCATTTCTCACGCTTTTTAGATTTTAAGCCTCTGAGTAGGGACCATCTTGCTTTGATTGTACGTAAGCCACTCTGGGAGCCTTTTTTTGGCTGAAGAGTGGGGTACAAATGTTCTGAATAAATAAATAGATATAACATATTCTTACATCAAATTTCCCAATGGACGAGGAAGCCACTGAGAGATGTGACCTGCAGAAAAAGAAGAAAAAGTGAGAGCAGTCATTGAGGATTCAGGCAACCTTAGTTGACTCCAGGGAGGGAAATAGAGATCAGATGCAAAAGGCCTTTCCCACATCCCCTCTAAAGGGAGGAAGCACAACTCAGGGAAGGAATGAGGAGAGAGATCTTCAAGTGTTATTTTTATTAATAAAAACCATTTAAAAACAAAATAGGCTTCTAAGCAGTTTACAAGTTTAAAAACCAATTGCACAAATGTTGAAATATAAACTTCCATAATTAAAATGTGTAACAAAACAATCCCATTATAACACTTAAAATATAAGTGCCCATAAGTTAAGAAATGCCACACTTACTTCTCAAGAGCAACGCTGATTTTCAGTTTGTTGTCCTCAACGGAAAACGAGGCCAGCAAAGTTGTGTCCTGCGGTGAAAAATGGGGAAATGGTTCGTTTCTTAACCAAGCCCTTCCTGATTCCCCGTAAGCCCTAGAAAAGTCTGGGTCCCCTAACCATGACTCAATGACTCGAGAGTCACCCCCTGTCTTGACTTTCCCATTGCAGGGCCACACCGGTGGTGGCTCCATCGCATCTTCAATCTGTCCATATCACGCTGCCAGCGTCAGATAAATACTTGCCAAATGGCCATAATTATAGTGTTTCTAACACTACTAAGTTCCTCGGCCAGAGCCTGAAACACAGAATGTGTATCCCTATATAAATTTGGACAATATTTTAGAAGTTCGTTGTGGTCCTAGGGGTGGAGCTGATGTAAGGACCACATGGGGACAAGCATGTATGGCAAGCAAGTATACCTGAAGGAGCAACTCCACCCCATTGTTCAGCCTGAGGTCCAGTGCCGAGGGCCTTCTGGCGGCTCCCACCCCGTGAGATGTGAGGTTACAAGGAACCAGGCAGAGGGCCTTCTCGGTGGTGGCGCCCGCCCTGTTGGAACGCCCTCCCAGCAGATGTCAAGGAGGTAAACTTTCTGACTTTTAGAAGACATCTGAAGGCAACCCTGTTTAGGGAAGTTTCTAATGTTTGATGTTTTATTGTGCTTTAATCGGTCCCAGCTCCTGCCAACCTAGCAGTTCGAAAGCACGTTGAAAGTGCAAGTAGAAAGTGCAAACCAAACCAAACCAAACTGGAATGTTTTAATGTGGTTTTTATTGGGTTATTAAATTGGAAAACTTAATAAATATTATTTGGAAGAAAAACAACGACTGGCCCAGAGATGGAAAGAAGCTAAAGTCCTGACCAGAGACGAATAACTGATGAAGATTATTCAAGAAAAACAGGGAAAATAAGGGAAGCACTGGGAAAAGATTGAAAATGGTAACCATGGAAGGGCGAAGGGGAATCAAAGCATTCAGGGAATCCTAAATGATGATGATGTTTATTGTTTGAATTTAAATTTGTATTGTAAAACGCAATAAAAAAATATTTTTTTTAAAAAAGGAAGCCTATTCCAGAGGGAGGGAGTGAAAGTGGGAAGGTGTGATGCCGTCATTTCTCGATACTCACAATTTCCAGGGTGCAGAGAGATTGATGAGCGTCATTTGGCTTCGACGCCAGTATTTCAGCGCTGGCCATGAGGTGGATCAGGCCCTTGTCTTTCTGCAGCTTCACTGTCGGAACATCAGGGACCGACACCTTCAGAAGGAGGGAGCGCGGCTCTGGGAACATCTGGAACACCTGCAAACCACGTTCGCTTTGTTACTTGCTTGTTGCGTTTATAGCCCACCTGTGTCTGGAGGGCACCGGGTTGGGGATGCCTGCTGTAGATATCCCTTAAAATATATTGAGACTGAAGTGAAAGAATTTATGCAGGGCTAAAGGTCTAATGGGTGGTTTTCTTTGAATTTATGATACCTGTACAGGTATTTTTGCAATGACCTCTGAGTGGCAAACAGTCCTTTTGTTCTTGCAGTTGTTAGTTATGTTTTATGCAGGAACCAGGAAATGGAGAATCTTCTTGTTGTTTTTAAGTGGGTGCCAATGGAATTATTGCAGCGCCCTTTGCGCAGCTTTTCCCCACCGGAGGCTGCTTGGATTCCAAAGTTCACCTGTGCAGGTAAAACTAAGCTGAAGCGCACCAGGCTGCCCGGGCAGAGCTCAGATCCGGGCAGCACAGCGTCAAGTGAGTGGACTCACCGAAGGAATCAAGGCCCCGAGAGTCGATGTCGTCAGAGGAGGAAGCTCAGGGAACTGGGGAGAAGGAAGGGGGAAAGAAAATGGGCAAAAGATAACGCAGACTCCCCAGCTCTTTGCTAGTTATTTTACTTCTTCATGCAGTGCACCGTTAAACTATGGAACTCCCTGCCACAGGAGGCAGTGGTGGTGACTAAGGTGGATGGCTTCCAAAGAGGCTTGGACAGTGATCCATGTGACGGTCACCTCCAGGCTTGATTATTGTAACTCACTCTACGCAGGGCTGCCCTTGAAGCTGACCCAGAAACTCCAGCGGGTGCAGAATGCCGCGGCGAGGTTCTTTACCGGGTCCTTGCCGCAGAACCACATTCTCCTCCACCTCCTGTAAGCCCCACAACTTCCCAGTGACGGACATTAGGCTGAGAGGCAGTGACTGGCTCAAGGTTACACCAATTGGGCTTCACAGCCAAACGAGGATTTGAACTCTGGTCTCCCTGGTACTAGTGTGACACTCTAACCAGTACACAAGATACACTCTTGCTGCATTTTTTGGGTGGAGAAGTGCTTCCCAAAATCAGAGCAAAGGTGAATTTCAAAGGAATGGTGTGCTCCGTTCACATACTGTTTTGGGGAATACTCAGTAGCTTCACATTAAAATGAGAAGTGGGTTTCTGCACTGCAGAGTGCCTTGCCTTGCAACTACATAACCAAAAGCAAAGATTTGGCACTTGGGACGAGGCAGGCGAATTTGGAAAACAAGGGTCTAGTTTTCTGAATTCCCCCCTGTTATGTACTGAGTTGAATAGGATACAAAATGCAGCAGTCTGATTGGTCCTAGAACAATAGGGTCCAGAATGCAGCAGTCTGATTGGTCCTAGAACAATAGGATTCAGAATGCAGCAGTCTGATTGGTCCTAGAACAATAGGGTTCAGAATGCAGCAGTCTGATTGGTCCTAGAACAATAGGATCCAGAATGCAGCAGTCTGATTGGTCCTAGAACAATAGGATCCAGAATGCAGCAGTCTGATTGGTCCTAGAACAATAGGATCCAGAATGCAGCAGTCTGATTGGTCCTAGAACAATAGGATTCAGAATGCAGCAGTCTGATTGGTCCTAGAACAGTAGGGTCCAGAATGCAGCAGTCTGATTGGTCCTAGAACAAGAGGATTCAGAATGCAGCAGTCTGATTGGTCCTAGAACAATAGGATTCAGAATGCAGCAGTCTGATTGGTCCACAGAAGCCACCCAGTCCAGGTAGAAATGAATCCGCAACCTGATTGGCCTACAGGAGAATCCCAGAATTAGCCAATCACGTGGGGCCCACTGTGTAAATAATGTATATAAAGCAGACATTTCAGGGGAACTTCCATTCCTCCTCCCCACTATGAGCTGAATGAAGAGCAGGAAATCCACTCTCGACTCCGAGTAGATTTCACCCCCTGTGCCTTCAGCTTCCCGCCTGGCTGGGAGGTGCCAAGAGATGCCCCCCCCCCCCAGCATCCGCTTCCCAACTCACCATCCCATCCGAGATGTCGATGTTCAGGGCCTCTTGCTTCTGCAGAACAGCCACGACGGAGCTGAGGAAGTTCACCGACAGCCCCAGCTGAGAGTTGGTTGTGTCGGCCATGGGAGGCATGGGGGGCATTGGCACCCTTTGCGGCATGGGGGGAGCTTCCGGCTTGCCCAGCGGGTAGTTAAGGAGGGGTCCGGCCACCTGCCCAACCGCAGTCTAGAGGGAAGGAACAAGGATGTGAGGCAGGCGGTCCCATTTTGCTGCGTGCGTGATGGGATGGAATCCTAGCTTTGAGGCGGTTTTCAAGGTCATCTAAGAAAGGTGGCAGGGACACAGGTGGCACTGTGGGTTAAACCACAGAGCCTAGGGCTTGCCGATCAGAAGGTCGGCGGTTCGAATCCCCGCAACAGGGTGAGCTCCCGTTGCTCGGTCCCTGCTCCTGCCAACCTAGCAGTTTGAAAGCACATCAAAGTGCAAGTAGATAAATAGGTACCACTCTGACGGGAAGGTAAACGGCGTTTCCGTGCGCTGCTCTGGTTCGCCAGAAGCGGCTTCATCATGCTGGCCACATGACCCGGAAGCTGTGCGCCGGCTCCCTCGGCCAATAAAGCGAGATGAGCGGCGCAACCCCAGAGTCGTCCGCGACTGGACCTAACGGTCAGGGGTCCCTTTACCTTTTTAAGGAAGGTAACAGGAAACACTAGTCTAATAATCCTGGCAGCTTGAAGGCCTGGATGTGAAATTTCCCAGCCTGGCTCATCTCCACAGTCAACCCAGGCTTTTTGCCCTGAGCTGCTAAATTTATTGGGATGCCAGTGAAGTCTTGCACTGTCATTGGCTACTAACCACAATGGCTCTGCTCTGCCCACAACAGTTGAAGAGAGTGATGCTTCTGAACATCAATTGCTGGAGACCACAGGAGAGGAGAAATTTGCTCTTGCCCTTGGGTCCTCCTCGTGAGTTTCCCATAATGGGCATCTGATTGGCTGCTGTGAGAACAGGACACTGGACTAGATGGGCCATGGGCCTGATCCAACAGGCTATCCTTATGTTCTTACTTAAGAGGGACATTATCCCATTATCCTTTGCCAAAGGGCAAAAGATGCCATGCAGTGGCACGGAATAAACAGCTGCCCCTTCTGCATCCCAGGCTGGGACATTCTCTGTCCTCAGGCAATGCAACCACCGGCCGAGGTGTCACAAATTTGTCCAGAGCCAGCCTGGAAGGAGATCTGTGACTTGAAGTGCTAATACTTCAGGCTGACCCAGTCAAGGCAAAGTACTGCTTATCACACCCCTTTCCTAGGGCTCATCCTCACCGCACCTGAACATCCACGTTTTCTGCTTTCGTTTTGTCCTCTGCTGACCTCCACAGGTTCATACCTGACCGCTTTGTGCACAGATAACAAAAGTTTTGAAACCTGGAGTTAGGGCTTCAATGGATTTATCTTGGTTTTCATTCCCTCCACCCCTCTGTCTGCTTATGGACCTGCCCCTCCTTTCTTCATCGGTGCCTGTACACACACACACACACACACACACACACACCAAAACACATGCACCATTTGTTATCACTTCTCCCCCCCAAAAAGCATGCTGCAAAACAGGAATAGAGAAGATTTCCACCCAGAAATAGGCAGATGGGTTTAGGGCATCGGGTTCCCAGACCTTGAGGAACTTCGCACTGTGTGAATCCCATTGACTTCCTTCCTTCCCTTCCACCTTTGTGCTTAGATTTCCCTCTCTCCATCTCTTTCCATCTCTCCATCCCCAGGGGAGAGAAAGAAAGCTTTGCCCTCCCCTTGGAGGAAGGGAAGGAAGGAAAAAGAGACACAAAGCTTCTCTCTCTCACACACACACACTTGGAAGCGAAAGAAGGAATGGCCTCCCCAACACTCCCCGCCTCCTTGTTTAAAGCCCTATACGGCCTAGGACCCTCATACCTACGGGACCGCCTCTCCTGGTATGTCCCACGGAGGACCTTACGGTCTTCAAACAAAAACATCTTGGAGGTCCCGAGCCACAGGGAGATCAGACTGGCCTCAACCAGAACCAGGGCCTTTTTGGCCGTGGCCCCGATCTGGTGGAACGTTCTGTCATAAGAGACTGGCTCACCTGGAAAACTTGTGCATGCCATCGATATCACACACATCTGATTTTTCTGAAAGAGCTAATAGCGTGTCTTTGGGGAAGGTGAACAAAACACAACACTTTGTGGCTCTAGGCAGCTGCCACCACAACCGCCTACCGACCAGAAATGAACAGGGTCGCTCCCAGAAGCGACAATGAGGACTAGAGTCCTACAAAGGAGGTGGAGGCAGAAGGGAGGTGGAACTCAACCAAGCAGAGATAGCGGAGGACATGTCCACCAGTGTGACCTCACCAGCAGATTCTTAAGATCGCTTTTCGCTTTACTACCAGTTAGCGAAAAGATGGGAAATCAAAATGCCATCCTGGCAGTAGGAAAGTCTTTTGTTCTTGCAAAATAATGAGGGAAGAAGTAGGGCACAAAATGAATTAAGTGGGGGTGCAGATGGAGCCCTGGACAAACTGGCCCTTGGTCCACGAGTCCCTCCCATACCTCAGCAAGGAGCTGTGATTTCCCCTTCCCCAAATAAGACCCAATTTTCATGCCTCTGACTTTTTTGCCCTGTTTGGAGAGAACCTTTTGATGCTCTTCACAGTCTGAGTTTTCATAATCCAGTATAGCTGGGCATCATCTGCAAATCTTTTCTGACACTTGAAACAACAACTGCAAAATTTTATCTGAGACTCTGAGGAAGAAGGACCTGGTGCCCGCACCTTGCCCATAAGCCACCATCCATGTTCTGTGCTTCTCCAGGATCAAGGCTCTGAAACATACCCTGGGATTCATGAGAGCTGAGACAGGGTTGTGGCTTTCATTTAGCAAGACTGAAAGTTTGAGACTCTCTGCCTTAGTCTTTGGCTCATGACACCCAATGCATCCACGTTCCCTGGCGTTCCTATCCATTGCCTGATACAGTGGTACCTCTGGTTGCGAACGGGATCCATTCTGGAGGCCCGTTCACAACCTGAACAGAACGAAACCTGCATCTGCGCATGCGCGGGTTGCGATTTGCCGCTTCTGCGCATGCACGTGACATAATTTTGCGCGTCTGCGCATGCGTGAGCGGCAAAACCAGGAAGTAACCCGTTCCGTTACTTCCAGGCCACCATGGGACGCAACCTGAAAATGCTCAACCTGAAGCAAACGTAACATGAGGTATGACTGTGCTTTGCAAACAGTGACAGAGGAAACTAATAGGACAAAGGACTCATCCCTCTCCCATTGTTATCCTCTCTAGTGAGTTCAATAAAAGCAGAGCAAGGAAAGCCAGACTCAAAGTCCACTCCCATGGCGGAAGTTGGCCAAGACCCACAGCCAAGCAAAACAGGTGACTTTGTGGAGTCCGAGCCAATCCACGCAGGGGCCACCCCACCATCAAGATCCATCTCAGCAAACTGGGACTTACATTCAAATCAATTTCCAGGAAATGTCCCGTCACGAGTGGAAGGCTGGAGACAGTGTACTGGACACTTCCCAATATACCCAGAGGGACCAGAGCTGGGAGGAAAGAGAAAGGGAAGGAGGAAGAATTTAGGATTTCTCATGCTTTGGATTGTCAATATTTCCCCAGGCTTCTCATAATCAGGGGATTCTGACTTAACATTAGGAAGAACTTCAGGTGATTCTGATGGCAAGAGCCGTTTGACAGTGCAATAGACACCCCTGGGAAGGTGGTGGGCTGTTAGGTAGCTGAGAACACAACCCCACAGCAGGTTGCCAGGAACGGATAAGACGAGGAAAAGTTCTGACCATCTGCTTTTTATTCAATATTTACGGAGAGAGGCTTGGAACACAGCCTCTTGGAATAATGGTGTTGTCCTGAGTGACTCTCCACCCCATTTTCCTCCCAATTCCTTATTCATCACCATCTCCTCTACGGGTAGTGCTGGGGGCCCTTTGCTTCTAAGCCTTTGCTCTCCTACTTTCAAGGCTCGCCGGGTTCTGGGAGCGGGGATGGTGGTGGTCTGGAATGCTTTCTAAAGACACTGTATCCATCAGCTGTCGCCCTCCTGGTGGTTCTTCTTCTTCCTCCACCTCTCCCATTATTTCCCAGCTTTTCCCCTCATCTGCCTCTGAGCTGTGACCTCCCTCAAGCCCCCGTTGTAATTCTGAACTGTCTTCTTTGTCTCTGGAAGGGTCAGGCTGGGGAGGAGGTCTTCACCGTTCCTCCTCTGCCTGGTCCCTGACATGGACTCCCCTTCACTGGATGTGATGGCCTGGGACTCGGGCTCAGACTCGGAACCAGAGGAGTCTCAGTCCGCGCCGGATCCTTTGCCTCAGGCATCACCTGAACCAAGTCTGGGGCCTGATTCTGAAGAGCCCCAGTCTGCACAGGTTCTCCTGCAACAAGCACCAGCTGGGCCGAGTCAGGGGCCTGAGCCTGCCCTGGCTCCAGATGCAGGGATTACCTCCTTGCCTCCAGCTGGGCCATCGCTTACAGCTGCTCCACTACCGGTTGGGTCAGGGGAGGCTGAGGTGGCCCCTGGGTCTAGTAACCTGCCGATGTCTCCCCAGCTGCAGAGACTCAGGTCTGAGAGAAGGAGAGACCTGAGTACTCGCAGGAGGAGTGCTCGCCTTCGGGCGAGACAGGGAGGTGAGTCGCCAGGGGATCAGGACCGCCGTTACCCCGACAGAGATAAAAGGCTGTCGGACCCCGCCCCAGGTTGCAGGAGCAGTGAGATCATCCATATGAAAGAATGGGAAGACAGAAGGAACCACAAGAGACACTTACAGTTCACAAGTCCCAGCTGATCGTTCACTAAGCCCAGTGTGATGTCTAGGACTGGACACAGCTGAAAAATTCAATGTTCTAATGAGACATTTGTGGCAAAATGTCTGGAATCAAATGGTAATACATGCAAAGCAATTGTGCTCGCAGTTATTTTTTTCTTCCTCCTTTTAAGTTTCGTCAAAGACTATCTCTTTTTTATTATTTTTATTTATGCATTTTCCAAAATTTAATACGTGCATCTCACAATTCTCTTTATTCATCTCATTTCTCCGGACATCAAATACTTCTCTCACAAGGACAGAGTTTGGTGCCCAAGCCAGGAACTACACTGAATTTCTACAAGTATTTCTATCCTAATACATTTCCTGAGCCTGATCCCATTGCACATTGGATGATACTTGCCCCGGCTGATCACTTACCAGTTCTGGAAGGAGCTTGTTCAGGACACGTGCCAATAAATTATCCACAATAGGGAGTAGGCTGGAGCGGGGTGGGGGGGGGGGAGAAAGAAAGGAAAAAATTATCCCCAAAAAACCACCCAAACAGTGTAAAAAAGAAGTAATTAAGTATTGTCTGCAGTCTTAAAAACAAGCAAGATGTGAATGAAAACCAACGAATTTGCTTGACTGATTTTCAGTCCTGAACATAGATGGACATGAAAACTGCAAGAGTGTTACTGAAATTCTCGAATACCCCTAAGCATGGGCAAAGGGAACTTTCTCCTTTGCAAACCAGCTTGAGTTTAAAGCCAGTCTGCAAAGGGGGGTGCTTCATCAGCTGCTGTGTCAAAGTGACCGAAATATACTCAGAATCGAGAGCGGATTTCATGCTCTTTATTCAGCTCATACTGGTGAGGAGGAATGGAAGTTCCCCCAGAATGTCTGCTTTATATACATTATTTACACAATGGGCCCCACGTGATTAGCTAATTCCGGGATTCTCCTGTAGGCCAATCAGGTTGCGGATTCACTTCCACCTGGAGCTGGATTGGGTGGCTCCTGTGGACCAATCAGACTGCTGCATTCAGGGTCCTATTGTTCTAGGACCAATCAGACTGCTGCATTCTGGGTCCTATTGTTCTAGGACCAATCAGACTGCTGCATTTTGGATCCTATTGTTCTAGGACCAATCAGACTGCTGCATTCTGTCTCCTATTGTTCTGGGACCAATCAGACTGCTGCATTCTGAATCCTATTGTTCTGGGACCAATCAGACTGCTGCATTCTGTCTCCTAGAATCATAGAGTTGGAAGAGACCACAAGGGCCATCGGGTCCAACCCCCTGCCAAGCAGGAAACACCATCAGAGCACTCCTGACATATGGTTGTCAAGCCTCTGCTTAAAGACCTCCAAAGAAGGAGACTCCACCACACTCCTTGGCAGCAAATTCCACTGTCGAACAGCTCTTACTGTCAGGAAGCTCTTCCTAATGTTTAGGTGGAATCTTCTTTCTTGTAGTTCTGGGACCAATCAGACTGCTGCATTCTGAAGCCTATTATTCTAAGACCAATCAGACTGCTGCATTTTAGATCCTCTTCAACTCAGTAGATAACACCCACCCAGGGGACATCAGGGGAAATCAGGATCTGGCCCACCAACCTCATCCCTGGAATAAATAATGGGAGTCGCTCCATCCCCAACCCCATAAGACGTCAGGTTGGTCAGATGGATGCAGCTCACCCTCTAAGCAGCCTGACTTTAATGCCTCCAAGAAGGGTGTCACAATGGTCGATCACCAGCTTGGGGTAGCCTGTGCCATCCATGGTCAGGCGGACAATGGCCGTGAGGTTCACCTCCACTGCGATGTCAAGGAACCCAAGAAGGCTGCATTGGAATGAAAAGAGAGAGTCTGGTGAAGTTTCTTTGCATGATGCTTTTAATAGCCTTCCCCATCCTGGGGTCCTCCAAAGGTTTTGGATGACATCTCCCACCATCCCCATCATCATACAGCCATGCTGACTGAAGCAGCTGTGGTTCAAAACATCTGGAGGGCACTAGGTCAGGGAAGGCTGCTTTTAAGTTGTTGGGAGGAGGTTGCACTTCCCACATCTGTAAGATGAATGAGCCAGTTGAAGCTTTTTCATTGGAGGGGAGTCTGTTTGGGATGCCACCACTAGGTGAAGGCCAAGGAACAGCGAGCCGGTCAAAGGCCTTTTCTGTTGCATTCCCCTCGTAGTGAAACTCTCTGCCTCTGGAGATCCATCACTTACCACAAATATTGTGGACATATTGTGGCTATTGAGGACATATTTTTCACTCAGCCTTTGAGGTTATTGCCAATTAGGCTGAGGAAAACTGGAAAACAGTCTATATGGAATTGTTCCAACTTGCTGTTTCAAGGTTGAAGATGATTTTTATGTTACATTCTCTTATGTGTTTGACAATTTGATTTGTGAATTGCTCCGGGGGTTTCTAAACTAACCTACTATATATTGCGGAAAGCTGTTTGTTGTGCATTCGGACACTTCGTAAGATATCATAACCGAATTTATCATGGTAGTTCCTCAGATCAAGGGACAGGTTTTCATCTGTGCTTGAATACAAATGAGTGCCAGCTTGAAGCAAGATGGAAGATCAAACCCTTCAAAATTGCACTGATTTTAACCACTGAGGTTTGTTTGTTTTTTCTTATAATTTCCAAGCAACACTGGGTACAAGTCTACTGGTCATTGTGTGGAGTGTAAATTGACCCTTTTCTGCACTGCAGCTAACAGAAGAACAGAAGAAGAGCCCAGATGCTGGATCAGGCCATAAGTATATCTAGAGCAGAATCCTGTCTCCCTCGCTGGCCAACAACAGATGCATTCAGGAAGCCCACTGCCAGGTCTTCCTGAAAGTACCCACTCCCATGGTTGCTCCCCCCAAACTGCTATATTCAGAGTCATTCTTCCTCCTAGCTCCTGAAAGCGAGTCCAGAATGAAGACCACCACCACTCAAGAGCTGGAGGCTGGAGGAATGCAAGCAGCCCAGTGTAAACCTCTGGCCAGTCTAAAGAGCAGCTGGTATGGTGCATCTCCTCCTTCCTGTACCATATGGTTAAGAAACGAGGGAGCCTTTGGGCAAACAATATCCTCTGCAGTAATGGTTAGAAGAAGGAGTGTCTCCACCCCCATCGTTCTGCCTGGACACTGAGGTCCAGCGCCGAGGGCCTTCTGGCGGTTCCCTCACTGAGAGAAGCAAAGCTACAGGGAACCAGGCAGAGGGCCTTCTCGGTAGTGGCGCCCGCCGTGTGGAACGCCCTCCCACCAGATGTCAAAGAGAAAAACAACTACCTGACATTTAGAAGACATCTGAAGGCAGCCCTGTTCAGGGAAGTTTTTAATGTGTGACATTTTAATGTATTTTTAATCTTTGTTGGAAGCCGCCCAGAGTGGCTGGGGAGACCCAGCCAGATGGACGGGGTACAAATAATAATTTTTTTATTATTATTATTAAGAAGAAGAACCTCAACCAGAGCCAGGAAGCTGCCGGCAACATGTGCATTAAATTGCAGGGGTCAAGGTGCTCTGCTTACCTCTTACCGTTGAGCGCTACCCTGGTATATAAATCCAAGTGGACTCCAATTCCAGGCAAGAGTCTAAGGTTGATCCTGGGAAGGGTCAGCTCCACAATTCGTAGCCTACAAGGAAGAAGCAGGCAGTGAGGTCATCCAGACAAAGCTCTCTCTTATGACCTACGAGAACCACTCTTTGAAAAATGGATGTGGACACATTTGGACTGGAGATCAGAAAAAACGTTTTTACCTACTAAATGTAAGCATGCAAGAAGAAGACCCTGATGGATCAGACCAAATGCTCCTCTAGGTGAGCATCCTGTTTCCCTAGGTGCCTCCAGGAAGCTCACATCCAGTGCTTTACCAGCTGCACTGGCTCCCCGTGGAGTACAGGGTCAGGTTTAAGGTGTTGGTTTTGACCTTTAAAGCCCTATGCGGCCTAGGAGCCACGTACCTATGAGACCACCTCTCCTGGTATGCCCCGTGGAGGACCTTAAGGTCCACAAATAACAACCCTTCGGAGGTCCCGAGCTCAAGGAGGTTAGCTTGGTCTCAACTAGGGCCAGGGCCTTTTCAGTACTGGCCCCAGCTTGGTGGAACGCTCTGTCACAAGAGACCAGGGCCCTGAGGGACTTGACATCTTTCCGCAGGGCCTGCAAGACAGAGCTGTTCCGCCTGGCCTTTGGTTTGGACTCGGCCTGACCCTTATGTTTCCTTCCCCTTATGGTCTTGATTTATCGGCTACTTTAAAATGAGGCTGCATTTTAAATTGCATTTTAACCTGTATTTTAAATTGGTTTCTTTTTCCCCTTCTCTTTTTCCCCTGTCATGTTTTTACTGTGATTTTATTTATGTTAGCAGCCCTGAGCCCGGCTCTGGCCAGGGAGGGCGGGGTATAAATAAAATTTATCATCATCATCATCATCATCATCATCATCAATAGCCCTCTCCTCCTCTGTGAATTTGTCTCATCCCTGTTCAAAAGCACTTTCTTTTATCAGTCCTGAATTTTCCATCTTTTTTTTGTAATAACATGCAATGATATCCAGTAAGCAGCTCTCTGGGGAAAGCAAAAACCTTTAACCAGAAAACTATGCAAACTGTGATTTTATTTATGTTAGCAGCCCTGAGCCCGGCTCTGGCTGGGGAGGGCAGGGTATAAATAAAATTTATTATTATTATTATATTATTACAGGTAGGGCTTGGAGCAGCAGCCAACTCCTGCTAGAGGCAGTTTGCACTCAACATGGCTATGCAGGAGCCACTGATAGCCAGTCAGCTTCGATTAGGTGCTCCTCCAAGACCCTCAATAATTTGAAAGTGGTCCGTAGGAAGAAAGGTTTGGGAACTACTGGTGTAGACAAGATGAGAACGGAAGAAGAGCTGCCTGCTGGATCAGGCCCAAGGGGTCCCACCTAGTCCAGCATCCTGCTCTAAGAGTGGCCAATCAGATGCTTCTTATGGGAAACCCACAAGAAGGATCCATGCACAGGAGCCCTCTGGCCTCCTGCAATTTGCAGCAACTGGTATTCAGAAGCATTGCTGGTTCCAGCTGTGGCTAGTAGCCTTTGATCGCTCTCTCCACCATGAATATCACTAGTCCTTGTTTAAAGACATCCAAGTTGGTGGCCCATGTCCTTTTTGAGCTGAGGCGACCAGAACAGTACCCAGTATTCCAAATGTGGCCACACCACTTTCGCTCCCACTACCTTGATTGATATAGTGTGACTTTCCTGTGACTTTAGCAGGGTGAGTCACATACTGGATTATTATTATTATTATTATTATTATTATCATTATTATTAGTTAGTAGCTTTACCTTGCCCAAGGCAACGCAAAGCTACTTACAAACAAACAAACCCGCCACACAGGCTGGATCTACACTCACCTTTTAAACGTTATGAGAACGGTATTAGGAATATCGTTCTAAAAACGTCAAAACAGGAAACATTCTCTTTTCCTTTCTCCCCACTGCCTCCTTGGTTTCTGGTTGCTCTGCAGTGCCTGGTGTCACATTTTAATAACGTTGAAGAGCAGAACGTCATGTGGCTATATGGTTATCGGAACCATTCCTTAACGCTTTCTTAGCGTTAAAAACCATGAGTGTAGATCCAGCCACTAAAACCAGGGGGGACAATACACTGCAAACATCCTACCCACTCCTAAAAGGCCACAGACGGTTAAGGGAGGTTTCTGCCTGAGAAGAGCATTCCACAAGAGCATTCTGCAGGGAGCCACTGCAGAAAAGGCCCTGCTCCCGCGTGGCCACCCTTTATAAGCCGCCGATTAATTGTTGTGAGGATTACGACTCTCCTGCTTACCCTGTGAGTCCCTGGACGGTGCTGAGTAAGCCTCCTTCTCCCAGGATGCCAAGCACGCCTCCGCCTCCAAGAAGCCCTCCGTTGCCCAGGAGGCCCCCGTTGCCCAGGAGCCCGCCACCGCCGCCCAGAATCCCTGCAGTGCCAAGCAGACCTCCGCTACCCAGCAGGCCTCCCGGAGCTAGCAGCCCACTAGCACCCGGACCACTACCAGCCCCGCCATTGCCCCCAGGAACCGGAGGGGCAGCATAGGCAGCTTGCATCCCCACAGGGTCACCGCCACCTCCTCCGCCACCAAGCAAGCCTCCGGTGACCCCACCCAGGAGACCCCCACCGCCGCCACCACCAAGGACGCCTCCCAGAAGGCCACCACCACCACCTCCTCCGAGTAAGCCCCCAGTGACACCTCCCAGGAGACCCCCACCGCCACCGCCACCAAGGACGCCACCCAGCAAGCCACCGTCCCCGCCGCCGCCTCCGACCGGAAGTTCTCTCATGGCTCCTTGGAGGGCGTTGCTCTGCGCCATTGAGCTGGAGACAGCTGTGGAAGCAAGTCGGAAAAAGAGGTCAGGGCAGACAGGACGGTGGAGCCGGAGGGTTTCCCTGCTGGGTCTCGAGGGAAGCTCTTCCACGAATGGCACATGCTGGCTGGGTTGCAAAGGGCAGAGCTCAATGGGTTAGATTAGGGGCTCCCAAACTCCCCCACCCCCACCCCGGTTCCATAAACTCGGCTCCAGGGCCCCCTGCCCTACAAAAACAGCATTATTAAAAATAGTGGCTTGCGTGACCTGCTAAGGAAGAGAGAAGCACATTATAATTCAGCAGAGATGGGGTGGGCTTTGCTTCCCTTGACTTGGGGGGGGGGGGAGCTTGTTACGATATTCTGTTCCACCTTAACAGATGTGTGGAATTGTTGTATGTCACATGCCTGTTTACACTCCAGTACAGCTTGCTGGGAACTTCCGTTTTGTGTATAGCTTTTGCTTATGCCCTTTTGCTTGGACACGAAGGGGAGAAGACATGTTTTCTTTGTCCTGAAATAAACTGCTTGTAAATATGCTTTACGCAGCCTCTATCTGCCCTTCTGTTGCGAAGAGTTTTTTTACTCTGCTGGCTTGCGTGCTCAGCTTCTGAAGGATTCTGAAGCTCAAATCGCAGTTACATGCTGATCCAAGGACTGGAGATCTTCCGGCTACTGGCCGGTGGGCTGGAGCCAGCTGGGGGCCTGCCAGTTGCCCCCGTTTCCTTGGAAGCATCCCAACATAGCTTCTGTATATGCAGTTTTGGAGCCCATGCTTGAGAACTAGCAACTTATATCCCAGCTCAACCACTGAGATCACCGGCAGGAACATCCCTAGTGAGGCTCGTTTGACAACAATGAGAAACCGAGCCTTTAGCATCATCGGCCCAGGGCTGTGGAACTCTCTGCCACTAGAGATTCACCAGGCGCCTTCTGCCTTCTGTGCCACCTTTTAACTGCCTGCTGACAACTTTTCTGTTCCGCCAGGCCCAGGCAGGCAATTAAGAGTGGATTACAGGTTTTTTGTTTTCTTAACTTTGCTGTTTTTAACTTATTGTGCTTTTATTGTATGGTTTTGTCCTCTTTTTACTGTTAAAAACCTCTTCTATATGTTTCTGCAATACAGTGGTACCTCGGGATGTGAACAGGATCCGTTCCGGAGCCCCGTTCACATCCTGAATAGAATGTAAGATGTGACAGCGTGTCTGCCCGTGCGCGTGTCGCGTTTTGCTGCTTCCGCGCATGCGCGTGACGTCATTTTGAGCGTCTGCGCATGCGTGAGTGGTGAAACCCAGAAGTAACGCACTCTGTTACTTCCAGGTTGCCGCGGAGAGCAACCCGAAAGTGCTCTACCTGAAGCACATTCAACCCGAGGTATGACTGTATAGCAGCATATAAATATTTTTGTAAACAAACAAAAACACATAACACCTCTGTCTTGTCTGCATTCATTTTTTGGCCCACATTCAGCCAACGCTGCCTCACTCCTGTCTGAACCCTTTGAGGTTCGTTGTTTTGCAGGCTCCCGAATGCTCTGGAACTCGACCCAGGTGGTGCTCCTTAGAGTGACTGCAAAACTCACCCAAAGTGAAATCTTACACGAAATACTGGGAATTCTGGCTCAGGTAATGCAGCCAAGGAATTTTGGAAATGTTAGTAAGGTCAACACTTTTCTTAGGATATTTGCACTCCCAGAATTTCTTAGGGTAGGAGATCATAGAATCATAGAATCTTTCTTGTAGTTTGGATCCATTGCTCCGTGTCCGCTTCTCTGGAGCAGCAGAAAACAACCTTTCTCCCTCCTCTATATGACATCCTTTTATATATTTGAACATGGCTATCATATCACCCCTTAACCTCCTCTTCTCCAGGCTAAACATGCCCAGCTCCCTTAGCCGTTCCTCAGAAGGCATCGTTTCCAGGCCTTTGACCATTTTGGTTGCCCTCCTCTGGACACGTTCCAGTTTGTCAGTGTCCTTCTTGAACTGTGGTGCCCAGAACTGGACACAGTACTCCAGATAAACTGGTGGACCTTGGTCTGTGAGGCCCATTCCAATCCTAGCATGGATAGACTTACCGTTATGCAATACGCCCTTATTGACCCGGATGACGGCATCTGTTGGAAGCAGCTGGCTCTCTGATCGCATCAGCAGGCAGCTGAAGATGGCAGCGCACCAGACGGCTAACATCTTGGCTGAAGCCGCCACACCTGCTGAGATAATTTTATTCTTATTGGTAATTTCATTGTTTTACCTTTCTTGCAACCCGCTTGGAGGGTTGTGGTTGTTTACAAGCAAGCGGTGCATAATTTATTTATTTATTTATTTGCAAAATAAACTAATTAAAAGGCAAATTGGTTAAACTCTGCCAGAGGGTATTCTTGCAGACCAGATCTGAGTTACCTGAGTGCACCTTTCTGAAACTAAGGGCTAAAGGAGAGAAATCAGCCCTGCTTCTGCGAATTCTCGATCACGGAGAGTGTTTGGTGCTGCCCATTGCCTCCTTGCGCTTGCCTTCTCCTGGCTCTGAAAAAGCAGAGGTGGCAAAGGCCATTTATATCAGTGGTGTGCGACGGGGCGGGCATGAAACCAGCGCCAGGGACGTGGAGATAACGGGCTCAGTATGCGGTTTTCCATATTCCAGTAAAAATAATGATTTGCAAATCTGGAACGGGAGTTAAGCAAGAGGGATCAAGTGCCCTCCCTCCAGGTTCCAGGATGTCTTTCTTTGCGTTTGGCAGGAATGATGGAGGAGGAACCGTCTCTCAGCCCACAGGGATTCTCGTTTCTGCAATCTCTTTCTGCTTCGAACAGGGCAGGCAAATAGTTCTCGCCTTTCAGGGCTTATCTAGATAGATCTCATTGTGGACAGTGGCACATTTGGGTAATTTAAGACTTTGGACTTAATGGTCTTGTTCTTGTCTTTGTAAGGTCAGGAGTTTTATTTCACTTACTTTGGAATTTGGTAAGTCAACTCTGCTGTGCTTGGAGGCCTCCTACTCATTCTCCAGGTGGGGACCTGGACTTCTGCGCCCAATTTATGCCCTGATGGCCCTGCTGATTATGGAGATTAGGAAGACAGTTCCGGTGCTCCAAGTCTCATAGAATCATTGGAGTAGAGTTGGAAGGGATCCAAGAGTCATCTAGTCCAACCCTCACACTGCTTTATATTCAGAGTACAGTCGTACCTTGGAAGTCAAACAGAATCCGTTCCGGAAGTCCATTTGACTTCCAAAATGGTCAGAAACCAAAGCACGGCTTCTGATTGGCTGCAGGAAACTCCTGCAGCCAATCGGAAGCTGCGGAAGCCCCGTCGGATGTTCGGCTTCCAAAAATATTTCCCAAACTGGAACAGTCACTTCCGGGTTTGCAACATTCGGGAGCCGAAACTAAGCTGTTTGAAAACCAAGGTACAACTGTATTGGCTCTCCTTAACAAACCACATAGTGATGGAAGGACCCACTATTCGCATAGTTTTCTGGTTAAAGGTTTTTGCTTTCCCCAGAGAGCTGCTTACTGGATATCATTGCATGTTATTACAAAAAAAAGATGGAAAATTCAGGACTGATAAAAGAAAGTGCTTTTGAACTAGGGAACTCACTGCCACAGGATTGGTGGCCACCAGTCTTTAAAAACCTTTAAACAGGAATGAGACAAATTAACGGAGGAGGAGAGGGCTATTGATGATGATGATGATGATGATGATAAATTTTATTTATACCCCGCCCTCCCTGGCCAGAGCTGGGCTCAGGGTGACTAACACTAGTAAAATTACAGTAAAAACATAATGGGGGAAAGAAAGAAAAAAACCAATTTAAAATACAGGTTAAAATGCAATTTAAAATGCAGCCTCATTTTAAAAGTAGGCCATAGATCAAAACCATAAGCGGAGGGAAGACATAAGGGTCAGACTGAGTCCAAACCAAAGGCCAGGCAGAACAGCTCTGTCTTGCAGGCCCTGTGGAAAGATGTCAAGTCCCACAGTGCCCTGGTCTCTTGTGACAGAGCGTTCCACCAAGTCGGGGCCAGTACTGAAAAGGCCATGGCCCTGGTTGAGACCAATCTAACCACCATGCGACTCAGGACCTCCAAAGTGTTGTCATTTGTGGACCTTAAGGTCCTCCATGGGGCTTACCAGGAGAGGCAGTCCCGTAGGTAGGAGGGTCCTAGGCCGCATAGGGCTTTAAAGGTCAAGACCAGCACCTTAAACCTGACCCTGTACTCTGCCGGGAGCCAGTGCAGTTGGTAAAGCACTGGATGAATGTGATCCCTGGCTTCTAGCCAGGATGGTTCTACTCTGTCTCCACCACTGGAGGCAGAAATACTTCTAAATCTCAGCTGCTGGAAGCCGCAGGAGGGGAGAGAGCTGCTCTTGTGTTCGAATCCTGCTTGCTGGTTTCCCGCAGGCATCTGCTTGGCCCCTGTGAGAGCAGGAGGCTGGACTAGATGGGTCATGGACCTGATCCACCAGCCAGTTCTCCTTATGTTCTTATGACTTCTAAGCCTCAAATGTCTTCTCCTCACGAGGCAATGGACTCTTTGAATGGCTGTCTCTTCTGCTCAGAAATAAGGGGAGTGAGAAATGATATATAGGATCAGCAGAGAGCAATTGTTAAAAAATATTAAATAATATGGATGAATCCTAATCATAGCTGTCAAGCGTCCCTTATTTGGCGGGACAGTCCCTTATCCCAGAAGAAGAAGAAGAGTTTGGATTTGATATCCCACCTTTCACTCCCTTTAAGGAGTCTCAAAGCGGCTAACATTCTCCTTTCCCTTCCTCCCCCACAACAAACACTCTGTGAGGTGAGTGAGGCTGAGAGACTTCAGAGAAGTGTGACTGGCCCAAGGTCACCCAGCAGCTGCATGTGGAGGAGCGGAGACGTGAACCCGGTTCCCCAGATTACGAGACTACCGCTCTTAACCACTACACCACACTGGCCATGTGGTGGCCAGTGCCATGTCTCGCTGCTGTCCCTTATTGATGATGTCCCTTAAATAAGCTACTGAAGGTAATGGGGCCCTTTCTATGTCCAGCTGTCCTTTGTCAACAACAAATTGTTGCTGTTTTTTTGTGCTGAATATATGCTATATGGTAATTTATGGACCTAACAGGTACCTAAAGCCATTTGCACGCAACAAAATATGTATTTTATCAAAGTAATTGTTGATCCCTTATTTTGGCTGCTGATCCCTTATTTTCGAGGCTGCTGGTCCCTTATTTTCAAATCTGTAAGTTGACAGCTATGATCCTAATATAAAGAACTAGACTCAGAGCTGAAAATCTCCTCCCCGCCCCCCAACTGTGATGTCCATCATGGGCACCGGCGAAGTGTTCCATTTCAGGGATTTCCTGTCCTTGAACCAGAGTGGCCTTTTCCTGAAGATTAGCCTGAGAGGATCTCAAGTCTGTAGCCCAGCGCTGATAAAGCTGACGCCCTGTTTTGACAGCTTTGGGTTCCAGTCCCTGCAAAGGCCGTTCTCAGAGAGATGCTGAGATTAGCGTCAGCTGCAAACTGCCACCAGACCATAATGATCTCCTTGTCCTGGCGAAATGAACAGTTAATACCCTGGCGAGATAAAACCCAGCAATTAGTTCCCTGATCAAATGAGGGTTACACAACAGGGGTTGTGGGGGGCGGGGCGGGAATTACCTTCCCAAACAAAAAGCAATTTCAAAGCTCATCAGCTCCTTTTCTCCAGGTAAGAAGATCTGTGGGAGAGGCTGGTGAATACTGACCTTAATTCCAAGAGAAAGCACGTTGAAATGGGCCAGTGGACCACAGCACACCAAGACCAGACAGGCTATAATCACATCACCATTAACTAATCCAGAATGTGGCAGCTAGACTGGTGACTGGGAGCAGCCGCCAAGACCACATAACATCGGTCTTGAAAGACCTACATTGGCTCCCAGTACGTTTCCGAGCACAATTCAAAGTGTTGGTGCTGACCTTTAAAGCCCTAAACAGCCTCGGTCCAGTAGACCTGAAGGAGCATCTCCACCCCCATCTCTCTGCCTGGATGCTGAGGTCCAGCACCGAGGGCCTTCTGGCGGTTCCCTCATTGCGAGAAGCAAAGCTACAGGGAACCAGGCAGAGGGCCTTCTTGGCAGTGGCGCCCACCCTGTGGAATGCCCTGTCAAAGATAACAACAACTACCAGTCTTTTAGAAGAATCTGAAGGCAACCCTGTTTAGGGAAGTTTTTAATGTTTGATGTATTACAGTATTTTTTTATATATATATATTTTTGGAAGCCGCCCAGAGTAGCTGGGGAAGCCCAGCCAGATGGGCGGGGTATAAATAAATTATTATTATTATTATTATTATTACTATTATTATTATGTTATCATATTTTTATCCTCCTGACCAAAATGCCTAAGGGGATTCTGAGATGGAGAATGAACATAAGAAGTACCTGCTGGATAAGACCAGTGGCCCATCTAGTCCAGCACCCTGTTCTCAGTGGTGTGATGGCCTGGGACTTGGGCTCAGACTCGGAATCAGAGGAGTCTCAGTCCACACCGGATCCCCTGCCTCAGGCATCAGCTAAACCAAGTCTGGGGCCTGATTCTGAAGAGCCCCAGTCTGCACAGGTTCCCCTGCAACAAGCACCAGCTGGGCCGAGTCAGGGGCCTGAGCCTGCCCTGGCTCCAGATGCGGGGATGACCTCGTTGCCTTCAGCTGGGCCATCACTTACAGCTGCTCCACTACCGGTTGGGTCAGGGGAGGCTGAGGCGGCCTCTGGGTCTAGTAACCCTCCGACGTCTCCCGAGCTGCAGAGACGAAGGTCTGAGAGAAGGAGAGACCTGAGTACTCACAGGAGGAGTGTAGGAGTGCAAATATCCAGAGTGTGGGGTCAGGTGGGATTACTATGAGGAATTATAAAATATGCATCAAGCCATTGTGTGCACGATGAATGCATTGTGTTGACTGGGTTTAATTCATTGACAATAATTTCTGATCAAATCCCACAACCCTCTGCATCTCTGGCCATTTCCTCTACTGCCCATTTCTTTTTCTTGACAAGTCACGTACACAGCCCAGTTGCTTCGCCAGGCAGGCGTCCTGGGCCATAAAGATAGTGGGCAAGCTTCTTTGATGTAGCTTTTCTGATATGTTAATATTAGGATGTTAATCTTAGGGCCAGGAAACAGATCTCACCTGAAGGTGATAATGATCGCTGTCTTCTTGGCCATCCTTCTTTATCATGTATATTGCTTGTTTATCATCTCCGGGGTTGCCAAATGCACTCCTTTGTAGTTCTGTTTTGTTTACCCCAGAAATATGTGTGCTTAATTAGTTTTGGTAGTTTAACTTTGTCCCCATGCGGGGTTTGTTGAAATGCTCAGAAGAATCTGACTGGTTCTTACGAACACTCTGTAAAAGTTCTTTTGTGAATAAAACCCGAGGGGTGGAGGGTGGCAGAGATTATTATACGCACCCTTCCCAGAGTCTTGCTGGTTCAAGCCTCTGTGTATATTCTTATTAATCAGAGTTCAATCCTTCCTTTGCTTTGGGAACGCCTCAGAGGAGGGCTCGCCTTTGGGTGAGACAGGGAGGTGAGTCGCTGGGGGATCAGGACCGGCCGTTACCCGGACAGAGATAAAAGGCTGTCGGACCCCGCCCCAGGTTGCGGGAGCAACATTGCTGTATGCCAGATCCTGCCTGAGATCCTGTTTCTGACCTTGCCTGATTTTTTTTTTTTAATGATATTTATTAAAATTTCAAAGAATATAAGAATTACACAAAAACAGAAAGTAAAAATACAAGAAAATACAAAATACAAAAAAAGAATACATGAAAAATAAAAAGGAACATACAAAATAAAAACAATTAAAAACACATTAATTTTCCCTAACATATCCTCCTTACACTTATTTCCCCGGACCTCCTCGTACCTCCCTTTTTTGTATTCCAGTTCAATTTGTTAGTTCAGCAAATCCTTACCATTAAACTTTTACCCATTTGTGAACCTCTTTTTTCATATCTCTTAAAGCATTACAGCTGGAAACCATTTAGTTTCTATCCAACATCCTTCTAAAATTCATTAATTTTACAATATTTCTGTAAATAGTCTTTAAATTTCTTCCAGTCCTCTTCCACCGACTCTTTTCCCTGGTCTCGGATTCTGCCAGTCATTTCCGCCAATTCCATATAGTCCATCACCTTCATCTGCCATTCTTCCAGAGTGGGTAAATCTTGTGTCTTCCAATACTTTGCAATGAGTATTCTTGCTGCTGTTGTAGCATACATAAAAAAAGTTCTGTCCTTCTTTGGCACCAATTGGCCGACAATGCCCAAGAGAAAGGCCTCTGGTTTCTTCAGGAAGGTATATTTAAATACCTTTTTCAATTCATTATATATCATTTCCCAGAAAGCCTTGATCTTTGGGCATGTCCACCAAAGGTGAAAGAATGTACCTTCAGTTTCTTTACATTTCCAACATTTATTATCAGGCAAATGATAGATTTTTGCAAGCTTGACTGGGGTCATGTACCACCTGTATATCATTTTCATAATATTCTCTCTTAGGGCATTACATGCCGTAAACGTCATACCTGTGGTCCATAACTGTTCCCAGTCAGCAAACATAATGTTATGTCCAACATCTTGTGCCCATTTAATCATAGCAGATTTCACCGTTTCATCCTGAGTATTCCATTTCAACAGCAAGTTATACATTCTTGACAGATTCTTAGTTTTGGGTTCTAGTAGTTCTGTTTCTAATTTTGACTCCTGACCTTGCCTGATTATCCACCTCATGTCCTGCTTTGGCCCTGCTGACTCCTCGTGGATTTGGGACTGGATTTGGGATTGAACCTGGAGCATGCTACTCGGGTTACCCCCGGGCCCAGCACAAGTGGCCAACCAGATGCCCCTTATGGGGAACCCACAAGCAGGGTCCAAGCACAAGACCGGCTCTCCCCTCCTGTGGTTTCCAGCTACTGGCATTCAGAAGCATCAATGCCTCTGACTGTGGAGAGCCATCATGACTGATAGCCATCAATAGCCCTCTCCTCCTCCGTGAATTTGTCTAATCCAATTTTAAAGGCATCTGTGTTGGTGGCCATCACTGTCTCCTGTGGCAGTGAGTTCCATAGTTTAACTATCCGTTATGTGAAGACGTACTGTCTTTCATTTGTCCTGAAATCCAGGAGGCATCCAAGGGAGGAAGTGATCTAGTAATAGGTGACTTCAGTTATCTGCACATAGACTGGAGTCAGGACAAAGAGATGCAAATTCCTAGGTAACCTAAATGGCTGTGCACTGGGGGGGACTGTAATAAGAATTTTAAAGTCTTAGATATATAATAAATGTTCATAAATGTACCAACCAAGCACATACATAGGTCAGCACAGGAAGACCAACCTGAAACCATTTTTTATTCCCAAACTGACCAAATGTTTTCTCTGCAAGGTCAAAGGAAAATGGAAAAGCCTCCCCATTGTCTTTTCCTTCACAAATCCTGTCTTAAGGGTATGTCTGTCTGTGTTTGAATAGGGTGATCCTGTGACCTGGCTCAGGAACTAAGTATTTGTCATTATAAAAGACTGGCCAGGCTCCCCAGGGTATCCAATCAAGTGAGCATTAACAGGTAACCTGTCAGACGAGATAAACAAGATAAACAATGCACTCAGATTTCTGCTGTAGACTGCCTTTTCTGTGATGTAGGTATGATGTTTATGGGGTGGTGGTCTTGGGTTACACCCCTTCTGTGATGTATGTATGATGTATGGAGGGGTGGTCTGGAGCTCCAGGGCAGGGAATTTAAAATATCTATATAAGGGCAGGCACTCCTTTGTTCTGGGGTCCTTCTCCTTTCCTGTGTGTGAGGGGAGCACCCTCTTGCAACAGATCAATAAAGATCAGGCTTACTAGCTGCTTTGCTTCTCAATATTCACTGGTTGGCCTCTGTTATTTTCTCCTACCAATAGGGAATCCACGTAAGGACTCTGTATGGGCTCTTGGATACCCCATAAGGGGAAAAGGGCACATTTTTGTTCACAACAAGACCATGGAGCAAATCACAGGGGAGGCGAAGGCACCCTGGGATGAGTTTCTTCCAGGGACCAGGTATTGCCGCCCAAAGAAATTCCACGCAGAAACTGGTCCCTTTGGAGATTCCTGCTTTGTTTGACTCAGTGCTGCACTACACTAGGACAAGTTGGGTGCGCAAGCAGAAGTGAATATTAAAGACCCTGGCATCGCGTTCACAAAATTGCCCTTTCACTGAACAAAGCAAATGTTGGAAGTTTGAGGCTGAAGAAAATGGAGAAGGCCACTAATTTGGACGGCTTTAAAATGGAAGCCATCAATGGCTACCACCCATAATGGCTGTGTACTGTGATGGTTTCCCAGGTCCTAATAGTCCAATACTCTAACCACTACACCACACCACATCGCTGGTGATGCCAGCTGATGGGCAGGAGGACAGGGTTTGATCCTGAATTAGCTATGCCCACTGCGCCCAGCAGGATTCAATGCTTGCTCTTCTGCTGATGAGTGGGGGTTGAAGCCCTTTGCAAAAGGGCTCTTTGAAGCAGCTGTGCTTTGTAAACCACTTTGAGTGTTGTTAGGGCGTTGTTGTTTTTCTATAACCGAGTGGTATATAAGTTTACGGAATAAAATTAATATGGAGAAGTAGCAGTGGTCCCGTGTCTCCCTTTACTAATATTTTAGGGGGCTACAGGTGAGGAGGGATGGTTTGGCTAAAACTGTAGCCGTGAGGAGAGATGAAAAGGTCTTCAAAGTGTATTGAAAGTGGAAGAAAAACACAGACAGGCTATAAATGCTGAGAATTTGACATATTTTTACTGAGCGAGGCAGTCAAGAAGCACCCCAGACAGTACACAAGCAGCCCAGAGTTCTTGCCAAGGCAGAACTAGAGGAAACATAGCTGAGGTCATTCTAAAGGCAGCTCTGCAGCTCAATGAGACGATGAAGAAGGATGAGAGAGGACTCTTCTGCAGTCAGATTCCTGGGCCAAGATGTCACCGGGAACAGCAAGGAGCGAGGAGGAGACTTCTGCCTCGGAGCTCATTTCTGCAGCTGTGCGGATACGTCTGCTCTAGAGGAGTTTAGGAGTCACGCTCGCCAGCAATGCATTCTGCCGAGAAGAAAAGCATCACAGTTACGAAAGAAACCTGGCTGCATTTCAATGAGAAACTGGAACATCTCCAATCACTATGTGAGCCCAACACATGGCTATCCTGCTAAATTTGCACATACCCCAGTTTCGTGGTGCAGTTCTCCAGCAAAATAACAGAAACTGCATATATTGGAGGAAAGTGTGCGAAAAAGGCATATGTTCTTGAGCATAGCATACTAATATGTGTGTATTAGTCAGAACTCCATTACAAATGGCAGTATTAAGAGAAAGCAGCAGTGAAAGGCATAAAATTCATTAATTAAGTTATCAGTTTTAAGAAAACCTGCTGTGGAACTATGGGATACTATCAGGGAGGCTCAACGGCTCAGGACATCAGAGTTTCTGTGAAATGTCCTATACAAGTGTATCAGGACAATAGATCCTGTTTGGCTTTGCTGAACTCAGAGAGTTGCAAGCAAAGAACCAAGTACTTGCAGATTAAGCTACATCGTGCAAGAGAGTGTATTCAGAAAGGACTCATTCAGGTGTCCTACATGCCAGGAAATGAAATTCCTGCTGATCTGTTGTCTAAGGTTGTTAACAGAGAACAACTTAAGGTTTATGTACAGAGGTTGCAATTGGGTTGAACCACAGGTACTAGAGATTACACGGAAAGGGGGAGGATGTTCGGATATTTCCATTCCACCTTAAAAAGGGGACAGGCTGTTGTGAGTCACAGCCTGCGTATTTCCTGCTCACAAGAAGTTTCTGTTTTGTATATAGCTTTTGTTTCTCTCTGTTGCCTGACACGCAGGCAGGCAGTCATGTTTTTTCCTTTGTTCTGACCAACGCTGAATAAAGCTGTAAATATGCTGCTCTCCTGGGTGAATCTTTCATTGTGCGAACTCTGCGAAAAGGGCGCGCATGAGTCCTGGAATGTGGACAGTTATTTCTGAGGCTCGTGTCGCTAATTGACTGATACTGTTCTACGGGAGACCGGCGTGGAGGCATGATGGCATTTGTCTCCCTGGCAGTATCCCAACATGGAGAACTGGATTTAAGACTGGAGAAAATAGAAACAGAAACACTGGAAGGGATAGATCTGTCCTGACTGAATTAAAAGCATGCTTTGCTCCTGAATCTGAAATCCCTTTGATTTTCTTTGCCTCTTGTCTGTTACATTTCTCCTACTATCACATCAGTCAATCTCATCAAATAAAGACATATGAAGCTCCTTACACCATAAGCCACCCACTCTCCTCTCTCCAGCAGTAGAAAGCATGCTTTCCTCTGCCCCTCTTCCTCCCCTGACATGCAGGTCATGTGTCAATCACTGGACCGTTTTAAAGTGAGCCCTATTTAGAGTAAACCCCATTGAAATTAAGGAACGTCACATCCATTAGCCTCAATGGAGTTTACTTTGAGTCAGAAGTAGCACTGCAGGACGCGGGTAGCACTGTGGGTTAAACCACAGAGCCTAGGACTTGCCAATCCAAAGGTCGGTGGTTTGAATCTCCGCGACGGGGTGAGCTCCCGCTGCTCAGTCCCTGCTCCTGCCAACCTAGCAGTTCGAAAGCACGTCAAAGTGCGAATAGATAAATAGGTACCGCTCTGGCGGGAAGGTAAACGGCGTTTCCGTGCGCTGCTCTGGTTCGCCAGAAGCGTCTTAGTCATGCTGGCCACATGACACGAAAGCTGTACGCCGGCTCCCTCGGCCAGTAAAGCGAGATGAGCGCCGCAACCCCAGAGTCGTCCACGACTGGACCTAATGGTCAGGGGTCCTTTAGCATTGAATACAACCCACTAAGTTGCGGGTTCCCAGGCGCATTTTCAAGAAATGAGCAGCTGAGATCTTACATCAACAATGTTGACATCCCCAGCGGCGAAGTTCAGGTTGAAGAGGTTAGGGAGTGGGATTCCTATCTCCAGGGCACCTGGAAGAAAACCAAGAAACAACGCTAGACATGCAGAATGGGTTTTGCATCCCAAAGGCAATGCTGAAACCGAACGCCTATTGCTACAAATACGGCTCTTTTACCGTTGATCACAGGCAGGTATCCAATTCTGAGAAGGTTTGTGATCCAGGTTTTGAGTACGGCAACCTGCAAAAGAAAGAGAAACTTCTGCATCATCAGTTGGTGAGAGAAAGAGATGTGCATAGCTGTCAACGTTTCCCTTTTTTTAAGGGAAATTCCCTTATTCCGAATAGGATTCCTTGCAAGAAAAGGGAAAAGCTGACAGCTATGGAGATGTGACCTGCTGGGTTGCTTACTTCAAATATTTCCCAGCTAAACATTAGGAAGAACTTTCTGACAGTACAGTGGGCGCTCGGGTTGCGAACGTGATCCGTGCGGGAAGCACGTTCGCAACCCGCAGCGCCGCACCTGCCCATACGAGGGTTGCGATTTGGCGCTTCTGCACATGCGCAAAGAGTGATTTAGTGCTTCTGCACATGCGAAAGCGCCGAAACCCAGAAGTAACCAGTTCCGGTACTTTCGGGTTCGGCGCGGTGCACAACCTGAAATCGCACAACCCAAAGCGTCTGTAACCTGAGGTATGACTGTATGACTTCCTCAGGAGGTGATGAGCTCCCCTTCACTGGAGGTTCCTAAGCAGAGGTTGGGTGGCCATCCATCTGCCAGGGATTCTCTGGCTGAGATTCCTGCATTGCAGGGGGTTGGACTGGATGACCCTTGTGGTCTATTCCAACTCTATGATTCTATGATTCTATGACCCTTCCAACTTCACAATTCTATGATGGGACTTCACCCTTTGTAGCTCAAGCACCCAAGGGCTTGTGTGGCTGCCCCAGATGCCGTCTCCACCTCTGCTCCAGCAGAAACCCCCAATCCTGGACGAGTTCAGCCATCTCTTTCTCTTTCAAGTTCCAGGTGAGATGCAGAGACCTTGGGAGTTCTGCTCATGGGACAGGACTTCTTCTCCCCACTCCACCCCGCCCTGCTCCCTCAAAATCTTCTCCAAGGGGTCCACTGCAGTATTTGGTGGAAGGGAGTCTTACATCAAAGGAGCCGATCTGGGAAGACGAGACGTTGAGGCTGACGCTGTGAAGGGAAAGGAAAGGAAAGCATTGGGTGCTAGGCTGCACATCTGGCACAGAGAAGTCCTCCATCATCTGATGGCCCCTAGTCATCTTGGACTACAACTGGTTGGGACTGATGGGAACTGTAGTCCAAGACATGTAGAGGACATCATGTTGGGGGAGGCTGGTCTGCAGAGTTTCCAGAGCACGGCCGAGAAAAGATCAGGAAGAAAGGGGACTATAAACACAGTGCAGAATCGAGAATCATGGACTACACCTCTGGTTCCCCCCCTGCCCCCCTTACCTCTTAGCAACCCCTAGGTAATCCCACTGCCCTCCAGGGGGCAGCATCACCCACTTTGGGAACCACTGGTCTAAAGGGAGACTTTCTCCAAATCAGGGACGGATTTTGGTAATGTGGCCCCAACCAAGGACAAAATTTGATGAGCCCCCTAAACATTTCTTATTTTCACAACAATTCCTTTTGGTACAGTTGCTTTTTAATGGATCTTCTCAGTAGGTACCCATATAAATATAGGTTTTGCTACTACTACTACTACTACTACTATTTTGGTGCCCCCCCACCCCACCCTCAGCTCAGTGTCCCTGTGTGGAAGAACCACCGACACCACCTTAACTCCAGTCCTGTCCAAATGCCGTTTGTTATTCTGCACCATAACCTAGGGATCTAGAGCATGGGTAGGCAAACTAAGGCCCGGGGGCTGGATCCGGCCCAAACACCTAAATCCGGCCGGTGGATGGTCCAGGAATCAGCGTTTTTTAACATGAGTGGAATGTGTGCTTTTATTTAAAATGCATCTCTGGGTTATTTGTGGGGCATAGGAATTCGTATAGATAGATAGATTAGATAGATAGATAGATAGATAGATAGATAGATAGATTAGATAGATAGATAGATAGATAGATAGATAGATAGATAGATAGATAGATAGATATAGATGATATAAATAGATAGATAGATGATATAGATAGATAGATGATAGATAGATGATAGATAGATAGATAGATAGATGATAGATAGATAGATAGATAGATAGATAGATAGATAGATGATAGATGATATAAATAGATAGATGATATAGATAGATAGATGATAGATAGATAGATAGATAGATAGATAGATAGATAGATAGATAGATATAGATATAGATAGATGATAGAGAGAGAGAGAGAGAGAGAGATGATATAGATATAGATAGAAATAGAGATAGAGATAGAGAAATAGAGAGATAGAGATATATAGATATAGATGAGATAGTGATATAGAGGTGATAGATATAGATAGATAGATGATAGATATAGATAGATGATAGACAGATAGATAGATAGATAGATAGATGATATAGATGATATAAATAGATAGATGATATAGATAGATAGATGATTGATGATAGATAGATAGATAGATAGATATAGATATAGATAGATGAGAGAGAGAGAGAGAGAGAGAGAGATGATATAGATAGAAATAGAGATAGAGAAATAGAGAGATAGAGATATATAGATATAGATGATAGAGATAGAGATAGAGATATAGAGATCTCTATATCTCTATATCTCTATTAGAGATGATAGATAGATAGATAGATAGAGATAGATAGATAGATAGATAGATGATAGATAGATAGATAGATAGATGATAGATAGATATAGATGATGATAGATAGATAGATAGATATAGATAGATAGATAGATAGATAAATAGATGATAGATAGATGATTGATAGATGGATAGCTAGCTAGATGATAGATAGATGGATAGATGATAGATGATAGATAGATAGATAGATAGATAGATAGATATAGATATAGATAATAGATAGATAGATAGATAGATAGATAGATAGATAGATAGATAGATAGATAGAGATATATAGTCCGGCCCCCCACAAGGTCTGAGGGACAGTGGAGCGGCCCCCTGCTGAAAAAGTTTGCTGACCCCTGGGCTAGAGCATCAAGATCCACTTACTTGTCAAGAGATAAGGAGACAGCCAATTTTGCTCCTGAAATACGGACAGATCCACTCAAGTCGATTTGCTGTAAATGCAAGATGACTGGGTAAGAGACTGGCCCCTTTCCTTTCGCTTTTGCAAAACCAGCTTTGGGTTGAGATTCCTGCATTGCAGGGGTTGGCCTAGATGACTACAGTCGGGTTCCTTCTATGATTCTACGATTCTGCTCTGTTCTGTTCCCAACTTCTATGCCCCACGGAGGTCAGGGAGGGCTCTTTGTTGCGTGCCCTCCTTCCTTTCGGCTAAAAGGAACTGCCACACCTAGAAAGAGGAATCCTGGTGGCTTTCAAGGACACCTAAGTGTCATTTAAAAAAATAAATAAACCCAACACAGAGACAATTGGGGGTGGGATGGGATTACTGACACCCAAGCAAAGGTTCTTTGAAAAGAAATATTGAGCCAAGAGTGCTAGCAATGACTACCACCTTTGCCTCCACAATGCTTCTGAATATCAGTTGCTGGAAACCACAGGAAGGGAGAGGGGTCTTGCGTTCGAATCCTGCTTGCGAATTTCCCACAGGCATCTGGTCAGCCACTGTGAGAACAGGATGCTGGACTAGACAGGTCACCGGCCTGATCCGGCAAAGCTGTTCTGATGTTCTTACGAATTTTCAACTGCATCGGCTAGATACCCAGGGCAGGGCAGGCGTTGGAGTTTCAAGCTATGCGCCATTCACCCCAGCCCATTACTTACAGCATTCAACCCAAAGAGAAGCTCCGGGCCGGAGTCTGCGAGGGCGAAAACATCAACGGCAGCAGCGAGGGTCACCGTGAGCTTCCCGTTTTGCAAAGACACTCCCGGAAGGTCGCTGATCCGGATCTTGACCACCAGGGGCAGGCTTGTTGGCAGCAGCCGGGACAGCTGTAAAAAATGGGACAGGGAGAATGATTCGCACTCAGAGCGCAGAAGCAAATCACTTCACATACACACACCAAAAGCGATATGCCCAATAGGGCATCCTTACCTGAGGTAGCACAGATTGAAGTGCAGACGTTGTCAGTGGGACGGCTCCACGGAGCTGGGGGAAAGCAAGACAAATGCAAAGAATTTTAAAAGGGGAATGTCTTCTAAGTGCCACCCTAATCTTTTCCCCTTCAGCCTGACATGGTGATTTCCTTCATGTTCATCCTCTCAAAACAAAGAAAGACGGGGAGAGGGGTTGTTCCCAATTTATAGGTGCAAAACTGAGGCTGAGAATTAATGGGTATATATGTTTGTGTCACGAAATTAAAAGACGCCTGCTTCTTGGGAGAAAAGCAATGACAAACCTAGACAGCATCTTAAAAAGCAGAGACATCACCTTGCCAACAAAGGTCCGTCTAGTTAAAGCTATGGTTTTCCCAGTAGTGATCTATGGAAGTGAGAGCTGGAACATAAAGAAGGCTGATCGCCGAAGAATGGATGCTTTTGAATTCTGGTGCTGGAGGAGACTCTTGAGAGTCCCATGGACTGCAAGAAGATCAAACCTCTCCATTCTGAAGGAAATCAGCCCTGAGTGCTCACTGGAAGGACAGATCCTGAAGCTGAGGCTCCAATTCTTTGGCCACCTCATGAGAAGAGAAGACTCCCTGGAAAAGACCCTGATGTTGGGAAAGATGGAAGGCACAAGGAGAAGGGGACGACAGAGGATGAAATGGTGGGACAGTGTTCTTGAAGCTACTAACATGAGTTTGACCAAACTGTGGGAGGCAGTGGAAGGCAGGAGGGCCTGGCGTGCTCTGGTCCAGGGGGTCACAAAGAGGCGGACACGACTAAACAACAACAACGTTTGTGTATCTACGAACATAATAGCGGTTTAGCTTATTTTTAATTGCTATTTATTTAGTACTGTTTTATGGATTGCAAATGCTTTATTGATTATATATTAATCATATAATATGCCTTATGCATAGTGGCTTAGGTGGGACCTAGGCCCCACAGCTGGTCCATTATACAATCAATGGCAACGGTGCTCACCTGAGATGTGCCGGCACTGAGTTCAGGTGAGTTCTGGCTGAAAAAAGCTCTGGGCGTGACCACATGTAGAATACTGTCTACAGTTCTGGTTATCCCACTTCAAAGAGGATATTGTAGAGTTGGAAAAGGTTCAGCAAAGGGCAACCCCAAAGGTCGCAGCATTTGGGGATTTTTTAGTTCAGAGAAAAGACAAGTAAGAGGAGATACAATCGATGCTTATACCATGATGGTTGGAACAGGAAAAGTGGATAGAGAAAAGGTTTTTCTCTGCCCCCCTCCCCAGCACTAAAACTCATGGGAACCCAATGCAGCTGAATTATTATTAATTTTTTTAATATTTAATGCTGTATTGTTTTTAACATTTGATTGGGAGCCGCCCAGAGTGGTTGGGGAAACTCAGCCAGATGGTCGGGGTATAAATTATTATTATTATTATTATTATTATTATTATTATTATTGACTAGGCTCTGCCTTCACAATGGGAGGCAGCGATGCTTCTGAATGCCTCTTACTGGAAACCACAGGAGGGGAGAGTTGCTCTTGTGTTCAAATCCTGATCGCTGGCTTCTCACAGACAACTGCTCAGCCACTGTGAGAACAGGATGCTGGCCCAAGTGGGCTTCTGGCCTCATCCAGCACGAATAATGTACATATTATTTTAGTGGGGAAAGCTCTGGAGGAGAAGGGGGTCAAGGAACCACGTCTCCCCCACCCCATGCTGTTTGAGTGTTTGGCCATTTAGCTTCCAGGCTCTTCCTTTCCATCTGCCTGGACCACATCCTTGGTCCATAAATGGCCTCAGCCCAGTATATCTGAAGGAGCGTCTCCACCCGCATCGTTCTGCCCAGACACTGAGGTCCAGCGCCTAGGGCCTTCTGGCTGTTCCCTCACTGCGAGAAACCAAGTTACAGGTTGGTCGAGAGTGGATTTCATGCTCTTTATTCAGCTCATAGTGGTGAGGAGGAATGGAAGTTCCCCCAGAATGTCTGCTTTAGATACATTATTTACACAATGGGCCCCACATGATTGGCTAATTTCGGGATTCTCCTGTAGGCCAATCAGTCAGGTTGCGGATTCACTTCCACCTGGAGCTGGATTGGGTGGCTCATGTGGACCAGTCAGACTGCTGCATTCTGGGTCCTATTGTTCTAGGACCAATCAGACTGCTGCATTTTGGATCCTATTCAACTCAATACATAACAGGAATGTTCTCCCTAACTACAGTATATTTACTTATTTGTTAAATTGTGTGTTTATTTGTTAAATTTATATCCCTCCACTCCTCCCAAGGAGCCTAGAGCAACTCAGTACATAACAGGGCCTTCTCGGTGGTGGCGCCTGCCCTATGGAATGCCTTCCCACCAGATGTCAAAGAGAAGAACAATTACCAGACTTTTAGAAGACATCTGAAGGCAGCCCTGTTTAGGGAAGCTTTTAATGTTTAACAGACTACTGTATTTTAATATTTTGTTGGAAGCCGCCCAGAGTGGCTGGGGAAGCCCAGCCAGATGGGCGGGGTATAAATAATAAATTATTATTATTATTATTATTATTATTATCCTTTGCAGACTCTTCAAGGACTATCATTTCTGGGGCAGGCGACTCACCGCTTGGTCAGTGATGTCTACGTTGAGTTGCCCGTTCTTCATTACCAGCTGCAGCAAGGAGGAAATGAGGTCACCAGAGAGAAGCAACTGGGAAGTGTGGTCACCAGCTGGAGGAAGAGAGGGCAGCTTGCTTGGGGGAAGCTTGATGGAGTTGCCTTCATTATCAAGCACTAAGACCTGGAAGAAACATAAAAGAAAAAATCAGAAGATCAGAGACACTTGGGGTCCATAGAACTGGACGTCTGTTAAGTATAATTCAGGCATAGGCAAACTCGGCCCTCCAGATGTTTTTGGTTTTTTTAAAAAAATATTTTCAATGCAAAATTACAACAAAAATTACAAACATTGAATCCAAAATAAAACAGTACAAAGAAGAAAACAAAACAAAACAGAAGAAAGAACACAAAAACACAAAAAACAAAAACACACATCTACAAATAAAACCATATCATCATTCTAATCTAATCTAAACGTAGATTACCTCTATCTTTGTACTTTTTTACACAATTTTTCTCTTTCTTTAACCCTGCAAATCATCATATCGGTATGTAATGAAAGATGCTCTGCCCTCCAGATGTTTTGGGACTACAACTCCCATCAACCCTAGCTAAGAGGACCAGTGGTCAGGGATGATGGGAGTTGTAGTCCCAAAACATCTGGAGGGCCAAGTTTGCCTATGCCTGGAATTGTTTAATTGACACCGAAATGGGGAATGGCTTAATGTGAAGGCTTTCACATCAGGATTTTCCCTGGGGCTGAGCTGCTAGATGGGTTGATAACTAGCTGTTGTTATTCTCTGCTTCTCTCTCAGCCTAGCCTATCTCACAGGGTTGTTGTTCTGAGACTCAAATGGGGAGGAGGGGAAGCATGTAGGCCACCTTGAGCGGCTTGGAGGAAGAGGTGGGATATAAATGCAATTAATTAATCAATCAATCAATCAATCAATCAATCAAGGTGCCTTACATTCAGATTCAGCACGATTTGTTGTTCATCGCTGAACCATGGCAGGCCAGCCAGGGTGTAATGTAGTTTTCCCAGCGTACCGAATGGGCAGACGCCTGTGGAGGAAATAAAAAAGAGTAAGGAGTAAGTAACCAAACAAACCCCTGTGTTGCAAAGAGAACGTCGGCAATGTCTAGGCAACACGATGACCATGTACATATGCAATAGACAATCTTTGTAGAATTCCTTCAAACCATAACAAGTACAAAATGAAATCTTTAGTTTCAAAGTCTCTGAAAATCTTTAAATGAAGCAAGGTACTAGACTTTGTAGAAAAGCAATGACAAACCTAGACAGCATCTTAAAAAGCAGAGACATCACCTTGCCAACAAGTATAGTTAAAGCTCTGGTTTTCCCAGTAGTGATGTATGGAAATGAGAGCTGGACCATAAAGAAGGCTGATGCTTTTGAATTATGGTGCTGGAGGAGACTCTTGAGAGTCCCATGGACTGCAAGAAGATCAAACGTATCCATTCTTAAGGAAATCAGCCCTGAGTGCTCACTGGAAGGACAGATCCTGAAGCTGAGGCTCCAAGACTTTGGCCACCTCATGAGAAGAGAAGACTCCCTGGAAAAGACCCTGATGTTGGGAAAGATGGAGGGCACAAGGAGAAGGGGACGGCAGAGGGTGAGATGGTTGGACAGTGTTCTCAAAGCTACCAGCATGAGTTTGACCAAACTGCGGGAGGCAGTGGAAGACAGGAGGGCCTGGCGTGCTCTGGTCCATGGGGGCACGAAGAGTCGGACACTACTAAACGACTAAACAACAACAACAAAACGAGGTGGGACTTTACACAACACATAGCTAAGCATTTCACTTGTGCTTTTAGACGGCTCAAACCCTTTCGCAAGCAATGTCTCAGCCAACAATGCAACAACCCTGTACATTAAGGGATCATCATCCTGTCTTGTTTTGTGCCTCATTTCTAAGCACAGGTCCTCGCTTTAAAGCTCTGCGTCCAAGCGTTTGTTTTGTTTGTTTGTTTTGCCCCAGCACTTGCCCTGCGAAAACCTGCTTTATAGCACTGAATCAGAGCAAACCCAAATTGCAGAAAACCCCAACTGCCGTTTGTTCCTGGGGGAAGCAGCAGTGGTGGTGGGGCGCTCTGACACTTCAAAGTGGGGAGACAGCAAGTTGTGCAACATTATATACGCTAGTTGATGATCCAAAGGAGATGGGGAAGGTGGAGGTCATGGAAAACTTACTGTTGACCGTGCCAAGAAGGGTGTTCACAATATTCAGCACAAGATCTACAACTGGACACAGCTGCAACAAAGGGAAAGGAGCAGGAGTGAAGCCACAGAACTGAATGGTCCCCACATCCTTTGTTGTGTTATCTGAAAAATAAATCTCCCTGTGCAGAATGCCGGCTGCTTGCAAGAAAGAAATTCTCATCTGCCTATTCTGGTGGCATCCCAGAGATGCAATGGCAGACAACAAGGACAACAAGGGGTGAACCTTTTACTTGTAGCAGCTATTGGTCATCCTGATTGCCAGAAGGGTAAAACTCTAACTCTGAGGTAGGGAACCTTTGGCCTCCAGCTTCTACTGAACTTCAACTCCCATCAGTCCTAGAAGTACGGGCAATGGTCGAGGATGATGGGAGTTGTGGTTCAGGAACAGCTGGAGAGCCAAAGATTCCCCATATTGGCAGTCTCCACTTCAAGTGTGGAGCCAGTGTGAGCCAGTGTGGTGTAGTGGCTAGAGAGTTGGACTAGGACCTGAGAGACCAGGGTTCGAATTCCTGCTCAACCATGAAGCTCACTGGGTGCGACCTTGGGCCAGTCACTGCCTCTCAGCCTAGCCCACCTCACAGGATTGTTGGGATTCAACGAAGAAGAGGAGAACCCTGTGTGCCACCTTGAGCTTCTTGCAGAAGAAGGTGGGGCATAATTGCAATAATATATAAACAAATAAAATTCCTAGGGTATCCTTCTGCCTTGTATCAGTATTTACAGCCGCCTTAACTATGTCTGTTGCTCCATCTCATCCACTGCAGTCTACTCTGCAATGCCTCTCCTAAATTCAGCAAAACTATGATGCAAAGAAAGTGATCGACAACTGAGCTGGCAAATTCTCGGAAGACTCACCACTCCAGGGAGGACATTGCTCAGGAGATTAGTCAAGACCCTGTCCAAGTTGAGTGGAAGGAACCTAAGGAAGAAAATAATTGGGGACCGTGAGTCTTTAAGGTGTTTCAGTGGCTAGTAGCCGCAGTGGCTGTGTTCCTCAGGACCTCTGGTCACTCACCCAGACAGGATCTGAATGTTACCCAGGTTGGTCTTGCAGTTTTCCACAACTAGGATGGGAGTGCCTGACTTGTCCTGGACCAGACGTGCATTTGCTGTGATGTTCACTTCCACCAGAAGATTCAGCAGCCCACCCAAAAGCCTGGAAGACAGAGAAGAGGTGGAGATGAGATTGATCACCGAACCAGGTCCAATTTCAAAATGTATTCTGCAGGTACTCAGATTGCAATGGCTTCTTTGTCAGGCATTGCTTGGGGCACAAATATCAAAAATGCCCTGCAGGTCCTACGACTCCTATTCTGGGTGTGGTTTTGTTTTCCCCAGCAAGTTTTGAAATCTATTATTTTGACAAAGATGAATAATGGAAGTATTACACTGTGTAACTGCGGTCTCAGTTCTCCCAAGTATTGGTCTTTAAGTACCCGAAATGGCACCAGCCATGAATGCTTGGTGAACCCAAGTACACAAATGGTTTAGAGAGAGAGATACAAATTGAAGCTAGGGGAGACCCGCTCCCAACAGCCCAATAAGAAGGAATGACTGTGCTCAGTGGCCATAGAATGATGACTGACAGCTGGGGGGAGGGTTGGGGAACTGAGGGAAGGGGGATGGAGTATCCTGGAAAGGGCATGGCTGGCTGGCTAGAACTACAATAATGTGTTGCAGATCCCTCTTGTACACTATCTGTGAGTCCTGCACAGATGCTACTCTCTGCAGATTTTCTTGGAAAAGGTTGGGTGCCCTCTTTCTCCCCCTGTGGAAATCAAGAAGCAACCTCTTGTGATTTCTGCGTTCCAGGAGGCAGGACTAGATGACCCTGTGAGTCCCTCCAGACTCCACACGTCTATGAGTCTATGACCCTGTGCACATGGGCACTTAAGTAGAATTGAAGTTGGATCCAGAGATATGTGTGTGCATAGATGTGCTCATGGAATCACTCGTAGATATGGTGATCCACATTCAGTGATGGGGACCCAATCCGCGAACGAGCAGGTACATTGGCTTATTCCATAGAAGTGAATGAGGGAGCTGCTTTGAGTGAAGGATCGCCACCTGTACATGGAAGCCTATCCTCCAACCCAAGCAATAATAATAATAATATTATAATAATTTATTATTTGTACCCCGCCCATCTGGCTGGGTTTCCCCAGCCACTCTGGGCGGCTTCCAACAAAGACCAAAAATACACTAAGATGCAACCCAACCATGGATATGAAGGAGATTGTGTCCCAAATAAATCTTCAGGATACTTCAATGCTGTTTAAGGTTTTTTTTATAATCATCATCATCATTAAAGACTCTATCTTGAACTGGCTAGGATAGGAGAACACCTGGGAAATTCCTGGTGAAATAAAAATCCTCGTACACTTTTGGAGGATGAATAAGAGGAGAAAATTCTTGGGCCTTCTCAACAGGAACATGGAAGGCTGCCTTATGCAGAGTCATGGCCATTGGTCCATCTAGCTCATCTTTGCCTACACTGACTGGCAGTGGCTCTCCAGGGTTTCTCAGCCCAACCCAGAGATGCTGCTAGAGATTGAACTTGGATTCTTCTGCCTACATAGCAGGTGCTCAGCCACTGAGCCATCGCTCTCCCCGCTTGCTACATCCCATGGAAGTCAACTCACGTATCTCCCTTGAGAGCAACTTTGGTATAGATGTTCAGTCCGACCCCAACGCCTTTCAAGAATTTCAGTGAGACCTTGGGAAGGACGACGTCCACCAACTTCAAGCTGGAGGGTGAAGGAGAGGCAGTCAGGAGCAGAAGCTAAATCCACAAAGCAACATCTACATCTTGCCATGGGGAAACGTTGAGTTCTGCCCCCTGTGTTTTTCTCAGTAATAGAGATAACTCACCCAAGGAGACCTTCACGTCCAAGGACACCACCGAGGAGACCTCCTTTGCCTCCCAGGGCACCACCGACAATCCCAAGAGGTCCTCCGCCTTGGCCTCCAAGAACTCCTCCAGCCAAGCCTCCGACCAAGCCGAGAGGACCTCCTCCTTGGCCTCCAAGGGCACCTCCAGCCAAGCCTCCGACCAAGCCGAGAGGACCTCCTCCTTGGCCTCCAAGGGCACCACCAGCCAAGCCTCCGACCAAGCCAAGAGGACCTCCTCCTTGGCCTCCAAGGGCACCTCCAGCCAAGCCTCCTACCAAGCCAAGAGGACCTCCTCCTTGGCCTCCAAGGGCACCTCCAGCCAAGCCTCCGACCAAGCCGAGAGGACCTCCTTGGCCTCCAAGGATCCCTCCTAGAAGGTCTGCACCAAGCACTTGCCCCAAGAGTCCCTGGAGCAGGTTGCCTTTGGCCAGTGTATCTGAGATGCCTGGAAGGAAGAGACAGCATTGAGCACAGGGGACAGAAGTCAAGGAAATACAAGTCAGCGTTGACATTGTCCTCATCAACTCTATACAAGGACACAAAACAAACAACTATCTCATTAGCATGCTTTTCCACCAGAGGTTGGGTGGACTGAACCTGGTTTATAAGCCTGCCTCTTTCCACGTCCCAGGCAATAAACTGCCTGGATCCTTCGACTGTATGAGTCCAGGCAAGGACATTTCATAGAGTTGCAAGAGACCCTCAAGCAGACTTCTACTTCAGCCCCCTGCAATGCAGGAGTCGTAGCAAACAAATCCCTGACCCATGGCTACCCAGCCTCTGCTTAAAACCTCCAAAGAAACAGAGTCCACCACCTCCCAAGAGAGCCTGTTCCACTATCTAACAGCTCTTACCATTAGAAAGTTCTTCCAGATGTTGACCCAGAATCTCCTTTCATATTGCAATTACCATTCACATACAGTGGTACCTCGGGTTACATACGCTTCAGGTTACAGATGCTGCTAACCCAGAAATAGTACCTCGGGTTAAGAACTTTGCTTCAGGATGAGAACAGAAATCGCACCACGGCGGTGTGGCAGCAGCAGGAGGCCCCATTAGCTAAAGTGGTGCTTCAGATTAAGAACAGTTCCAGGTTAAGAACGGACCTCCGGAACGAATTAAGTACTTAACCCGAGGTACCACTGTATCAGGAACTGACAATAGGGAGCTGATTTCTGATTTTAATATTTGTATGGTTTTATGCACTGGTGTTGTAAACCACCCTGATTTTTTTTACTGAATAAAGGTAAAGGGACCCCTGACCATTAGGTCCAGTCTTGGCCAACTCTGGGGTTGCAGCGCTCATCTCGCTTTACTGGCCGAGGGAGCCGGCGTACAGCTTCCGGGTCAGGTGGCCAGCAGGACTAAGCCGCTTCTGGTGAACCAGAGCAGCGCACGGAAACACCGTTTACCTTCCCGCCAGAGTGGTACCTATTTATCTACTTGCACTTTGACGTCTTTTCGAACTGCTAGGTTGGCAGGAGCAGAGACCGAGCAACGGGAGCTCACCCCGTCGCGGGGATTCGAACCGCCGACCTTCTGATTGGTAAGTCCTAGGCTCTGTGGTTTAACCCACAGCACCACCTGTGTAGTGGTATATAAATATTTTAATTGCTGAATAAATAAACTGCTGGGATGGGGCAATGCAATTGTCTGGCTTGAGACGGTCCCCCTAATTTTAGAAATGGAGGTTGTATAAACCTGAATGGCAGCCTGGGGAGGCGCACATCACATCTGCTGTGCATGCGTTATCCTGTTCACTTTTGATTTCTGCATGGCAGGGGGTTGGACTAGATGGCCCTTGGTGTCCCTTCCAGCTCTATAATCCTATGAAACACCTGTGCAGATCTGAGGGTCTCAGTGGCTGTGCTGGCCCATCAGGGGATGAAGCCCGTAGCAGAGGCACACCTGGGCACACAAATGCCAAGACCACTGTACCCACTCCTGTTTAGAAGAAGAGGCTGCCAGTTCCTGCTTCTCTGCAAATGCTCATTCAAGAGTCGGGTGGTTCCCTTGGCCAGATCTCTGAATTTTCATATTTTAGAAAAATCAGAAAGTTCCAGAGCTCACCATTCTCCAGGACATCCTTATGCAGCCGGGCCATCGAAAGGACATCGTCGGCAAGAGCTTGGGTGGAGGGCAGGAGGCCGCAAAGGAGGAGGACAGTCCAAGCCTTTAGCATCTTGATCTGGTACCTAAGAAAATATTACTGGTTGTCAAAAGGAAGGAAGGAAGGAAGGAAGGAAGGAAGATTTGTCCGTGCATTTTTAAGAAAACCATTTTATGCATTGACTTGCTAAGTGCAACCGATTATATCTTGTGATATTTTTCTAAGCCCTGAAACCACCTATATCTATCACTGAGAATATTTGAATTTGAAACCCTGGCTTGGGGACTGTCCCCACACAAATTCATCGTAGCTTCTAGCTGCTGTTATTGTGTACAAACCTGCCTTATGCTGAGCCGGACCTTTGGGGATGCCTAATTCTGACACACAGCACGTCTCCATCCTCACCCCCCTGAGGTCTGCCCCAGTCCTGATGGCTGGAGACCCCAAGGGTTGAATCCTGCATGCAAAGCAGCCACAGGTATTCTGCTGCTCAGTTACAGCCTCTTGACTGGAGCAGGACTAATGGATCCGGTGTTTTCCCCACCGGAAAAGCTTTCCCCACAAAAGCCAAACTCTGTTTGGTTAACAATTCAACAACGTATTAAGCCCAACCTTCATGAAATGAATTTGACAGACCACCTTCCATAAATGTCTCCCGGAAGCGAGTCCCGCTGAGTTAAACGAGACATATTCCATGTAAGAGTAAGGACTGACAAATCTGTCAGTTTAGGAGTCTCTCGGTTTTTCTCTTCTTCTTTTTCAGTCTTAAGTTGGCAGATTCCTGCATCATTTTGCCATTTTTTGAAGTTTTCATAACTCTTTCGCATTCTATTGTGCATTCCTCCATGCACATTTTGGTATGCCATTTTGCCCAAGAGACACATTTTTGCAAGCAATTTCCCTTAACTTAATGCATTTTGTACGCTTTTCTTCACTAATATAGGTATTCTTCTGCACCCTGTTCCCTAATTTTTGCACTGTGCCACAAAAGTGGCCATCTCAAAGACAGCTCTGTTTCAGTTCCCGTATCATTTTGAGATGTGTGAATGGGTTAGATTCGCATCCAAATGTGAACAGAACTGAACTGATCACAGCCTGAGAGCACCAGTGCTCGCAAGATCCTTTCCAAGCTGTGAAATCAAACTCGGCGGTTACTTTGGGAGAAGCAAACCTTGGCGTCTCATCTCCTACCTTGCTCAGCTTGAGGCGTCCCAAGATGCTCCTCACCTGTTGCCGTCTGAGGAAGATGCTTCAGACCCACGGCATGTGGTCCTTATATATCTAATATCTGTGTCAAGAATGAGGAAAACTGGATTGTTTGTGGACAACTCATGATATTTGCTAGGGTGTAAAATAGCAAGTGGTTTGTGATTTATGTCCAATGCAAACATTTCCTTAGAAATCTCAAAAGCTGTGTAAATCGTTGAGCAATGTGTATCGAACATCTAAGGAGGTGTATTTGGTTCAGCGTTAATCTGGGGTGCCAATTCCCAAGGGGCCAAGTCAATCATTCTCCTGCCTACCTAGGGAAAAGCCAAGATTGGGTGTTCCATGCTAGGCGTTGGTGAAGCAAGAGTTAGCATCAGACGCTGACCACAATACTTAAGGGATTATGGCCTTGTTTGCACCAGGGCTTATGCAGGATGGGGTCAAGCATTGATTTCATGCTTTCTGCGCAACAGCCCTCGGAGATCCGTAACGCACCGTGGCCTTAAGCAAAAGGAATTATCAGTAGCTGCTAGCCAGGATGGCTATGCTCTGCCTCAACTGCTGGAGGCAGTAGTCCTTCCAAATGAGAGTTGCTGGCAAACCCCAGGAGGGGAGAGCTACCTTGTGGTCGAATCCTGTTTGCGGGTTTCCGACAGGGATCTGGTTGACCACTGGGAAAACAGGAGGCTGCACTCCATGGGCTATTGCCCTGATCCAAATATACCGTATTTTTCACTCCATAAGACGCACTTTTTTCTTCTTTAAAAGTAAGGGGAAATGTCTGTGCATCTAATAGAGTGAATGCGTGGTCCCTGGAGCCGAATTGCCCAGGGACAAAAAGCAGATCATGCTTTCTTTCTTTTTTCTTTTTTTGAAAGAGGGAAGTGGGTGTTGAAACAAAGCCACTGATTGTAAGCGATCGGGAGGGAGATAAGGGATGCTAGCAATAAAGGAGGCTGCCTGAGAGCGGGGAGGTAAAGACAGCAAACCTGCAAGGAGAGGAGACAGGAAGACTAAATCAATGAGGAGAGAAATTAGAAGAAAAGGAGGAGCAAAAAACTACTCCAGCTAAGGAAAAGACACTAAGGCAAACAAGAGGGAACGGAGTGTTGAAAGGAAGCAGCTGATCAGTGGGATCAGGAGAGAGATAAGGGACACTAGAGATAAAGGAGGCTGCCTAGGAGGGGGGAGGTAAAAGCCCATGGATCCTCAGGATTTTTGCATTGGGTCACCCCAAATTCACCATCAGATCACATAGCATGTCCATGGCTACAGCCTGCACCAAAAAAATCACTCACCCACTGTTGTGTGGGGCCACAATGGCGCAAAAATGTGGTTACAAAGCACGGATCCACATGGATTCTCAGGATTTTTGCATTGGACTACCCCAAACTCACCGTGTCTTATGGTCAGGTGCGTCTTATGGGTTTGTCAAACAACCTCGCTTGTCCAGGAAAAAAGAAATCGAGTGAAGTGAAAAATGACAAGTGAAGGAAGAAAGGGGCAACGGCGAGGGAGACGGGGACCCTCTATAGTACAGTGGACAGACTGAAATAAAAAAAAAATCACCATTTGCATTGTCATTCAAAAATGTGGAAACATAACATGCCTCTCAATCAATCTGCTTTATTGCTCACACCTCTTAACCTTTTGAAGGGAGATCTGCCCCTGCACCTTTGAGAGCAACCAGCCATGCAGAAACTAAACAGAAGCTTTTCCTGGCGGGGAGATGAATCTGCAAGGCAGGGAGCAGCTTCGCCTCTCTTTTTTCTGCATGCCAGGAAAATCAGGGCCAGTAAAAGGAGCAGGGGGCAACTCCAGAGGCAGGTCTGTTGGTGGAAGTCACTCTGCTTGGAACAGGACTGGGCTCACTGAGCTACTGCAATTCTGTCTCTTTGCTGAGCCAAAGAAGGCTATCAGAGCAACTGACAAAACTAAGTAATAAGACGATCCCTGCCCTTCGGCAGACAACCTACATTTATGAATTTAGAAAGCCAAGAAATGGAGAGAAACCCAAATTTTCAGGCTGGCCAACCCTGCCTCCTTCTCCTCCTGGCACACAGGAGGAGCTCTCACTTTGCTTCCTCCCCTTTTGCCACGCAGCCTCATGCAGAAATGGGACACGGGTGGCGCTGTGGGTTAGACCACAGAGCCTAGGACTTGCCGATCAGAAGGTCGGCGGTTCGAATCCCTGCAACGGGGTGAGCTCCCGTTGCTCGGTCCCTGCTCCTGCCAACCTAGCAGTTTGAAAGCACGTCAAAGTGCAAGTAGATAAATAGGTACCGCTCTGGCGGGAAGGTAAACGGCGTTTCCGTGCGCTGCTCTGGTTCGCCAGAAGCGGCTTAGTCATGCTGGCCACATGACCCGGAAGCTGTACGCCGGCTCCCTCGGCCAATAAAACGAGACGAGTGCCGCAACACCAGAATCGGCCGTGACTGGACCTAATGGTCAGGGGTCCCTTTACCTTTTCCTCATGCAGAAGGGCTGGCATTGGCCTTCTCTTGGGCATCGCAGAGCCCTTGGGAACCTGGCTGGGTGCATCACTGACACATCCTCAGATAGAAATTTGGGGGCAGGTGGGTCGGTGCCCTGCTCAAAGTTTTGCATCTGCCAAGCAAACGACACAAACTAGGGAGCTATTCTTTTCTTGCCCTGGGACAGTTTGAAGGCCTGTGGAATGATAGAACTGTAGAGCTGAAATGGGTCCTCCCAAGCCTCATCTAGCCCAAACCCCAGCAATCTTTTGAGCAATATGGGTTTCGAACCCACAACCCTAAGATTAAGAGTCTCGTGCTCTTCTGACTGAACTATCCTGAGTTCTAAGAGGGAAGACCCTTTTTAAAAGAAGTTATAGATACACACATACTGGGATAGCTCAGTCAGTAGAGCATGAGACTCTTAAGGTTGTGGGTTCGAGTCCCATGTTGCGCAAAAGATTCCTGCACTGCAAGGGGTTGGACTAAATGATCCCCATGGTCCCTTCCAACTCTGCAATATGGAGATATATATATATATAAATACATAGATGTTTTGCATGTTTTTTCTCTAGGTTTTTTTAGAGAAAAAACTAGAGGCATATTTACTGAGTATAATGAGTAAAGATGGGAAATTATTATTCTACTCCTTGCACAAAACTGGAAAGGGAAATATATACCCACAAAGGATGACTGGATGAATAAACTAATTGAATTTATAGAATCAGCAAGATTAACTGCAGGATTAAGGTACTGATCAAACCAGAAAATAAAAATAAAATGGAAATGGTTTGAAGATTATATGTCCAAGTAAGTACTGCTCAAAAACTAGCATGTTAATATGTTTGGATTAATGTTTGTAAAGCTGGTTAAAAAAAAATAGTTAAAAGAGTTAAGAACTATAAATTTAGATAAAAATTGCAACGTGAAATATTATAATATAATATTTAGGAGGGTGAGGGACGGTGGAGGGAAGTCACAAGGGTGTTTTAATATCTGTAATTTAGGGTGGTAGGGTAATATGAAATTTGTTTCATGTCTATGTGTTTGTTTGTAAATAAAATTATTTTCTAATAAAATATAAGATTCAATTTTTTTAAAAAAAAAGATGTTTCACATGTTTACTGGAATTTCAGCAGCCGGCATTGCTTTGCATTTTTCATTTTAGAAATGCGATTTTTAGATTGCATTTCTCTGTGGTTCGTCGCTCTGCACTCTGACGGGAGGAAGGGCACTATAGAAAGGGGATCAATCATTTATTCATTCAATCCTTTCTCCGGCTCCCCTTTAGGGTTACTCTTTCCCAGTCCCTATACCCCAGAAACGGCAGGGCCTTGTTCTGCTTCTGGTGGGCAGCAGGGCTGATACGCAAAAGCGTTGGCTTGTACCCAATCACTTTAAGGCTCAGAGGAACAGCTGATCTTCCGGGCAAACAAGCCTTGCTGCTGCTGCTGCCACAAGGTTCTGCTCAGGTGACAAGGAGCTTATTAAGGTGGCCATTGTCCCAGCTGAGACGTTGCAAGCTCCATGAGTTTCGGTGCCAGAGGAGGAGAGAGAGAGAGAGGCGCACAATGGCTTGCTGACAAGGGCCGTATCATGTTATCTAGGCCTTTGATCCCCATCAGGATTGGAGCCAGATCCACGTAAGAAGGGGGAGGCCACTGTCAGCAGTCCTGCGATAAAGGTCACCGGGTTGCTTACAAGCTCTGGCATGGCGTGTGTGATGATGGAGGCGATGACGCCTGGTTGCAAAAGCGGAATGTCCTGTCTCTCCCCGGTGGTGACCTTTCCACGGTCTTCCTGGGAAGCAGCTCCTGTTTGGAAAAGCCACTTTGAAGAGACAGAGGCCTGGGCAAAGGCCTGTGCGAAGGAGCTGGGCTGAAAAAGATCCACAGCATTGGGACCACATAACACTGGTCCTAAAGGATCTACATTGGCTCCCAGTATGTTTCTGAGCACAATTCAAAGAGTTGGTGTTGACTTTTAAAACCCTAAATGGCCTTGGCCCTGTATACCTGAAAGAGCATCTCCACCCCCATCATTCAGCCTGGACCCTCCCAGAGTCTTCTGCTGGTTCCCTCACTGTGAGAAGTGATATTACAGGGCCTTCTTGGTGGTGTCACCCTCCCTGTGGAACACCCTCCCGTCAGATGTCAAGGAAATAAAGAGCTACACAACTTTTCTAAAACCTTTTCTAAAACCTCCCCACATAGGGCTGCCTTCAGATATCTTCTAAATCTGAAGGCAGCCCTATGTGGGGAGGTTTTTAATGTTTGATGTTTTCTTATGTTTTTATACGTGTTGGAAGCTGCCCAGAGAGGCAGGGGCAACCCAGACAGATGGCTGAGGTAGAAATAATAAAGATTATTGCTATTATTACGAACACTACGCTTAACTGCAAAGGATTAGTTCATTTTCTCCTTACAGCCGCTGGGCCCATAATTGCATAGCCGAGGAAATCCAACTCTGAATGATCCTTTTACACCCGAATAAACATATATATGAGATACAGCCCTGTCTGAGTGCCTTGCAAGAATGTAGGTGGCTTGTGAGGGGTGCAGGCAGGAAGCATGATTTTGGTGACACCTGGTTTCCTTTTTACATTTATGTTATTTGTGGGGGTGAAGCCCTTACTATTATCTCCACTGAGTGAGGGTTTGTAGAGGGGTCGTGTTGCTCCTTGATGACCATAAATAAGCGATAATACTATCAGGTTTCTTGCAGCTGAAATACCGTCCTCTGGCCACCCATCTTGGTGGTGCCGCAGGGCATTAGAGAAAAGGCTGGCATCTCCCTCCACGTGTGAGCTACCACCACGGTGCCAAGGGTCACAGTGCCTGCTTCCAGGTCCACAGGTTCAAGGTGCTCCACAGAGCTGGAAAAAGGTCTTGCTAGTTATATAAGTGCTTTTGAATTCTAGTGCTGGAGGAGACTTTTGAGAGTCCCATGGACTGTGAGAAGATCAAACCTCTCCATTCTGAAGGAAATCAGCCCTGAGTGCTCATTGGAAGGACAGATCCTGAAGCTGAGGCTCCAAGACTTTGGCCTCCTCAGGAGAAGAGAAGACTCCCTGGAAAAGACCCTGATGCTGGGAAAGATGGAGGGCACAAGGAGAAGGGGACGACAGAGGAGAGATGGTTGGACAGTGTTCTCGAAGCTACGAACATGAGTTTGACCAAACTGCGGGAGGCAGTGGAAGACAGGAGTGCCTGGCGTGCTCTGGTCCAGGAGGTCACGAAGAGTCGGACACGACTAAACAGCAACAACAACAACTATCAGGTGGAGCAATTTCTATTCCTCTGTAGCTTACGCACAATGTCAGAAAAAGGATGAGTTATTTAATGGCTCTATATGTATCTTGACTTTATTTTGCCCTAAAACAATAAAAAATATGGGGAGGGTTCATGATAATGGTGTGAAAGGGGAGAAGGCAGGCAGCAACTGAAAACCAAATAAATGAGCAATAACTGGAGAAAGAGCCAAGAGTCCACCTCTGCTCCCTTGAGCCTGGCCTTGCGCCCTAGAAGAGTCATTAGTTGGTCTTTGTCTTTGCTTTCTTATGTATTTTGTGTTCTCGTTTTGTATTTTTATGTTGTGAACAGCCCTGTATCTTAGGATGAAGGATGGTATACAATTTTTTAAAAAATAAAATAAATAATAATAAATATACTGGTGAGAAGGTTTAAGGATGGTTCCTCTGGATTTTTTAGGCACTGCTTTCCTATATTCCCAAGGGCAAAAAACTTTTCAACATCATTCTTCTGAGTCCTTCATTATATATATATATATATATATATATATATATATATATATATATATGTCTTTATTAATTTTCAAGAATACAGCTGCGCAAATCAGTCAAAGGAAACAAAAGAACTGTGACAGTAACCGTAACTGTGCCCGAATGAGTTGCAGAAGTTGTCTCTCGTACGTTCCTCCACTGAAAAAGTAGTTGCATAATTTTCAAAGAAGGCTTCTCCATGACAAAGAAGCAACGAGATAGTTCTCTGCGTTATGCCGTGAGAGTTTTCTGGCGAAACGTATGCAAAGACCTTTTCAGAGAGAGGAAGCCTTCAAGGGCACCAGCTAAGGGCCGGCTCAACAGCAGAATGGGAAGTGGAGATAGATTGAAACTGCAGAGTTTTGAAAAACTAAAAAATAAAGTGCAAGACTGGCTTCATTATTATCAGATAATGGAGGCATACAATTTGGACAAGAAAATTGGCTTCCAGGTGGAAAAATCAAAATTAGAAACAGAACTCTTAGAACCCAAAACTAAGAATTTGTCAAGAATGTATAACTTGCTGTTGAAATGGAATACTCAGGATGAAACGGTGAAATCTGCTATGATTAAATGGGCACAAGATGTCGGACATAATATTATGTTTGCTGACTGGGAACAGTTATGGACCACAGGTATGAAGTTTACGGCATGTAATGCCCTAAGAGAGAATATTATGAAAATGATATACAGGTGGTACATAACCCCAGTCAAGCTTGCAAAAATCTACCATTTGCCCGATAACAAATGTTGGAAATGTAAAGAAACTGAAGGTACATTCTTTCACCTTTGGTGGACGTGCCCAAGGATTAAGGTTTTCTGGGAGATGATTTATAATGAATTAAAAAGGTATTTAAATATACCTTCTTGAAGAAACCAGAGGCCTTTCTCCTGGGCATAGTCGACCAATCGGTGTTAAAGAAGGACAGAACTTTCTTTATGTATGCTACAACAGCAGCAAGAATACTTATCGCAAAGTATTGGAAGACACAAGAGCTACCCACACTGGAGGAATGGCAGATGAAAATGATGGACTATATGGAATTGGCGGAAATGACTGGCAGAATCTGTGACCAGGGAGAAGAGTCGGTGGAAGAAGATTGGAAGAAATTTAAAGTTTATTTACAGAAACACTGCAAAATCAATGAATGTTAGAGTGATGTTGGATTGAAGTTAAGTGGCTTCTAGCTGAACAGGTTTTAAAGCAATAAATGTATCAAGATTAAGGATTAAGACTAAAAAGATTAAGAGAAATGGAAAAATTGGTTCAAATAGGTAAAAATTTAATGTCATAATATATTAAGATTTAGGATTGGAATTAAAAAGGAGGGAAAGAAATTGCTGGGTTTATAAAATGAATTGGAATACAAAAGAGGGAGGTATGAGGAAGTCCGGGAAATAAGTAAACCTTAAAGAGGTTATGAAAGGACGGAACTATTTTTAACTGTTTTTTTTTTCTTTTTTCTTTTTTCTTTTTTTACTTTTTTCTATTTTGTATTTTGTATGGTGTATTGTTTTCTGTTTTGTTAAAATCTTCTTGTTTATTATGTGATTTTATTCTTTCTGAAACTTTAATAAATATTAATATAAAAAAACAAACAAACAGCAGAATGGGAAGGAGCGGGGCAAATTTGGATTGTAGTCCTAGCTCACTGTCCGCAAAAACTCCTCCTGATCACAGAAAGCCACCCAGGATGTGGGGGTATGTTTTAAGCTGTTTTTAGTTTATTGTTGATTTGATGTGGTGTTAGAATAGAATAGAATAGAATTTATTATTTATACCCTGCCCATCTGGCTGGGTTTCCCCAGCCACTCTGGGCAGCTTCCAACAGAGTATTAAAATACAGTGGTCTGTTAAACATTAAAAGCTTCCCTAAACAGGGCTGCCTTCAGATGTCTTCTAAAAGTCTGGTAGTTGTTCTTCTCTTTGACATCTGGTGGGAGGGCGTTCCACAGGGCGGGCGCCACCACCGAGAAGGCCCTCTGCCTGGTTCCCTGTAACTTGGCTTCTCGCAGTGAGGGAACTGCCAGAAGGCCCTCGGCACTAGACCTCAGCCCATCGGCTGCATGTAGATGTTGAAAAGCATGGGGGAGAAGACGGAACCGTGTGGCACCCCACAAGTGAGGGCCCAGGGGTCTGAACACTCATCCCCCCCCCCACTTTCTGAACACAGCCCAGAAGGAAGGAGCGAAACCACTGTATAATGGTGCCCCCAGCTCCCAGCCCCTCTAGACAGTCCAGAAGGATGTTATGGTTGATGGTGTCAAAAGCCGCTGAGAGATCCAGCAGAACTAGGAAACAGCTCTCCCCTTTGTCCCTAGCCTGCCGGAGATCATCGACCAGTGTGACCAAGGCAGTTTCAGTCCCATAATGAGGCCTGAATCCCGACTGGAAGGGATCCAAATGGTGTTGATTTTATGCATCGTTAAGCTTTGGAACTCCCTCCCCCAGTGATGGCTACGAATCTGGATGGCTTTCAAAGAGGATGAGACAAAGTTATGGAGGAGGAGAGGACAATTGATGGCTACTAGCCAAGGTGGCTCTGCTCTACTTCCATAGTCAGAGGCAGAAATGCTTCTGGATCCCAGTTCCTGGAAACTACAGCAGGGGAGAGTTGGTCTTGTGTTTGAATCCCATTTATGGGTTCCCCACACTCATCTGGTTGGCCACTGTGAGAAGAGGATGCTGCACTAGATGGACCATTAACCTGATTCAGCAGATGTTCTTCTGATGTCTCTGAGTACGTTTCTCAGTGCATTTCCCAGCACAATTCAAAGTGTTGGTGCTGACCTTGAAAGCCCTAAACAGCCTCGGTCCAGGATACCTGAAGGAGCGTCTCCACCCCCATCGTTCTGCCTGGACACCGAGGTCCAGCTCTGAGGGCCTTCTGGCGGTTCCCTCACTGCGAGAAGCTAAGTTACAGGGAACCAGGCAGAGGGCCTTCTTGGTAGTGGCGCCCGCCCTGTGGAACGCCCTCCCACCAGATGTCAAAGAGATAAGCAACAACCAGACTTTTAGAAGACATCTGATGGCAGCCCTCTTTAGGGAAGCTTTTAATGTTTAACAGACTACTGTATTTTAATGCTTTGTTGGAAGCCACCCAGAGTAGCTGCGGAAACCCAGCCAGATGGGCGGGGTATAAATCATCATCATCATCATCATGTTCTTATGCTCTTGTTTTTTAACGTTCTTCTTTTCAAGACTACCTGATCCCTTATATCCCATCCAATAACTGAGACCTTTGGGGCTGTCTCTGTTTGTGGCACCCATGACCCAAATGCACGTGTTTCAATGCTGCCATGCATCCAGGTTTTCCTGGATGTTACTGGGATTTCAAAGGCGGAATTGACATCTGGGTGGGTTTCCGAAAGGTGGCACTTTAACCTGGATCTTAGGCAAGTCAATCAATTGTGTGTGTTTTTGGTGTATCCTATAAAAAAAAATCAACAATTTCGGGGCGTCCTGGTCCTTTACTTTTTGAAATATGTCTCGTAACTGCTAGAGGCCATCTGTTCAGTGTTGTGGACCAAAGCCTGTGGATCTTGTTCCATCAGGCATTTTAAGGTAGTGTTTCAGTTTACGATATAGTTTTTTCAGTTCGTTTCATGCATGATTTGTCTTTCTGTCCACAGCTTAGAAGTGTGAGGGATTAAGCAGTATATGAATGTCTTTTAAAAAATAAAGAACAGAGCAAAATCTCACAGGAAGCAGCCAATAGTGAACCGCTGGAAAAGGTTGCCTGCTTCTGTCTGCAGAATTGCGTGGACACTGAGCCCAACTCATTGACATGACGTTCATGTTTCTGAACATCCACAGATTCCTGGCAGGCTTCTGGCCAAAGGAAAACAAAAGAAATGCAGAAGAGGAAACATGGGTTATTTTATTGAAGGAACCCACAAAATATCATACCAAGCCTCTGGACAGAGAGTTACAGCCTAGAGAGCTGGGAATGGGGGTGAGTGTTTATCAGGCAGGCGAGGAAGAAGAGTTCTCCAATCACTGCCCACTCCAGATCGAATTGTAGAGTTGGAAGGGACCCATTCTAGGTGGATGTGCTGTTTTTGTTTTGGATCAAGTGGGATCCTCTGGGATGCAGGTGCAGGTCTCTGGCCTGTTTTTAAACAGACATGTTTTTAAACTTCTCCAAGTGCACCATGGAATCGTCCTCAACGTTGCTGTGGTCCACTTCAATGATCACGACACCCTGCAAAGGTGGCGGGGAAAAGCCATTAGGATTGCCACATTTTTTTAAAAAAACAAGGGCTCTGTGTGTCCTTTCAACCACAACCCAATCTGCCCCATGGCCTCAATCTGACCCTCACCCAAAAAATCAGGCCAACCCACCCTGGACCAACTCAGATCTTGTCCTGAATCTGTTTGGGGGGCACAGCTAATATCATACCCTCCAACATTCCTCAAATGGAAATAGGGACATTTCTCACTCTCTCGCCAACTGACCCTCCTTGTGTTAGGATATAGTTCCGTTCCACCTTAAGAGGAACAGGCATGACTGTTGTGTGTCACATGCCTGTTTACTTCCAGCACAAGTCTGCTGGGAACATCCGTTGTATATTGCTTTTGCTATTGCTGTTTGCTGGAGACGAAGGGAAGCAGACATGTTTTTCCTTTGTTCCTGAACTATGCTGAATAAATTGCTGTAAATAATGTGCACACATGTCTCTGTCCACCACTTCTGTTGTGAGGATTTATTCACTCTGCTGATAAGAGCGTGCCGAGTCTCTAAACGTATCTGAGGCTCGTGTCGCTGATTGATGCTGTACTGGGAACTGGAGACCGCCCGGCTGCCGGCCGGTGGCTGGAGCCAGCTGGGGGCCTGCCAAATGCCCCCGTCTCCCCGGAAGTATCCCAACACGTTGACCCCCTATTTTTTCCCCCTCACCTTTGCAGAGTATTTTTATCAGAAAGGGGGCACAAGTGCCACCACCATGACACCAACGAAACACAGCACACAAAGTTCAGGCTGTTTCTCTGTGGTTGGAGTACAGGGGTCATGGAATCGTAGGACTGTCGAGTTGGAAGCGACCCTGGGGGTCATCTAGTCCAACCCACTGCAATGCAGGGATCTCATAGCTCAAGCTAAAACCAGCCTGCTTGTTCATCAGACAACCATGCAGGAACGAAAAGCCAACGCAAGGCTGGCAAGCGCATTGCCCAAACACTGACCTCCACCATCTTGAATTCAGGATGATTATAGTCAGCCCCCATCAGGTTGGGCATTTTCATCTGGTTCTTTTCCAGGGCATCTGGAAAGTGTAAAGAAGAAAGTCGCGTTGGCTTTAGAGATAGTGGCAGGAAATCTTACTCATAGCTGTCAACCGTCCCTTATCTGGCGGGAAAGTCCCTTATCCCAGCGCTGTGTCCCGCTGATGTCCCTTATTGATGATGTCCCTTAAATTTCCCAGGTTTCGAAGGAAGCAGCTCTTCTCCCTCCCTCCCTGCCGGCCAGGGAGGAGGGAGGCTCCAACTGTGTTGCTTGGCTGCATTGCTCACCCAATAAGGAGTCTAAGAACAACTGGGGGGGTGGAGCTTGCATGCCTTATGCTAATCAAATCGGCCGTGTTGCCTGGGGACTTGCCTTTGCTCAGCGCTTCCCAGCGGAGAGGTGACGGTGGTTTCCCTTGTTGCATCCCCTTTGCCGGGTTGCTGCGCTGTGGGAACCACCGCTTGAGGCTTCGTTTGGCTGCTGGCTGGGCTTTCTGCCTTTCGCTTGTAGGGGCTCAGAAGTTGAACATACCTGTGCTTGGAAAATCCCTTATTTTGGCTGCTGATCCCTTATTTTCAAGGCTGCTGGTCCCTTATTTTCAAATCTGTAAGTTGACAGCTGTCAACCATAGCTGTCTTACTTCTGAAGGCTGAAGTCATTGCACTGCCAAAACCCCTCTCCTGCCTATGCACCACCTTCAGGCGGAAAACCCAAGTTGCCATTTGTTCTGATTCAGAGTTAAAGAGCAGGTTTTTCTAGGGAGATTGGAGGGGCGAGGAGCACTCAGACACAGACTGGGGGAAACTTGGACCTGGGCCTAGAAAGCATGGAGCAAAACGTACGTAGGAATGAGCCCTTCCGGACATACCCAGAATACTGCAGTCAGAAGCAACGTCTGGGTGGGAATCGAAAAATGTCTGGGGAAATCCGTACGTATGGCAACCCATGTCAGCAGTGTAGTTTTTGGTGATTTCTCTCAAAAACAGGAAATTTGCCAACACAGCTCAACAACTTTGTGCAAAACTAAAAAAAAAAAGATCTACAACTTTTCTGTCCAGATTTTCACTGTTTGAAATATGGCAACCACCCTAAGCAAACATCACATCTGAAGGCAGCCCTGTTTTGGGAAGCTTTTAATATCTGAAGGACTGTTGTATTTTAATATTTTGTTGGAAGTCGCCCAGAGTTGCTGGAAACCCAGCCAGATGGGCGGGGTATAAATAAATACATTATTATAAATTATTATTATTATCATCTTACCATTCATCCCTGGGACGCAATTGCTGGCTATGGCATTCTGCATATATTCCTTTAGTTGGTCTTCCTAAAACAAGAGGAAGAGAAGAGTTGGTGAGTTGATGGCCCCTAAGTATGGATCCCTAAGTATGGGACGTGGGTGGCACTGTGGGTTAAACCTCTGAGCCTAGGACTTGCCAATTGGTGGTTCGAATCCCCGCGACAGGGTGAGCTCCCGTTGTTCGGTCCCTGCTCCTGCTAACCTAGCAGTTCAAAAGCACGTCAACATGCAAGTAGATGAATAGGTACCACTCCAGCGGGAAGGGAAACGGCGTTTCCGTGCGCTGCTCTGGTTCGCCAGAAGCAGCTTAGTCCTGCTGGCCACATGACCCGGAAGCTGTACGCCGGCTCCCTCGGCCAATAAAGCGAGATGAGCGCCGCAACCCCAGAGTCGGCCACAACTGGACCTAATGGTCAGGGGTCACTTTACCTTTAAGTATGGATCATTATTATAAGAGGGGAAGTTGCTTTGTGCTGGAGGACAAATGGACGGGCTGCCTCCCTCCCATGGCTGAGATCTACAACCTGAGATCCTTTCAACAGCGGGCATCAAACCTGAGACCTTACACACAGGCAAGGCAGGTTTTGGATCACTGATCAGGTGGGAACAAACGTTAGAAGGGGGAAAGTTCCCAGAGCACTATGTGGGAATTCTCTAGAAAGCCTCTTGAGATGTTGAGGCACAACCTCCTGGGACCTGCCATCTTGAAGAATTCCTGTTCAGGCTGCATGCGATTGTATACCAGGGAATCTCTCACAGAGCTAAAGCCACTATTTCCTGAAGAATTTTTATCTCCAGATTCTCAAAGAGGGTGGGGAGAAGAGCAGAGGTGGGGTGGTCTAGGCGATGTTTCTGAAAGGTCATATTTGGTTCCAGGACCTGAAGTTCCCCACCATGCCTTAAATCCTTCAAGAGATAAGACAGCAATTCCATGTGTGCTCTTGAGTAGCCCAAGACAACTTCACACTTGGACTTCCGGGGTGGCGCCATCGGCAATGGCAGACTCCCTCTGAACTGGAGGGACTAGCTCCGCGTGAAACGGGTCTTCTCCGCTACGGCGAAGCGGGGACCCTTTTAAAAATCACAGGCGGATGAAGCCTGTGACCATGGGACTCGGCGGGCACCTTTAGCGCCCCCCCAACTCGCAAAGGAACCCACTAACGGGCTCCGAAGTGAAGAGGGGGAAGTGGCGCGGTGCTGTGAGTCAACTGCTATTTCCGTGGAGCGAAGCCGCATAGCCGTTGCCGGAGAGCGCTGCCTTTTTCCTGGGACAATTTGGACTCTAAAATAAGCACCCGTGAGTACTTAAACTTTGAACAACTGGACCTTAAATAAGGACTTGCAAGCAGAAAGGAATTGGATTTAAAAATTTATTTCAATTTGGTACTGAACGGGAAGGTCTAAACAGGAAGTCAGCCTTCCGTTCTTTTGTAGACAGAATAAAGCAAAGACAACGTAAACTAGAGCTCAGAAAATCACCTTTAAAGGATTGGATTTCACCATTTAAAATTGTAGAACCCCCCTTCGACAGCAGGAGAAGAAGGGGGATCTTTTTCGGACTGTTTAAAGTGAGTTTAAAGTAAAGTAACTTTCCACCGTCCTGATCCTGGAGCGGGGTGTCAGGACTGACGTTTGAAGCTCATTGACCAGAGACAAAGGTTTTTGACAGATAGCTAAAAGAAGAGAAACATAGTGATTCCACTGTTTCCCTTCACATTTTAAAGGAACAAATATTGACAAAATATCTTAAAAAGGAAAACTTTGTTGCAAGAACAAATAGAAGTTTTCCCCCTAGAGGGAGACTGTGAAACTGTAACCAATTCCAGGGAGCCGGCAGCTGTTACAGATTACAATCGTGGGAACAGGCATTCGACCTTGCAGGGCAATGTATTCAGAAGCTCTGTTGTGTGCTTTCTATAAAACAAATGCCCTACTGGAACAGTTACATGAGAAGATGAATTTGATGGCAACTTCGACTAGAAATTTTGAACAGGCAGTGGGAAATTTTGAACAGACAGTGGGAAAATATGTGGAGCCCACCCAGGAATTAAATCAGGAGCGTGTCCTGACAGAACAGGCCCAACAGGAATATGAGCTTTCGGACTTGACAAATGAACTTGGAAAAAGCCAGATTTGGAAAGAAAAAGTTTGGTTTGGCTTGGAAATGGGGGGCTGGATTGACCCCCCTATGCTGGGATGTTTGGACTTTTCAAATCTGGCAATGGGCCGTGAGATGTTTGGGATTGTGGGGGCTCTTAATTTTGGAGGGTTTTTGAAACATGTTTTTAAATACCACATGGAATTTAGTGTTGAATATGGAAAAGGGGCTGATCTGTCGAGAAGGGTCAAAAATATTGCCAAGCTGGAGTTACCACGAGCAGGAGACAAGGGAAAATACAGTTACAAATATGAAGAAGAGCTGCGGAAGGGACATGGAAGAGACTTGAGGGCCTCGGATATAAGGTTGCCAGGTTAATGCGCTAGATCAATGGGATAATAAGGACTGACAAAACCCGGGACCAGGAGGAAGGGACGCTGGATGAAGATTGGATCTGTTTGTATTTCTTTCTTTTTTACTATTAGGACTGTTTTATAAAATTGATGAATGTTAGAAAAATGTTGGAATGAAATTACTCGGCTTTAGTAAAGATGTTTAAAGAATTATGAAAGAATATTATGGTTATGAGAAGTTGGTAAGGATAAGATTTAAGCTTTAAGTTTCAAGGTTTTTTTTATAGAAAGATAAAATTAAAACAGTTTAAGGTAATGTAATGACAGAATATTATGAAATATGGAAAGGATTTGCTGGGATAATTAATAACTAGGATACAAAGAAAGGGAGGAGGAGGAGGTCAAAGAAAGAAGGTAATGACAGTTGAGGATTTGAGAATAATGAATTTGTTTTTAAATGTTTTTAAATGTTTGTGGTGTATTTTTGTTTTTTTCTCTTATTTTGAATTTGTATTCGTATTGTTGGAAGTGGTTTGTTTTTCCCCTTTTCTACTTTGTTAACCATTTTTATTTTGTATTTTCTTCTTTTTTATTTTTATTTTGTAACATTTTGAAAATCTCAATAAATATCTTATTTAAAAAAAAAACTCACACTTACATTAATGTCGCCAACTGAGGGAGAAGTCACAGATATTGCTGTTGTCCTGCAAAACGAAAGAAAGGCAGCATGAGAGGACGTGCCAGTGTCTCCATCGCTTCCTCCTTGGCTGTTTTCTTGTGCTTAGTGATATTTCATTATTTGTCGTATTGAAGGTTTCCACTACAGCTTTCCTCCTCTCACCTCCCTTCAAATCCTTCCTCAACACCCCGTACTTCTTCCACAAAAGGGCTGTGGATTCAAGACGGACAAAAGAAAGGCCCTTTCCCCTTCACACAATGCAGAGGAAGGTGCGGGGAGCTTGAGAGAGGAAGGAATTCATTTCCATCCATTTTTGGAGAGGACCAACCTGATCCAACATTCCCAAACTAGCTTTTGGATTAGACTAGAACCCCCAGTCGGACAGCACACATTTTGCTTTGGGTTTTTGATGTACAAGAAGTACATGTGAAAATACATGTACTTCATAAAAGATTCACCCATAAATTGTGTCATCCTAGTGAACGCATCAAACAGAATTGAAAAGTGTCTATTTAGTGTAAAGCAGGCATGGCCAAACTCGGCCCTCCAGATGTTTTGGGACTACAATTCCCATCATCCCTAGCTAACAGGGATGATGGGAGTTGTAGTCCCAAAACAGCTGGAGGGCCAAGTTTGGCCATGCCTGGGGTAAATAGTATGTATCTTGTACTGTATACAGAAAATGCAAACGACAGGATGCAATGGAACAGATCGCTGATTGGATGCCAGCAAAACTGAAACAGGTGGAAATACCTGCTCAGCTCATTCTGAGCCTAAATATGGATCAGGAAGGCACACCTTGTGGGAAAATGTCCAGCCTCATATATGCCACCAAAATGGGGGGTGGGGTTGGTCTTCATGGGTGTGAGAGGGAAATGCCATGAACTGTGCCCTCTCTGCTACTGAAAGGAAGCAGCATTTATGATGCTAATGAGCAGATTGACTAATCAAGGTTTTAAGTGCACATGTCCAGACCTGCCACTGAAATTTCACATACCAAGAAATGTGATAAAAGAAATGGAATAAAAGAAACGAGAATGTTTAAGGGGTTTGAATGGGCCACGGGGTGCTTCTTACATCCCTAGAAAAAACCAAAGTTTTAAACCTCATGTATAAAAACAGCCATAGACTTGGAAAAGGCCCCCAGACCATCTTCTTCAACTGAGGATTTGTTGAAGGACGGGAAGAATACTCAGCTCAGTACCTGCCCGTTTCCGGTTGCAAGAAGACTTTCATGGTGTCCTCGACCTGCTCATAGCCAGCATCCCATTTGTGCTCCTGCAATGGAACAACAGAAGGAAGTGAGCACATTGCCCTCCAAAGTGACGCAAGTCTGCAGCAGAGGGAGAAAATGACAAAGGCTCCACCCTTTGCAAATGTACTTAGAGAAATGTGAAACTTTTAATTTGTAAATTTGAATTTAAAAGGGCTGTGTGTGTGCGCGCGAGCGAGGTAGAAGTGTTCAACTGTTGATGTGCAAATTAGCAATGAGGCCAGAAATCCTACGGACTTGTTTTTAACTTTATCAGCCAGTTTCTAAAACATGGCACCAGGCATCTGGAAAACCTGGGGTGGAAATACCTGCTCAGTTCATTCAAATCCTGAATATGTTTTGGGGAGGGGGCAGGGAGGCCTTGTGGGGGGAAAGCCCAGCAGGGGAGACAGCGCAAGTATAACATGTCAGGAGCTGCTGGCCCCTGGGAGTGAGACATAAATTCTGCCTACCATGTCTATGGTGCAGACGGGTTCGTTGTCTGGGTCTGTTTTGACGTCTATTGTTGAATGGACTGCCATGACACTTTTGCCGTCTTCGATGAGAACCTTGGGCGTTTCTACAGATCTGATTTCCAACTTCACTTTCTTTGAGGGGTCCATATCTGCAAGCTGCAGGAAGTCAGAATGCAATTAAAAGCAGCAGTGTAAGGAAGCAGTGAACCAAAAGCTCTTGCAGGTATTCTTATTCTAAGTTTAGTCCTCCTCCTCCTCTGTCGACTCAGGTATTGCCACCCTTTCAATATTTCCCAAAGGCCTTTTTTTTTAATACAGTCATACCTCGGGATAAATGTGCTTCAAGTTAAGTATTTCCGGGTTGCGCTCCGCGGCGACCCGGAAGCAATGGAGCGCGTTACTTCCTGGTTTCGCCGCTCGTGCATGCGCAGGCGGTCTAAATGACGTCACATGCATGCGCGGAAGCAGCGAAACGCGACCCGCACATGCGTAGACGCGGAGACGCTGGTTGCGTTCGCTTCAGGATGCGAACGGGGCTCCGGAACGGATCCCGTTCACATCCCGATGTACCGCTGTAGTGGGGATATGAAATGTTATCAAAGACCAAAGAAAAGCACTTCACAGAAAATACAGGGTGTCACGCTGTCAGCCCTGAACAACTTTCAACTGCCCCATTACATTTATATTTAAGATGCTGGTCCTTCTTCTTGAGCCAAGAAGGACCAGTGTTCTGGAACTTTCTGTTTGGGGGGGGGGGGGATATTGAGTTCATTCTGAGAACATGTGCCACGCTTGTTTTTGAAAACCTATCATTAAGCTTGCATTGTCTGAAGATGCTTCTCTAAGGCTCTGTGATAGTTTGCTTGGCTGCTGTCCCTGACCCCGGTTTCTGCAGAAAAGCCGATTGACGTTGTGTTCCGATTCCGGGAGGGAAGTGGTGGGGCAAGTGGAAGCGTTTTCAGGTTTTCCATAATGGGCATCTGGCTGGCCCCTGTGAAACAGGATGCTGGACCAAATGGGCCATTGGCCTGATCCAGAAGATGCTCTTCTTATACTGAGTTCTTCGGATCATTTGTTAATTGGTTGAGAAGATGTGAGGCTTTCACAATGAATTTGCAGCAGAATGTCAAGGGAATAAATTTTTCACCCAATCACACTGTGGGTCATAGGAGCCAGCGCCTAGGGGCCATGGGGTATTCAGCCCCGCAAAAATATTTGAGGGGTGGGTGGGTGTCAGTGTCAGAGCACTTTCCCCACCCCATTTGTGAGAGTGCCTCGCTGGAAGTCTGTCGAATCAAATCAGTCAAATCAAAAATTTAAAAAGGAGTGGAAATGTTTTGATGAATATATGGCAAAATATTGCTCAGAAAACGATACGCTAATATGCCTAGATTAAAATGTGAAGTACTGGATGGAGGAAAAATTAGTAAGGACAGATAATAAGAATATATAGATGATTTGAGAAGATTGTAGAATGCAAAGATTATTGTGAATTGTATAATGTGGAGGAAATCGAGTGGGGGCGGAGGGAAGTGGGAGGAGGGAGAAAAGGATAATATGATGGATTGAGGAAATAGAAATGTATGGGGGGATGGGGAGGAAATGGTGTTGGCTTTGGTACATCTGTATTGTAATGTAATATGTGAAAACCAATAAAAAAGAAAAGGGGAAAAAAATTTGAGGGGGCTGAGTCACCCCAAAGTTGTTGGGCATGGCCACTCAAATGGTGTGTGAACACTACATCATGTGATTGGTTGTGTGGGTGGGGCTTACCTGCCCCCCTAATATTTTAGTCAGGTTGGCACCCTTGTTGTGGCTGCAAATCAAAGGGTGGTTTCACAGGGGTTTCTGCCCCCTCAGAATTCAACCTTCCTGAAGAACGACCAGACACAGCCTTTCTTCCCCCAGATCTCTCAATGGCAGTTGTCAGGTGGTGGTGTGGTTGCTCGAGAGCAAACAGGCAAGACTCTGACCTGTCTTTTCCAAGCTTTATTCTTAGTGCAACCTATTTACAGTGAAGGGGTGCGGATGGCGCTGTGGGTTAAACCACAGAGCCCAGGACTTGCCGATCAGAAGGTTGGCGGTTCAAATCCCCGCAACAGGGTGAGCTCCTGTTGCTCGGTCCCTGCTCCTGCCAACCTAGCAGTTCGAAAGCACATCAAAGTGCAAGTAGATAAATAGGTACCGCTCTGGCGGGAAGGTAAACGGTGTTTCCGTGCGCTGCTCTGGTTCACCAGAAGCGGCTTAGTCATGCTGGCCACATGACCCGGAAGCTGTACGCCTGCTCCCTCGGCCAGTAAAGCGAGATGAGCACCGCAACCCCAGAGTCGGTCACGACTGGACCTAATGGTCAGGGGTCCCTTTACCTTTACCAATCTACAGTGAAAGCGTCGCAAGTTCATGTCTGGCTCAGTCACTAGCAGAATCTGGGAGTGGGCGGTCCTTGTACCTCCCCCAGCATAACAGTCGCGTGACCTCCATCTTTCTCCTCCTCTCCTTGCGTCGAAACTTACTGCGCAGACTGGGCGCTGGCAAAGGGGTCCTTCTCTCCTCTCCGGCTTGCTCAGCCTCAGCACTGAGGCTCTCCCTAGCATCCCCTGGTCCCACCACCTCCTCTCCACTGGAGGTGGGGCTTTCCTCCTCGCCAAAGGAGGAGCTGCTTCGCAAGACCCTCAGAGGTTCCCCATAACACAACTGCCCTTCCCCCTCTCGCCTCTGACCTGATGGCAGGTCCCTGACAGCAGTGTTGTGATAAACAGTGAGAACTCACCCCTGGTATCATTTCTTTCATCTTGCCCACTGTTAGATCAGAAATCTGCCAAAAGAGTGAGGAAAAACCACATGAATGGACAGCTTTAAACACAGCAGTGGCTCCATCCAAAAGTAGGAACAGCTTCTTTCAAAGGCAGAGCCAAGGGGAGCAACGTGAAGAGATGCCACAAAAGCAGGGAATTCTGCTTTCAGTAGTGGTGGAGCCTAGGCTCGGTCAATGGAAATCATTATTAGCAAGTGCAAGTGGAAATGTTTCTTTTTCAAAGGTACAAGCTCATCATCAGATGGCAAATTCCGGAAAGCTTGCAAGCAGCCAGATGGCTCCAGTAACAAAAAAGAACCTAAAACCAGCAGTTCTAGTTGTGAACGCTTTCAAATTATCCACTCTTGCTTGCCTCAAAGTGCCACTCAGCAAAACTCCATCCACTTCCTACCTTTGATATCCCTGATCTCTGGCTGTGTCTGAAGACTGAAGACCAGAAATATGAGAACCTACAAGAAACTGAAATTGACTCCCATCCCTAGGCAGGGCAGCGGCAAAGTCGGAACCAACAGAGCCAATTCCACTGGTTCATCCATATAGCCTTGACCTCACCACTGGTCTTCTTTGCCCCATCCAGGTGAGCGGCAAAAACGCCACTGTCAGGAGGACAGGAGGACCTTTGCTCTGACAGCAGCCACCGCTGACTTTCTCCAGTCAGAATTAATGGTGCATCACCTTTAGAGGAAATTCTGTCACAGGCACAGAAGTGGACATGCCAACAGATTCAAGAAATCAAATATCTGCTCACTCACAGAGTCACTAGTAGCGTCGCAGTCCATGTTTTTCTTGAATAGTTCCAGCACAGTGTTCAGGATACCCGTTGGTATGATGACTTGAGTAATGCCATCAGGTCTTGCGGAATACCCTTCAGAACCTGGTGCTTCACAGACATTTGGAATTTCATTTCCATCTGTGTCACGGACTACCGGCTAAAAGAGAAGGTAAGAATAATGGTTGCATCATTTGAAAACTACCCAAAAACATAACCCACATTTACATTCGATGGGATGTAGGACCTTGGCCACCTTCTTTTTTCTTTGTTCTTTTGGTCATTTACAAGTATGTGGGTGAATTACATCCTCCTTGACAGGGCCTTCTTTGTGGCAGCCCCTGAGTTGTGGCATTCCCTCCCCACAGAGGTTCCTTCATTATCTAGTTTCCATTGTATGCTGAACATGAACCTCTTTGCCCTGGCCTTTGACACTTCAGATACATATTTTCAGGAATCAAACTATTCTTATGACCAGTGCTTTTTTCCCCTAAAAAACATGTTTAGGGGTACTCTCATTTTGACTCAAGACAACCACCATTTTATAGTTCAAATCAGGAAAAATGGACAAAAGTACAAAGATTCACAAAATGTTTAGTGGTATGTGTACCCCTGTGCATCCCCAGAAACAAAGCACTTCTTATGACTGTAAATTGCTTTCAATATTGTGATTTTTAATTGTTATAGCCTGTGCTAGAATCTTACCGTGAAGGCTGGGTAAGAAATTTTGGTCGCCACTGAAATTTTAAAGCCCAAAGTCCACCACTGAGTTATGGTTCTGTTTTGTTTTGGTTTTGGGTGCTCTTTTTTAATTGCATTTATGCTTTATCATGATAAACTACCCTGGGGGCACTTTCTAGGGCTAAAAGGTGGTATAGAAATGTGTTTGTTTCTTCATTAAGGGAAGTCGTAGTCCCACCCTATTCTGCCTTGGTCAGACCTGAACGCCACCATTTAAGAAGGCTATTGATAAACTAGAAGGGGGGCAGAGAAGAGCAACCAAGATCATAAGGGTATGAAGAAGAAGAAGAAGAAGAAGAAGAAGAAGAAGAAGAAGAAGAGGAGGAGGAGGAGGAGGAGGAGGAGGAGTTTGGATTTGATATCCCGCCTTTCACTCCCTTTAAGGAGTCTCAAAGCAGCTAACATTCTCCTTTCCCTTCCTCCCCCACAACAAACACTCTGTGAGGTGAGTGGGGCTGAGAGACTTCCGAGAAGTGTGACTAGCCCAAGGTCACCCAGCAGCTGCATGGGGAGGAGCAAGGAAGCGAACCTGGTTCACCAGATTACGAGTCCACCGCTCTTAACCACTACACCAGGCTGGCTCTCATCATAAGGAATGGTGGAGGGAGTTGGGAATGTTTAGCCTGGAAAAGAGGAGACTGAGAGATGATATGAGAGCCATCTTCAAATATCTATAGGGTTGTCCCATGGAAGATGGAGCAAGCTTGTTTTCTCCTGCTCTTTGGGTAGGATTCAAACCAATGGCTTCAAGTTACAAGGAAGGAGATTCTGACTGAAGTCAGGAAGAACTTTCTGACAGTGGAATAATCTTCCTCAGAAGGTGATGGACTCTCCTTCCTTGGAGGTTTTTCAGCAGCGGTTGGATGGCCATCTGTCATGGATTCTTTAGCTGTAATTCCTGCATTGCAGGGGGTTGGACTGAATGACCCTCAGGGTTCCTTCCAACTTAATAATAATAATAATAATAATAATAATAATAATTTATTATTTATACCCCGCCTATCTGGCTAGGCTTCCCCAGCCACTCTGGGCGGCTTCCAACAAAATATTAAAATACCGTAATGCATCAAACATTAAAAGCTTCCCTAAACAGGGCTGCCTTCAGATGTCTTCTAAAAGTCTGGTAGTTGTTGTTCTCTTTGACATCTGGTGGGAGGGCGTTCCACAGGGCAGGTGCCACCACCAAGAAGGCCCTCTGCCTGGTTCCCTGTAACCTCACTTCTCGCAGTGAGGGAACCACCAGAAGGCCCTCGGTGCTGGACCTCAGTGTCCAGGCAGAACGATGGGGGTGGAGACGCTCTTTCAGATATACTGAACTCTACAATTCTATGACTCCATGATTCCAAATAAAACTGGCTGACAAGATGTTAGACTGGACGGGCCTTTGGTATGATCCAGCAGGGATTTTCGCATGTTCCTATAACCTTCTGCCTCTGCTTCACAGCTGAGCAGATCCCCTGCTTTTGTCAAAGTCAAGGGGTACAGGCTGCAGAATATGAACACCTCTTGGTTCGCTCCTTTAAGAGCCTTCACTGGGCAATTTCAATTCATAGAAAGGAGGGAGGCTCTGAAAGATCATGAAAAGTGATACTAAGTGCAAGAAGATATAACTGGCACACAGCAGAGCTATCCACACTTACCTTGAACTTCATGTTCAAGGAGCCATCATATACTTCTGGCAGCCCGTCCATTGTATATTGCATTGTTCCCCGCTCACCAATAGGGCATTCCTCTGGGAAAATGACATGGAAAATGATTTGCAGCATCTGACAGGGCAAATAACCATGGGTGATGTAACTATTGCCTTCGCACCTTGCCTGAGGCTTCCCGGAAGCCTGTCCACTCTTGCAAAGCAATTCCTAAGTCCTTAAGCTACTGCCCTGGCAGAATAATATCTTCCTCCATGAATAAATCTGACTCGGGGCTTATCTGCACTCACCTTTTGCCCTGCCCTTTCCAGGCACAGGTCCATGCTTGAAAGCTCCAAGTCCAAACATCATCATCATCATCATTATTATTACCCTGAGCTTTCCCTGCAAAAATCTGCTCTTTAGCGCTCAATGGGAGCAAACGTCTTTGGGTTTCCCTCAGATTGCTGTTTGCTCCGATTGAGTTTTAAAGAGCAGGTTTTCATGGGGAAAGCCCAGAGCAAAAACAAGGCTACGTGGACACCGAGCTTTAAACCGCAGGCTGTGCCTGGAAAGAAAAGAGGAAAGGTAAGTGTCGTCTCCCTTGGGAGGTTGTGGAGGTTTTTAAGCAGAGGTTGGAAGACCATGGATGCCATTGATGCTTTAGTTGAGATTCCTTCATTTTGCTGTATTTTTAATCTTTGTTGGAAGCTGCCCAGAGTGGCTGGGCAAACCCAGCCAAATGGGCAGGGTACAAATAATAAATTATTATTATTATTATTATTATTATTATTATTATTATTATTACAGGGGAGGGGGTTGACTGGATGACTCTTGGGGTCCCTTCCAACTCTGTCATAGATTCTATGATAAGCCAGAACAGGTTGCTAAGAAAGAAGGATGCCAGAGGCCGTAGCTTTGGTGCCTGAGCTCTTTTCCAAAGCTACGGCTCCGTCTGACTTTAGTCTGAGAAAAATGAACGTGCACATTCTCTGCCGAATGCCCACTTGCAAGATTCCCATTGCAATGTGCAGGATTTCCTTGGCAAGTAAGTCAAAGTGGAAAGAACTGTGGACAGGTTGAGGACCACTGGAGGCGCTGTTTGTTTAAATCCATATTCAGATAACCACCTGGGTTATATATAGCGGAATGAACAGGGTCCTTCATTCATAAAGCTTGTGATCACTGTGGGTCATCTTGGTCCTAGTTCGCGGGGCACTGACCTGAACCGAGCCACCAGTTTTTAAGAGATAAAAGGAGCAGTATAGAACAAACAGCCTTGGTCAACCTGGTTTCCTCCAGGCATTTTGGACTACACTGGCTGGGAGCTGAAGACCAACGCTCCCAGAGGGCACAGGTTGACCAAGGCTGGCGTAGAAGGTGCCAGCTGAGCTTACCAAATGCTTTCTTCATCTTCTCCTCTATGTGTAAGAGCACTTTGTCTGTTGCCGGGCACATCTAGAAGAGAGAGAAACCCGAAGGGCAGTGAAGCGGACTCAGCTGCTATTAACATGTTTTCATGTGAGCTGTGCACCAAGCATATTTCTGCACATCCTCAACAGACAACCCCCCCCCCGCCCCCCGTAAGTTCTTTTTCAGGTCCATCAGACTCACCATGCCTGGGAGGACTTTAGTGAGGGTAGAATTAAGAAATTTGTTCACAATCTTCGGAAGCATGCTGTGGGGAGGTAAAGGGACTTCGTGAACACGAGGTGTTGGGAGATCTGAGCTGAGAACAAGAGCCATCGCTTCTTTCCTGGCATCAAAACCTATGAATGCGGCTGCTTTTAATAAGAGTTGCCATTGATACACAGCCATCCTCATAGGTTTTGAGACCAGCAGTGCCCAGGGAACTTCTGTTCACCAATGAATCGAAGTTTTTTTGGCGTCTTTTTCCTCCAGAGGGTATCTAACAGCTTGTCCACACTTCCACTTGTCCTGTGCCAACACCCCAACCCCAGTCTCCAGGGAAGCTACTTTTATCCCTGCTGGGAGCAAATACAAATACCGTATTTTTCGCTCCATAAGGCGCACCGGACCATAGGGCACACCTAGTTTTTAGGGGGGAAATCAAGGGGGGAAATCTTATTCCCCCCCCCCAGCCCCAAAAAGCAAAGAAGCCAAGACAGCAAGTGGGATCCATCCCGCTGGCTGTCTTGGCTTCCTCTTTAGCTGCGCGCAACCTCTCCAGCCGGGAGAGGCTGCGCACAGCTTTGGCAGAAGCCAAGACAGTGAGCGGGGTGGATCCCGCTCGCTGTCTTGGCTTCGTTTTCAGCCACGGGGCTGGGGCGGGGGAAGCCCGAGCTTCCCCCGACCCCAACCCCCAGAACAGGCAGCTATCCGCAAGCCTTCCAAGTGCAGTGGGAACTCCCGCTGCGCTGAGAAGGCTTGCAGATAGCTGCCTGGAGCAGCCAGAGTGCAGCCTTTGAAGCCTCCGCAGAGCAGCGGGGTTCTGGCTTTGGGCTTAGCCGCGCAGCCTGCATTCCCTCTATAGGACGCACACACATTTCCCCCTAATTTTTGGAGGGGGAAAAGTGCGTCCTATAGAGCGAAAAATACGGTACCTCCTGTGAATCATGACTTGTTTTCTACCCTCTGGTTGAAAGCATGCTAAGGAGGTTCACATGGTGCCTTCATCGCATGTCTTTAAACACCAGGCGAAAACATCCCTTTTCTCGCAGGCCATTGGCTAATGAAACCATCTATGGCAGGAGTTGACAACCTAAGGCCCATGGGCTTCCATGCACCGCACTAAACCAGCGTGGAGCAGAGCGGGGACTGCCTTTGGCGACGCTGGCTGGCTTCCCATTGGCTGCAGGAAGCTCAAATGTCTGGGGACCCTGTGTGACCGCCACAATGACGAACACAATTTCCTTCTCTGCCCCTTCTGATAGCAGTTGGCAGGGGGAGTCTGGGTCCTAAGACGGGGCAACTGGCAACACAGAGCAGCTTTGCCTGCTCAGGGAATGCCTTGCAGACCAATAGCGATGAGAAACCTTTCGACTGGATGCTGCCATCAAAAAACACAGGACGAAATCACCCCTATTCTGCATACTCAGAGAATATGGACTGCAGAGAACTGAACTGCTGGCCAGAGCAGAATTCAAAGCTCTTCCTTGGAATCTTGCTGGGACTCACCTGCTGGGAAGGTTGGTTTTGCAGCTTATCAGCTCCACCAGACAACTCTTTGCTTTCAACCTGAGTTCTTTATTGGCATCGTATTCCATGCAGCTGACTGTTGTCATGTTTGATTTCACCGTGATCTCCATGGTGCCACCTATGAAGCTGCACAAAATGAAATCTGGTTCTTAGGGACAGCAGTTTCTGACATACTTGGCCCTCCCTCACACTTCACAGTGACCAAACCGTTGTCTAAATTCAGAATCTACTGGCTGATGAGAAGTGAGCCCATCAAGCTCTGGGGGGCACCATGTTGGCCATCCCTGACCTAGTGCACCCTTGGGATCACCTAAAGGACTGGACTGCCGCTGTGTCTTTCTCCGAACCACCCTCTGAGATCTTGCCCTGTATTTGGAAGCAAGTTCTTGCTCACCTTTTCCCAGCAATTGTTATCTGGGATCCCACTGACATTTCGATGTTCCCAGGTTCTTGCAAGCGTATTTCAATCACGGGGGGCTGGATATCTTTAACTTTCAGCCTATGGGACAAAAGACACAATGTATTGAAGCAGAGAGACCATGGAAAGAACAGGCATGGAGTCTAAGCAGCCATCCACGTAAAGCTCTGATTCAATAGTAAAATGAGGGTTTTCTGGGGGAAAGCACTGGGACCCCAAAACAAAAACTGGGTGGGGGGTGGGGGGGAGGTTACCATATTATGCATTTTTTGTTTTTTATAGTGTAAACCACCCTGGGATCCTCAGGTGGACAGCGTTATAGAAATTTAACAAATAAAATAAAATAATGCAACTCATTGGGGAATAAATTAGGAGAAATATATCAGCTTCTCTTTATTTCTAGTCTTTATTTTCCACATCACTTATTTATTCTTTAAAAAGTCCTCGCAAATAAAATCATCAGCACCGTGGGGAAAATTTTTCCTAATCTGCACAGGCTTCTATGCGCTTCTGCCAAATTTACATATTTTTGGCAAAGCAGTTTTTCCCTAATATAGTGCATTGTTGTATTTACCCATCCCCAATAAAGTATGCATTTTTATAGACACTGTTACCCCAGTCAATACATTTTTAAATAAAATTCCTTCCCCATACCGACCCAAATGTTTGTGTGACAGGACAGTGCTTTCCAAATAATAATAATAATAATAAATTTTATTTATATCCCGCCCTCCCCAGCCAAGACTGGGCTCAGGGCGGCTAACACCCGATATAAAAACAAATTGATTGAAATACAACTTAAAAACAAGATTAAAATACAGCATTAAAACATTAAAACAGGTCATTGCAAGAGGCTGTCACTTATAGTTTTTGCATACAGGGACAGCATTCCGTGGGCCAAGTTAAAATATGTGTTGATCTTCTCAACTTCTTCCAGTACGCTGGCATTAGTTCGCCTGTCTTCCCAAGTGATATGTATAATTTTTCGGAGACACCATTGATGGAATCTTTTGAGGAGTTGGAGATGGCATTTGTAAGTGGCCCATGTTTCACAAGCATACAGTAAGGTTCGTAGTACAATAGCTTTGTATTTTGTTTTGTATTTTGGTTTCCCTGCGAATGTCCCTGTCTTCAAACACACTCCACTTCAATAGGGAGAAAGCTGCACTTTTACATATTTTTTCATATTTTTCATATTTTTTTCTATCACTTGGGAAGACAGGTGAACTAATGCCAGTGTACTGGAAGAAGCAAAGATCACCAGTGTTGAAGCAATGATTCTTCAACATCAACTTTGTTGGATTGGTCATGCCGTGCAGATACTTGATGATCATCTTCCAAAGCAAACACTCTATTCCGAACTTTAAAATGGAAGGTTTAAAGACTCACTCAGGGCAAATCTTTAAAAATGTGGTATAAACACTGATAATGTGGTAACACTGGCCTGCGAGCGCTTTACCAAGGGTGTCCTGGGCTCTGAAGACACTCGAACTCAGGACACAAGGGAGAAACATGCTAAGAGGAAGGCACGCTTGGCAAATCCACACCGTGATCAACTCCCACCTGGAAACCAATGTCCCCACTGTGGAAGGACGTGTGGATTCAGAACTGGCCTCCACAGTCACCTACGGACACACCATTAAGACCATATTCATGGAAGACAATCTTACGCAGCTGCAAGGGATCGCCAGAGGAGGTCTTCTTGACACATTTCTACTGGCGCACTGGCATGCCAGGTCCACTTCCTGTTGGTACAGGCTGACATAGCGCCCTCCCTCCCCAAAATGCCTCACCCTTTGATGCCTTTGATAGCTTTCGCGCCACCCTGGTTTTTGGCCGCAGCTTCTGCCAGTTCCTCCATAATGTTGCTGTCAGTCATGGATTTCTTGGAAGCTGAAAGAGATATGCCAGCCCGTGAATTAGACCAGCAGAGCCAGGTTGCCATAGCTCACTATGAAGCAGCCCACAGGTAAGGCCATTCCTCCATTACTATTAGAATTGTAGAACTGTGCAGTTGGAAGGGACACCAAGAGTCTAGCCTAACCCCCTGCAATGCAGGAATCACAACTAAAGAATTCTTGACAGATCACCATCCAGCCTCCATTTAGCGTCTTATTAGCAGGACATCCCCTCTCTAAATTTCCCCCCTTTAAAGAGTTAAGTCTAGTCAGGGTTCTTGTTTAACCAAGATTTTAAACCAGGCTTTGTAAAGCTTCATCATAGGGTTTGGATACATGATGACTTTAGGGACATGGGTGGCACTGTGGGTTAAACCACAGAGCCTAGGACTTGCTGATCAGAAGGTCAGTGGTTCGAATCCCCGCGACGGGGTGAGCTCCCCGTGGTGGGTCCCTGCTCCTGCGCACCTAGCAGTTCGAAAGCACGTCAAAGTGCAAGTAGATAAATAGGTACCGCTCCGGAGGGAAGGTAAACGAGGGCCTGGCATGCTCTGGTCCAGGGGGTCACGAAGAGGCGGACATGACTAAACAACAGCAACAATGTGCCTGTCTGGTATGAAAATCTGATGTGTCTCTAAAGGACCACAAAAACAGAAAGATATGTTTTATTCCCATTTAAATCGTTTTAACTGAGTTGCATTGGAGGTGATTTTGGGGAGGTATATTTCCTTTTCTCTTGAAGCGTGGGGCTTGCAGGGGAAGTGGAAGCCAAAACCTGGTCAAGCCGGTCTAGTCTAACCAGGCAAGAAGGCTGAGTCAAGTCCAGGCAAAGGTGAAGGCAGATCTCCCTGAGCAGCTCCCAATGGCTGAGCTTCAGAAGATGTTGTCTCAGCAAAGAGCTGAGTCCGTCTATCCAGTGGTTGGCCCTGCCTCCCTAGGGAGCTAGGTTTATGTTGTGTTTATGGTGTGTAAGGGAAGAACTGGTTCTCTGAGTCTGAGCAAGCTACATCCTCAGTTCAGGAGAAGCCTGGGAAAGGGGATAAGGGTCTTTCTTCCCCACCCAAAGTGGAACAGCCTGTTCCCTTCCTCATCCGCTTCTTTCTCAGGGTAGCGAAAGGGACTGGTTTGGGAGTCATGGCAGATCGACTGCTTCCCAGGAGACATATTTGTACATCCAACAAGTTAATGTTTAAGTTTATGTCACTTACCGACCATTATTGTATGTTTATCAATTTTCACCATGGGCTGACTGCACTCGGAGGTTTCGTCAGAAAGGGCTGCCCGGCTGCAGAAGAGCACCAGCAGGCAGACCTGCGCTGCCTTGAGACAGAGCCCCATGATGCGTCACCACCACGGACGGAAGAAAAGGGAGAAGACGAGACAGAGGACCTGAGGTGGAAGGAGCAAACGTGGGAAAAACAAACCCACAACAACACGTTATTAGTTTGGCTTATGAATGAATTACGGTGGTTGAGATTTAGAACCCAAAATGAGGGACTTTGAGGGTGCACAAAAAGCGAGTTCAAATGTGTCGCCAGAATTTCTTCATTCAATTAAATGTCTAAGTCACAAAAACATTAAGTCACCATTGCTGTATTTTTAACTTGTCTGCGGGGAGAAGCAAATGAGCTCTTACGCAGCCGCGATGACTTTTGAGAAGATCTATGAATCAATCGGCTCCGCTTCCCCCCCCCCAGTGGAAATTATTTATTTATTTAGAATATTTCTTAATTGCTTTATATTCACAAGAATCTCGAAGTGATTTGCAAAAAGATGAAAACCAGATGCAATGGGACAGAATTCTCAAAACGCTATACAGAGTAGAGGTCCAGTCCCTGAATAAGATAGGAGTGGAATGCTTCACTGCAGTCCTAGATTCACTCTGTACATGCCTTATAAAGCAGAGCAAACCTCTCTGGTCAGATTGAAAGACCTATCTACTACCATTTTCTGTTTCCCACCATATTTCATTTATTTATTTAGCAAGGTTTATATATCACTTGATTGTTTAAAAAAACCACTTCTGAGTGGTTTACAAAAATGTAAAATAAAAAACTTAAATCTGTTGACTAGAAAGTTAGAACTAAGTATTTAAAGAATGATTTTTGCAACGTGGTTTTTATTCATTTTCATCTTTAAACTGTTTGACATGTTTGCACTGAGATATAGCTCTGTTTGCATTAGAGCACATGACATGCAACAATTTCATAAAAATAAAACAATAAACAGTCAAGAAAAAATTAAAATCAAGCATAAGCTAAAAGCACATTAAAGCATCTCCGTGCCGAGATAGGCTTGCCTAAAGAAAAATATTTTAAGTGGGTGTCAAAAGGCACAAAGTCCTGAAGTGCAGGTGCTGCCACACTAAACGAAATCTGAGCCTGGCTTCAGCTGGGGTGGGTGGGAGATATAAATAAAATTTTATTATTATTATCATCAAACTAAATTCTAATTGATGCAACATTTTAGGGTTTGTCCAAATGACCTGTTTACCCTGCATTTGCCATGTTTTGTTTGCCTAAGGCTTACTTGGAGGTTAGACACAGTCCTGTATTTACTGAGCATTCATTCTGATTTATTGGGGGGCCAGTTATATGAGAATGAGCCTTCTTGATTCGCTTGCACAAAGCTTCTGCGGAGGTCAGACTATGTCTATACTTTATTTAGCATCTGTTCCGATTTGCTTGTGAGGCGATTCTGTGCCTTCCTGTAAATGGTTTACTATTTTCACACTTTTGTGCACATTTTCCACGTCACTTTCCTAGCCACGAAAGTGGATCTGTTGCACCAGGGTGGATGCTTCCGGGCTGTCGCTATTTTCAAGCCGGATTCAATCACATCCTGGCAAATTCAGGGCAATTCAAGCTGATCTGGAGTTCTTGCAAAACAAACCTGCTTCCCCAAAAGATTGGACTCTTTTGCCAGAAGGAAAGTTACAGGGAAATGCAATTTCCTGGCGCATGCTTGCTTTTGATGCAGCATCACCTAATCTCCCTACAAGCAAATCAGAACGGATGTTCATTTTTAAAAAGTTGTCTGAAAGTGACTGGTAGCAGAGCGCTTTATACCGTGCTAATCTTGCAAACCAAAATTTCTGATATGTGCTTGTTTCTCTCCTGCCAATTAACGACGGTTTGGAGGCTTTCTGAATTAGCTGCAAGCAAATGGTGACATACGAGCCATTTTGGATTTAGTAGTAATTACAGGCTTGTTTCATAATCACACTCGATGAAAAGGACTTTTTGTGCAGAGAATGCAAAATCAGCAAAGTCTCCAGCCTCAAAGGCCGTCTCCAGAACCTTTCTCTTTCTTGTAGATCTCCTACCATCAGAGGTGTCTTGGGGCAACTGCATCGCTCACTTACCTGTCCGGCTGGACTGGAGATTCCTCAGGAGCAGACAGAGCTTCACCTGCTAATCTCCTCTTTGATGATAGGGAAGCGCCAGATATTATATACTCACACCAGGAATGAAAGAACCAATTCAGAGCTTCGATAAGCGCTGGGATGTGCAAAGTGAGCGCACGGTGGCATCTTCCAAGGTAAATATTTTTACTGACATATTGGAAAATTTTGGAGAAGTCGCCAAGTGCCAGGGATCATATGACTCTCTGGGAGGCGCACAGAGGCAAGGCACAGGATCAGGCCACAGGAGCCCAGCAGGTGACGCTAAAAAGAGCAGGAGGAGATGGATGGAAAACGGGGCTGTCCAGAGAGGAGGACGACACACACGTGCACCGTGCGACACGTGGCTCGCACTTTCTCACCAGGGGTTCACCAGCCCTGGCTCCTCTCCCCTGCTATGGTTTTATTGGTTTACTTATTATGGTTTCCCATCCCTGTCCCTCCTTGTAAGGGGGGTTTCATTTGACGGAGAAAGCAGCCAACACTTTCCCCCACTCCAGCCTGGTCCTATAAACTGTTTCACATTAAATAGACGCCACCTCCTTAACATTTATTTATTTTTTTCCACAATAATATTTATTAATTTTCAATAGACGTAACAAAAAAGAGAATATGCAACAACACAACAACAACAGCAACACAATAAAGAAGTGAAAAAGGAGAAAAAAGAATAACAAACTTAACATACCTAAAGAGAGGGGGGGAAAGAAACTCAATTAATTAATTAAAATCCATTTTCATAAACATTTTAGTTGACTTCCTCTAATCTCCTCCATCTGAATTTCCTCTTAATTTGAATGTAGCAGTTTCCAATATCATTATTTCATAAAACAATATTACAGTCGTATTCCAATTTCTTTACCTTTCTTATTGTACATTTACATATTTATACATTTAAGTCTAATTTAGTCCTAGGCCTGATTGGTTCTTTCAAGTGGTTACATATCTTTAATATTAGAATATTTATTCAAGTAGTCTTTAAATTTCTTCCAATCTTCTTGGTAGTCCTCTTCTTTCTAGTCGCAGATTCTCCCAGTGAGATTAGCCAACATTTAACGCGGCTGCTTCTCCAAGATCAGAGGCAGTAATGGTTCTGAACCCCGGTCGCTGAAAATTGGAGAAAAGGAGAGTGATCTTGTGCTCACTTTGGGGTATCTAGTTGTCACCATGAGAGAACACAAAGCTAGACCATTGCAGGCCGTTGACCTGATCCAGAAGACTCTCCTTATGTTCTCAAGGAGTACTGTTTCATTGTTTCAACCCTACCTGTCCTTCCTCCAAGGAACCTGGAGCAACTGATGTTGTGGTTCCAGTCCCAGGAGTCTCCTACCCAGTTCAGGGCTGGACAGTTTAACATTCATAACAGAACTGCATCATGTACCAGAGCCAGTGTGGTGTAGTGGTTAAGAGCGATAGACTTGTAATCTGGGGAACCGGGTTCGCGTCTCTGCTCCTCCACATGCAGCTGCTGGGTGACCTTGGGTGAGTCACACTTCTCTGAAGTCTCTCAGCCCCACTCACCTCACAGAGTGTTTGTTGTGGGGGAGGAAGGGAGAGGAGAATGTTAGCCGCTTTGAGACTCCTTAAGGGGAGTGATAAAGCGGGATATCAAATCCAAACTCTTCTTCTTCTAGCTCTAGAAACTGTATTCTCAACATGTACGGTTCTGCGGCCCAGATAAAGGTTACACATTTGTATATATGCCAGCAATTAGGGTGGAATCTGCAGGCATGTTAAAAAACATTGTGAAAATGCTTTTTTTTAAAAAAAAAGTTTTGAAAAATGCATTGAATTTGCTGTAGCTCAGAGCTGCCACCTAGTGTCACAATTGCGTATTGCACTTGACAACACAGTCAAAACGTTTTATTTGCAGCTGTATAGCTGCACTCCTGATCACAGAACCACGGAAGAGACCCAGATGGTCATCTGGTCCAACCCCCTGCAATGCAGGAATCTCAACAAGCAGTTCCTCATCCAATTTGGAACCATGTCAGACCCTGTTTATCTTTGCAAATGTGCTTGCAGTTTTATTGCTGCACAACTTTATCCTTTGCTCTTCTTTCACTAGCTTGGTTTATTCTCCACTGCACTTCCAACTCCTCCCTCTCTCTCTCTCTCTCTCTCTCTCTCTCTCTCTCTTCCTGCCCTCCTTCTGCCTGTCCTCTGATAAAACATGCACTTTCCTACAAACTCCCAACGCATAATGTACCTGCTAGCCCCAAAGTCACCACGACGACTTTTTGCATTCTGCCTTGTCTAAGCACGACATGTGGCTTAAATTCCACCTTAGAAGATTTCCACCTTTATCTGATAGGGCTTTAAGATTTCACAATTAGCAGGGGTTTAAGAGAACTCTGTAGAACACTAAAGATGACTTTGTGGTATGTAATACAATCACTCCATATCCTTCTCTGCGAAGACAGGAAGTCCCTGGGCACTGACACTCTGTGCAGTAAGGACGTCAAAAACATTTCAGCGTGATTTGGTGCCATCGTGAGATCCCCTTTCACCTCTTCCGGTCTCTGCAGATTTAAAAACAACAATGTCACAACAACCTCATTTGAGCTGTAAGTGTAAAAAGCTCTCTTTTTGCCTAATGCGAAGATTACGGAATAACTGCCTTCCCCACCTTCTTGACCAAAAGAGGAGGAAGTATTATTGGCTATATTTTATTATTCCACCACCACCACCACTGTTCCCCTGGATTTATTCTACGGATCGCAGAGCAGAGCATCGCCTGAGATTTGCGAGTGCGTCTTTCTCCCGATTGAAGTGCAGAGTGTTTGAGGACCCGGACATTCGCAGGGAATCCAAAATGCTTGTTTACAAAGCTATTGTACTACCAGCCTTACTGTATGCTTGTGAAACATGGACCACTTATAAACGCCATCTCCAACTCCTCGAAAGAGTCCATCAACGGTGTCTCTCAAAAATTTTACACATCACTTGGGAAGACAGGTGAACTAATATCAGTATACTGGAAGAAGCAAAGATCACCAGAGTTGAAGCAATGATTCTTCAACATCAGCGTCGTTGGACTGGTCATGTTGTGCGGATGCCTGATGGTCGTCTTCCAAAGCAACTACTCTATTCCAAACTTAAAAAGGGAAAGTGTAATGCTAGTGGTCAACAAAAGAGGTTTAAAGATGCTAAGCTCGTGTGTGTGTCCCAACATGAAGCCGAAACATCATAGCCCCTTGCTATGGCCAACACTTTAAGAATCCTTGCAGAACCACTCAGATGCACATTCCTGCCTTCTTCCCTCACCCCTGAAATGTTTTGCTTTACTCCATGACAGAGGCAGCCCACGGTCCCGCCAGCATTGAGCAACAGCCACAATCCACAACAGGCAATGGCCACAGCCAACCCACACATGGAGCCACACAGCCCAAGGGCACAGACTCTGCAGCGTCCATCTTTTGCGCCCATCACACGCCAGAGGTCTGCGCCTCATGCTGCCAAGTGCACATGAAGCTTCCGCATCTGTGCATGGAAGTGCATTGTGGAACATCATCTCCACGGCCCATGAGTGCAGAGCCCATTGTTTCCGAGGTGCTTTTGAACTTGTGCACTATTGATGATAACATCACAGGCAGCGCATGGTGCAACAGAGGTGATAGTGATCTCTGGTTCTTGGCGTGCTTTGCTTGTGTCATGGAAACCTGGCTGCAGCTGTTGGCTTTGTCTATGTACTCAGAGAGTAAGAACAGGTAGTATGGTGAGAAAAGGGGATTCACTCTGTGTAATCTGCAAGAAGCAGGAATCTGTAGGCCAGTACTGATGGGAGTTTATGGAGGTTGTTGGGGGGAGGTTGGGGGGGGGGGACAAATTGGAGAAGAGGTCTAGCACACCTCCAGTCTTGAGAAAGCCAGGAGAAGGAGGCCATGCTCTGTTGCAGTTCCCCTACATTTGTCATTCTAAGAAAAATGAGAAACTGATCTCTCACAGAGTCACATCTCCCATGTTTTTTTGCATTGGTGCAGCAACAATGAGCCAGTATTGAAAGTGGTTTAAATTTCCTGACATATTCTGTGAGCGGGTCTTTGCCTCTGCTTTGACAACTTCTCATGCAAGAAGAAATTGGAGAAGAGAGAAAGGGCAGCAGAAGAAAATGGGAAGGAACTGGAAGAGTTAGGGTAGCAAAGTCCAGTTTGCAAAGAGCAAATCGGTTAAGGCCTTGATTGTCTAAGACATTCAGAAAATCTTGCCTAATGGAGGTCTCAAGAGCGTCTCTCCCAGTTTGCACTACAGCTGCACCTTGGTTTTTGAATGTAATCCATTCTGGAAGACCGTTTGACTTCTGAAACACTCAAAAACCAAAGCATTCACTTCCAGAAGCATTTACTTCCGGAAAACTCAATATGGAAGCTGCGTGGCATGTTCAACTTCTGAAAAGCGTTTGAAATAATTTGAAAACCGAGGTACCACTGTATATTAATGTTGTTGTTGTTGTTGTTTAGTTGTTTAGTCGTGTGCAACTCTTCATGACCCCCTGGACCAGAGCACGCCAGGCCCTCCTGTCTTCCACTGCCTCCCGCAGTTTGGTCAAACTCATGCTGGTAGCTTTGAGAACACTGTCCCACCATCTCGTCCTCTGTCATCCCCTTCTCCTTGTGCCCTCCATCTTTCCCAACATCAGGGTCTTTTCCAGGGAGTCTTCTCTTCTCATGAGGTGGCCAAAGTCTTGGAGCCTCAGCTTCAGGATCTGTCCTTCCAGTGAGCACTCAGGGCTGATTTCCTTCAGAATGGAGAGGTTTGATCTTCTTGCAGTCCATGGGACTCTCAAGAGTCTCCTCCAGCACCAGAATTCAAAATATATTAATAAGCTGCCTCAAATGACTGGAGAACCAGAGCAGAAACATCTTAATAGACAAGGTTTTGGATGTTGTCCTTGTCAAACCTGAAAACCATCCTTATAATTCCAAAACAGTATTGCTGGACGTCCACCAGCCAAAGGAATACGATTGAAGCAAATGCTCTGATTAGGTAGTGAAGCCCAGATAAGTCTGAGACATTGTTATTAGTAGTAGAAGAAGAAGAGTTTGGATTTGGGGGTTGCTTTCTTTTTGACTTTGTTAGACATTTTTGTGTTGTATATTGCAAACTGTCCTGTGATCCTCAAACGAAGGGCAGGACAGAAATTAAGTACATAATAATAAATACAGGTACACATTTAGTAGAGCTGGTTTCAAAGATTATTGCTGGCATTTGAAGTCCATTCAAAAGAAGTGCATTTTCCATGGCACCAGCTTAATATTTTACTTAAATCTTCAGCCCACTAAGCAACACAATTGGAGGCATTGGAGAACAATGTAAATCACATTGTGTTACATATGGCCTACATCAAGGGACATTCAGATCCCCTGCAACGTCTTTACAATGGAGCCGGGAGGAGCTAGCCGGCTGATGTTTATCACTGTATCAGTCCAGTTGTGGCCGCTATATAAAGCTCAGAGGAAATTGCTTTCTCCAGCCTGGGAAGGTCAGGAAGTTCAGGAGTGACCAGTCAGGACAAAGTTCTAGTTACAGGTAGGTAGCCGCGTTGGTCATACCAATAACAAACTTAGTTGGTCTCTAAGGTGCTACTGGAAGGAATTTTTTATATTTTGTTTCCAGTAAGGGTTAGGGTTAAGGACAAAGGTAAGGAAAGTTGCAGGTAGATGGTTGAATTGGCCGATGAGTGGGGGGAATGGGGCAGAGGGTTGGTTGGAAAGCAACCTGGGCAGGTAAGCCTCTACTCTAGACATCAGCATTAATTGCAAGATGCTGCGATTTCTGTGCGAAGGCTCTGAATGGGAGTGGGGCGGGAGTGTCACAGAATAGAACAAAAAGAATCATTTGAGTCCCATGCATGCATTAAACTGCATGCTGTGGTTTAGGGCCACTTGTTGGCACATTTCCCCCAGCCAATCAATGGGACCACAAACCTGATAACTCAGCAGAGATTTGAGAGGTCTTTTCACTGAAGGTTTTGCTTGCAGTGAAGGTTGTCAGTTTTTGGAAGGATCAAACCAATGACATGAATACATGCAGAGAACTTTGCATGCTAATAACCAAAGCGATAACAGTAGAGAAACAGGCAGGTCCCTTTCCTTGTAGAGATGTTTCACAGCGGAGCGTGGCCCTCGTATTCCCCCAAAAATGTGCAATTCAAGGTGAATGTGGAAATGGCAGCCTAAACAAAGGATTTGAGGAATGTTGGGGGAAGCTATTCGATCAAGCAGCTGTCAAAAGCGACTTCGTGGGGCTTTTCTTGCACATCCACACAAAGGAAAGAAATAGTGTGTGCAAAAAATGGGGCTTGTGCAGGAGATCTTCCTAATGAATGATGCTCCTGGACTCCATAAGACATTACCATGGACATGTAGAAGGGTAAAAGAGTATTGGGAAATCTATAAGGAATTGGGGGGGAAATGTTTAAAAGTACTTTCCCAAAAAAAAAAACCAGAGTCCTTTCTCTTGGGGATAATTCAGACGGAAATTCCCAGGTGTCAAAAAAGGTTGTTTAGGTATGCTACAACTGCAGCAGGTGTTTTGTTAGCCCCCAAATGGAAAACAAGCGAGGTCCCAACCAAAGAAGAGTGGCAACTTGAGTTGACAGAATATGCACAACTCGCAGACTTAACATATAGTATAAGAGAACAAGAAGAACATACGTTTAAAGAAGATTGGAAGACATTTATTGAATATATGGGAAATAATTGTGTACAGCTGAAAACACTGGCAGCATTAAGATAAATTCAACAGTGTAAATAAGTTTGATGGATGCAATAATGGAATACTGATTGCTATAGTTTTTGTAAAATATGCAGGGATTTATGATATGTAAAGTGAACCATGGAAAGAGAAGGGAAGTCACTGATATCGTAAGGATGTAAAATGAGAATTTTAAATTGCAAAACAGAAAATTTAATAAAAATTAGATAGCTAGATGACAGATGATAGATAGAACCTTTACCAACATTTTTCCCTGCTTGAGTAAGTGACAGGAGGTGTCCTTTTCAGATATTTAAAAGGGCTAAAAAGGATGTAAATGAGAAAAGCATAGTGTGAGTACACTCCTACTTTAACCTACTCATTAGAATATGTACAGAGAATCCCATATGCACACACTTACACACACAAAGGCGCACGTGTGGCGGGATCTCTCCATTGTATCAGGAATTCTGCAAAATCCTGTGGATCTCCTTGCTTATAAATCTGTGTGTGGCCAATGAGCCCAGTCTTCGCACAAATCAAGTCTCCAGTGACTAGGAGAACGGGATTTATACGCCCCAGAGATCTCTCTCAGGAGCTTTTTACCAGATTACTGCTTCTTTGCACAGCAGGGGTGATGACCTGACCCAACTTTCCCAGCAGGTCTCCAGGCTCGAAGATGTGGCGTTTCTTGGGGCTGCTTGTTCTCTGCAGCCTGGTCAGCCCCTCACAAGGAGGCCCAAAAGGACTTTCACATGGGATCGTGTCCATCGTCAGTCCGGCCACTGCTCTCAAATGTAAGAATGCTTCGTGACTCGTGTTTGCACTGGTTAGGCGCGAGTAGCTCCCTTTTCTGCTTGCTCCGAATCACGTCCGTTGAAAACTGGTACCACCTAAACTTGTGAAAGAACCTTTTTATTAATTTCCATGGATGTTTTCAGGAAGGAGGTGATTTGCTGCCCGTTGCCGACACCTGCTTATTTCTTTCCTTGGCACCACCAGGGTGCAAGGCGTTTGACGGAGCGGCAGTCAGAAAGACTTAGGGGTTAAAGCCAAGAGCTTTGTGGGAGCTATGGAAAGGGGCTTGGGAGAAGGAAAAGAGGCATGTTCTGGGAAGCATCTTTCAGGGATAAGTGTCAACCACAAGGGTGAAGCAGCAGAGACCTTCAAGGAAGCCCAAGGATGCTTCAGGGAGCTGAGTTTGGTTGAGCTGGAGAAATAGGAGTCCTGGAGGGGAGATAGTTTGAGTTATGAGAACAGAGGGGTTGGCATGGCGACGTTTTGAAGGTCCAGGTGGAGAAATTTGTGCTGGGTGTGGTAGTGGACAGGAAGGCAATCTGGGTATTTAAGGAAGGCCATCACAGTTGTTTTGAAGAGCAGGTTTGTGAACAGAGGAGACTGAGCTGAGCTGTGATGTTCAGGTGGGGGAGCCGTGAGTTGACCTGGGCTTACAGCACATCTTGCATCTTGCTATCACTGTTCTTCTTGACTGCTGCCAAAAGAGGCATCTACATGCTTTACAAGTGCAAAAGCCAATTTCGCAAACATTGCAATATAAAGCTCCCTAATTCAAATAGTAACCACAGAGCCTAGGACTTGCCGATCAGAAGGTTGGCGGTTCAAATCCCCGCGACGGGGTGAGCTCCCATTGCCTGGTCCCTGCTCCTGCCAACCTAGCAGTTCGAAAGCACGTCAAAGTGCAAGTAGATCAATAGGTGTGGTACCTTGGGTTACAGATGCTTCAGGCTACAGACGCTTCAGGTTACAGACTCCGCTAACCCAGAAATAGTACCTCAGGTTAAGAACTTTGCTTCAGGATAAGAACAGGAATCGCAGCGCAGCGGTGCAGCAGCAGCAGGAGGCCCCGTTAGCTAAAGTTAAGAACAGGTTAAGAACAGTTTCAGGTTAAGAACAGACCTCTGGAACGAATTAAGTTCTTAACCCGAGGTACCACTGTAGTATGCAATGAATCAAACTCACTAAAATATGCAGCAACAGAAACCCCATCTTTAAAAAAATAACAGCAGTTTTTAAAAGGTTGAGAAAGGTGTGTCATCACCTGCCTTTGGGAGCCCCAGAGTACTTTGGGTAAAATTTAGCCATGTTAGAATTTCTACAACATTTTTGCAGCTGCCTTAGCATGTCGTCTGCCTAACCAGCTAAGGTTGCAATCCTAGATACATTTACTGTTGAGTAGACATGGATAGGAACGGGCTGCGAGACCGTGCCCTTTGCGTATCTTCTCCTCTGCTCCAAAGTTCACCACCCCATTCCTTCCATCACATCATCTGCAGGGCCCTGAGCCCTGGCAAAAAAGAAACAAGATTTCTTGGACCAGTTTCCAGCATAACATTTCCTGAAAGTCATTGCAATAAGGCTGAATGGCTCATTGAACATTTACTTTGATTTACCTGGGACGCGGGTGGCGCTGTGGGTTAAACCACAGAGCCTAGGACTTGCTGATCAGAAGGTCGGTGGTTCGAATCCCCGTGACGGGGTGAGCTCCCATTGCCTGGTCCCTGCTCCTGCCAACCTAGCAGTTCAAAAGCACGTCAAAGTGCAAGTAGATAAATAGGTACCGCTCTGGTGGGAAGGTAAACGGCGTTTCCGTGCGTTGCTCTGGTTCGCCAGAAGCTGCTTAGTCATGCTGGCCACATGACCTGGAAGCTGTACGCCGGCTCCCTCGGCCAATAAAGCGAGATGAGCGCCGCAACCCCAGAGTCGGTCACGGCTGGACCTAATGGTCAGGGGTCCCTTTACCTTTTTACCTGAGAACACTGCTTTGGTGAGAGAAAACTGGTAGAGAAATACAATATAATGTATCTCAGTGTTCAGTAAACACTGAAAATGGTGTGTGTGTGTGTGTGTTTAATAGTTGCCAGAGGTGAAACTGCATAGTATGTAATAACAGACAACCCATGCCAAGCGAATTATTTTCCACCCACAAGATCCTGTGCCGTGATCCTGTTCCTGTATGTTTCAGATGTCTCCTCCGTCTTCCTTCGGAACGAGCTTCTCCAGAGCCACTTCTTGGCCATTCAGTTCCCAGATGTCCCTCACAAAGATAAGCACCCGGAAAACTGGATTAAGGAGTAAGTAAATGACGAGGCATTTGCAGCACCATATTTCAGAGTGGAAGGGGAATCGAGGAAAAGAGCCGGACCCAAAGGAGGCCTTGTGCTGGTTCCAAAAGGGCCTTTATCTCATTTTCTAGAACAGCAGGGAGCATGCTGTGATAATTCAATGTAGTTCTTGGCTGGCTTTGTTCAGGGCTCGCCAGGAATACATCTGAATTTATTTATTCCTTTTAGCACCTGACTGCTTAATCTCCTTTGGCTTTTGTTAGCCCAACCTCAAAGCCAGATGAGGTGCAAAGAGAACATGGCAGACGTATAAAAGCGAACTTTGATGCCCAAAGGAGCCAAGTCCCATCCTTTCCCCCCCCCAAAAAAAACCCAAAGAAGACAACCTCCAAGATCAAGGTGGCCAGAGGTCAATGGGTGCAAGTGGTCACTTGGAACGAGGCAATTGATAGTATAGAATTTACCCCCAAGAGACCTCTCAGCTAAAGGGGCAAAGTGGACACGCCCCTCTTTAAGCTGCACCAATCTTTTGAGAAATGTGAATTGCAGGTGCTGGGAGAACCTGCCCACACCTGGGACCCTGCAAGGCATGGAGAAGGACTTAAAAACTCCCCCCACTCACTGCCACCTTGGTTCTTCATTTTCTTCTCTGAAGGATACCAGCGTAATTTTCTGGTATTATTTTTACATTATAGTAAATCCTGTAAGAAGGGTTTAAACGACAGACATGGAAATTGCAGGCTGATGCGGAAATCTGGTGAAGTTAATTTAAGATTGGGGGGGAGAGAGAGAGAATTTGGGTGAATATAAAGTTGACCAATTCATGCATCCCTACCTCCTCGTTTTGATGCTATAGGAGATGGAGAGGGGAGAAATCTGTCTCTAGATACGTTCTCCAGTTCATGCATGATTTTATAAATTTCTGTCATGTATCCTCCCTGGCAATCCTTCCCCTTTCCTTTAATCACATGAGTTCAGTTGTGCCCAAGCGCAGCAAGGCTTGCATGCTCAATGTCAAACCTTTATTGGCATATCAACAAAATTCCAGCCCGTGCCACTCAAGGAGAAGACCTTAAGCGTTTTCAGCTGTTATGTTCACCATGGACCACTCAGAAGAGCATCATCTGCATCAGGCCAAAGGGACCGTCTAAGCCAGCATCCTGTTCTCACAGGGGCCAACCAGATGCCCATTGTGGGGAAACCTGCAAGCAGGATCCGAGCACAAGAACAACTCTCCCTTCCTGAGGTTTCCAGAAAGTGGTACTCAGAAGCAGTGCTGCCTCCGATTGTGGAGGCGGATCAGGGCCTTTCTGGCTAGGAGCCCCCAATAGGTCTCTCCTCCATGACTTTGTCTCAACCTCTTTTATAGCCATCCAAGTTGGTGACAACCACTGTCTCCTGTGGGAGGAAGTTCCATAGTTTTAGTTAAACAAAAACCACCAAAGGTCCACCTTCAGTGAGTTGTGGGTTGCCATTACATGGCCACTCAGAGAAGAGAATTGTTGTGGCCCTGTGACAAGACAACGGACAGGCTGCCATGACCTCTGATCTGAGAGGTTGGCACGGAGCCTACCTGAAATAAAGGATCTCTTTTACCTCTTGTGTACACAAACACTTCTCCCAAGTCCAGGCTCTTGTTGATCTCAGATATCTTAAAGGACAAGTGAGAGGTTGAAGTGAGCGTAAAAAGAACCATCTGGAGCTCTTCCCCCTGTTTCCGCCCTTGGGTGCAATTGAGCAATATTGCAATCCATGCCACGGAGAGGGTGTTTGCTCAGATTCAGTTTGCTCTTATGCTTTCTCAAAGGTCAGTCGCGGGGAGAGCAAGATGCTGGACTAGATGAGCCATGGCCCTGATCCATCCAATGTTCTTCTTATGTTCTTAAGTTCTTACCAGTTTGCGGGAGGGGGCGAATGGCAAAGCTACTACCATCACTGGATAATAATAATAATAATAATAATAATAATAATAATAATAATGGGCTACATTGACTCAGCCTTCTATAGGAGCTGGATTCTAATATCTGAAGGGCTCCAGGTTCCTCACCACTGCTTGACCACCAGCTCCCAGCTGTAAAGTGGATTATCTCATGCTCTTGAATTTGAGTGAGCCCCCCGCATCGCCACCACCCCAGCATTAGTCCCCCCCCAATATATAGCCAGCCATGGCCAACTGAACGCCCACTTCATTTCTCTCTGCTGCCTGGTTTTCAATCTTCAGGTTGCATGTCGTGAGGGTCTTCACTCCATCGGTCAGTCTGGAGCTGTATGAAAAGGTAGATTCCTTAGTGTGCATCAAGGCAAGATTTCATCTCAGCGGTAAATTGTGAGTTTCACCCCCTTTCCCCCTCCCCCTGCATGCTTTCCGCCTATTTCATTGCTACTGGTTGCCTTTGTTTTGGGTGGGTTGCTTCCCAAGTTAAGGCGTTCCTCTGTGGATATTGTAGGGGAGGGTCTGGGAGGCACGATTTATCACTTGCAGGGTTGAACATTTTGTTCCCCTGTTGTTGTTGTTGTGGTTGTTGTTGTTTTAAAGTGTTCTGTCCAAGTGGCACTGCCAGTTCAGGTGGGGGTCCACAAGACTGTGACCTGGGAGCAAGCAATCATTAAGAAATGTGCCATCCACCAGGTACAGAAAGCCATAGGACAAGCCCCACTGGTCAGACCAAAGGCTCATTGACCTTGACATCCTGGTTCCAACAGAAGCCTTTGCAGGATGCTCACGAACAGGGCAGGAAGGTGTTAGCTCCTTCCTGGTGTTTGTTCGCAGCCACTGGCCTTCAGAGATCTGCTACTGAACCCATAAGTCTGAGCAAAACTGGTTAACACCACTGGGTGGCAATGACTTGCCGGAGCTCAGCCCTTGGACTATATATGCTTAGGTTCAGCATAAGGCAGCTGCCAGCTGATCATTTTAAGTAGGACCACAGGCCAGAGGTCTCTATATAGGGCAAGCTTTGGACACAAGCCATAGAACCCCAAATACTGATGCTCTCTGCTGGATTAAAAACATAATGCTTTGCCCAGAAGCACAGTGGTTTGGCTGGCGGTTAAGGAATGCAGTGGGGGAGGAATCTCACTGGGGTTCTGTTCAATGTCTCTTCATCTCCTAGCTTTTTCGGCAAACACTTTGAGCGGATTGACATCATCCTAGACGTAGACATAAAAGCAGAAGTCAGGTTTGATGCCTTTTTTGCGGGCGGCTTCCACATCAGACTGCAAGTGTGCAAGAGTGAATTCGCAATCGCAAGGATCATCTGCCCTTCGCAGTAAGTGCTGACGCAATTCGCTCAACGTGCTCGTTCCTACAGTTTCGTCTGCATGCTTTTGGCTGAGAGAGCTGCCAAAGTTGGTCCCGGAATCCTTTCAGGAAACCAGATCCCTTCCCAGCCGCAGCACACACTCGGCTTCACTGCCCAAAGGTGGTGTTGTGGGACTATCAAAGGATAACCATTCAAATAAGTTTTGAGACATTCCTTATTTTGTTTCATTGCTTGCTGCTTGTCATCCTGGGCTTCTTTAGGAGGAAGAGTAGGATAGAAATGTAAAATATAACAATACAGTACAGTACAGTACAGTACAGTACTACAATATCAATAACAATACTGAAAGCATGTTTACATTCCAAGCAATGCAAAAATATCATTAGTGGCAGAAGGAACTTTGCTTCTCCTGGCAGCATGACTAGAGATTAGGGCTGGGCAATATATTGATACAGTGGTACCTCTGGATGCGAACGGGATGCAACCTGCGTCTGCGCGTGCACAGGTCACGATTTGCCGCTTCTGCGCATGCGCGTGATGTCATTTTTAGCATCTGCACATGCGCGCATGGCGAAACCCAGAAGTAACGTGTTCTGTTACTTCCGGGTCTCCGCGGAGCGCAACCGAAAAATGCTCAACCTGAAGCAACTTTAACCCGAGGTATGACCCGAGGTATGAAATCCATATTGTGATATCGGTTTCATAATTTTTGACCTGGCAATATATCATGAATCATGGTGTGTGTGTGTGTGTGCGCTCGCGCGTGCGTGCTATGTAAAATTCGCAATGGGGGGGAAACCGTGAACCAGCCAATGCTTCTCTCAGTTCCTGCAGCCCTTGGTAACTGTATTGGTCCAGGGTTAATTCTGCCTCATTCAGGGAGGCAATAAATCACAAGAGCAGGTGCCAGCAAAAATCGCAATGCGGGGAAAACACGATGCAGCCCAACTTCTCCAGTTCTTGGAAGTGTCTTACACATCTGTAAGATAAGCTTTGCACTCACCAAGAATGTGGGCTTCAGAATGAGCTTATAACAAGCTGCTGCCGTCCCAGACCCTTTCCTTCCCTCTTTTCTTACTTGCTTTTTCCTGCAGCTTGTCGGTGAATAATGTGAGGCCCGTTGTAACGACCATCCTTGCAGCATCATTCCACAAGATGGTGAGTTGCAGCTCCATGGACCCTGTGTGTTTCAGCCATGAAAGAGGGTTAAATAAGTCTTGGGGATATCATAATACATATATTTGCAGATTACCAATGTAGACAAGATGCCCCTACAATGATGTCTTCGGGTGCTTTTTAAAGAAAAATAAAAATCGGGGGGCTCAATCAATTTTCCAGCTGGCATCCTGTATTAGCCATTGTTTGCTCTGTTGGAGAAACCACAACTTGTGTATAACTGGATTGTTATTGTTGTTTAGTCGTTTAGTCATGTCTGCCTCTTCGTGACCCCCTGGACCAGAGCACGCCAGGCACTCCTGTCTTCCACTGCCTCCCGCAGTTTAGTCAAACTCATGCTGGTAGCTTCAAGAAAACTGTCCCACCACCTCGTCCTCTGTCGTCCCCTTCTCCTTGTGCCCTCCATCTTTCCCCACATCAGGGTCTTTTCCAGGGAGTCTTCTCTTCTCATGAGGTGGCCAAAGTCTTGGAGCCTCAGCTTCAGGCCCTGTCCTGAAGCTGATTTCAGAGCTGATTTCCTTCAGAATGGAGAGGTTTGATCTTCTTGCAGTCCATGGGACTCTCAAGAGTCTCCTCCAGGGGTTGAGGATCACTCCATGGGAACTGTGGCACAGGTCCAAACTCGCCATAAGGCATAAGCGCAAAGCCTAAATTCCAAGTTAAAATGGCCAGAGAGGGAGAACAGAACCATGGACAGAGCAATAGTGGGGTCCAGTGATCGATGCAAAGAGCATGAATTCTTACTCCTGGAGATGTTTTGAAGACAACCCAGAAGCAAACAAGCTCAAGGGTGAGAAACCAAGGCTTCTCCTTTGTCTCCCTTGCCTTGCATTTCAGGTGTGCACAGCAGTGGAAGTGGTCATCAACGTCTCAGGGGTCGATTTTCTACACACTGCCAATGGTGAGTTACTTTGACTAGCTGCCAAAGCGTCTCTCTCCTTCGTTCTCCTTGCCAACTTCTTGAATGTTTGTTCCTCTTTCTTCTAGAAAAGGAGCCACAAAAGGCTCCTGGGCCTCAGTGCTTATGGGCAGCATAAACTTTCGTTGTCAGCAGCATCAGTGCTTTATAAATGCATTGGTTAAATGCATACATTCAGCTACAAGGCCGTGGTAGATAAAGAGGCATAAAAGAAACACAGATAACATCACAAACTGCTCCCGGTGGGTGTCAAGAGGCCACACCAGTTCCTGACCTGCCCGCATATACTGTATTCTTTGCATGAGAGCAGAGAGGTCGTTCTTTCACCTTGGTTTATTAATAGGGTGAAAAAGTTTCCCAAGAGCATAAAAACACAGGTTCCTATTGTTAGTCTTAACATTTGGTTTATTAGACCAATATTCAGTGGTTAAAGTAGAGTTTGCAGTACCGTGGTTCTTATGCTTTGTAAACCACTTAGAAGCTTATTTTGGAATTAAGAAATAACTCATTATTGTCATTGCTGTTAGTTTAGTTTGTTAAATTTCACCATCGATGCCCACTTAAAAAATCCCCAAAGCAATTTCTTATTGTTAATAATAATCTGTTACAGACAGCTGGGTCATCCAAAAGCGAACCTTCCTGGCTAAATGTGGGCACGCAAGGACCTAACAGAGTTTCCCTGTTTTCCGTTTGTTACATCCAGTGATTATTCTTCATTCAACCCTACTCAGCAACAGCTGTAACTGGGGGTCAACAAAAAGAGATGTTTTGCCACTCCTTTGGAGTGGTCCGGGTGTCCCCAGATAGAACGCACTGATGATGATGATGATGATGATTATTATTTATACACCGCCTATCTGGCTGGGTTTCCCCAGCCACTCTGGGCGGCTTCCAACAAAGTATTAAAATACAGTGGTCTGTCAAACATTAAAAGCTTCCCTAAACAGGGCTGCCTTCAGATGTCTTCTAAAAGTCTGGTAGCTGTTCTTCTCTTTGACATCTGGTGGGAGGGCGTTCCACAGGGTGGGTGCCACCACCGGGAAGGCCCTCTGCCTGATTCCCTGTAGCCTCACTTCTTGCAGTGAGGGAACCACCAGAAGGCCCTCGGTACTGGACCTCAGTGTCCAGACTGGACAATGGGGGTGGAGACGCTCCTTCAGGTCTACTGGGCCTTTGAGGCCGTTTAGGGCTTTAAAGGTCAGCACCAACACTTAGAATTGTGCTGGGAAACGTACTGGGAGCCAATGTAGGTCTTTCAAGACAGGTGTTATGTGGTCTCAGCAACCGCTCCCAGTCACCAGTCTAGCTGCTGCATTCTGGATTAGTTGTAGTTTCCGGGTCACCTTCAAAGGTAGCCCCACATAGAGCGCTATGATCCTTTCCTTATCTTCACTCCCTGTGCCGTGCACTAAATGCATCCCTTGTGCCAGGCAAATGAAGCGTGGTCTGTACGTGATGCCTGCGTTTAACCTCGTTCTGAAGCCCGGCTATCAGCTGCTAGGATACTGTAGACAGCATATGGTACTGCTGGCAAAGGACGTTCACATCTGAAATGTGCATTTGTGAGAGTGTAACGCCATCAGTGTGTTTTATTCCTTGCAGTGTTTTTCTCCATGGGCACAGTGGCTACCATGCAATATCAGCTCGCCAGCCTGCCATTGATAACTTCAAACTACGTCGCGCTGGAATTCAACGTAAGGAGCGTGTGTGACTGCAAAGCCCCCCTGCCCAGGGTCTTTCTCCCCCTGAAGGGAAGCTGAGCTCCATACAAAACATACACAGAGGAGATCTGCCTTCCACTCAGAATTAACCTAGGGAATATTCACAGTCATGGGATGTTGCGCTGGCTGCTTGCAAAAATAAAATAAAAATGGCTCTTTTTAAAGGATTAACCCAACCAGTTTGGTTGGCGGCCGTTAGCCGTGGCAGCCAAAAACGGCCAGTTTCAACTCACCAATCCCACTAGCCTGTGCTAGGACTTCTGATAGCCCAACAGGGCTTCCTTCCTCACCTGCACCCTTCCCCCACCCCCAATTGATGAGGGGTGTTGGGACAACCCCCAGAACATCTCATGGGTGGAGGAGAGATATTTTTGCGTTCTTAGATGGGTATATTCAGCGTGTCAGGATATTGCTGGGATCCAACTCCCAGATACCAGAATTCCAAGATTCTAGAGAGTGATAAAGGTAAAGGGACCCCTGACCATTAGGTCCAGTCGCAGCCGACTCTGGGGTTGCGGCGCTCATCTCACTTTATTGGCCGAGGGAGCCGGCGTACAGCTTCTGGGTCATGTGGCCAGCATGACTAAGCCGCTTCTGGCGAACCAGAGCAGCGCATGGAAACGCCGTTTACCTTCCCGCCAGAGCGGTACCTATTTATCTACTTGCACTTGGACGTGCTTTCGAACTGCTAGGTTGGCAGGAGCAGGGACCGAGCAACGGGAGCTCACCCCGTCACGGGGATTCGAACCGCCGACCTTCTGATCAGCAAGTCCTAGGCTCTGTGGTTTAACCCACAGCGCCACCCGATAAAGTGATAAAGGCTACCATTATTTTGAGTAACAGCGCTGTGCTTTTCGCTCTTTCTCCAACTGCTTTCCAGATGATCATCCGAACTGGGGGACGATACATTACCCTCCCTGTCGGCGCAGGGCCTGTCACCCTCCCTGTCTTGCATCACCATGGTTTCTGCCTAGGGATGTCTCAGGCAAGCCTGGATGCCATCCTCATGGTTCTGATCCAGATCCGGGTGCAAGAGTTCATTTCCACCCCGGAAGTGGTGAGTGGCGGCACGTCAGGGTTGCAAATTTCTCTGCTTGGTTCATCAAAATTTGCAGGTGGAGGCAGAGACTGAGTCATGTGACCCCAGCACCCAGCTAACCTTTCGCCTTTGGGTGCAGAAGAGGACGTTTACCTTTCCTTTATTTTTCTAATCCTTTTTATTTGATTTTACAAATACAAAATTATAACAGTCCAAACGTATTTCCATAGATAGATAGAGATAGATAGATAGATAGATAGATAGATAGATAGATAGATAGATAGATAATTTATTACGGTCGGAGACCAGCTTATAAAACACACTTGGGGGTACATTCCCAGAAAGATAGCAAACAGTTAAAACAATGTACAACAATAAATTTAAAATTTATAAATGCGATAAGCATACAGACACTTAGAACTTTAAGATATTCCACATATAGAGATTACTCTGAATCTCGCGACTTCCCCCCATTTCCTCCGTGGGTCTTATTATCAACATTTACAACTGCATATTATTCCATAATCTATATTGTAAATCAATCCATATAATCCATGGTATTTGTACATTACAAGGGAGATTAAAATTCTGCTGATGTTTCCATCTGCTTGCAGTGGTCTCTTAAATAACTGACAAATTTTCCCCATTCTTTTTTAAAGTTGTAATAATAAATAATAGACCTTTATTGTCACTACACCACCTGTGTGCAGTGAAATTAAATGAACCCCCCTACCCCCTACCCCCTGCACTTAGTCTTGTTCGCGCTCTGTGTGCATGTCAGAATTCAAATGCACCACTATTTTATTTTATTTTTAAGTTTTTGTCCTGTTGGTTCCCGAGTTTTCCAGTCAGTTTTGCCATTTCGGTGTAGTCCATCAGCGTAACTTGACATTCCTCTCTGGTAGCAACTTTGCCTCCTTTTCATCTCTGGGCTATTAGCATCCGAACAGCTGTTGTCCCATACATAAAAAGTCTTTTCTGAACTTTTGGGATATCGGTACCTAAAATTCCTAACAAAAAAAGCTTCTGTTTTTTTAAAAAAAGGTTATTTTAAACATTTTTAGTAGAGGGCGCTTATCTATCCTGTTGCCAATGTTTATGCACATTTCTATTGACAGTGCAGCAGCTTTTTTTAAAGAAAGATTTCATTTATGTATTCACTAAATTTATATCCCTCCCTTCCACCAAAGGAGCCCAGGAAGGCAAACATGCCAATGCCACAACATTATGTTAAAACATCTCAACACAGTTAAACGCTTTCCGCCATCGGATGGCTGGGAATAAAAGAATGAGAGGCCTCGTGTCACCCTTCATCGCAGAAAGCAAAATGGATTCAGATGTTCCTTCTGCTATGTCCTTAGGGAAGGGCGTTCTGACACCGTCAGAGCACCCCATGAACTACCTTGCATGCTGGAGGGTCAAAGTGAGAGGGTCTTTGCAGTGCAACAACGACCCACTTAATTTAAATGAAGCTTTTATAATAATAATAATAATAATTTATTATTTATACCCCGCCCATGTGGCTGGGTCTCCCCAGCCCCCCTGGGCGGCTTACAACAAAGTATTAAAATACAGTGGTCTGTTAAACATTAAAAGCTTCCCTAAACAGGGCTACCTTCAGATGTCTTCTAAAAGTCTGGTAGTTGTTCTTCTCTTTGACATCTGGTGGGAGGGCGTTTCACAGGGCGGGTGCCACCACCGAGAAGGCCCTCTGCCTGGTTCCCTGTAACTTGGCTTCTCGCAGTGAGGGAACTGCCAGAAGGCCCTTGGAGTTGGACCTCAGTGTCCGGGCAGAACGATGAAGGTGGAGATGCTCCTTCAGGTATACTGAACCGAGGCCGTTTAGGGCTTTAAAGGTCAGCACCAACACCTTGAATTGCGCTCGGAAACGTACTGGGAGCCAACGTAGGTCTTTCAAGACCGGTGTTTCAAGACCGGTTTCGACGGCCACTCCCAGTCACCAGTCTAGCTGCTGCATTCTGGATTAGTTGTAGTTTTCGGGTCACCTTCAAAGGTAGCCCCACATAGAGCACATTGCAGTAGTCCAAGCGAGAGTTAACTAGAGCATGCACCACTCTGGCGAGAGAGTCTGCAGGCAGGTAGGGTCTCAGCCTGTGTACCAGATGGAGCTGGTAAACAGCTGCCCTGGACACAGAATTGACCTGTGCCTCCATGGACAGCTGTGAGTCCAAAATGACTCCCAGGCTGCACACCTGGTCCTTCAGGGGCACAGTTACCCCATTCAGGACCAGGGAGTCCTGACCATTAGGTCCAGTCGTGACCGACTCTGAGGTTGCGGCGCTCATCTCGCTTTATTGGCCGAGGGAGCTGGTGTATAGTTTCTGGATCATGTGGCCAGACCTGCCCGCCTCCTGTCCCCCCAAAACAGTACTTCTGTCTTTTGAAAAGATCTGCCATTTTCAACACAACGCCATTTTGTGCCAACAGTTCTCCGCTGCCAGCGAGCTGACGACCATCGTTGCGTCTCTTCTGTCACATCAAAAGGTGAGCGGATGTTTGCTTTTAAGAAGTGTGTGCCTTGTTTTATCTCCAAAAGCCATACTGCAGATAAGGATAACGATAAAAACCACCGAAGGAAAAACAAAAAAAGCAAGGTGGCAGCAAATCACCCTTAGCAGGCAAAATCCAACAAAAACATTTATTTAGGAAACTGCAGAGGTGTTCATAAAGGGCATAGCAGTCTTGTCGCAAGCAGCAGGAGCGAGGGTAGAAAATGTGCAAAAAGCCCCCAGCACAAAATTATCAAAGGCTTGTTGAAGCAGACAAGTCTTTGGCCGGGCATTTAAAAAGGGAAAGCATTGCTGCAGGCAGCTGTGGTTGGTGCAATGTGAGACTGGCAGGTGGAAGGCAAGGAGGCCAACAGTAGAGGGAGCCAGAGCCACAGAGAAGCAGAGCCAATGCCCCCATCTTCCTTTTCCCAGCTGAGTTCTGCTGAGGCCAAGGAAGAGCAGGAAACTGACCTACAGTTGCATCCCCTAGACCAGGCACAGGAAACTCCGGCCCTCCAGATGTTTGGGACTACAATTCCCATCATCCCTGACCACTGGTCCTCTTAGCTAGGGATGATGGGAATTGTAGTCCCAAACAGAGGGCCCGAGTTTGCCTCTGCCTGCCCTAGACCAGGGTTTCCCAAACTTGGGTCTCTGGCTGTTTTTGGACTACAACTCCCATCATCGCTAGCTAGCAGGACCAGTGGTCAGGGATGATGGGAACTGTAGTCCAAAGACCTGGAAACCTAAGCTTGGGAAACCCCGGCCTAGACTGGTTATAAGTTAGGGAGGCAGGCAATTGGGGGCAGGCTGATGTTTGTGGGGCAGTGCCCTATTTGCCTCAATGAACCAGCCTCCACCAGCTGCAGGTCTGAGGGACCTTGGGGAAAAATTCTGCAATGGGTTGCCCCAGTGACTCGCCACAAGCACATGCCCACGTACAGGCATCTTTTATTTTCGTCTGTCGGTCCAATTTGTCCATCGCTTTTTCTTGCCCAGCAAAGCAACTTACAGCCAAACAAACAGATAATAATCCCCGCACAGATACGTTAAAACCAGGAGAGAGAAACGCATCAAAAATATCCTTTCTGCCTGCACCCTTCACAGTGCCCCAAGTGTCCGCTGAAGGCGCCGCTGAAAATCACCATCTCTTTGGTCGGGATCCGGAGGATTATCCTGGAGCCCAAGAGAGCCGTCATTGAGCTTTCCGTCGAGATTGCCTTGTTGGCGAAAGGTCCGTCCGGGTCCCTCGTTGGGCTCTTTGTCATGAAGGCCGTAAGTGTTGGAATCAAGAGTTTTCTGCGTGGCTTGGCTTTCAAGTCCAGGGAATGGCAGGGAGGAAGGACTTTTCCAGTCTCCCCACCATCTGAGACGTTTTCCTCCCCCCTTGTCTGATTGCAGAACTTAAAACTGAGTGTCCGTGCCTCTGTTTTCGGCGGCAGACTGATCTTCACTACAAAACTGGCCAGGTATCTTGCCTCACTGTTGCACGATCGCTTAGGCTTGGGGAGTCGAAGCAGAGCAGGGGTGGACTTCTTTGCAACCCTTGGGATGTTATAGTGAAGGGGCCATTAGAATATTGTTCTCTATATGATCCCAAAAACTGTTTAAGGCGAGGTTTTTCCAGAGGGTTGAGGTTTTTCACCAGCCAGAAAAACAAGGCTTTTTCTTGCTTAAATGTTACGGTGCAAATGGGCCTCTCGTTGGAATGTCTAGCTTAGGCAATAAAGATAAGAGCAAGGCTGAATGGGCCCCAGTCAGGAGGAGGTAAAATGCAGGAGACAAAGCCCCATCTTATTGCTATCAGTATAAATCACATGTTTCACATTTGAACACGTGTTGAGGCTCATGGCGTGGAGAGGCTGGTGCAGGAAGGAAAGGGGGAAAAGCCCATGTAAGGACATAGGAAGTTGCCATAACTTTCGGTTTACAAGAAATCAGGTGGCTTACAGGAGATCAGGTGGTATTCTATTCTGCAAATCTATATAAAGGGGGCGCACCCCGACTACTGTGTGCAGGTTGCGTACTGATCGCCCTGTTTTGCATATGCACTTCAAATAAAAATCCTGTTAATAAACTGCAAGGACATTTTGCCACTTTGTGTGAATCTGTGCTTCAGGGACCCAATAGCAGATATGTGTGGTGCTTCAATAGAGCGGACTTCCCCAACCTGGTGCCCTCCAGATCTTTTGTACTATAGCTCCCGTCAGCTGCAGTCAGACCCTGCTGCTGTGCGGTTGAGCTTGGAGTGAAAGAAGCCCAACAGTCTTGTCCAGACCAGAAAGCAAGCCTGACCTGGAACCAGAAGCCTTTATAAGGCTCAAGGGATATCACCTCACTTACTCTGGTCTATTGGGATAAAGAGCCTTCATCATAATAATAATAATAATAATAATAATAATTTATTATTTATACCCCGCCCATCTGGCTGGGTTTCCCCAGCCACTCTGGCTGGGCTTCCAAAAGAAAATATTAAAATACAATAGTCTATTAAACATTAAAAGCTTCCCTAAACAGGGCTGCCTTCAGATGTCTTCTAAAAGACTGGTAGTTGTTCTTCTCTTTGACATCTGGTGGGAGGGTGTTCCACAGGGCGGGTGCTACCACCAAGAAGGCCCTCTTCCTGGTTCCCTGCAACTTGGCTTCTCGCAGTGAGGGAACTGCCCGAAGGCCCTCGGAGCTGGACCTCAGTGTCCAGGCAGAACGATGGGGCTGGAGATGCTCCTTCAGGTATACTGGACCGAGGCCATTTAGGGCTTTAAAGGTCAACACCAACACTTTGAATTGTGCTCGGAAACTTACTGGGAGCCAATGTAGGTCTTTCATGACCGGTGTTATATGGTCTCGGCGGCCGCTCCCAGTCACCAATCTAGCTGCCGCATTCTGGATTAGTTGCCTGTGTGGCTGGGCGTCCAGCAGTTCCCTATTTTGGCCAGTCCTGGGAAGCAGCATGACGTGAATTGTCACGTCTGTCCTTTCTTTTGGGATGTAACTGGCTCACTTGGGTCCTCCATGATGTCTCTCTTGACCCTTATGTACAACTTCTTCTTTCCACAGTCTTGAGCTGCTCCTGGTTTCTTCCCAAGTTGGACCTGTTAACGTAAGCTCTTTTCCATTTAGTGATTGACTGAATTGATTTGACGCCTTGATTGCACCTTCCACAGGGACAAGAATTGCTTACAGTATTAAAGTAGAAGAAATAGAGACACAGCTAGCTAGACAGAGAGACAAATAGACAGAACAATCTGACACGCAAACATTTGCTTAAATAGGGGACCCCCTAGAACAGGCATAGGCAAACTCGGCCCTCCAGATGTTTTTGGGACTACAACTCCCATCATCCCTGTCCACTGGTCCTGTTAGCTAGGGATGATGGGAGTTGTAGTCCCAAAGCATCTGAAGGGCTGAGTTTGCCTATGCCTGCCCTAGAAGCTTCATCTTGGCCATGGGAAGCCATGCCAAACAGAGGTTGAGCAGTGTTTATGGAAGGGAGATGAAGTTTGGCTCCAGAGAGCCTCAGGGGGGTAGGGGCAGGACTCTGACTCAGGAGAGGGGGCCAGTAATTTGTAGGGAAGTGTACCAGCCAGGAGACAAGAGTCGGAGGCAGAGGAAGCTTCAGGGCCAGAAGGTGGTGCACAGGATGGGTCAGAAGAGGAGGAGGAAGCAGGTCTGGCAAGCGAAGGGCCAGGTGCTTCCCCTCCATCTCCTGCAGCACAGTATCCCAGAACCAGGAGGGGACTGAAGAGGGAAGAACAGAGGCAGTTTCCACACAGGTGTAGTCTCTGGCTGCATGTGCACAGTCCGTTGGGGGGAGGTACATAAACTGGTGGAGGGGGAGTGGTCCACTGTTGCTGCAAATGCCCCAGTGAGCGCAAACCTGGGAATAGCTGCCTAAATGCTAAACTGGTTAGGGTGGATATTTGGAGCCAAAGAAGCGACTGCTAAGCTGTGGATGGAAAGGATCCTGACTCTGAATGAATTCCACTGGAGGACCCTTTTTTGCTGCCATGCAATTGACACAATCTTCTCTAGATCATATTTCCTGGAGAGGTGTTGATTATGGAGGCATTGCAAACCACCCAAGACTTAAATCTTCCATGGGGATCTATCAACTCATCTCACAAGAAGCAGTTGTTGAGGAGGTCATTTGCACTGATAGAAACCACCCCAGCCCATGCACCTCAGATAAAACGCCCCTCTTGAGCCGGATCCAGTCTGAATCCCCCTTGTGATGGTGCATACATCCTCTGCCAGTTTGATTCCTAGATCACTGCCTCCGTTGTTCTGTCTTACAGGTCTCTGTCCTCGTGAAGTTGATGAAGTTGCTTATAGCAGAAACGTTTGTGCCACAAGTCAACGGTAAGGCAACTCAAGTCCCATCTCTGGCACACCCTCTATACATGAAAAGCCCTCTCACACTTCCACATGCGCTGTGCCTAGAAAGAACAGGTCCAAGTAGCTTTCCCTGTCCTGCTCCTTTTCCAGGGAAAACCCACCTAGCTCTAAATCAGAGCAAATGGCAATCTGGAGAAAATTCAAATAGCTGTTTGCTCCGATGGAGCACTAAAGAGCAGTTTTCCTTGGAGAAAGCAGCTGGAAGTACAGATAAGCTCTAATACTGATCTCGACCTTCCCATGTTCATAGAGCCACAACTGCAACACCGATGCATAAGAGCGTTTAGATTCTCCATTTTTGGTTTTTTATATATATAATTTTTTATTAGTTTTTTTAACACACCATTTTCAACAGTAATTAAACATATTTTTACATCTTACTCAATTTTTTTAACTTCCATCAGTCCTGTCTGAAAATTTTCCAATGTCAGCTCTTAGTATACATTTCTTATTTTCCCTGTTACGTTTAAAACTCAGAAACCAATATCTCTATTCTTTATCTACTTTGTAGCACTTCATATATTCCTCTTTACAAAACGTCTTGTAGTCCTACTAGCATAATTTGTTGGTTACAATTGCTTTTCAAATAGTTCATATACTTCTTCCAATCTTCTGTAAATCTCTGGTCCCGCAGGTTTCGAATCCTTCCTGTCATTTTGTCCAATTCTGCATAGTCCATTAATTTCGTCTGCCATTCTTCTTTCGTTGGAATTTCTTCTTGTTTCCATTTCTGGGCTAACAATACTATTGCCGCAGTTGTTGCAGATAAAAACAATTTAACATCTTGCTTATCAATATCCTGGCCTATAATACCAAGTAAAAATGCTTCTGGTTTTTTTAAAAAAATGTGTTCTCCATTTTTGTTGGTGCGTTTATTTGTATGTGGATTTGGATGGTGCCTTGTACGCCTCCTTTCGGCAACTCCTGCAGCCCAACTGGTGCCAAAGGTCTTGCTCTGCTTCCCTTTTGACCACATCAGTGAGGCTGAGAGGGCGGTCTTGTTGTGTGAGCATCCCAGGACCTCCAGGGACGCTGCCCAGCCTTGTGCCCCAGTGTGCTGGGCCCAGGGGTAACCCGAGTAATGCGGTCCAGGTCTGGTCCCGAATCCAAGGGTTCCGCGAAGAGCCAGTTAAACAGGGCCAAGGCAGGACACGAGGCAGGAAACCAGGCGAGGTCAGGCACAGGATCACAGGCAGGATCAGGCAAACAGCAACATTGCTCCCGCAACCTGGGGCAGCGTCCAGCAGCGTTTTTTCTCTGTTGCGGCAGTCCTGATCCCCCGGTGACTCACCTCCCTGTCTCACTCGAAGGTGAGCACTCCCCCTGCGAGTACTCAGGTCTCTCCTTCTCTCAGACCTCAGCCTCTGCAGCTCGGGAGACATCGGTGGGTGACTAGACCCAGGAGCCGCCTCAGCCTCTCCTGACCCAACCGGTAGTGGAGCAGCTGTAAGTGATGGCCCAGCTGGAGGCAACAAGGTCATCCCCGCATCTGGAGCCAGGGCAGGCTCAGGCCCCTGACTCGGCCCAGCTGGTGCTTGTTGCAGGGGAACCTGTGCAGACTGGGGCTCTTCAGGATCAGGCCCCAGACTTGGTTCAGATGCTGTCTGAGGCAAAGGATCCGGTGCGGACTGAGACTCCTCTGGTTCCGAGTCCGAGCCAGAGTCCCAGGCCATCACACCCGGGGAGATCACTTCAGTGTTGCTAATGCAGCGGTTTGCCTTGCCTAGGCCAATGAAAAGTTTTGGGAATGCTGGTCTAGACTATGGCTCAGACATGACCAAAAGAAAATGCTCCTCTCTGCTCTTCTTTGCTATTGTGCTTATTCTGGTTGCCTTTTTCAGAGTGCCTGGACGTCGGGATCCCTCTGCCTCCAGTGCTGCACATTCGCTGGAATTATCCAGCGATTCACTTTACACAGGTAAGTCTGCCAGTGATACCTTCCTTCCAGCCACACATCCAAACATGTCTGGGCTCTCTGCTCCATATTCTCCCCATTAGCAAATCCCACACGTGAGATGCTTTTCCATGAATTTCCACATGCTAGGACTACTGGACCAGCCAAATAATCTGCTTTCCAGGAGAAATATTCCTTATATATAACTTCCCTAGCGGACCGTGTTCTCTACAGTGTAGCCCTGATTCAGCTCTAGCTGTGGTAAACTATGAGTAAGAACTAGTGGCTCTGGATGGAGATGCATATCCCATAATAATAACAAAAGATGGAGGTTAACAGATTGAGGTTGAATCCTGACAAGACAGAAGTACAGTGGACGCTCGGGTTGCGAACGTGATCCGTTCGGGAAGCACGTTCGCAACCTGCAGTGTTCGCAATCCGCAGTGCCATGTCTGCACATTTGCAGGTCGTGATTCGGCACTTCTGTGCATGCGCAAAGCGTGTTTTAGCACTTCTGCGCATGCGCAAGTGCCAAAACCTTGAAGTAACCCGTTCCAGTACTTCTGGGTTTGGTGCGGTGCGCAACCCGAAATCGCACAACCCGAAGCATCTGTAACCCGAGGTATGACTGTACTGTTTTGGGGGGACAGGGGGCGGGCTGGTGTGGGGGACTCCCTGGTCCTGAATAGGGTAACTGTGTCTCTGAAGGACCAGGTGCGCAGCCTGAGAGTCATTTTGGACTCATAGCTGTCCATGGAGGCGCAGGTCAATTCTGTGTCCAGGGCAGCTGTCTGCCAGCTCCATCTGGTATGCAGGCTGAGACGCTACCTTCCCGCGGGCTGTCTCGCCAGAGTGGTGCATGCTCTGGTTATCTCCCGCTTGGACTACTGCAATGCACTCTACGTGGGGCTACCTGTGAAGGTGACCTGGAAACTGCAATTAATCCAGAATGCGGCAGCTGGACTGGTGACTGGGAGCGGCGGCCGAGACCACATAACACTGGTCTTGAAAGACCTACACTGGCTCCCAGTACGTTTCCATACTAGTCCAGCAGCCTGTTCTCACAGCAGCCAACCCAGCAGACAGCAGGATCCAAGCGCAAGAGCACTCTCCCCTGCTGCAATTCCCAGAAATTCCCAGCAGGAGGACTTTAAATAAAATTACAAACTGATGTGGATAGCTGATTGGGAAAATGGAGAGGAATTGAAATGGATAGATTCTTCTATCCCTAGTTTCCATGGGCTGGAATGCAGAGAGAAGGCATGAAGACTGCTGGATCTTCTGCTCTTCACTGCTTAGAGCTTCCTCCAGCACTCAGCTTCTTCCTAAATTATTTAGGCCTGTCCTAATACGATCCCCACCATTTATTTATGGGAGTTGTTGTTTAGTCGTTTAGTCATGTCTGACTCTTTGTGACCCCCTGGACCAGAGCACGCCAGGCCCTCCTGTCTTCCACTGCCTCCCGCAGCTTGGTCAAACTCATGCTGGTAGCTTCGAGAACACTGTCCCACCATCTTGTCCTCTGTCATCCCCTTCTCCTTGTGCCCTCCATCTTTCACAACATAAGGGTCTTTTCCAGGGAGTCTTCTCTTCTCATGAGGTGGCCAAAGTATTGGAGCCTCAGCTTCAGGCAGGATCTGTCCTTCCAGTGAGCACTCAGGGCCGATTTCCTTCAGAATGGATAGGTTTGATCTTCTTGCAGTCCATGGGACTCTCAAGAGTCTCCTTCAACACCAGAATTCAAAAGCATCCATTCTTCGGCCTTCTTTATGGTCCAGTTCTCACTTCCATACATCACTACTGGGAAAACCATAGCTTTAACTATACGAATCTTTGTTGGCAAGGTGATGTCTCTGCTTTTTAGGATGCTGTCTAGGTTTGTCATTGCTTTTCTTCCCAAGAGAAAATGCTTTTCTCCCAGATGTCACCATCTGTTATTTATGGGCAACAATGAGCTAAACTTTTCGCTTTTCCAACGTCTGCAGGGGATGCTGGCATTGTGTGTGTGAGATGGCCAAGGGGACCTCGCATCCGAAGACATTCCACCTGGTTTTGGCTGCGGCAGAAAGTCAAGAGGGATATCTTAGCAAGAAAGCAGAACCTATACCTATCTTACCCTTTATTTTCCTAACTGTGAACCGCCCTGAGACCCCCGGGTATAGGGCAGTATATAAATTATAATAATAATTTTAAAAACAACAATAACATTTTGCACTTTGTTTCCTGCCTGGGGTCAAGTTGAGGGTGATTTGCACAAATGCTAGATGCTAGGAGCAGGACACTCTCAAATAGGAGGCAGGAGCCTTTGCATAGTCTGTAGGTGGTTAGGCCTTGGGTGTTTTCCATTAACGGGAAAGATGGATACAAAAAATAATATTAGAAAGGTAAGAGTGGACTCTTAAGTTTGGCATTGCAAACCCATGCTGAATTTTAGCATGAGTCTGGGTCTGAATGTGCTTCAGTGTGCTTCAGGGAGCCAGTGTGGTGTAGCGGTTAAGAGCAGTGGACTCGTAATCTGGTGAACAGGGTTCGCTTCCCCGCTCCTCCACATGCAGCTGCTGGGTGTCCGTGGGCCAGTCACACTTCTCTGAAGTCTCTCAGCCCCACTCACCTCACGGAGTGAGGAGATTGTTAGTCGCTTTGAGACTCCTTAGGGTAGTGATAAAGCGGGATATCAAATCCAAATTCTTCTTCTTCTCTGTGTTAGGCTGCAGGTCCAATGCAAAGGAGCAGAAGCATAAAACACAGAAGACCAGGTAGCTCAATTATTCCAGACTGCAGGTGAAAGATCTCACATCTTAGAGCTCTCCTATGGAAACAGAGCATCTCCCTAGGCATAGAAAGCTAGCAGATTGAAATTCAGTATAGGCTTCTTCCTGGCATGCTACATTTCTGTGTGCAGGGAGGGAGGCACAATTTGGGGGGGGGGTGGCATTCAAACATGCAAGCCTCCCCCTGAGGTATGACCTTCACCACTCCACTCCATGAATCAGAGGAATCTCCCCAGAGGGAGAAAACAATAGTTTGATATTGTTAAACTTGTTAAACTTCATGCCCAAAGGCACACTTCTCCACTGCCTCCCGAGATAGACAGATGTCAGCTAAGGTTTCCTGTCCCACAGTCACCCGTACAATTTAGGTGCTTTTTAAGCTTTGAGCACTGGATTGTGGGTGATATTCTACGCTCATGGTGTCTCTCTTCACAATAAAACTTCTTCACTTTTCTCAACGGCCAGAGAGTGTTTCTGTTTTGTGATGCTGCCCGTGATCCTTGCGACTGCTTTAGCTCCTTTGGCCGCAACCAGAAACAGCCGCTCCATTCAGTATTTCAGGGCTGATATCCATAAAACATCAACGCAACGACTGCTGTGGGCCCCTGCGGAGAGTTACTCTCCTGGCTATGGGCTCCAGGGGGGTATTAAACCATAAACGCCCTTCACCATTACGTGACTAATGTCGTCATTTACACAGCAACTCTTTGCATCACTGTCTGGCGCAAGGGCTGCTGTAAGCAAAGACGAAGGGGAAAGATGCTGGAATTAGAGTGGAAGGAGACCCAGGGGAGGAGGCGGTTGTGATGCCCCTAAAATACCTGGAAAATAAAAATGCCACCGTGTGCTTTCTAAAAGTAAGGAGGGAGCAGCATGTGGAGGGAGATAGCTGCACATGGAGCGCGGGCTGCTATAATCCAACTTGTGGATCAGGCATGGCCAAGATCCGCTCAAGGGTTCCTCTTGAGCACCCTCTGCAAAGGAGCCGGATGTGGCCCTCTCGTATTTTAACTCTGGGCCTTATACATCTCCCACCAGGAAAACTAGGGACTGGGGGAACCCCTAAAATCGATATGGGATGTATGGGAAGAGGAAGTCCCACTGTGCAGGCAAAAGCCCTTGTGCTGTAACTGGAAAACTTCATTGGCTAAAACCCTACGGAGCATGATGGTTGCCTATTTCATTCTGAAAACGGCTGCAACACCCCAACCAATTGAGATCAGAAAGAGTATTTTAATGAGGCAAAATGATGGACATGATCCAGTTGCATTTCAGCACTTGCAAATCCCATTGATTTCCTCAGGAAAAGTTAAGAATCCATTGAAATCAACACACTTTGCTTTGGCTCTATTGCTGCCCATAGTATTTATTTCACTCAACAACATTTACAGGAAAAGAATTGAGAAAGCAGAACACCTAATGAATGCATGAACCCGTGCATTACTGGGAAGTAAGTTTCCTTTAAATTGGCAGGCCTTATTTCTGAGCGAATGGGTTCCAGATCGCACCCCTGTTCATTGCCTGCTGCCAAACCACCAGGTGTGTTTCCTCTGTTTCATGCAGCGAAGAAAGGTAGACTCTTCTTCATTCAAAAGCGAAAGGATTTGCAGGTACAAAAAGCAGAGATGAATGTGCCTTGCAGAGGAGGACTTGGCTGCCTCTGTGCTCTTCTTTTCAGCTCAGGGCTGGTAGTCAAGGTCACAGTTGACCTGAGCATAACCCTGTAAGTTAAAAGGCAAGAGAAGAGTCAATACATGCTGCCAGAGGGATCTTGGGTAGAGGAACAATATGGAAAGGTGTTCAAATTATCCTACACAGAAGCAGTTTATTTCTGGGGCTCAGGAGACCGGATGCAAGATGGCACTCAGGAGCCAACGCAGTGCCCCTTCAGATGGCGTTGCACTCCAAATCCCATCGGCCCAACCAGCATGGCCAAGGGGCAGCAATGATGGGAGTCGTATGTGGTCCAACAACATTTGGCTCCCAGTACGTTTCCGAGCACAATTCAAAGTGTTGGTGCTGACCTTTAAAGCCCTAAATGGCCTCGGTCCTGTATACCTGAAGGAGCGTCTCCACCCCCATCGTTCTGCCCAGACAGGAGGGGGGGACAGGAAGCGGGTGGGTGTGGAGGACTCCCTGGGGTCCTGGGGTCCTCTGAATGGGGTAACTGTGCCCCTGAAGGACCAGGTGTGTAGCCTGGGAGTCATTCTGGACTCACAGCTGTCCATGGAGGTGCAGGTCAATTCTGTGTCCAGGGCTGCTGTTTATCAGCTCCATCTGGTACGCAGGATGAGACCCTCCCTGCCCACAAACTGTCTCGCCAGACTGGTTCATGCTCTGGTTATCTCCTGCTTGGACCACTGCAATGCGCTCTGCGTGGGGCTACCTTTGAAGGTGACCTGGAAACTGCAATTACGTAATCCAGAATGTGGCAGCTAGACTGGTGACTGGGAGCGGCCGCCAAAACCACATAACACAGATCCTGAGAGATCTGCATTGGCTCCCAGTACGTTTCCGAGCACAATTCAAAGTGTTGGTGCTGACCTTTAAAGCCCTAAACGGCCTTGGTCCTGTATACCTGAAGGAGCGTCTCCACCCCCATCGTTCAGCCCGGACACTGAGGTCCAGCACCGAGGGCCCTCTGGCGGTTCCCTCATTGCAAGAAGTAATGTAACAGGAAACCAGACAGAGGGCCTTCTCGGTAGTGGCGCCTGCCCTGTGGAACGCCCTCCCTTACAGATGTGAAGGAAACAAGCAGCTATCTTATTTTTAAAAGACATCTGAAGGCAGCCCTGTTTAGGGAAGTTTTTGATATTTAATGCTGTATTGTATTTAACACTCGATTGGGAGCTGCCCAGAGAGGCTGGGGAAACTCAGCCAGATGGGCGGGGTATAAATAATAAATTATTATTATTGCTACTACTATGGACAGGCTCCCATGTTTTCCAAAGGTGGGTCAATCTGACCTCAGTTATGCTCAGAGTTTAAGGAGAAGACCTTGAGCATCTTCAGCTGTTGTGTTCATCATGGACCACTCAGAAGAACATCAGCTGCACCAGGCCAATGGGCCCAGAATCTAGTCCCGCATCCTGTTCTCACAGTGGCCAACCAGATGCCCATTGTGGGGAAACCCTCAGGCAGGTGATTTGGGAATGTCTTAGCTAAATAAGTGGGGCTGAAGGAAAGGACGGAGGCAGCGCAGCCCAAGGAGTCTCACCTCATGAATCTGGATCTCGGGCTCGATGTACTGGACGTTGTTGAGCTTGGGAAGAGAGATCCCCACACTCAGAGCAGCTGCAAAGGGGAAACGACAACACGGTCAGCACCCCCAACTTGATGGGACAACTGTGGGGCATGGGCCCATGTTCTTCATACAGCCCCCCTCCCTCTAGGTGCTGAGCTCCTAGGACCTCAGTGGAGCTGCTGTTGAAGCGATTTGCCTGCATTACCGTTCACGTGAGCCAGGAAAGCATCCTGAAATTCAGAGAGGACCACACGTCTCAAATAGGAGATCTGCCAGGGGAGAAAAGGCAATGGGTTGGTCCCAGATCTTGACATGAGTGATCACAGAGGAGCAAAGCAAGCTCCCTTACGCAGAGTCAGACCACCGGTCTTCCTAGCACAATTTCATCTGCTCTGACTGACAGCAACTAGGGATGGGGAAGAAATTTGATTGACGAAGCACCGAAAGTCTATTCTATCCAATTCACACGTTCAGAAACAATAGGCAGAACGATACACGGGACTAAGCTTTGAAATCCGCACTCGCCTGAATTTTGCAATGCAGTTCTCAAAGCAACCAACGTTTACAAGAATGCATGTGCTGAAGGGGAAGAGTGCATGAAAATGAAGATATAAGAGGCAAAAAATACATTGCATGTGGGGAAATTGCTTGCAAAAAATGCCTCTTTAGTCAAAACTGCATATACAAATGTGTTTATTAGGCAAAATTTGCACTAAGACGCTAGAGAAGTTTCACTTTATGAAACATCACAAATTGCTGCAAAATGTGGAGAACTGAATTTAAGAATGGAAGAAAGAGAAACCGTAGCAGCCGAAATGGACAGATTCTTCCATGTCTTGCAGCAACTCCCCAGGGTTGTAGACTCATGGCTCCTTCACAGCCCGACCAGCAGATGCTGTCGTCCAGCCCGGAGACTGAGGTCCAGCTCCGAGGGCCTTCTGGCGGTTCCCTCCTTGAGAGAAGCGAGGTTACAGAGAACCAGACAGAGGGCCTTCTCGGTAGTGGTGCCCACCCTGTGGAACACCCTCCCAGCAGATGTCAAGTAAATAAACAACTATCTTACTTTTAAAAGACATCTGAAGGCAGCCCTGTTTAGGGGAGCTTTTAATGTTTAATGCTGTATTGCGTTTTTAATATTCTGTTGGGAGCCACCCAGAGTGGCTGGGGAAACCCAGCCAGATGGGTGGGGTATAAATAAATTATTATTATTATTATTATTATTATTATTATTATTATGCTGTGAAGGGAAGTTCTCTTTCTGCAGTTCTCTTACTGCACATAGCCGTGTGGCATTGTGGGAAGTCTTGCTATGAGAACTATTGCTTCTTTTCTCTTGCATTCTGGGAAGTCTCGCTTCTGCTTCTGCACATACTGTTCCAAACACACCAAGCCTAACACACCTAGACATTCTCTCATTCTTCAGTTCATTCCAAGTTCATGAACAAAACAATATGGTCTGTTCTTAATGCATAGCTGACCACATCTACGGAACTTGATTATTATATTCTTTCATGTTATGATCAATCATTAGTAATTGTTTTAGTCATGTTATATTAATCTTTAGTTATAATTTAATTAGGAGGATTCATGCCTGTCTAGTTCCAGCTCCATTTCTCATCCTTTGATCTATCAGTGATAAATGCTCATATGTAATTCCCGCCTTGTACCTATGTTAACCAATCAGCAACAAGTTGCTTTGTGTTTGTATCAACCAATCAGCCACAAGCACACCTGTGGCAATGTTTGTAATATTCAATAAAAGAGAGTTCCCGGGGCTTGCCCCGGCAGAGACGCCTCTCATATGACACCTACCACTCGTCTGTCGTGATTTTCAACCCAAGAAGTGAACCTGTGACTTCTTGCAAGCAAAACGGGTGTGCCACCCACTGCCCTGTGGTCCTTCCCCCATAAGCAAGGGAGGTTTGGGCCGCCTGACCCCCGGATACACGTGCGCATAGAGTAAGAATGAAACAACTCTCTACAGAGAGGCTACAATTCATTACTGGTGAAACAACAGAGGATCAACATACAGTAGGAGAGGCCAAAAGTTAGAGATGACTCTAAGGGTCAGACCTGGGGCTTTTACACAACTTTTACACATCTGGAATCCCACCAGATGTCAAAGAGAACAACAACTACCAGACTTTTAGGATACATCTGAAGGCAGCCCTGTTTAGGGAAGCTTTTAATGTTTGGTGCATTACTGTATTTTAATATTTTGTTGAAAGCCGGCCAGAGAAAATTTTGCTGACCCCTGCTGTAGAACCTCAGAGGTTGCGTCAGGGACCCTGCGGTGTGGGAGCCGAGCACCCACAACAATTTTTTTGTGGGTGCTCAGGCACCCAGAGCCCCCTAGAGTCTTGGGATGCTGCAGAAGACGTGGCCTAAACAGGCTCAGAACATCTATTGGACCCACTTGGGAGCACAACATGGGCGTAAAATACACAGCAAACCACCACCACCCCAGCTAAATCCCCCCCAAGCAAAAATCCTGGCTACTTCCATGGAGCGCAGCAAGGAAGGCAAACGGCGGGTGGCATACCTCTGTTATCTCCATGCTAGAAGACTCCACCTCCAGACCAACATCTCTGCAAGACAAAGCAGAACGACATGAGTCATGATGGCTTCAGCTGTACCAGTGAACTGGACACTCACGTCCCTCAGGTCCCTGAGGAAAGGACGGGGACTGGAGTGTCCCTTTCATCCTTCGCCACAATGAAAGCAGAAAACAGTTGACCCTCATCAGGCGGGGTGGGGGGGTGAGGCAGGAAGTAAAATGGTAAGGAAAGTAAAATGTCTGTTGGAATGAAGTTATATGGCTTCAGTAGAAATGTTATAAGGAATTAAGTATAAATAGATTAATAGAGTAGTAAAGGAAAATAAGGTTAAAATGTGTTAAGATAATTATAGGATAGAAAACAGGGGAAGATGGAAAGGAATTGCTGAAATAATTAATAGAAGTGGAATACAAAAAGGGAGGTGTGAGTTGTTTTTGTTTTGTTTTGTTAATTTCTATGTAGTGTTTTTGTATTTTAACGTACTGTTTTTTCTTTGTTTTTTGTGTTTAAATTGTTGTAAAAGGAATAAATATTATTATATAATATAAAAAAAAAGGAAAGTAAAATGTCTGGCTGAACTCACCCATGGACGGCAACTGTCAGATGGAGACTTGTAATGGTGACATCCAGCTTGACAGCTAAGGTCAGGTCCTGCAAACAGAAGACCGGGAAGGGATCGTTTTCATGAGAGAAAGCTACAAAGGCTCTATCCTTCATTTGTTTGTTTGTTTCCTTGTTTGTTTATAATACTTTTATGTTGTGAACCATGCTATGATCTTCAAATGAAGGGTGGTATTCAAATTTTAATAGTAATAGTAATAGTAATAATAATAGTAATAGTAATATACAGTGGTACCTCAGGATGCGAACGGGATCCGTTCTGGAGCCCTGTTCGCATCCTGAAGCGAACGCAACTGGCGACTGCGCGTCTGTGCATGCGTGGGTCGCGATTTGCTGCTTCCGCACATGCGCATGACATCATTTTGACCGTCTGTGCATGCGCGAGTGGCGAAACCCGGAATTAACGCGTTCCGTTACTTCCAGGTCGCCACGGAGCGCAACCCGAAAGCGCTCAACCTGAAGCAACTTCAACCCGAGGTATGACTGTACAGTCGTACTTTGGTTTTTGAACAGAATGCGTTCAGGAAGTCCGTTCGACTTCCGAAATCAAGGCGCGGCTTCTGATTGGCTTCTGATTGCGCAGGCGCACCGGAAACAATAGCGGAAGCCGCATCGGACGTTGGGCTTCCAAAAAAAGTTCAAAAAGCTGAACACTCACTTCCGGGTTTCGAAAGTTCGGGAGCCAAAATGTACGAGTACCAAGGCGTTCAACAACCAAGGCACAACTGTAGTAATAATAGGAGCTGCCAGCTGTGATTGTGTTGCTTGTCACACACACACCACATCCTCTTCCTTTTACACCTCACCCAACCTGCCGCACACACACACCCCACCTGTGCAGCTTGCTTCAGCTCCCTGACCCACCCACAGCTCGCCCAACCCATTGCCCACTGAGAGCAGAAATCCTATATTTTAAAATCCTACATGGGCAGGCACACTCAGTCTCCAGAGTGTCGATGGACAAGTGCAAATATTTATAAACCACTTGACAATTGAAAGCTGCCAAATAGGCAGATAGTAAGATAAAATACAGACTGTAAATAAAAATTGCAGACTTGGTAAACTAAAAGAAATAGCCTCGTTTCTACAATAGTACAATTAATTTTCCCTAAAATGACCAGGTCAGACTTCAAGAGGAGACTTCTGCTTAGATGCATCACTTGCTTGATTTGCAAGAGGACAATGCATAAAATATCGGACTTTCGGGTTAGCGCCTCCGGTAATGGCTGAATTCCTCTGACCGGGAGGAATTTGCTTCGTGGAAATTAGGGTCTGGCCGCCACGGCGAAGGCGGGGACCCACAAAAAATCACAGGCGGGAGAAGCCTGTGAACGTGGGATTCGGCTGGCACCTTTTGCGCCTCCCCTACTCGCGGGGAAACCCGGTTTCCGGGATCCGGAGCGACGTGGGGTGAGTGGCGCAGTGCTTCGAATTGACTGCTTCTTTCATGGAGTGAAGCCGCATTGCTGTTGCCAGAGAGCGCTGACTTTTTCCTGTGGACAATTTGATCTTAAAACAACTACCCGTGAGTAGAACGGAAAATTGGATTTTTAAACGTCTTAATTTGGCACCGAAACGGGGAGGTTTCAAACAGGAAGTCCGCCTTCCCCTTTTGTAAATAGACTGAAGCAAAGAGGCTGCAAGCTAAAGTCTTGGAAAGCCTTACATAAAGGATTAAACTTCCATCGGCTAAAATCATCAAACCCCCCTTGGAAGCAGGAGAAGAGGGGGGAAATTTTAGATCGCGTAAGCCTGCAGGAGAGAGTGAAGAAAGTTAAATTACCACCGCTCTGAACCTGGAAACAGGCTGCTAGTAAGATTGAAGTTTTGGATATGCTCATTGAATGTGAATAGATCGTTTGTTGACAGTAAGTTAAAGAAGAGAAATACATTGTTTCCATTGTCTCCTTCTGCGTTTAAAAAGGAGTAAAAGTAACTGAAAATTGAAACTAACTTTATTGTTTGAACTGTGCTTAAAAGGATTGATACAAATAGAAATTGTTTCCCTCTAGAGGAAGCCTTTGAAATTGTTACAAAAGCTGAGCTGGGGGAATTTTCCACCTGCAAGATAAAACTGTGAGAATCTGGGATTGACCTTGGACCGTTAAGAATGTTGACAGAAGAAGCCATAGTGGTTGCATTATGTAAGATTAATGATTCACTGGAACAGCTCCATAAGAAGACGGATGCGATGACTATAAAAATTGATAACTTGGAACAAAAAGTGAATATTAATACAGAAACTATTCAGGAATTGATACAGGGATCTACTTTGACATGGCAAATTGAGGAGAAGGCGGGGGAGAAAGTTGTTGTTGTGGAACCTAAAGTAGCACAAGTGGAGAGGGAAAGAGCCCCAGCTTTACAGATGCAATTTGATGACTATAAGTGGATGCCTTTTATGACTGAATCTAGAGAAAGCCAGACTTTGAGGATTGGAGCCCCGCTTGGACTGGAGAAGGAAAGTTGGATAGATCCCTTCATGCAGGGATTTATTGACCTTTGGGACCTGGACTTGGGTCAGGAGGAGACTGGAGTTGTGGGGACTGCCAGACTTGGAGGAACTTTGAAATACGACTGGAAATATCTTTTGAATTTTAGTTTTCACTATGGAGATTTGGCTGACTTGTCGAGAAGGAATAAAAACATTGCTAGGTGGGAATTTCCCTGAGATCTACTTCTCAGCATCAAAGGAAGGAAAATAAGAACAAGATCAGGAGAAGACAAAGTAAAGTGCATGAATATAGAAGACTTGCAGAAGGGACTTGGAAAAGAGTTAAGAGCCTCGGACAGAAGATCACCAGGTTGATGGACTATATGGAATTGACGGAAATGACTGGCAGAATCCGAGACCAGGGAGAAGAGATGGTGGAAGAATATTGGGGAAAGTTTAAAATCTATATATGGAAGTAATGTAAAATTAATGAGTGCTAGAAAAATGTTGGAAGGAAATTATACGGCTTTAGTAGAAATGTTTTAAGGAATTAAGCATAAATAAGTATTATAGTATTAATGGAAAATAAGGTTAAAATATGTTAAGATAATCATATGACAGAAAATAGAGAAAGATGGAAAGGATTTGCTGAAATAATTAATAGAAATGGAATACAAAAAGGGAGGTGGGAGGAGGTCGATGAAACAAGGGAATGAAAGAGAGGATATTGAGATGGTATGATGTGTGTTTTTTGAACTGTTTTTGTTCTCGTTTTGTTTAATGTGTTAATGTTGTGTTGTGTATTGCTTATATATTGTATTGTATTGTTTCTTTTTCTTTTTCTTTTTCTTTTTCTTTTCTCCTTTTTGTAAGGTTTAAAAGCAATAAATATTATTTTAAAAAAAGACAATGCATAAAATATCAATGTGCTACACACTTGTCTTATTTGAGCTGGCAACTGATTCCAGAGGGCTGGAGCTGCAACACTAAAAGCCCAGGTTCTAGTACATACTAAGCACATCCCTAGGTCACATGGTGCTCTCAGCAGTGCCCTCATCTGAGGAACATAGCTGCGCCGCACGGATATATGAGGTGAGATGGTCCCTTAGGAGATCCATATGGATGTACAACCATTGTAGATGGCGGTTCACACACAGGTGTGCATTTGCACTGCGAGACTCATCCCGGCTGCATTCAGATGGAGCCCAGCACAACGGCTGGTGTCCAGCAAGAGCTTTGACAACCAACCTTCGTGCCGAGCGAGCCGTCATCGCCCTGAGAGCTGCAAGTTGCCAAGGCAGGAGAACAAGGAAACAAAGGCTAGCTGCTTTTACTCACCACACCCAAGGTGAAGAGTGCCTGCGACTGTTGGAAGGATCCGGATTCAGCCACGCCCACCTGGATGACGGGACTGAGGCGCAGGATCGCTGCGCCCTCATGGAAGCTGATCATGGGGAGCTTGCTGACCACTACGTTGAGCATCAAGGCAACAGCCTGGGGGTAACGCTTTGAGATCTATAGTGGGAATGGAAGGAGGGGGGTGTTATTTGCATTGTTGTGGCCCATCGCACACCTGAAGCTGCCTCATGCAGAATTAGGCCCCTTTAGCCCTGGCAGAGATGCTTTACCCAATGACGTAGTGAAGGGAACCACAAAGGGCAGTTGCTCTGGGCACAAAATTGTTAGGGGCGCAAAATGTCAACACCCGGCGGTGCCTCAATACAGCTGCACGCTTCCGTCGCTGGGCTCCGTTGAAAATGGCTTCTCCATGCGAACCAGAAAGTGACCTTTCCAGACAATGGAACAACTCTTCCACTGAGAGCCAGTGTGGTGTAGTGGTTAAGAGCGATAGACTCGTAATCTGGGGAACCGGGTTCGCGTCTCCGCTCCTCCACATGCAGCCGCTGGGTGACCTTGGGCCAGTCACAGCTCTCTGAAGTCTCTCAGCCCCACTCACCTCACAGAGTGTTTGTTGTGGGGGAGGAAGGGGAAAAGGAGATTGTTAGCTGCTTTGAGACTCCTTCAGGTAGTGATAAAGTGGGATATCAAATCCAAACTCTTCTTCTTCTTTTCTTATCTCTGCAGCTGCAATCTCCTGGGTGACGCGGATGCCTTTAGGCAGTTGCAGGCACATGCGTACCCCGTCCCTGGCATAGCTGTCAACGTTTCCCTTTTTTAAAGGGAAATTCCCTTATTCCGAATAGGATCCCTCGCAAGAAAAGGGAAAAGTTGACAGCTATGGTCCCTGGGCACTGGCAACCCCTGCTACACCACTGCCTCTACCTTCTCCCTCAGACTCCCTTAAGGACTTATTCCAACTTACCATTTGGCCTGCTCTTAAAAACTTGAAAACTCCACATCTGAGCACTCTTTTCCCCTCCCCCTTTTTTTTTTCCTTTTTCTTTTGCAGAGCTTTTTCTGCAAAAAACTGCTCTTTAAGGCTAAAGCGCAAAAAACCCACAGCAATTCAGGCTCTCCACAGAAAAGGTGTGTGATGGAGAGAGAGAAAGAGGGGTGTTATTGCGAGTGGGTTTGGCCCCACCCACTACTGGAATGCGGCCCCTGACATCCTTCCACCCAGCTAAAATACCTCTCAGATCAAATAAAGGGTTCGCCAGGCCTGCGTTGGTTCCTGGGCATCACTTACCGAGGGGATGGCCTGCTCCAACATGGAGGTGGTGAGGTGGCTCTGAAAAGAAGCAAAGAATTCTCAGTCTCGAGCCTTAGGAACAGCCTGGGTCTCTCCTCTGTCCCCCTGCTCTGAGAGTCCAGAGCATTCCAGGTTTGTCTGTTTCCAGAAGTCTGTCCCATTTCTGCATTATCTCCAAACACTTTTTTTTTCTTTTAGAATAGTGTGTAGATACACACACACACACACACACACACACACACACTTGTGTGTGTGTGTGTGTGTGTGTGTGTGTGTGTGTGTGATGTTTAATTCCTTCTTAAATATTGTTTTCCTGTGTTTAGCAGTTTCTATTTTATCTGTAAGCCACTTTGAGTCCTTGACAGGGGAAAAGGAGGGGTTTAAATAAACATCATCATCAACAACAACAACAAAAAACTGATTTGACAGATTTTTTTTTAAATCACACAGCAGTAGGCAAATATTTTTTTTTTAATGAATAAAGGATATTTAAATAATTAAATTATTGCTGTGACTTCTTCTCATTGGCGATTCCATTGTTTTATATTTTCCATAAACCACTTTGAGTGTGAGTGCAATCAAGGAGGGTATAAATGTTGAGAAATAAATAAACAGGTTTGGGCTCGCCTCGGCTTAGGGTGGCATTCACTACGCACAAATGACACTCCCTCTACTGACCGACTGGCCTCCGATTTGGAGGTTCAGGGCTCCCGATTGCTCCAGGCTGGCGAAAAGGCTGGCAAAGAGATGCTCTGAGAGGCCCATGTTCACCATGGAGTCGTCGGAAACCGTCTCTGGGGGTGGCAGAGAGAAAGGGGGCAGAGGGCCGGCAGGTTCGAAGTCGACTGGCTTCCCCATCAGCGCAATGACAGCCTGCGGAGATTTGGAAAGAGACAGAATTAAGTGCCATCTCCCTTCCTGAGTTTTCCAACAACTGGTACGCAGAAGAATTTCCTGCCTCCAGTTGTGGGTGTACGGCATCGCCATCCTGGCTAACAGTCCTCAGTAGCCTTATTCTCCTCCATGAATTTGTCAGATCCTCTTTTGAAGCCATCTGGGTTCATCATGACCTCCTGTGGCAGTGAGTTCCACATTTCCATGATGGAAGAACTTCCATTTATCTGTCTGCATTTCATTCTGCTTCGTTGGGTGCCCTCCCACCAGATGTCAAAGAGAACAACAACTACCAGACTTTTAGAAGACATCTGAAGGCGGCCCTGTTTAGGGAGGCTTTTAATGTTTGATGTAGTACAGTATTTTAATATATATTTTTTGGAAGCTGCCCAGAGTGGCTGGGGAAACCCAGCCAGATGGGCGGGGTATAAATAATAAATTATTATTATTATTACTTGTGTTATGAAAGAGGGGGGGAGCTTTTAATGAACTTCCATCATGTCCCATCTTAGCAGTGCTGGATTTACGTATAAGCTAAACAAGCTATAGCTTAGGGCCCCACTCTCTTGGAGGCCCCCCAAAAAATTAAAGGAAAAAAACCTGGATGTACATTTCCAAAATATAAGATAAAAACAAATAAAATAAAACCTACATCCAGCAACAGTGTTTTGTGTTACGTAGGCTCCTATGATGTAAGTCATGGGCCCCATCTGCTTGCCTGCTACCTAAAATATCACTGGTTTGCTCCTTTCTATATATAGGGTGCCTACATTCTGCATCAGATCCTGAAGCTGAGGCTCCAAGACTTTGGCCACCTCCTGAGAAGAGAAGACTCCCTGGAAAGGACCCTGATGTTGGGAAAGATGGAGGGCGCAAGGAGAAGGGGAGGACGGAGGACGAGATGGTGGGACAGTGTTCTCGAAGCTACCAGCATGAGTTTGACCAAACTGCGGGAGGCAGTGGAAGACAGAAGTGCCTGGCGTGCTCTGGTCCAGGGGGTCACGAAGAGTTGGACACGACTAAACAACAACAACACATTCTGCATGGACAGTTGCATGGCAACATGTGCAAATGGCTTTAGATGCCTATTAGGTCCCTAAATTACCATATAGCATATATTCAACACAAATAACAATGACAGTATGTTGTTGACAAAGGACAGCTGGACATATAAAGGGCCCCGTTGCCTTCAGTACAGGACGCAGGTGGCGCTATGGGTTAAACCAGCACCTGCGGTTTGGCGGTTCGAATCCCCGCAATGAGGTGAGCTCCCGTTATTCGGTCCCAGCTCCTGCCAACCTAGCAGTCCGAAAGTACGTCAAAGTGCAAGTAGATAAATAGGTACCACTCCAGCGGGAAGGTAAACGGCGTTTCCGTGCACTGCTCTGGTTCGCCAGAAGCAGCTTAGTCATGCTGGCCACATGACCCGGAAGCTGTACGCCGGCTCCCTTGGCCAATAAAGCGAGATGAGCACCGCAACCCCAGAGTCGGCCATGACTAGACCTAACGGTCAGGAGTCCCTTTACCTTTATTTTACCTTCAGTAGTTAGGGCCTCATCAAACCTGCTTCTTAGTCACCTTTTCTCTAAACTAAACTTGAAGGGGAAAAAATCTCAAGTGCTGCAACCTTTCCTCATGGGAGAGTTTCTCCATTCCCTGCATGATTTTGGTTGCCATTCTCTGAACATGATAAGAGTTCTGCTAGATCAGGCCAATGAGAGGACCAGAGCTGTAAGAGCTTTGCAAGAACTTAGCCAAGGGAATTATTATTTTTCTTCCTTTTTCTTTTGACAAAGCAATAACCATACATATATAAGAATAAAATTGTGCACCCCTCCTCCAAGACCATTCCATTGTAACTATCCAACCTCCCAAAATTTCAACACCTCTTACGACAGTTTGACCCCTTTCTGTTTTAACAGTACAAATTCTACAAACACTCTCCATATCTCCTCAAAATCATCTCTCCTGCACATTCCCCATCTTACCTTAATGGCCCACGCTAATTTATCGTTAATAGCTATATTCCACACCTCCTTGTACCATTCTTCCATTTTATATACCCCTTGCCCCTTCCACTTCCTGGCTATCATAGTTTGTCCAGCTGTCAATAGATTTGTGAGCAAGTCCTTCATAGCCTGCGAACCTTCTACCCTGTTGTAAATTGATAATAATGCTACCTCTGGACTTTTGGTCATCATTTTCCAAGTTATCCTGCAAGACAAACCGAGGATCCGTCAATATTGTTTCCATCCATCTTCTACGACCTGATCCCCTCCAGTCATTTTGGACTATGAGTCCAGCTGGCTACATCAGATATGTCTTGTGGTCCAAAAGATCTGTTGGGCACCAGGTTGGGAAAGGCGGGTCTACAATGCCCATTAGCAGAAGACTTCCTCGCTCCTACCTGGAGATCTTCCTGGGACCTTCTGCTGCAGGGCAGCTGTCCTGGTCCTGAGCTATATGACACATCAGTGTTCATGCAAGGTCTGGTTCCCAGGCTAAGTGGGAGCCCCGCAGGCTTGGGGTGGGGTGGGGTGTAGGGAACCTACGTTTAAATCCAAATCGATGTAATCTTCGGTGATCTCAGGATCTTCCATCATGGCGTACTGGAGGCTTGACATGGGGTTGATGGAATTCAGGCCTGCAGGGGGCAAAATGATGGTACAAAGAGGACATTGGGTTACACTGAGGGCTCTGCGTGCAGTTTTAGCTCTGCAGTTTCATCATCATTCATAAAGCAATCGTTGTAATGAAGTACCTTCCAATTCAAGTACTGTACAAGGTGCCCTGCCCTTCTGGTCTGGACCCTGTCCACTACCTGTGCTCTGGGGGGTGATTCAAGGGAAGGACTGCTCTTTATCAAGGGAATAATAATAATAATAATAATAATAATAATAATAATAATAAAATTTATTTATACCCCGCCCTCCCGGCCAGAGCCGGGCTCAGGACTGCTAACACCAATAAAATAAAATCACAGTAAAAACATACTATGGGGAAAGAGAGGGAGAAGGGGGGGACCCAATTTAAAATACAGGTTAAAATGCAATTTTAGAATCCAGCATTGCAGCGGGCTGGACTAGATGACCCTCGGGGTCCCCCCAACTCCAAAGTCCTATGATTCTGTGAAGACACTAAGAACTGCCACGGGCATCAGTTGCAACTTTTAAGAACTTCTGCATGAATTTGCTTTTTCTTCCTCCTCTCACCTTCCTCTTTCCTTGTGTGTTGTGCCTTTTTAGAGCTTGATGTCAGGGACCGAGGACTTAGTACTGGTTTTTATAAGCCAATCTGAGGGCCTTTTTATATAGAGAGCAGGGTATAATATGTTGTGAGTAAGAAGAGTAAGACTTAAAAGTACACCGCTATGGAGAAATGACCTAAACGCTTTAGACTGAAGCCTATCCTGTGGATGTGAGCTTAATCTGTAATAGAAAAGTTTGTTTTGATGCCGTATGGATGGCTGCATACAAGACGTAACATCTATACATGCATTTGTCTTGGGAGACAACACTTTGTGTTTGGCAAATGTTTTTACAATTTTCAATAAAGTTGTGGTTTTTTAACAGTGGGGAGAATCCCTGCCTACAAGCTTGCACTCTCTAATTGGGTAAATAAGAAAGGATGCAAAATAATTTGTTATTGAACTATAATCATACAGCCACGGATCAATGGGCTGACCCTGCGCACTGAAGCGTCATATTTTTGTGTTGATAACAAATTAGGTTCTACTCTGCCTTGCAGTGGTCTTTGCTATCTCAGAAGCCTCAGAATGGAGGACTGAAGTTGAACCTTCCGTAGGGGATGCATGAGATCTACCCAATGGGGCTGTGTTGGTATCCTGAACATGGAGAAGCTCTGCCCTTGGCCCAGATCTGTTGGCTTGCTGTTGAAACTGCCTATGAGAACCCACACAAAACCGCACAGCCCCAAGATCTCACAAGAGAACCAGTATGGACCTGGTCAAAGCCAGTAGGCCAACAGAGAGCCAGTCAGGGAATGAACCTTGCAGCTGTTTTCTCAGCAAAATATACCTGATACACTCAAAAGAAAAGGAACCCTCAAGGCTCCCTAACATTTGAAAACAGTCACCAGGAACCCACACACCACGGCAATTCTCCGAAATATCTTCCCAGCTGGCTCAGCTCCAGGACCTTGTTGCAGGAAGGTGGCTCTTGTAATCTTCTGTTGACTGAGCAGGTGCTGGTCAATATTGACCTTCCTCCTTACACGGCCCTTAAAGCATATTTAATTATCCCATTAAGAGGGATCAAAACAGGACAGAGGGGCTCAGGAGAAACCGACACTGTGCTCTGGAGCGGAGCAAAGAGGAAGTTCCTCCTCCAACAGGTAAACTGAGCTCTACCTTGCATCAACAAGGTCTCCACACCTATCGGGTGGCTTGTTTTCCTGCCCAATCCCTTTGCAAGCAAGTTATGTAAAAGACTCAGGCTGTTCCCCGTTTCTTCACCTTTCCTCTCATTGTTGGCATTTTCGGATGCCATCATGAGAAATTCTAAGGATATATAAAGAGCTTATTGGATCAGCCATTGGCCCATCTAGTCCAGCATCCCGTTCTCACAGCAACTGAACAGGATTTGAGCATCCTCCCCTCCTGTGGCTTCTAGCGCCTGGAATTCAGAAGCATTGCTGCCTCCAGCTGTGGAGTAAGACCATCCTTCCTAGTAGCCATCAATAGCCCTCCCCTCCTCCATGAATTTGCCCAATCCTCATTTAAAGCCATCTAGGCTGGTGGCCTGGGACGCGGGTGGCACTGTGGGTTAAACCACAGAGCCTCTTGGGCTTGCCGATCAGAAAGTCAGTGGTTCGAATCCCCGTGACAGGGTGAGATCCCGTTGCTCGGTCCCAGCTCCTGCCAACCTAGCAGTTCAAAAGCACGCTAAAAAGTGCAAGTAGATAAATAGGTACCGCTCTGGCGGGAAGGTAAACGGCGTTTCCATGCGCTGCTCTGGTTTGCCAGAAGCGGCTTAGTCATGCTGGCCACATGACCCGGAAGCTGTACGCCGGCTCCCTCGGCCAGTAAAGCGAGATGAGCGCCGCAACCCCAGAGTCGGCCACGACTAGACCTAATGGTCAGGGGTCCCTTTACCTTTACTTAGGCTGGTGGCCCTTACCATGGAAGGGAGTTCTATAGTTTAACTATGCGCTGAATAATAATAATAATAATAATAATAATAATTTTATTTATACCCCGCCCTCCCCAGCGAAGAACGGGCTCAGGGCAGCTAACACCAGATATAAAACAAATGATTGAAATACAACTTTAAAAGCAAGATTAAAATACAACATTAAAATGCTGCCTCATTTCAGCAGAAACTCAAAAACTTTTGGGGGGATGAAAACGTTAAGTTGTCACCGAGGCTAACTATCCAGACTGGTCCTACGTGGGCCAGAAAAAAGCCAGTGAAGTCCCCAGATAGGAGTTCCATCACAGAAGAAGAAAGGAAAAAAGGAAAGAGGGGGAGGGGATCAAGTTGATTCCAAGCCAAAGGCCAGGCAGAACAACTCTGTCTTACAGGCCCTGCAGAAAGAAATCAGATCCTGCAGGGCCCTGGTCTCATGAGACAGAGCGTTCCACCAGGCCGGGGCCAGTGTTGAAAAGGCCCTGGCTCTGGTTGAGGCTAATCTGACTTCCTTAGGGCCTGGGACCTTTAGGGTGTGGCTATTTATGGACCTTAAGGGACGCAGTGGCGCTGTGGGTAAAACCTCAGCGCCTAGGACTTGCCGATCGTCAGGTCGGCGGTTCGAATCCCCGCGGCGGGGTGCGCTCCCGTCATTCGGTCCCAGCGCCTGCCAACCTAGCAGTTCGAAAGCACCCCCGGGTGCAAGTAGATAAATAGGGACCGCTTACTAGCGGGAAGGTAAACGGCGTTTCCGTGTGCTGCGCTGGTGCTGGCTCGCCAGATGCAGCTTGTCACGCTGGCCACGTGACCCGGAAGTGTCTTCGGACAGCGCTGGCCCCTGGCCTATAGAGTGAGATGGGCACACAACCCCAGAGTCGGACACGACTGGCCCATATGGGCAGGGGTACCTTTACCTTTACCTTTATTTATGGACCTTAAGGTCCTCTGCGGGGCACGCCGGGAGAGGCGGTCCCGTAGGTATAAGGGTCCTAAGCTGTGAAGAAGTCCTTTCTCTGGTGCATTTTGCAATGGCTCTTGCATTCACACTTGTCAATTTAAATGAATCGCAGGGCTGTTTCACGATTGGGAGGTGGCACACTTCTTAATTTATTATTATTATTGTTGATAGTGCTGTTGTTGTCGATAATAATAGAATATATTTTTACTCTGCGTTTCCACAATGTGTGGTGCACAGATAGCTCTCGATTCTGCTATGGGTTTTATGGGATGGGCGGGCAGAGTAACCCAGAAGCTCCTCCCTTCCCCCCGCCCTTCGGGCGGCAACTTACCAACCAAAGTGCCCAGCCTGGCGTTCAGTCCCAGGACCACGCTGGAGAGGCTCAGGCACATCTGTGTGAAAGGGAAAGTGAGGGGTGGGGAAAGAGGGTCAGTGAGTCAGCTGCAAGGGGTTTGCTCTTTGTCTTGTCACGCGAGAGTTTCATCAACAGATCGCTGTGCAGCTATCAGGTGGGCCTCCCTACCTTGTGGCTCTCCTATCTCCTCTCAGTCTCCTCTTTTCCAGGCTAAACATACCCAAACTCCCTCAACCGTTAGTCATCAGGCTTCGTTTCCAGACCCTTGGTCACCCTCCCCTGTACACCCTCCAGCTTGTCTGTATCCTTCTTACATTGTGGGAGCTAGAGGGGGTCATACGATACGATAATCTTTATTGTCATTGTCCCATACAGAACAATGAAATTGAAAAATCTACATCAGACATTCAAAACCCAACAAGCCTGCTATCCCAGCTATCCCAACCTGCTTAGCCCCCTAAAAACTCTGGTACCCCATTTTTAAATACAATGTACTCCCATAGAGACTTCTAACACTGCGTTTAAAACCAAAATCGCATTTGGGTAGAAACTGTTAGGATATACAGTGGTACCTCGGGTTAAGTACTTAATTCGTTCCAGAGGTCCGTTCTTAACCTGAAACTGTTCTTAACCTGAAGCACCACTTTAGCTAATGGGGCCTCATCCTGAAGCAAAATTCTTAACCTGAGGTACTATTTCTGGGTTAGCGGAGTCTGTAACCTGAAGCGTATGTAACCTGAAGTGTATGTAACCTGAAGCGTATGTAACCCGAGGTACCACTGTAGTTCCATTCAACCTTAAAAGGGTCAGGCATGGCTGTTGTGTATCACATGCCTGTTTACTCTCAGCACTGTCTGCTGGGAACTTCTGTTGCATGTTGCTTTTGCTATACTGCTGTTTTGCTGGACACGAAGGCAAGGAGACATGTTTTCCTTTGTTCCTGAGCTATGCTGAAGAAAATGCTGTTCATTTTGCTTGCACATCTCTCTGTCCGCCTCTTCTACTGTGAGGTGATTTACACACTCTGCTGACAGAGTGTGCACGGGTCTCTAAACGTATCTGAGGCTCATGTCGCTGACTGACTGATGCTGTTCCACGGGAGACTGGTGATCGTCCGGAGCCAGCTGGGGGCCTGCCTGATGCCCCCATCTCCCCAGCAGTATCCCAACAGAAACTGTTTCTTAGGTGGCTAGTCCTAGTCTTTATAACCCTGTACCTTCTTCCAGAAGGCAGAAGCTGAAAGAGATCATTTCCGGGGTGCGCACTATCCTGCGCTATCTCTGCAGCTTTCTTATAGCACCTGGAAGCATAGATTTGATCCAAGGTGGGAAGAGTGCACCCAGTTATTCTCTCCACAGTCTTTACAACCCTGGACAGCATTGTTTTTTCCCTGACTGTTCAACTCCCATACCACACACACAGACCGTAAGTTAATACACTCTCCACAGTACAGTGGAGCCAGTACATAGAGCCACTGACTCGCTTTCCCCCCAACCCTTCTACATCTTTGATTACTTTACCCTTCCATCCATGTCTTACTGTCTTTAGGGAGAGGGAGGGGAGGGAGGAGAAGAGGCAAGTCCAAGGGATCCTGCCTCTCACATCCCAACGCACTTTGTCGACAGCAACCCTGCAGAACCCAAGATATCGGTTGCTTGAGATGACTGCCTCGCATTGCCTCATGATCAGGTCCTGAGCAAAGACCTTTCTCGTGTGTGTGTGTGTGTGTGTGTGTGCGTGTGTGTGCGTGCGTGCGCGCGCACGTGTGCTAAAATGGACAGGAATGAGCAAAGCAGTTTACCTTGTCAACCAAGACAGCACGGATGTGGTTCTGAAGGGGTTTCAGGAAGCCCAGCAAACTGGAGAGCAGGACACAGAGGAGAAGAATCAGAAAGAGCAAGTGTTCAAACACTTTCAATTTTTCTCTTGCATACAACTTTCATATGCATATTTTTTCCCATTAGAAGAGAGCCAAGAGGTGATCATCCACAATCCACAATAAAAAGGTAAAGGGACCCCTGACCATTAGGTCCAGTCGTGGCCGCCTCTGGGGTTGTGGCGCTCATCTCGCTTTACTAGCCGAGGGAGCCAGCATACAGCTTCCGGGTCATGTGGCCAGCATGACAAAGCTGCTTCTGGCGAACCAGAGCAGCGCACGGAAACGCCGTTTACCTTCCCGTCGGAGCGGTACCTATTCATCTACTTGCACTTTGAGGTGCTTTCGAACTGCTAGGTTGGCAGGAGCAGGGACCGAGCAACGGGAGCTCACCCCGTCATGGCGGGGATTTGAACCGCCAACCTTCTGATCGGCAAGTCCTGGGCTCTGTGGTTTAACCCACAGCGCCACCTGCGTCCCATACAATCCACAGTAGAGGGGGGACAAAAGACCATCCCCACAAATGACCTTTAAAGAGATAGAATCCTTGGCTGGTGGGTGACATTTTCCCCACCCCACTGTTTCCTAGGGAACCTCTTGTCTTTTTTTCCACCACCCTCACCCCCTCTGCAAATCTATGGGCAGAGATTTCTCTCCCAGGGAGAAGAGTCTGTATCCCAAAAAATTGTGGGGTGGGCTGGAGGGAGACTGCCTAGGACCCATCTGCTTGCCACTTTGGGTTCCATGATGGAAGACAAGTGGGACATAGCAGGGAGGATTAGATAAAAACGTTCTTCAGATTACATAAAAATGTTCTTCAGATGTTCTTCAGGTGATGAGAGTTCGCTAGCAGGAGATGAATCTAGCAATAGACCCAGGCTGCTCAACAAAACTCTCTTTTTCAGGGTAGGATAACGAAATCTAGCTAAGGTGAAACTTCATCCCACTTGCAAGAAAGCACAAGTCAAGCCCAACCTGCGCACAGGTGTCCGCTACTCACTTGCTACCTCCCAGGAGGATGTCCACGTCTCCCAGAAGGGACTTGCAGGCCGTGACGCTCAGGATGGGGAATCCATGGGGGCTTCTCATGACACGGACGTCGAGCAGGATGGAGGAGCCCACCCTCAGCTCCACTGGAGCAATCAAGCTGCACCAAGGGGCAAGGGGAAAGGTCAGTTGAGGGTGCTGGATCCCAGGGAGCTCACGCCTCTCGGTTCGCCCCAAGACTAAGGAGTGCATAGCTTGCTGCTCTCATGGGAGCTAACGTAACCTGCCCACAGTTCTGTAGCCGAATTGAATTTGCTCCTCCGAAACCTCCTACACAATTGAATTTTTCAACCTCTTATTAAATGCCAAGTTGGCATACATGGAGCTTTCATACTCCAAAGTTTACTATCAAAGTTTACTCAACATAAACTCTTGGTTTGCATCACTTGCACCTAAAACTCTGTAAAAAGAAAGAAAGAAAGAAAGAAAGAAAGAAAGAAAGAAAGAAAGAAAGAAAGATCAAGAAAGTAATAGGAGAGAGAAGGAGAGACAGAGAACCCCCATCATTCTGCCCGGACACTGAGTTCCAGCTCCGAGGGCCTTCTGACGGTTCCCTCCCTACGAGAAGCCAAGTTACAGGGAACCAGGCAGAGGGCCTTCTCGGTAGTGGCACCCACCCTGTGGAACGCCTTCCCACCAGATGTCAAGGAAATAAACAACTATCTGACTTTTAGAAGATATCTGAAAGCATCCCTGTTCAGGGAAGTTTTTAATGTTTGATCTTTTATCCTGTTTTTAAAATTCTGTTGGGAGCTGCCCAGAGTGGCTGGGGAAACCCAGCCAGATGAGTGGGGTATAAATAATATTCGTATCCGTATCCATATTCAATAGTGGAAGAGAGCAGATCTCCCAGAGAGTGTCTATGCTTCAATTTGCAGCCACATTCTGATGGGCTGAAGCTTGCAGACTGCATGCGGTCTTCTTAATACTTTTTAAAACGTATTTCAAGGCCCTCTCACCCACCTGGAGATCCAGGCCTTCCAGATTACCTAGCTCATGATCCTGCGGCACCTGCCCTGACACCTGGGTCCGATAGCGGCTGCTAGCATCCTAAGTTAACCACCCCATAGAACTCCGAACCAGAAGCAGGTCACTCACACGCTGCCTCGGATGTGCAGCTGGGCACTGAGGGACAGCTGGACGCCAGACCTTGGGATCAGCTTCACGGAGAGATGAGGGAGCTGAGCGTTCAAAACTCGGATTCTGCAAAAGGAGGGGAAGGGGAGGGGAGAAATAAATAACCATCAAAACTCAAATGCAGTGGTTCCTAAACTTTTTTGGGCCACCACCTCCTTGGGTTACAGAAACCCCTGGGAGAGACATCACTCACCCCACGACCTTCAGAAGTGATCCGATAATGGTTCGTGGGCTCATGAAATTCGGGATCTGGATGACCATGAGACCTCGCAGCAAGGATGGCTTCCCTTGCTGGCAGACTGTGGAGATATTAAGAGAAGGGGCCATTTTTTATATAATTCTTATTAGATTTTCTGTTTTGCAATTTTAAATACTCATTTAAACATCCTTGCAATATCAATAACTTCCCTTCTTCTCTTTCCATGGTTCATTTTACATATCCTAAATCCCTGCATATTTTACAAAAACTATACCAATCAGTATTCCATTATTGCATCCATCAAAACTTATTTACACTGTTGAGTTTATCTTAATGCTGCCTGTGTTTTCAAGTGTACACAATGTCCCCCCAAACATTTCCCAATCTTTTCTAAACGTTATGTTCTTCTTGTTGTCTTATTCTATATGTTAAGTCTGCAAGCTGCGTATATTCCACCAGCGTAAGTGGCAATTCTTCTTTGGTTGGGACCTCGCTTGTTTTCCATTCCATATCTGGGATTCGTCCATCAAAAAATGCGTCCCGCCAGAATTTTCCAAAATGGGTTGAAAATGTCTGGGGAAATCCAGGTACAGTAAATGGCATTCAGAAGTGGCCGAATTTCCCCCAAAAAAGAGCTCAACAACTTTTGTGTCCGGATTTTCACTTTTTGAAATATGGCAGCCCTAATTAATGGGCATTTGCAACTTAGGTCCAAAATAATAACAATAATAATATTTTTTTATTTATAACCCGCCCTTCCCGGTTCATAAACTGGGCTCAGGGTGGCTAACAAAAAAATTAAAACACTTTAAAACACTTAATTATAAAAGCAGCATAAAATACAGTATAAAAGATGAATAACAATAAGAATAAAAAATCAGTTAGATAATCCCCAGGGCTAGCTGGCTGAATTGGTCTTCCTTGGGCCAGCAAGGAGACCAGGGGAGAATTAGCTGTGGGGTCTCAGAGCGGGTGATCTTCATAAAAGGGGAGGGGGAGGGAAGGGAAGGGAAATAAAAGATCAGGCTGAATTCAAATTAAAGGCCAGGCGGAATAGCTCTGCCTTACAGGCCCGACAGAAGGAAGTTAAATCCTGCAGGGCCCTGGTCTCATGGGACAGAGCATTCCACCAGGTCGGAGCCACCACTGAAAAGGCTCTGGCCCTGGCGGAGGAGGATTATTGCATTTATATCTCACCTTTTCCTCCAGGAAGCTCAAACATGGCAGACCTGGTTCTCCTCCCCCCCCCCTTTAATCCTCACAACAACCTTGTGAGGTAGGCTAGGCTGAGAGGCAGTGTCTGGCCACCCAGGGAGCGGCATGGCCAGGTGGGGATTAGAACCCTGGTGTCTCCCAGGCAGGTGCGCCAACTCCTTGGGTGTGGAGAAGTCTCTGTCCCCCTCCATATCTGCTGGCAGGGGGTGGAAGAGGCCGAGTGGAGAGCAGATCATTCGCTGGCTCCTCCTGAGCATGAGAGAGGAAGCTGTGCCACGCTGGGCTCTAGGCTTGGCCTCCCCAACCAATGTGATGTGATGTGCGTTGTGCGCATGATATCACATGTGTGATGCATGTTGCATGCATGACATTGCATATGCCCCACATGCCAGCCCCAGCTCCCAAACTTGGTTACAAGACAGCGCCTCTGCTCCCAGATCCTAGTCCAACCACTACACTACACGGGCTTTCACACATTGCTTTCAACAGGTCTACTCTGAATAATAATAATAATAATAATAATAATAATAATAAAATTTATTTATACCCCGCCCTTCCCTGTTCAAAAACCGGGCTCAGGGGTTCTAACAACAAATTTAAAACACTTAATTGATGCAACAAAAACCAGCATAAAATACAGTATAAAGCATGAATAACAATAAATTCAGAATTCAAAAATCAATTGAGGGGGAAATCCATTCAGAAGAGGTTCTGAATAGACTGCATAGCACCACAGAGCACCGAAGGACCTACAAGCGTCCAGGAACGTGAGTCGGCTGGGCTGTGTCATTCGTGCTAATTCTTGTATGAATACAAAAAAATCACTAATGTTTTTTTTTTTTTTTAAAGCAATTTATTGGGTTTTACAATAAGAATAAACATAATAAACAATATAACATTTGTCTTAACATAGTTTCACATTTTCTTTGGACTTCCTCACATCCCCCGCTCCCACTTTCATCGTTATAACATTTTGTCAGCAATTTATCATCTTATTTAAATTCTTATATCTCTTCAATGTTTCATAATCTTATGGTTCTCATAAAGAGTTAAACTTTCACAGTCTTACTTGTTTTCTTAAAAACTTCTAAGTTAAGTGGTGCTCAGTTATTTAGTCTAGCATCTTATTTAGCATTCACTCAAATCACAATATTTTTGTAGATAGTTCTTAAATTTCTTCCAATCCTCCTCGATTCTCTCTTCTCCCAGGTCACGGATTCTGCCAGTCATTTCAGCCAGTTCCATGTAGTCTATCAGTTGCATCTGCCATTCTTCCAGTGTGGGTAAATCTTGAGTTTTCCAATGTTTTGCAAGAAGTATCCTTGCTGCTGTTGTTGCATACATAAAAATGTCTGGTCCTTCTTTGCCACCCCTTGGCTGACAATACCCAGAAGGAAAGCCTCTGGTTTCTTGGTAAAGGTATATTTAAATACCTTTTTCAATTCATTATAAATCATTTCCCAGAACGCCTTCACTTTAGGGCAGGTCCACCAGAGGTGGAAGAACGTTCCCTCACACTCTTTACATTTCCAACACTTATTATCAGACAGGTGGTAAATTTTTGCAAGTTTAACTGGGGTCATATACCATCTATAAATCATTTTCATTACATTTTCTTTCAGAGCGTTACATGCAGTAAATTTCAATCCATTACTCCACAACTTTTCCCAGTCCTCAAACATAATATTATACCCAATGTCCTGTGCCCACCTTATCATAGCCGATTTAACCATTTCATCTTGTGTATTCCATTCCAACAGCAAGTTATACATCCTTGAAAGTACCTTAGTCTTTGGTTCTAACAATTCTGTTTCTAATTTCGATTTCTCCACCTGGAACCCTAGTTTCTTATCATTTTTAAAAACTTCTTTAATCTGAGCGTAATGTAACCAATCTCGCACTTTGTCTTTCATTTTCTCCAAACTCTGCAATTTCCAATTGTCTCCATCTTTTCTAGTATTTCCCAATATTTTGGCCATTTAGCCTCCATATTGGGTCTTTTCGGGCCTTAGCTTCCAAAGGTGAAAGCCACCTTGGTGTTTTATTTTCCAGCAAGTCTTTATATTTTGTCCAGACATTATACAATGATTTTCTGACAATATGGTTCTTGAAGGCCTTATTTGCTTTAACTTTGTCATACCATAAATATGCATGCCATCCAAAAACATTATTAAACCCTTCCAAATCCAACACATCAGTGTCTTCAAGAAGTAGCCAGTCTTTTAGCCAGCAGAACGCTGCGGCTTCATAATACAACTTTAAGTCCGGCAGGGCAAGCCCCCTCTTTGTTTTGCATCAGTTAATATCTTAAACTTGATTCTGGGCTTTTGCCCCGCCAGACAAACTTCCAAACAACTCTCCCCCACTTATGAAAGCACTCCGCTTGGTCCAAAACCTGAAGTGTTTGAAATAAAAACAACATCCTTGGCAATACATTCATCTTAATAGCAGCAATTCGGCCTAACAAAGAAAGTTTCAATTTTGACCAACTGTCTAAGTCTCTCTTAATTTCTGCCCAACATTTTTCATAGTTATCCTTAAATAGACTTAGATTTTTGCTGTTATGTTTACCCCTAGGTATTTTACTTTTTTAACCACATTAAGTTCCGTCTCATTCTGAAACCGTTCTGACTCTGTATCAGTCAAATTTTTCCCCAAAACCTTAGTTTTCTGTTTATTTAATTTAAATCCCGCCACCCGACCAAAATCATTAATCAATTGTAATACTCTTTTCGTACTGGGCTCTGGCTTCTGCAAGGTCAAAACCAGGTCATCTGCAAAAGCTTTTCAAAAAAAAAAAAAAAAAATCACTAATGTTGATTCCAGGTCTTAAAGAGATGCAAGGTCCTGTGGAAGGGTACTCACCATACTCAAGGGCTTCTTGGTTGACCCTCACTACAGTCCCTGGGGTGGACCCTTGCGAGGGGACAAGGAGGCAAAGGAGGACACTCAGGATGCAAAGCTTCAACATCTTCTGCTTTGTGGTGCAACCGCTGGGCAACCTAGGGGGAAAGGAAGAGGCACGAGAGAAAGGACAATGGTCAAAACCCAAAGGATCTTGCAGCTGTAGGCCAGCAACAGAAGGTCCATGGGAGCAAATAGTGCCTTCAACCTGCTACAACCTGAAATGCCTACTCACTCACAAGGTAAAAAGGTAAAAGACCCCTCTGTCCACTATATCTGAAGGAGCGTCTCCACCCACATCGTTCTGCCCGGACACTGAGGTCCAGCACCGAGGGCCTTCTGGTGGTTCCCTCCCTCCCTGTGAGAAGCGAGGTTACAGGGAACCAGGCAGAGGGCCTTCTCGGTGGTGGCACCCGCCCTGTGGAATGTCAAGGTGTCAAAGATGTCAAAGATGTCAAAGATGTCAAAGAGAACAAAAACTACCAGACTTTTAGAAGACATCTGAAGGCAGCCCTCTTTAGGGAAGCTTTTAATGTTTAATAGGTTATTGTATTTTAATATTCTGTTGGAAGCTGCCCAGAGTGGCCGGGGAAACCCAGCCAGATGGGAAGGGTTTAAATAAATTATTATTATTATTATTATTATTGGACAGTAAAGTCCAGTCAAAGGCGAGTATGGGGTTGCAGCGCTCATCTCACTTTCAGGCCAAGGGAGCCAGTGTTTGTCCACAGACAGCTTTCCGGGTCAGGTGGCCAGCATGACTCAACTGCTTCTGGTGCAACGGGACACCATGACAGAAACCAGAACACACGGAAACCCGTTTACCTTCCTGCCAGAGTGGTGCCTATTTATCTACTTGCACTGGTGTGCTTTCAAACTGCTAGGCAGGCAGGAGCTGGGACAGAGCAACAGGAGTTCACCCCATCGCGGGGATTCGAACTGCCGACCTTCCGATCGGCAAGCCCAAGAGGCTCCGTGGTTGAGACCACAGCAGGACTAGTAACATTCTGTGCATGCCCACCTATGCAGCCTGGACATTCTTGCTGCATGACATCATCATCATCATCATCATCATCATCATCATCAAGTGAAAGCTGGAAGTGAGAGCTGGACCATAAAGAAGGCTGATCACCGAAGAATTGATGCTTTTGAATTCTGGTGCTGGAGGAGACTCTTGAGAGTCCCATGGACTGCAAGAAGATCAAACCTCTCCATTCTGAAGGAAATCAGCCCTGAGTGCTCACTGGAAGGACAGATCCTGAAGCTGAGGCTCCAAGACTTTGGCCACCTCATGAGAAGAGAAAAGACCCTGGAAAAGACCCTGATCACTTCCGGGGTGGCGCCTCCGAAAAATGGCGGAATTCCCTTCGAACTGAAGGGAACCCGCTGCACGGAGGCTTGGGTCCTGCCGCTACGGCGCAGCGGGGGCCCTCAAAACCACAGGCGGAAGAAGCCTGTGGCCGTGGGACTCGGCGGGCACCGAGAGCGCCCTCTCCCCTAGTACAGGAGCCCGGCAACGGGCTCCGGAGCGGGAGGTGCGTGGTGCTGTGAGTCGACTGCTCCCTCCGTGCAGCAAAGCCGCACTGCCGTTTTCGGAGAGCGCTGCCTTCTTCTTGGACAATCTGGCATTTAAAACATCTATCCGTGAGTACCTGATCTTGGAAGAGCTGAACTACTTTTAAGATTGGAGAACAATTAAATAATATTGGATCTGGACTTGAAATTGAACTTAATTGGGACTCGGAACGGAAAGGTCTAAACAGGAAGTCAACCTTCCGTTCTTTTGTTAAGCGAAGAAAGCAAAGATAAATTATACTAAAGCTTGAAAATTAAATTCTGAGAGAACTAAAATTCAACACCTAAGATTTCTGAACCCCCCTTTGACTGCAGGAGAAGAAGGGGGTGGTTTTGGTTTTTTTTTAACCCTGTGGAAGTGAGTTTAAAATAAAGTAATTTTCCACCGCCCTGAACCAGGAGCGGGCTGTCAGAATTGACGTCTTGAAGTGTATCCAGCTCGACAGATAGTTAAAAGAAGGGTAACATTTTGACTTTACTGTTGCCTCTTAGGGAATTTTGGACAAAGTGTTTTTGGAAAAAGTAAGATTGTTGCAAAAGTAAAATTTGTTCCATCTAGTGGAACTGAGTGAAATTGCAATGCAGAGAGCTTAAAAAAAGAAGAGCTATTTCTCGTGGGAAAGAATTCTTTTCGACCTTGAAGGACAATGCTAGTACAAAGGCTTCAACAAGTGTTCCTGGAAGGTTTTGCAAAATTAAGTGCCCAGCTGGACCAGATGCGTCAGGAGTCGACCTTGATGATGGAAGTCACCAGAGCACAGCAGCAAACAAATGAAATTCAGTTAAAGTCTATACAAGTATATGAACCTGCTGTAGTGATGGAGGCTTCAGAGATGGAGGGACCATTGGATGGGCAAGATCAGCTTTTGAACTTGATAAATGAACTTGGGGCAAATCTGATGGGCCATCAGAAGATTGGAGTAGTTGAAGTCTCCAAGCTCTGTGGAAAATGGAACTGGCATTATCTGCTCTCTGGCCTGGGTAATGGGTCTGGAATGGACTTGCTGCAAAGAGTTAAAAGCATTTCTCTGCTGGAGTCTCCACGATTGAAAGGGAACATCAACAAGAGCGGCGAAAGGGGCAAGAAAGAGACTTGAGAGCCTCGGATACGAGACAACCAGGTTAACGAGTTGGATTATTGAAGTTAAAAGGACTGACAATCTTGGGTCCTGGGGAGTGGAGGCTGGAAGTTGACTGGGCTGAATTTGACTTACTATTTTTTCTTTTTACTTCTTAATATTGGGAATGTTTATAAATGTCTGAAGGGTGTTGAATGAAATTACATGGCTTAAGTAAGGATTGGTAAATGATGTGTAAAAAGGTAATGATGTAAGAATTTGCTAAATATTGAATATTGAATTAAAGTTTTTATATGACAAGAGGGAAAATAGAATAAGGAAATGTAATGATAGATTGTTGTGGGGGGAAAAAAAAGACAGAAAGGATTTGCTGTGAAAATTAAAAACTAAGAAACAAGAGAGGGGAGGAGGAGGAAGTCTAGAAAGGAAGTTAATGGAGATGGTAAAGAACTACATTTTTCTATTTTTCTGTTTTTCTTTTTTTCTTTTTGCGGCTGGGTTTTCTTTTCTTTTTCTTTAATATTTTTGTATTACTTTTGTTATTTTTGTATTTTCAACTTTTTTTGGAAATTTTGTTGTTATCCTTTGAAAATTTAATAAATATCAATTTAAAAAAAAAAAAAAAAAAAGACCCTGATGTTGGGAAAGATGGAGGGCACAAGGAGAAGGGGGCGACAGAGGACGAGATGGCTGGACAGTCTTCTCGATGCTACCAGCATGAGTTTGACCAAACTGGGGGAGGCAGTGGAAGACAGGAGTGCCTGGCGTGCTCTGGTCCATGGGGTCACGAAGAGTCGGACATGACTAAACAACTAAACAACAACAACAACAAACAATAATAATAATATAGAGCAGAGGCTGGAGAGCCATCGGTCATGGATGCTGCAGTTACAACCTGCGTTGAGCCACAAGATTCTCTTCCAGCTCTCTGATGCTGTGATTTTTTGGCTTTTAATGTGCAATGGAAAAGGTGGTGTATCTTTGGCTGCAGGTGGCAAACTCTCCTTCCTTGCAGGTTTCTAAAGAGAGGTTGGATGGTTGTCTTTCAGGGGTACTTGAACTCGCCAGCCCACCCAGAAACTCAGATCTTACCTTACTGCTTTGGGAAGGTGGTAGATCCCAGAGACACTGGCTGGACCACTTCTGCTGCCTCCCTTGCTTCTGTGGGCGAAGGAGACTTGGCTTTTATTTGGCTATCAGATGTGGGCAAAAAGCTGAAGGTCAGGAGACATGTCAAGCTTAGGTTTGCCGAGGGCGTGAAACGTTTACTTGTGGGAAAATGGGGAGCCTGCTTTCTGCACACAACACACAATGTATATTTGGGATGCAACCAATCAATCTATCCATCCATCACTCTCAAAGAAGCACCGTGCCTGGTCAAACGGGGAGAGGATTAGCAGGTCTCAGAGCTTCTGAGATGACAAGGCATCTAGGATTCAGACCCCACCAAGTCAAACTTTAGGATCCAGCAGGAACTGCTAGCACTTTATGACACATTTTTTTCCTTTGCAAAGGACGAAAGCCATTTCATTTGTATTGTTTGTCCGAGGGGGGTCTATCTGGATGAATTCTTGGGGTCCCGTACCCGATGTGAGTTAAAATCTAATGGCGGATTCTACTGCTGAACAAGTTTCTTTGGAAGGCAATGACCTCCGCTGTCCACTCAAGGGTCCTGATCCGAAGAAGCTGTGCTGCAGGAGCTGCAATGAAGGGATGGGTAGTGGCGCCCGCCCTGTGGAACGCCCTCCCACCAGATGTCAAAGAGAAAAACAACTACCAGACTTTTAGAAGACATCCGAAGGCAGCCCTGTTTAGGGAAGCTTTTAATGTTTGATGGATTACTGTATTTTAATATTTTGTTGGAAGCCGGCCAGAGTGGCTGGGGAAACCCAGCCAGATGGGCGAGGTATAAATTATTATTATTATTATTATTATTATTATTATTATTATTATTAGGCCCTCCAGGCTCATGGGTGGGCCTTTCCTCCTTCCCCCCAACTCACCTGGCTGCTGGGTAGAAGAAGGACACCCACAGTTTTGGGCTGTGAGTTGAGCTGGAGAAACAGACACCGGCTTGCTCTGTGCTGGAACCAAAGCTGTGACTGATGGAGAAGAAATATCTCCTGGGGTGTTGATGCTGTGAGCACCCCCCCATCCTGTACTCAAGTTGTAAAGGTAAAGGGACCCCTGACCATTAGGTCCAGTCGTGGCCAACTCTGGGGTTGCGGCGCTCATCTCGCTTTATTGGCCGAGGGAGCCAGTGTACAGCTTCCGGGTCATGTGGCCAGCAGGACTAAGCCGCTTCTGGCGAACCAGAGCAGCGCACGGAAACGCCGTTTACCTTCCCGCCGGAGCGGTACCTATTTATCTACTTGCACTTTGAGGTGCTTTCGAACTGCTAGGTTGGCAGGAGCAGGGACCGAGCAACGGGAGCTCACCCTGTCGTGGGGATTCGAACCGCCGACCTTCTGATCGGCAAGTCCTAGGCTCTGTGGTTTAACCCACAGCGCCACTCACGTCCATGCTCAAGTTGTATAAATGTGTAAATAAAATCATATATGTTAAAAACTCCAGAGTCTCTGCTGACCTTCATCCCAAGGAAACCAAACTCTGGGTAAGGACCTGGAATTCCCAGGGCCTCTCATTGCTTTGAGAATGGGGTGGCACATAACTGTATTATCTCAATAATCCTCACATCATTTCATTGGCTCCTGTCCTAGGTGCCTTTCCTCCAAGGACCTCCAAGGGGGCATGCATAGTCCTCCCCCACTGCCCCAATTTTATCCTCACAGCAGCCTTTTGAGGTAGGTTAGTCTGTGGATTTGAACCTGGGCCTCTCCAGCCCAGCACTCTAACCACTACACAACACAGTCTCTCCCTCCCTAGTGAGGTAGGCCATTGTTAGCAAAGCCACCCTGCAAATGGAGGCAGAAAGAGAAGGGTTTGCACTGAGTAAGTCCAAGGGAGGCTTTCCAGGTTCAAAGCTCAGCCTTTCAACCATTCCACAGCAACCATAGGCTTCAAGGTTGCCTTCTAGCTAATCTTCTAAGCCATGGGTAGGCAAACTGAGGCCCAGGGGCCAGATCCAGCCCAATCGCCTTCTCAATCTGGCCCACGGACAGTCCGGGAATCAGCGTGTTTTTACACGAGTAGAATGTGTCCTTTTATTTAAAATGCATCTCTGGGTTATTTGTGGGGCATAGGAATTCGTTCATTTTATTTTATTTTTTTCAAAATATAGTCCGGCCCCCCACAAGGTCTGAGGGACTGGCCCCCTACTGAAAAAGTTTACTGACCCCCATCTAAGCTGTTAGGGAATCATCTTGGTTTGGCTGCCACAGACAAATGTGACTTCCCCCTCTGGGGCAGGTTTCCTAAAATTCAGTTCATTGCCCAAATAACTTTTGCAAAGGAGAGGAGGTCTGTGTGCACTGCTTACGACATGCCTGGATATGGGATTTAATCTCCTGGCTCTTTTGTTTGTTGAGACAGCACCAGAAGTGGGCGCAGGGTGTGTGTGTTAATGGCTCTTTTTGAAACGCCCCAGTGAAAGTTGCAAGAGCAGGGCATCTCTGAGTCAACACTCATTCTCCTGAGTTCCTAAGCCATTTAGGCATCCCTTTGTTATGAACCAGCAGGTTTATTTGCTTTCAGAGTCCTTTACCATCTTTCAGCATCCTGATCCTGGACTTGCTAAAGAGATCTTGACGTTGCAAAAGGGCTGCCTTCTCTGCCACTTAGGAGCAAACCACAAAGGTTTCACCTTTGGGTTCACCTGCCCATCACACTGGAGAGCATCACTTAAGGCAGGGGTCCCCAAAGGCCTGCACACCAGATAAGGCCCAAGGGACTTGTTTATCCGGCCCACAGCGGCTGCTGCTGCCCACTCTTACCAGCGCTGCACTGCGCAGCTGCCCACCTCCGGGTCGGAGGAGCACCAGAAATAGCTTGTGTCCATGCGCAAGTGTTCTTTTTGGCGCACATCCGGGTCGAAGGAGGCCCATGTACATGTGCACAAGCTATTTCCGGTGCTCTTCCGACCCCGAAGTGCGCCTGAAATAGCGTGTGTGCACGCGTATGGGCACGCGCTCCCCAGCCCTCTGGCCCGCTGCACAATCGGCGCTAGAGACACCGTCCCAAGGCACGATAAATTTGCTGACCCCTGACTTAAGGTTCAGCACTTAGGCAGGAATAACCAGCTGCACAAATACAAGATGGGTGACACCTGGTTTGCCAGTAGCACATGTGAATCATAGAATCATGGAGTTGGAATAGACCACAAGGGCCATCGAGTCCAACCCCCTGCCAAGCAGGAAACACCATCAGAGCACTCCTGACATATGGTTGTCAAGCCTCTGCTTAAAGACCTCCAAAGAAGGAGACTCCACCACACTCCTTGGCAGCAAATTCCACTGTCGAACAGCTCTTACTGTCAGGAAGTTCTTCCTAATGTTTAGGTGGAATCTTCTTTCTTGTAGTTTGGATCCATTGCTCCGTGTCCACTTCTCTGGAGCAGCAGAAAACAACCTTTCTCCCTCCTCTATGTGACATCCTTTTATATATTTGAACATGGCTATCATATCACCCCTTAACCTCCTCTTCTCCAGGCTAAACATGCCCAGCTCCCTTAGCCGTTCCTCATAAGGCATCGTTTCCAGGCCTTTGACCATTTTGGTGAAAAGGGTAAGCAGACCACAAAACAAAACAAAAATGAATGGAAGTCCAGGCTGCATTGACAGAAGTCTATGTTGGAAATCAAGCCTTTATCAGGAGAAACTTGCAACTCTCCCAGGCACCCGGCTTAGTCTCCTGTTGACCTCCCTGTCTGCTTTCCTGGCAGGATCCAGGCAGAGGTCGCGATAGGCGATCCTTCTCAGCGTGAGAAGAACACACCCCTCTTTCCTGCCCCCCCGGCAGGGGAAAGAGATAGACAGAAACGTATTTACATGCCTTTATTTCTGTCTTTGCAGCGTTACAGAAAACATGACTGCTCTCTTTAAGTTCCAGCAGTCGAGAGAAAACAAACACTTCCTGTCCAGCTCATATTACACTCTGAGCTAATTCCGGTGCCCTCTGCACTGTGAATTGACTGTCCCTCTGTTTCCCACGGAACAGTCCCAACATTCCCATTATGTTTTGTTTTCAAGCTACCAGCAGCTCGCGGCTGCATTGCTTCAATATCGTAACAGTCTAGTGTTTCAATCAAATGAAGTAATAGTCCTACTCTATTCTGCCTTGGTCAGACCCTACCTGGAGCCCTGTGTCCAGTTCCGGCACCACATTTTAAGAAGGATGGTGACAAGCTGCAAGGTGTGCAGAGCAGGGCAACCAAGATGGTCAAGGGTCTGGAAAAGCTACTTCCGCCCTTCGGAGGAGGTGGAGTTGCGGGCTTCACGGCCCCACCACGCGTGCGGCGGCTGGAACCCAGCCCCCACGCAATTGGGGGATCCGCGTCACCTCCTGACCAGCCAAGCCGAAGCCTGGGGAGGTGAGGACCTAAGGCACGCCCCCTATTGGTGACCCCGGGGAGTTCCTAGTTGATGTGCATCAGCAGGACTCCCCCTACTGGTGGTTAACCCTTCCCCAGACTTCAAGTGGACGGGCTGAAGCCAAATAAAGTTGGTTAGGACCAATGCCTAAGCCAATACCGCTCATCACCTGTAACCAATAAAGTTGTGGCCTTATTTAGCCCATTAACCTTAATAATTGTGTCATGTGTCATTATTTCCACTGGGGAGGACGGGAACTCGCCACACAACCAAGCTTTAGGAGGACAGTTGATGGAACTGGGTATGTTTAGCCTGGATAACAGGAGATTGAGAGGAAATATGATAGCCATCTTCATGGTTGTCATGTGGAAGGTGGAGCAAACTTCTTTTCTTCTGCTCTGGAGGGTAGGACCCGAACCAATGGCTTCAAGTTCCAAGAAAGGAGATCCCCACTCAACATCAGGAAGAACTTTCTGAGGGCTGTTCAACAGAAGGTGGTGGACTTTGAGTTTTTCAAGCAGAGGTTGGCTGGCCATCTGTCATGGATGCTTCAGTTGAGATCCCTGCATTGCAGGGGGTGGGACTTAGTGATCCTTGGTGTTTCTTCCAGTATCTGCTGGATCAGACCAGCATCCTGTTGTCACAGTGACCAGCCAGATGCCTGCAGGAATCTGGCAAGCGGGACCTGAGGATGACATATGCAAAACTGCAGTCCAACATACAGTGGTACCTTGGGTTAAGTACTTAATTCGTTCCGGAGGTCCGTTCTTAACCTGAAACTGTTCTTAACCTGAAGCACCACTTTAGCTAATGGGGCCTCCTGCTGCTGCTGCTGCACCGCCGGAGCACGATTTCTGTTCTCATCCTGAAGCAAAGTTCTTAACCCAAGGCAATATTTCTGGGTTAGAGGAGTCTGTAACCGGAAGCGTCTGTAACCGGAAGCGTATGTAACCCGAGGTACCACTGTATCGGTCTTCCCACTGACTTGCAGGTACTGGGAGTGAGTGGGGCAAAGAGGCAAGATGTTATGTACTAAGCTTGGATCCTAGAGCAATAGGCAAGTAGGATCCTAGAATGCAACAACTGATTGACCTGCAGGAAAAGACCAATCAGGCTCCAGAAGGGGAGCAGAATGAGCCAATCAAAAAGGACTCAATGTGTAAATAATGTATATAAAAGCCTGAGGTTTGAGGAGCAATTCAATCACTGTTTTACAAGCTACAATAAAGAGCATGAAATCACTACAGGACTCCTAGTATATTTCACAAGATGTGGACAATGTCTTACACATTGCTATATTTCTGCCACACCAATTTGGCTGTGTCGATGGAGCCCTCAGAAGAACCTTCCCCTTGTGTTCTCCTTCTGCAACTCAAAACTAACATCAATGACCTGGTGAGATGGGATGGGCAGCCCTCCCATGCTTTATCAAGCATAAAGCTCTTAGAAAACCACAGCGACTTACGAAGAGGGCGTGAGCATGGCAGAAAGGGCATAGGCTCCTCAAAGTTCAACAGAAAGTGTTTACTCAAAAGCTAAGCCAGGGCTTTGCTCTCTTTCCTCTCCAAAGGCAAATCCTTGGCTGACGTGTCCTTAGCGCTACTTGCTGATATGCCTGGAGGTCTGGGGCTATGTTGCACTGGCTCCTGGTGGAGTATTGGGTCAGGTTCAAGGTGCTGGTCCTTTAAAGCCCTTTGTGGCTGAGGGCCCTTGTATCTACAGGACTGCCTCTCCTGGTCTGCCCCGCAGAGGACCTTAAGGTCCATGAATAACCATAGTTTAGAGGTCCCGGGCCCTATCCTCCACCAGGGCCAGGGCCTTCTCAGTGATGGCTCCGACCTGGTGGATTGCTCTGTCCCATGAGACCAGGGCCCTGCAGGATTTAACTTCCTTCCGTCGGGCCTGTAAGACAGAGCTATTCCGCCTGGCCTTTAATTTGAATTCAGCCTGATCTTTTATTTCCCTTCTCTTCCCTCTCCCTCCCCTTTTTTTGAAGATTACCTGCTCTGGGATCCCACAGCTAATTCTCCCCTGGCCTCCTTGCTGGCCCAAGTAGGACCAATTCAGCCAGCTAGCCCTGGGGATTCTCTGATAGATTTTTGATTTTTATTGTTATTCATGATTTTATACTGTATTTTGTGCTGCTTTTATAATTAAGTGTTTTAAAGTGTTTTAAATTTGTTGTTAGCCACCCTGAGCCCGGTTTTTGAACCAGGAAGGGCGGGGTATAAATAAAAAATTATTATTATTATTATTATTAGCCACAATGGTGAAGTTCTAAGTCAGAGGCAGCAATGCTTCTGAATGCTGGTTCCTGGAAACTGCAGGAGAGAAGAGCTGCTCTTGCAACCAAATCCTGCTTCCAGGTTTCCCATTATGGACATCTGGTCGGCCCCTGTGAGAACAGGAGGCTGGGCTAGATGGGCCATTGGCCTGAACCAGCAGATGCTCTTCTTATGAAGTGTTCTCAGTAGCCAAAAATAAAAAATGGTGGGGTGTTGTGCTGTGGAATCTGTCGTTCCACAAAGTGGTGAGTGTGTCCCACACACTTGAAAGACCCTGATCTGTTTTGACCAGAATGAGGTTCTCACACTGTGGTCTGTGAACTTCATGAACTGAATTTTCCAGTGCAGCCTCCATTATAAGGTTGCAGAACAATCAAGGATATCTGTACCTTATTGTTATTATTAATAATAATAATTGAATTTATATGCTGCCCTATACCCAGAGGTCTCAGGGTGGTTCACCTGATCATGCACTGCATTTCTTTCTTTCTTTTCTCACAGAGATAAAGGCCGCTTCTTAAACAAAAAGCCAGGCTGGACTATCAAACAGGCTTTCTGTGGGCCCTGCAGTGACATTCTCCTCTTGGAATCGGCAGCCAACTTTTGGGGAGAGACCAAAGCCCTCCTAGATGTGAAAACTGCTATCCGGACCTTGAAATGCTTTTTCTGAAGAAGGTTTCCCCGTTCTGCTGCAGTTTGCCTTCCACCAAAAAGCACATTATTTGTATCGCTGCCCACTGCGGCAAAATTATGTGAAATTTGTTGGTGTTACGTTATTCCACCTCATTTATTCTGATGCAAAGGAAACACACTGCAAAAAGGAGAGGGACATTATTAATCGAGAAGGCGCTGGACTTTCGTTCCTTGGACGTTTTTAAGCAGAGGTTGGATAGCCATCTCTCAGGGGTGTTTAGCTGTGATTCCTGAATTGCATGAATCACAGGCGTCCAAGATTCCAAGATACAGGTTCCTGTGTGTGTCTGTGTGGAAAAATGAGCACAACCAGCAATTCACACACCCAACACACACACACAAACACACACACACACACACACACCATCCCTCTGTGGATGCTGTTTAAACCTAAACCTTCAGAAGCTTTGTCTCTCTCTTTTTAAAAAAAAACAAAAAACACACCATAATTTTTCAACAATACATTTATTCACCTAGACAGCATCTTAAAAAGTAGAGACATCACCTTGCCAACAAAGGTCCGTATAGTAAAAGCTATGGTTTTCCCAGTAGTGATGTATGGAAGTGAGAGCTGGACCATAAAGAAGGCTGATCGCCAAAGAATTGATGCTTTTGAATTCTGGTGCTGAAGGAGACTCTTGAGAGTCCCATGGACTGCAAGAAGATCAAACCTATCCATTCTGAAGGAAATCAGCCTTGAGGGCTCACTGGAAGGACAGATCCTGAAGCTGAGGCTCTAATACTCTGGCCACCTCATGAGAAGAGAGGACTCTCTGGAAAAGACCCTGATGTTGGGAAAGATGGAGGGCACAAGGAGAAGGGGACGACAGAGGACTGAGATGGTGGGACAGTGTTCTCAAAGCTACCAGCATGAGTTTGACCAAACTGGGGGAGGCAGTGGAAGACAGGAGTGCCTGGCGTGCTCTGGTCCATGGGGTCACGAAGAGTCGGACACTACTAAACGACTAAACAACAACAACTTTTATTCACACCTTATTAATAACAATACATTAAACGTCAACTTCCCTTCCATGGTTTCCTCCAAATAACAATTACTGCTGCACATTATAAACCAACCATACGTTATTTTTCTCATCTTAGTCTCAATACAACTTTTACAGCTGATTTTACTCTAAACCTGCTAATGATTTAACCTGTTCTACGTATGGTCTGCAGACATTCTCCAGGTCTCCTTAAATGCTGTTACATCTTGATCTCTTTTTCTCCCCTTGGCCTGGCTGACTGGCAGGTTGATTTATGTCCGGAGGTTCTAAGTTGGCTATTTACTCAGCGCTCCCTCTGATCACTTGGAAAAACCTGCCAGACCAGATCTTGACATCTCTCTTTCTGCTCCTCTCGTCTTCTCCCAGCTTTTCAGTTTGACAAAACGGCTTGGCTGAGGGGGTGGTTGGAAATCACTAGGAAATGATCTGCAAGGGAATGAAATAGGAACTGGCATGGCGGGGGTGGGCTCTCATAAAAGGGGGATTTCAGGCACACAAAGTCAAAATGCAGGTGGGGGTATATCATTTCCCAAAAAAATTTAATTACCTTACAATCCCACCACATATGATAAAATGTCCCCTCCTTTTCTTTACACTTCCAACATATATTTGAACTAGTTTTGTACATTTGCCCTAACTGCACTGGTGTCATATACCATCTGTCCATCATCTTCATATCATTCTCCTTCGACAGGGAACAGTCTGTAAATTTTAAATCAGTTTTCCATAATTTTTCCCAATCTTCCATCATAATGTTGTGAATTTAAGAAAATGTTCCATCTAACATTTTTTTTAAAACCTGAAGCATTTTTGTTAGGGATTGTAGGGAAAGACCTGCCAAAAAAGCTGGAAAACATCTTCATGTATGCGACAACGGCGGCGAGAGTCCTAATAGCACAAGGATGGAAGACTGAAGAAATTCCAACTAAAGAATCATGGCAAGAAAAACTGATGGACTATGCAGAACTGGCAAAACTGACACATAAGCTATGGGACAAGGATAACTGTGATTTCAAAGATGAATGGGAACCTTTACAAAATATTTGAAGACGCAACAAAGTGAATTGGACTCCTTGGCAGGTTTTGAATAAACATTCACAAACTTTTTATTGACATACCCCTAAACATTTTGTGAAGTTTGGCCTCATTGAGGGGCAGTATTTCAATATGAGTAGGAAAATGAGAGTACCCCGAAACATTTTTTAGGGAAAAAAGTACTGATAAGAATAATAATTTATTACTTATACCCCGCCCATCTGGCTGGGCCTCCCCAGCCACTCTGAGCGGCTTCCAGCAGAATATTAAAAACAGAATATTAAAATGAGTCCCCTGTCTCGTTTCCCCCAAATTTGTCCATTTGACTTGGGAGCAGAAAATATCCAAAATATGCAGCGGATTTGGGATAGCAGAGAGAGACTTTCGGAAAAGATATTTGCCGTTTCCTCCAATGGCAAAGGGTGGCGCTTTCTTTGTCATTTGTCGAA